GACACAAAAGTTCCAAAGTCCTGACTTTCCAAAGTCCTGACTTTTGTGTCCGCTAGCTAGAGCTAGCGGACACAAAAGCTCCAAAGTCCTGACTTTTGTGTCCGCTAGCTAGAGCTAGCGGACACAAATAATCATGCTGCGAAGGGAACCTTCCGGGCCCCGCTTCAGACTCAGGAGAGGCGCAAACAGAAGATGGCGCAGCAGCCCAACGCAGGAGCGCCAGAGCAGGCGCATCATTTTTATTTAGTCTCTGTAATTGCAATTTATTAAAATCGGTTTTTTTCTTTATATTATCCTAGATGCAGTTGCAGGGTGGACGGAAGAACCACGTGATATTAAAAATAAAGTTGATCCAGTAAGTCGTGCAGAGCAGAGGCGAATGGGCGAAAAGGGGGCTCCACTCGCCGAACTCTTGCCCCTGTCGCCCCTCCGAAAATTTCGCCCACGCGTCGCTTCTGAGCGCCGCACATTCATAGGAAGCTGAAATGCCCGGGGCAGGAGCGCCGGCGCAGGCGCGTCGATTCTGTCACGGGTGGCGAATTTCCAAAATACAAATAGAAATATGGTCGTTACATGCCGAACCGTGGGCGCAACTCTTTCGAGGCAGATAGGAATGCGCGAAAGGACTGCAAACGCTGAAGTCTTTTCTTTCACGCAACCTACTTTGATGCACTCCAGAAATTGCTTGTGGAAGGCTGAGTTTCGAACCTTTGCAACCGCTTTTTGCAGATACTACAGGCACTAGGCCGAGCGGACACGAACGCTCAACATGAAAGATTTGTGACCGGTGTCACTTCAGAAGAGAAGTGGCACGGAGGAGTTGGGGTTCCAGACACTCAAGCGGCGGGGAATGTAAATAATTGTCTTTGTGTTTGTCTTTGTTTTGGAAGAACAGATATAACGAACAGCCGGACCCTGCCGCAGCTGAACAAATTTGTATTGATACTTACTCAACATGTTCCCAACTTTAATTTTTCCCTTGGTCTCCAGATGCAGTCAGTATATGTGTTCCCTCGACGACTGATGTGATTGAGCATTTAATCTATAAGTATCTCTAACTCCTCGTCATGTTCATCGACGAGCAAAAACCGGTCAGGCCACAAAGTCTCGCGCCTCCGCCTTCAAATATCCAAATCTATGACACACCAACCTTAGCAGGCGGACGGCCGGGCTGCGCAAGAGCATCTGATAATTTAATACCGTGTGATCCGTGAACATGATGCCCTGCGGTTCATCAATGGTGGCGGCAGCATCGCAGCTACTCGGGTGACCACCATTACTTGAGTCGCGGGAAGCGCTGCTTCTCGCCGACCGCCTGGCGGATGTTGGACCGGCGCCGCCCATGCTGTTTCCGCTGTGGCGTGGTATTTCGAGGTCACCACGCCCCCGTGAGGCCACATTTCGTATCCCTTCCTGAGTGCAAGTCGTGGGAGCTGCTCGGGCAAGACTACTCTCCAACTCGAGCAAAAGCGCGTGACCCTCCGCGAGAGCTCTCCACAGCTTACCGCTATCCGCGGTACGATGCACGCCACAGGAGTGGCTCGCCCAGTGCAAGTTGTGGCCAAGTTGTAGTGCGGCAACACTGACAAGTTCCAGATTGTGGTAAAAACTGCTTTTCAGCTCCGCGCCGTCGTCGCGATCCGCGGCGCCGACATGGAAAGGCGAGGCGTGGTACCCCAACATCCCGGTCTGAACTTTAGATTCTGAAATAAAATCGCCGAACTGGACTGCTTCGCCGTCGGGGCCAGAATAGACTTGACTTGGGGGCGAAAGATCACCATCCGGTCTGGACGAGGATGCTGCTGTGCTCTTGCTTCGTTCGTCGGCTCGTACATATTGCGTCGATATCTGGGCTTCATCCCCACGAACTGCTGTTCCTACCTCGGCCGTGGCACCAGAAGATGCTAGTACACGAACGGCAGGAACAAGATCTCCAGTTGCTGCTGTGGCGGCCAGTTCCGCTCGTTGTCGAGCTGCCTTCTCGTGTGGCGCAGGAGAAAGTCTTCCTGAACAAACGGGCAGCGTCGCAGCGACTGTTTCATCCAACGCTGCTAAAGCCGTATGAAGTGCGTCGCGAGCCTCCTCAACAGTGGGGGCGAGGTGCTGCTGATCCGCAACACAAATAGGCGTTTGCGAGCCTCGGGGGCTCTTCGTGCGCTGCTTCACTGTTTCAAGGCGGTCGGCAAACGCGTTTGCGGAAAGCAAGATCCGTTTCGTCAGAATGTCCAGGCGGTGACGCGCACGTGCCCCGAGACCTCCGCGCTCGGCATGATACTCAGACAGATGGGTTTGAGTGCGAGCACCACTCCTCGTCGTTATCGTTGCACGCGGTATTTCCATTCGTACAGTTGCAGTTCCCAAGCAACTGTCAGTTGTCAATTCATCCTGTGGTAAAGCGATTGAACCAGGATCATCTACTCGTCCCGATCCGGTACCGAGACCAGAAGCATCAGCAGGTGGGAAAGAGGACGAAGAATTACACTCAGGATGTCCTGAGATACGGTGGGTGGAATCCACCACGTGCTGTAAAAGCTTCGGCGAACCAATTGCGCCTGCTGCAGTGTTCGGTGACATTGACGAGGTGGCTATGGCAGACAGTGCGGATACCCGTCGTTCGGGGAGTGGGTCGGTGCTGCTCCGCGCGTCCGCGATGTTATGAAAGAAAATGGAAGTTTCTCGAAATTGGTGACAGCGAAGTGCATACAAGTATGTATAGTATAGTCTGCTCCCGGTGCTATGATATCTTGCATGCCAATGCAGACTTTGTTCGTCTGTAAAACCGGACGTGCAGCTATCGACGTTTGTCCTTTCCGCGATAAGCAGTCAAAACATCCACTGTCGAAGAAAAAAACCGTGGTGTACGCGTTTGGCTGCATGCAAGTAGACAGAGAAGTGCGCAGCGGTGTCCAACCGTGGTACCAGATAGAAACACCATGCCCTCGGCGTCGCCCTCATAGTAGCTCGGCCGCCTCGATAAAGATTCCGGCGAGAAGAAAGTGTGCAAGAAAAAAGGTTGTCGGCATGATCAAATTTCAATTCGAACTCAAATTCATTGCTCTTATGTATAATATATCATTATCATATGCCAAGGTCTGACTCTGACTAGCTAATCATCCTGCCATAAAATTTTTTTTTCTCGGATAAAACGTGGCCAGGCTGCACTGCGAGCGTCGTCGACCGCGATGGGCATATGCAGACATACACACCAGCGCTGTCTGCAGTCAGCATGCTAAGCAACCTGCTGAACAAATGTTACCTTCTCTGCGACGCTTGACCTTCTTGATGCCTACCTATGAGTATGATCTGCCTCAAAAATCATTGACATTGAGGTTTGCAATGCATGATCATCTACTTTTGCCACTGATCGCTGCAAACCTGTTGAAGTGGCAAGCTCAGTGAGGCGTTCCATATCTTCTATAATAATAATTCCGATGCGTTTTTACATAAAACATTACTCGACGACTGTCTATGTTGACGCGGTCGGTGCCTACTTCTGCTTGTGCTTCTCTTCTCTTGTGTCTGCATCTGCATCACACGAAGACGAAGTACGAATAGAAGTACTTTACAAATATTGAAAACCGAGCGCGCACGCAAACACATACTACGTAAGTACTACCCTTAGCAGCATGTTTATTGTTGCCGACTCTTCCGCCGCAACAAATTGCTGCTACCAACGTGGTAGCCAACAATCAAATTGTATTTCTAGTTCAAATTCAAAGTTGGAACGAGGGGCATGACAGCGCTTGCGCTCGACTGCAGATCGCATTCGTGCGTGGGTACTTACCTGTCGTCTGATAAATGGTCGCCATCAGCTCCCGGGTCGCCAGCGCATGCTGAGGGGCACATATTTTGCACGGGCACAGCTAGACTTGTTTCATCCTCTGGAGGTGAAGGCGGAGCCCTGTCGGCAATTGAATCATTCTCAAAACAAGTGCCCAAGAACCACGACAAGGAGCCCATCAATGCCCAAAAAATAGAAGTTGCGTCTTCGTCTTCATGCACAGAGATTTGTGAGGTCGCTTGACAAATCCGAGATGATGATGATGATGTGTCGACCGCGTGAAAGCGGAATCTCTCGATCAGAGAAAATAAAGCAGGGAAATGTCACGTATTCTACAACACTTTCATGTGTGACGCTACGAAAATACGCAAGAAAGAGGAAGACCGAGTCCGAGACAGGTCAGAGAAACAGGACATCGAGATCATCATCATCAAAGTCATTTCACTTTCTTATTTTAAAACTGCTGAAGGTGGAAACTGGGTGGACATGAGTTGACCATGATAGAGTCCTGCAGGCGAAAAGGGCATGCGGTGCCTCGTAATAATCGACGCTTCATCTGTCTGGTGCAGACGAAACGCGTCTACACCTTGGTCTGACACCCCGTGGTCGTCGCGCAAAACGGGACAAGCAGTTCCCTCCCCGTCCCCTGGGCACGAAATCAGGCGCTCGATTACGTTGATCCGGTCCACCTGGCCGCGGGTCGCGTCGGTATCCTGATTCGAGACGTTGATCCACTCCACGCCCTTCTTGTACGTTATCCCCAGTTCGGTCGCGTGGTAATCAAGAAACTCCTCCATTCGCATCCAGCCCTTGTTGGTCTTGCGGTTGAACTTGTACCCAGACCTTGTGCCACCACGAAATTCGTCGCCATGATCACTAAGGACGCTGGCGATCGTGCTGCGGTGACTTCCTATTCGCAACTGCTCTACAAGCGCGGTCCTCAGTCGACCAGCACAACTGTCAGAGTTGGAATCAAAACCAACGTGGTCGATCGCGACTCGTCTATACTCCGATGGGTGCTGCTCCGCAAATCGCCTGTCGAAGTCTGCGCGAATGGTTTCTAGTCGACGAAGTGCGCGCTCCTCCACATCGTCGTAGCCGTTCCTCAAGTGCAGCGGATACTTTTTGAAAACTGGCGCAGCGCTACCCTGCGATTCTTGCGCAGACATCATACGACTCGCCGTCGTTCTTGTCGGCTCACTCAGCATGATCAAACTTCGTGCAACTGCCATCACGAAATATTTCACGATCACGTGTTTAAAGTTGCATGAACTGTTTTGCTGGCTTCTCTCTTCCTTGTATTCACGCGGCTACGCTCCTACACTCCTCCGGGACAACATTGACTCAGTTAATCTGCTTCTGTACCTCATAACATCTTCAATCATTGAAGCCCTCTCCCGGTCTCTCGTCCACCTATCTTGTCCGCCTCAATCAATCATACGGCGGTCGTCAGGAGGCTCCGATATAAAATAAACATACTCACTTTAACTTGTTTGCATACTTGAACATCCACGAGCACGACGGAATCCCTGAATAGAGAGCAATACAGATGGGGGAGATCAACGCTCCGTGCTGATAAGTGTAGGATGCCGTAGAAAGATCATCATCAACAAAATTTGTTTTTGTAGAGACCAATTTGAATTTGTATATTATGAATTGATATTTTTTCGCGCTGAAAATACGTTGATGATGAAGTACTTCAAAATATTAAGCGTCTTGCGTTTTATGTGAACTCTCAAGAATTCTAGCAAACGCAGGATACATATACATCCTGTTTTGTACAATACATAAGCGTCTTGCGTTTTATATGAACTCGCAGGAATTCTAGCAAACGCTTCGCTATGTACATTTCAGATAATAGAGATATTTTTTTTTTGCATTTGAAGTAAACAAAACAAAAACTAAATGACAAATACTACATCGCTAGTAGCAATTATTAAACTTTCGCGTTTTCCTTGCACTTGGTTTTCTGCCTGTGGAATTGAACTTAGCGCGCTACGCAAAAAACAATGAAGAGGAAGGAAGGAGGCAAAGACAAATAGTAATAGTTATCATTTTTCGAAATCATGTCCATACCGTGCTAAGAGCATGCTCACATTGGAGCGAAGGAGGAGAAAAATGATCGAGAAGTAGGACTTGGCTGTGCTGTGCCGAGGAAGAGGTAAAATAGCATTACAGATTTGCAGTGAAGAAAGCGAGAGCGAAATGAGAGCGAAAGTTTTCATGTTTAGATTCTTGCGGTCTGCTGATGGTGAACGTCTTCACCTATCGCCTTAAGCACCGGCCTAAACCTACATCTCGTTTGCCGACAGGATGCAGATCGATCATGATCCGCGGCTCCAGCCTTATTTTAGGGGTGGATCAGTCAGCAGGGTGGAAGCTGGCCATGTTGTAGTATTAGCGGAAGTTGTAGTAATCGACGCTCCTGCTGCTGCGTTTGTGATTATCGTTCCAGGAGCGCCGCTGCTTTCCGTGCCGAACAAGTCGTCTCGTAAAAGTTGCAAGTTCTCCCACAGCCTCTGGCTGTTTTGCTTCCCGGCCACGGATTGGAGGAATTCCTGGTCGTTCCACGCGTGATCCGGGTGCCAGTCGTTCAAAATCCGGCTCAACGGCACGTCGCCGCCCATCCAGTCGGGCAGCTGTGCGGGCTCGATGTAGGGGTAGATGTCCCGAACGCTCCGCTTCAAAACGACCTTGACGTTGACCTTCCCCACGAGCCTCAGAATGGCGTGCTGCCAGACAGTCTCCAATCCCCAGGGCAGGCCAACCACGAGAACTCGGGCGCAGGACTCCGGGTACTGTGCGCTTACGCGCAGGATCAAACGTATGGTCCTCCATACTGACGGCGTCCAAATAAAGCCGCCACCCGCGGCGACGTCGATCAACATGGTGAATTGGGTAACCAAAAGCTCGTCTCCATTTTGTTGGGTAACAGCACTGCCCCGCACCTCCTGTGCCTCAACGTTCTTCCGGGAGACTGCCAGGTACTTGTACCTCCGCGTGTGTTCCATTTGGAGGTACGCCATGGCTTCGATCCCTCCCTTGTCGAAATTCGTCTCCACGTCGGACGTGGAGAAGATTGGACGGATGACGTAAATCGGCCTTCCATCTCTATCTCTTCCGCACCACCCGAACGTGCAGAAGTTTCGCAACCTTTGTTTCTGCCGGTCTGCCAGCAATCGCTGTTTTTCAGTGACCGCGAGCGCCTTGTCAAACACCTGCTTCGGATCGATTTTTGTTTTTTTCTTTTTTTGTGGCCCTCCATCCGTGGAAGTAGTTGCGCCCGGTACTTCTAGTACAGCACGTCTCCAGGTCACGTGATCCCGCAGCATTTCTAGCGCGAGCTCAAGGTTGCCCTTCTGCACTCGGATGAATCGGTAGAGGTCATGTTTGGTCAGGTGCTGCAACGTATCCCGCCAGCCTGTTCGCTCCTCCAACTCCTTCGCGAGGGCTGCCACGTTGTCGGAAAAGGTAGCTGCGGCGTTGCAAAGGCTGAGACTGCAATCGTCCTCGATGGACGGCAAGGGTGCCCTCGAATTCCACCTCGCGATGGCGGCCTCGCGAGCTTGGCGATTCTCGACCCTGTTCCGAAAAGCAGCGCTGTCTCCTGCACCCGATGACGCCAGTCCGGTGGGAGTGCACCCGTTGCGGTGGCCGCGAGCGAGGAGTACGCCGGTTAGGGCGCACTCCTGCATCAGCAGCAGTGGTTGTTCGAACTGTTGGACGAACCTGTTGCGCAGCAGGAGCTTGCCGGCGGTAACAACCAAACGGGTGGTGGGGGCGGAAGCTGCAAGTCCTTTCCCTCCAGCTTTGCGGCTACGCTGGTAACGGCGCAGAAAGGTCACAAACAGCGCGCGTCTGTAAAACTCTGCAATTAGTTGCTTCACTCGGATCTTTCTTCGTGCTCGCTGCAATGCGGATAGTTGTTTGCGTTTTTGCAACGTTGCAAACTCCCGCACTGTGTACACTTTGCTTCTACTCTGCGGAAGCACCTTTATGCATCCTGACGTGAGTCGTCGCCTTAGTAGGACGATGGCTCGGAATATCAGCAGATTTTGGTCGAGCGCCTGCCGCAACTGTTTCCGTTGCTGCTGCTTCCACTGCTTGATGCGACGACTGAGGAATCTGTGAACGGTTACGTAGTGCTTCACGGCATTCCACAACGCGATTCGTCGCTTTACCTTTTCCCGCTCTCGCAGAATCCACTTTTTCAGTGCACGGCACATGGTGGGGTAGAGTCGGAATGCGATGTCCTGGTTCCTCCTGCACGCGATGCGACGCCGGGCGTTTCGCAAAAGCCTCACGATGACGCGACCTACACGCCACGTCTTGCGAAGTTTTTCGATGGCTGCAGCAACCCGTTGATCGCGAAGCGTTTTTTTGGCGCGCGAAGCCCACCGGTTCAGTCGGTAGTAGTTGACGGCGCAGATTTTCAGCATTTTCAGGTTCCTTTCCTTTTTCGCTCCGGCCAAAAATTTGGGAAGGTACAAACACACAGCCACGGCCTGGAAACAGCGTCGTCGCTTCTTTTGCAAGATGACTTTCTTGAGGCGCTTCAGCACTTCCGGCGGGATCGCGTCGCCGCTATCAGTCAGCTGGTCGAGGACGGCCAAGCAACCACTTTTCAAAAACAGTCGGCTGGCTCCGATCACGTAATCTGATTTCGGGACTTCGAAAGCTAACATCAGCGCACCAAGGAACGTTCGCGGCTGCTCGTCCTTGAAATCCGGAAGCTTGGACTGGTACCGCTCTACCAGGTAGTCGAAACTGCAGCGGTTTGGATAGCCCTCGTGCATGATTTTTACCAAATCAATGCCACCTGACTGCCGCATTTGGTCCAAGATCACTCCTCCCTCCCACAGGCTCGGCTTCTGGCTCAAATTTGGTTTGAAGCAGCGAATGTAGTGCAAAGAACAGGCGTCGAGCGTGGACAGCAGCAAGTCGAGGTCGGCCAGGTATTTGCGCCCAACGCTTGTCGCAGCGGATTGTGCTTCGCCGTGGAGCCGCGCGACGAGCTTGTGGTCACTGCAGGAAATCAACATTTCTGCTTCTGTCGATAGCGCCGCGTTATTCTTTTCGAGCCATCCCTCTGTTGAGTAGTTCACTTCTCCGGCGTAGTGTCTCACCACGAGGGTCAAATTGGCATCTGATTTTGATGGTAAAGGTATGAATATACTCCATGCATGGCGTCGCTACGATGTACCATCTAGCTGTACCATCTAGCACTCAGCCATTGCAAAAATAAAGCAAGATTTGCTCGTGTTGATGTATATTCATTTTAAAAGCATCCGTACCATAGTCCTGGTTCTTCTTTGCGCCTCCGCGCTTCAGTCTACACATGTGTGCGCCAAAGTTCTTATGGACATCCGCCGTAAAGCGCTCGTCAGTGGTTCGCACATTCTTCGCGAGCAGTATGGAACAAAGAAACAAATGCTTGCTGAGGATTGAAAAAACATTTTGGGGACTTTCTGATGCAAGTCAAAATCTTTTTGGCCGCAAGAAAGAACGATCTCTCGAGTGAGTATTTGAAATTGTTTGACGCGTTCCCTGCCAGGGGAAGGGTTGCTCTTGTACTTGTTTCCTTCTGCGTCCTTCCTTACATATCGCACAGCTTTTATTGATACGCAAGCACTTGTTTTCTAAGTCGTAGTCATGCGCCCGTGCTCGTGTAGCGTGTTGAGCGTGTTCCCAATCGCGTCCAAGAGTGGCTCTGTCAAGAGTATTCAAATTCATTTACATTGTGTTGCTTAAAAAGAACAATCTTTATCTTGGTATGCATCGATCTGCAAGAAAATATGGATGTGTCAGGATCGAAATCGACAAAATCGAAAAACTTGTGATGCATAAAATGTAGGGCATTGAAGGCCTGTATTGGAGAGCAGGCAAATGAGGCCGATTGTAAGCCTGTTTAGGGGTATGCAATCTGCTGCCAGAGTAGCATGACAGCGGCAGTCTTCTTTGTCCAAACAGCATGACAGACTGGAGCTGGGTGCTCCCGAGCTTTGTCATGCGCCACTTGGAAACTGAGGCTCCAACTGACATCGATTTTGTGCATCACAAATTTTTCGATTTTGTGAATTTCGATTCTGACACTTCCATAGAAAATTGTGCAAAAATATAAGAGATACAGCCGCATACGACAAATAATACCACTTGACTCGACTTGTAGTGAAATTGCGGGAAGGCCTTCTTTGCGGTACATCTCCTGCTCTGCCAATATCACTTTGTCACAGAAAAACTCCTGTAGTCGCTCGTTCGCCAGGTTGATGCACAGCTGTTCGAAGGAATTGAGTTTCAATTGTTCGAAGCCGTAGATGTCCAAGATTCCTATGTGACGCCGACTAGATTCGGCTAAGTTCTGGGTTTGACCCGCCACGAGGAGGGAGCTGTTGATCTGCGCCACAATGTGCTCGAAGAGGCGTTTGTACAGCATTTTCACCAAGGCTTCCTGTGCATTCTTCGCTTGTGCTGGTGTCCGGTCAGTTTTGAAAACGGAATCACGGCCCTGGTTGTTTCGTTTGGGCCGGATCAGTGTCTTCTTGCACAAGGACTCGCAGAGAGAGTTCACCGACATGCCGAGCAGACGCGCAGCTTCAGCAACGTGGGGCGATTCTACTACTTGGATACCCTGTCCACTCGCCGCATCCTCAAAATCCAGTTCAAACAGGTGGATCAGCCCACCGAGCGTCTCGAGCACCTCTTCGATTTGTTCCGGGGAGAAGTTCATAACTTTCAATCCGGTGCAGAACGCTGTAAAGTTCGTCGCTTCTTCCGCCCCCCGGAGTGGAGTGGATTTCTGCGTCACCTGATCTCTTCCATAGAGAAGTGCGTATTTCGAGTTTTTCTGCAAGCCAAGTTTCGTCAGCTGCTCGGCGGAAGCTCCGCATAGTATTTCGTACCAAATATGGTACCTTTGTGATTTTCGTTAATTTATTAAATCAAACTTTATACCATGCTACACCAGGTGATTCTACTAGTACTCACTGTGAAAGAAAATGTCAATGCTGCAATACCAGGACACTCAGAAAGAAAAAAAAATAGGAAAGAATTATAATCCGAACACTATTCGTCAAGAAATCAGAACAGAATGAGTCTCTACGTCCGTTCCCCAGCTCCAAATTTTGAAACGCGACTGCTCTCGAGCAAGTAGGTGCGGATCTCGCCTCCCACGATGTCGCCTCTCGCGTTGAACATCAGCATGCTGAATTTCCCAAAGCGGCTCGAGTTGTGGTTGCGGACCGTCGTCGCATTCCCCAGTGATTCGAGGATCGGTGTCGCACAGCGGAGGATCATATTATCTACCGAAGCTGCCGCTGCGCCGTTTTCTGCGACCTTGGCTCGCGTACGCGATTGCTGTATTAGATACGCCATCACGACCTTCGCATTTTCTGTTTTTCCCGCACCAGACTCCCCAGAAATCACAATGGCCTGGTGTGTTCGTCCATGAACGAGTTTGCGCCGGGCGATTTCCGCCAACGCAAATGCGTGTGGCGGTCGGGATTGAAGTGATGCCAGGTTTAGGTAGTCACTTTGCCGCTCATTGCTGTACAAATGGTCGAGCTTCTTGTAGGGATTGATGGAAAATAGCACGCTTGCGGTGTAGGTGTAAATCTCATCTTGGAAATACCTGAATGTGATGATTAATTTTGGTTGAAAATCAAAATAGAGTTGAAGGATATAAATCCATTCCCTTGATGCTGTGTCATCCATCTAGCGATTCAGTGCAGAGCGACGTAGTGGCAGCCTCACCACTTAGCAAAGTACTAGGCTAGAATAAAAACGGAAAAGACAATTACCGCAGACGGCAGTTTTCTAAAATTCCAGCGTCGCTAAACGAAGCGACGCTTGCGCAATCCTCGAAGTGAGACTCTTCATTCTTGTCGCTGCGACCGCGCAAAGCAGCCTCATTCGCAAACACCCTTGTCTCGATGTAGGCCTTGCTCGAACGACTAGATGCCAGCGACTTTCCACGCAACAGTTTGCTGGCACCTTTCTGCTGACTTTTGGACAAGATGCCCACTTCGTAACTGTCGCCTGCCGATCGAGTAGCGTAGTTTACGATTTCACCGGGTACAAAGCCGTCCACTGGATCTTCTACCCAAACCGTCACGGGGAGCTTATCATCCCGGTTATCGTGCTCTGCCGACATTTTCTTGCCTCCTGCTTTGAATCTATACAGTTTTATAGTCTACAGTATTCGAGCTAAATTAAGCTCTTTCCAGTTTTTTTACAGTTTACAATTTTACATTTAGTTCAATTAAGAAAAGAGGCTGCTGGTACTGGTGAAGCTCACGATGCTTATGCTTTTGACACAAAATGCCGACACATGGTAGATTATATGACCTTTGATTTGATTGCTGTCTTGGTTCCCGAAACCCATAAAACCTCGATCACACGAGTCATGCAACGACAGCGACACCCAAACGATCACGAATTCCGCAGTCTTTCTGTCGTGTACTCGAACTTTCCCACGATCATACGCTCATCAGAAAGCAACGACTCGACGATACACGACCAGCACCACGACAGACCACAAGGAATGTGGAAAGAATTTCTTTTTACGAGACTCAAAGACACATATACACCTTGATTCGCTGGGCGGAAAAGAAAAAGATAGAGTAGAACCTGACCCCCTAAGTATATAGGCACGATTGAAACTTTCTGTGCTGAATACGACCGACTCAACGAACTGGAACTGTGTATTGGTTTTTTTGTTTCACTAACAAAATAATTAGATGAACACGAGACAACTAATATCGTGCTGCCTGGTGGCTCTACTTATGTATCAGCACGAAAATTGCAATCGATATCGAAATTTCTTCATCTGCGCTGAATTATGTACAGGTGTTCATCTGCAAGCACCTGCTGTTCGAGAATAACACACATCTGCTGCTCGAAAACGCCGGGAAGAGAGGCGGGCTCTGGCCGGCAAAAGATCGGGCAGGAGAGGACTCTGGCCTCTTCGCTTCCCTTTTGATTTTCTGAGCGGCCACCAGCACGAAGAGGCGCGGCCACTGCTTTTCCTTCTCCGGCTTACGAGCTCGCTTGGCCTCGTCTTCCAGCGAGTAAGTTTAGTTTACTGCGACACGGCGATCCTGAAAGGAACAACCACTCAACTTAAAGGAGAGCAGCAGCCTTTGCCTATCTTGTCCACCTCAATCAATTACTCGTCAGGACCAGGAGGCTCCGATATCCAATTACAATAAACATATTATTATTAACTTTAACTTGTTTGCATACTTACTTGAACATCCACGAGCACGACGCAATCTCTAAAGAGAGAGCAGTACGGATGGCGGAGATCAACGCTCCGTGCTGATAAGTGTAGGATGCCGTAGAAAGATCATCATCAACAAAATTTGTAGAGACCAATTTGAATTTGTATATTATCAATTGATATTTTTTCGCGCTGAAAATACGTTGATGATGAAGTACTTCAAAATGTTAAGCGTCTTGCGTTTTATGTGAACTCTCAAGAATTCTAGCAAACGCAGGATACATATACATCCTGTTTTGTACAATACATAAGCGTCTTGCGTTTTATATGAACTCGCAGGAATTCTAGCAAACGCTTCGCTATGTACATTTCAGATAATAGAGATATTTTTTTTTGCATTTGAAGTAAACAAAACAAAAACTAAATGACAAATACTACATCGCTAGTAGCAATTATTAAACTTTCGCGCTTTCCTTGCACTTGATTTTCTGCCTGTGGAATTGAACTTAGCGCGCTACGCAAAAAACAATGAAGAGGAAGGAAGGAGGCAAAGACAAATAGTTATCATTTTTCGAAATCATGTCCATACCGTGCTAAGAGCATGTTCACATTGGAGCGAAGGAGGAGAAAAATGATCGAGAAGTAGGACTTGGCTGTGCTGTGCCGAGAGGTAAAATAGCATTACAGATTTGCAGTGAAGAAAGCGAGAGCGAAATGAGAGCGAAAGTTTTCATGTTTAGATTCTTGCGGTCTGCTGATGGTGAACGTCTTCACCTATCGCCTTAAGCACCGGCCTAAACCTACATCCCGTTTGCCGACAGGATGCAGATCGATCATGATCCGCGGCTCCAGCCTTATTTTAGGGGTGGATCAGTCAGCAGGGTGGAAGCTGGCCATGTTGTAGTATTAGCGGAAGTTGTACGTAATCGACGCTCCTGCTGCTGCGTTTGTGATTATCGTTCCAGGAGCGCCGCTGCTTTCCGTGCCGAACAAGTCGTCTCGTAAAAGTTGCAAGTTCTCCCACAGCCTCTGGCTGTTTTGCTTCCCGGCCACGGATTGGAGGAATTCCTGGTCGTTCCACGCGTGATCCGGGTGCCAGTCGTTCAAAATCCGGCCCAACGGCACGTCGCCGCCCATCCAGTCGGGCAGCTGTGCGGGCTCGATGTAGGGGTAGATGTCCCGAACGCTCCGCTTCAAAACGACCTTGACGTTGACCTTCCCCACGAGCCTCAGAATGGCGTGCTGCCAGACAGTCTCCAATCCCCAGGGCAGGCCAACCACGAGAACTCGGGCGCAGGACTCCGGGTACTGTGCGCTTACGCGCAGGATCAAACGAATGGTCCTCCACACTGACGGCGTCCAAATAAAGCCGCCACCCGCGGCGACGTCGATCAACATGGTGAATTGGGTAACCAAAAGCTCGTCTCCATTTTGTTGGGTAACAGCACTGCCCCGCACCTCCTGTGCCTCAACGTTCTTCCGGGAGACTGCCAGGTACTTGTACCTCCGCGTGTGTTCCATTTGGAGGTACGCCATGGCTTCGATCCCTCCCATGTCGAAATTCGTCTCCACGTCGGACGTGGAGAAGATTGGACGGATGACGTAAATCGGCCTTCCATCTCTATCTCTTCCGCACCACCCGAACGTGCAGAAGTTTCGCAACCTTTGTTCCTGCCGGTCCGCCAGCAACCGCTGCTTTTCAGTGACCGCGAGCGCCGCGTCAAACACCTGCTTCGGATCGATTATAGCTGTTTTCTTCACATGTGGCCCTCCATCCGTGGAAGTAGTTGCGCCCGGTACTTCTAGTACAGCACGTCTCCAGGTCACGTGATCCCGGAGCATTTCCAGCGCGAGCTCAAGGTTGCCCTTCTGCACCCGTATGAATCGGTAGAGGTCATGTTTGGTCAGGTGCTGCAACGCATCCCGCCAGCCTGTTCGCTCCTCCAACTCCTTCGTGAGGGCTGCCACGTTGTCGGAAAAGGTAGCTGCGGCGTTGCAAAGGCTGAGACTGCAATCGTCCTCGATGGACGGCAAGGGTGCCCTCGAATTCCACCTCGCGATGGCGGCCTCGCGAGCTTGGCGATTCTCGACCCTGTTCCGAAAAGCAGCGCTGTCTCCTGCACCCGATGACGCCAGTCCGGTGGGAGTGCACCCGTTGCGGTGGCCGCGAGCGAGGAGTACGCCGGTTAGGGCGCACTCCTGCATCAGCAGCAGTGGTTGTTCGAACTGTTGGACGAACCTGTTGCGCAGCAGGAGCTTGCCGGCGGTAACAACCAAACGGGTGGTGGGGGCGGAAGCTGCAAGTCCTTTCCCTCCAGCTTTGCGGCTACGCTGGTAACGGCGCAGAAAGGTCACAAACAGCGCGCGTCTGTAAAACTCTGCAATTAGTTGCTTCACTCGGATCTTTCTTCGTGCTCGCTGCAATGCGGATAGTTGTTTGCGTTTTTGCAACGTTGCAAACTCCCGCACTGTGTACACTTTGCTTCTACTCTGCGGAAGCACCTTTATGCATCCTGACGTGAGTCGTCGCCTTAGTAGGACGATGGCTCGGAATATCAGCAGATTTTGGTCGAGCGCCTGCCGCAACTGTTTCCGTTGCTGCTGCTTCCACTGCTTGATGCGACGACTGAGGAATCTGTGAACGGTTACGTAGTGCTTCACGGCATTCCACAACGCGATTCGTCGCTTTACCTTTTCCCGCTCTCGCAGAATCCACTTTTTCAGTGCACGGCACATGGTGGGGTAGAGTCGGAATGCGATGTCCTGGTTCCTCCTGCACGCGATGCGACGCCGGGCGTTTCGCAAAAGCCTCACGATGACGCGACCTACACGCCACGTCTTGCGAAGTTTTTCGATGGCTGCAGCAACCCGTTGATCGCGAAGCGTTTTTTTGGCGCGCGAAGCCCACCGGTTCAGTCGGTAGTAGTTGACGGCGCAGATTTTCAGCATTTTCAGGTTCCTTTCCTTTTTCGCTCCGGCCAAAAATTTGGGAAGGTACAAACACACAGCCACGGCTTGGAAACAGCGTCGTCGCTTCTTTTGCAGGATGACTTTCTTGAGGCGCTTCAACACTTCCGGCGGGATCGCGTCGCCGCTATCAGTCAGTTGGTCGAGGACGGCCAAGCAACCACTTTTCAAAAACAGTCGGCTGGCTCCGATCACGTAATCTGATTTCGGGACTTCGAAAGCTAACATCAGCGCACCAAGGAACGTTCGCGGCTGCTCGTCCTTGAAATCCGGAAGCTTGGACTGGTACCGCTCTACCAGGTAGTCGAAACTGCAGCGGTTGGGATAGCCCTCGTGCATGATTTTCACCAAGTCAATCCCACCTGATTGCCGCATTTGATCCAAAATCACTCCTCCCTCCCACAGGCTCGCTTTCTGGCTCAAATTTGGTTTGAAGCAGCGAATGTAGTGCAAAGAACAGGCGTCGAGCGTGGACAGCAGCAAGTCGAGGTCGGCCAGGTATTTGCGCCCAACGCTTGTCGCAGCGGATTGTGCTTCGCCGTGGAGCCGCGCGACGAGCTTGTGGTCACTGCAGGAAATCAACATTTCTGCTTCTGTCGATAGCGCCGCGTTATTCTTTTCGAGCCATCCCTCTGTTGAGTAGTTCACTTCTCCGGCGTAGTGTCTCACCACGAGGGTCAAATTGGCATCTGATTTTGATGGTAAAGGTATGAATATACTCCATGCATGGCGTCGCTACGATGTACCATCTAGCTGTACCATCTAGCACTCAGCCATTGCAAAAATAAAGCAAGATTTGCTCGTGTTGATGTATATTCATTTTAAAAGCATCCGTACCATAGTCCTGGTTCTTCTTTGCGCCTCCGCGCTTCAGTCTACACATGTGTGCGCCAAACTTCTTATGGACATCCGCCGTAAAGCGCTCGTCAGTGGTTCGCACATTCTTCGCGAGCAGTATGGAACAAAGAAACAAATGCTTGCTGAGGATTGAAAAATCATTTTGGGGACTTTCTGATGCAAGTCAAAATCTTTTTGGCCGCAAGAAAGAACGATCTCTCGAGTGAGTATTTGAAATTGTTTGACGCGTTCCCTGCCAGGGGAAGGGTTGCTCTTGTACTTGTTTCCTTCTGCGTCCTTCCTTACATATCGCACAGCTTTTATTGATACGCAAGCACTTGTTTTCTAAGTCGTAGTCATGCGCCCGTGCTCGTGTAGCGTGTTGAGCGTGTTCCCAATCGCGTCCAAGAGTGGCTCTGTCAAGAGTATTCAAATTCATTTACATTGTGTTGCTTAAAAAGAACAATCTTTATCTTGGTATGCATCGATCTGCAAGAAAATATGGATGTGTCAGGATCGAAATCGACAAAATCGAAAAACTTGTGATGCATAAAATGTAGGGCATTGAAGGCCTGTATTGGAGAGCAGGCAAATGAGGCCGATTGTAAGCCTGTTTAGGGGTATGCAATCTGCTGCCAGAGTAGCATGACAGCGGCAGTCTTCTTTGTCCAAACAGCATGACAGACTGGAGCTGGGCGCTCCCGAGCTTTGTCATGCGCCACTTGGAAACTGAGGCTCCAACTGACATCGATTTTGTGCATCACAAATTTTTCGATTTTGTGAATTTCGGTTCTGACACTTCCATAGAAAAAGAAAATTGTGCAAAAATATAAGAGATACAGCCGCATACGACAAATAATACCACTTGACTCGACTTGTAGTGAAATTGCGGGAAGGCCTTCTTTGCGGTACATCTCCTGCTCTGCCAATATCACTTTGTCACAGAAAAACTCCTGTAGTCGCTCGTTCGCCAGGTTGATGCACAGCTGTTCGAAGGAATTGAGTTTCAATTGTTCGAAGCCGTAAATGTCCAAGATTCCTATGTATCTGACGCCGACTAGATTCGGCTAAGTTCTGGGTTTGACCCGCCACGAGGAGGGAGCTGTTGATCTGCGCCACAATGTGCTCGAAGAGGCGTTTGTACAGCATTTTCACCAAGGCTTCCTGTGCATTCTTCGCTTGTGCTGGTGTCCGGTCAGTTTTGAAAACGGAATCACGGCCCTGGTTGTTTCGTTTGGGCCGGATCAGTGTCTTCTTGCACAAGGACTCGCAGAGAGAGTTCACCGACATGCCGAGCAGACGCGCAGCTTCAGCAACGTGGGGCGATTCTACTACTTGGATACCCTGTCCACTCGCCGCATCCTCAAAATCCAGTTCAAACAGGTGGATCAGCCCACCGAGCGTCTCGAGCACCTCTTCGATTTGTTCCGGGGAGAAGTTCATAACTTTCAATCCGGTGCAGAACGCTGTAAAGTTCGTCGCTTCTTCCGCCCCCCGGAGTGGAGTGGATTTCTGCGTCACCTGATCTCTTCCATAGAGAAGTGCGTATTTCGAGTTTTTCTGCAAGCCAAGTTTCGTCAGCTGCTCGGCGGAAGCTCCGCATAGTATTTCGTACCAAATATGGTACCTTTGTGATTTTCGTTAATTTATTAAATCAAACTTTATACCATGCTACACCAGGTGATTCTACTAGTACTCACTGTGAAAGAAAATGTCAATGCTGCAATACCAGGACACTCAGAAAGAAAAAAAAATAGGAAAGAATTATAATCCGAACACTATTCGTCAAGAAATCAGAACAGAATGAGTCTCTACGTCCGTTCCCCAGCTCCAAATTTTGAAACGCGACTGCTCTCGAGCAAGTAGGTGCGGATCTCGCCTCCCACGATGTCGCCTCTCGCGTTGAACATCAGCATGCTGAATTTCCCAAAGCGGCTCGAGTTGTGGTTGCGGACCGTCGTCGCATTCCCCAGTGATTCGAGGATCGGTGTCGCACAGCGGAGGATCATATTATCTACCGAAGCTGCCGCTGCGCCGTTTTCTGCGACCTTGGCTCGCGTACGCGATTGCTGTATTAGATACGCCATCACGACCTTCGCATTTTCTGTTTTTCCCGCACCAGACTCCCCAGAAATCACAATGGCCTGGTGTGTTCGTCCATGAACGAGTTTGCGCCGGGCGATTTCCGCCAACGCAAATGCGTGTGGCGGTCGGGATTGAAGTGATGCCAGGTTTAGGTAGTCACTTTGCCGCTCATTGCTGTACAAATGGTCGAGCTTCTTGTAGGGATTGATGGAAAATAGCACGCTTGCGGTGTAGGTGTAAATCTCATCTTGGAAATACCTGAATGTGATGATTAATTTTGGTTGAAAATCAAAATAGAGTTGAAGGATATAAATCCATTCCCTTGATGCTGTGTCATCCATCTAGCGATTCAGTGCAGAGCGACGTAGTGGCAGCCTCACCACTTAGCAAAGTACTAGGCTAGAATAAAAACGGAAAAGACAATTACCGCAGACGGCAGTTTTCTAAAATTCCAGCGTCGCTAAACGAAGCGACGCTTGCGCAATCCTCGAAGTGAGACTCTTCATTCTTGTCGCTGCGACCGCGCAAAGCAGCCTCATTCGCAAACACCCTTGTCTCGATGTAGGCCTTGCTCGAACGACTAGATGCCAGCGACTTTCCACGCAACAGTTTGCTGGCACCTTTCTGCTGACTTTTGGACAAGATGCCCACTTCGTAACTGTCGCCTGCCGATCGAGTAGCGTAGTTTACGATTTCACCGGGTACAAAGCCGTCCACTGGATCTTCCACCCAAACCGTCACGGGGAGTTTATCATCCCGCTTATCGTCCTCTGCCGACATAATTTTTCCTCGTCCTTTGTTTAAATTTTACAGTAGTTCGCGTTCAAATTTATTAAGCTCTCTACAGTTTTTTTACAGGTTACAATTTTATATTTAGTTTTAGTTCAATTAAGAAAAGAGGCTGCTGGTACTGGTGAAGCTCACGATGCTTATGCTTTTGACACAAAATACCGACACATGGTAGATCATATATAGAAAGTAAGTAAAATCCCAAAGGGAAGTTTGAATAGAGCACAGTAGCAGGGCTTTTGATTTGCTTGCTATCTTGGTTCCCGAAACCGATAAAACCTCGATCACACGAGTCATGCAACGACACCCAAACGATCACGAATTCCGCAGTCTTTCTGTCGTGTACTCGAACTTTCCCACGATCATACGCTCATCAAAAGGCAACGACTCGACGATACACGACCAGCACCACGACAGACCACAAGGAACGTGGAAAGAATTTCTTTTTTACGAGACTCGAAGACACGTATACGCCTTGATTTGCTGGGCGGAAAAGATAGAGTAGAACCTGACCCCTTAAGTATGTAGGCACGATTGAAACTTTCTGTGCTGAATACGATCGACTCAACTGTCTTGGTTTTTGTTTCAGGAACAAAATAATTAGATGAACACGAAGCAACTAATATCGTGCTAACTGGTGGCTGTTTACATGGTATCTTTCTACTACGTATGTATGCACGAAAATTGAAATCGATATCGAAATTAAATTTGTTCATGTGCACTGAATTATCGACAGTTGTTCATCTGCAAGCAACTGCTGTTCGAGAATAACACACATCTGCTGCTCGAAAACGCCGGGAAAAGAGGGCTCTGGCAGGCAAAAAGTCGGGCAGGAGAGGAGTCTGGGCTCTCCCTTTTTGATTTTCTGGGCGGCCACCAGCACAAAGACGCGCGGCCGCTGCTTTTCTTTCTCCGGGTTACGAACTCGCTTGGCCTCATCTTCCTCCAGCGGATTTACTGCGACGCGGCGATCCTGAAAGGAAATCTTCCGCAGGGGAGCGCGTGCAAAGCAATCAACATCAAAGAAATCAATTTTATTACAAATCTGCCTTGCGCTGAAGTACGCGAAGGTGAGCTACTCCTACTCCTACTCGTGATGAAAAAAATAAAAATCATGTCTCACTCGACTCTACTTGTCAGAGAAGTCGATGAATCTCTCTCACACGCCTTAACCTTATTTTTGATTTTATGTATACATAAGAACCGCTCCACGCGGCGCACCACCCAGGCGCGGCTTACACTGTAGTCGAGGTCGTCGGCGTCGGGGCCGACAGTTTACAACTTTTTCGTTAGATGAGACGAACCACACAGACAACTCCGATGCGCAGAGCAGAAATCTGACTGCAGGAGCGCCCTTGCTTGCACAGACTCCTACTACGAACGAAGAAACTATCACACAACCTGGCCGCCCCGCAGTCGGAGATAAAAACAGCAGGGAGGAAGCAAGCGCTTCGTCACAATCCGGCAGCGGCCATGCACGGACAAAGCGGACATACGCGCGCCACGATGGGCCTGCCAAGCAGCCAACCTGCCGAGGGAGGGCAGGAGAAATACCACCAAGCGCCGGCGACGCAGGGCCATGGATGGGGCTGAAGGGTAAACATGCCACCGGGCGGGCGCGCTGAAAGCCGGGCGCTGCGACCAAGGCGCCGCGGGGGCCCTGCACAACGTCGCCGCCGTTCCCGCTACGTGCTGGAAAGCGTGCGCCTGCCGGGAGGCAACCGGGCCCGCCTGCGCTGCCGGCCAAGGCCCTCCCCGGCAAGCCCAGGATCAGGAAGGCGGGCGCGATCGGGGCGCAGGCCGGAAAAGCCGCCCCCGCCGCTGGCTGCCCCGGCAACATGGAAGCGCGCACAAAGGTAGGAAGAAGCTGCGGGCGACGGGGCTTCGCGCAAGTAAGTTGTCCAATATGCCGGCATCGCTCGCAACGAGCGCATGAATGCACAGTCGCGAACGTTTTTCTGCCTTTTCGCAGTCAGCCAGCGCGACCACCATCCACCGCCCTCGACGAAGGCAGCGCCGGACGAGTCCACACCGCCCGGAATCTTTACACAATCCAACTTCCGCAAATGAAACCTGCTGCGGGTAGTCGTCCGCGCCAACCATGATTTAAGTAGTACAGAAGCTCTCCAGCTCAGGCAAAAAACACAAGCCCGAATCGAAGAAGTAGAAGACTATCTACAAGCGGCAGCTAAGCCATGTAGTGGCCGCTCTTGGTCTACTTTTTTTTTGGGTTTGGTGGTCTAGAAAACGGAAAGAAGAGTTGCGCTCGTATTAATTCGGATAAAACGCAAAGAGCGCTTTTCGCGATTCTGTAGCTGCCACACGCTCGAAATGCAACAAGACACTCAGATTTGACTCTCACACTCCGACACCCTCGCAACATCAGTTGGTCTTCGAGGCCGACAGTTGTTGATCCGCTCGGTGTCGGTAGATGAAACAAAGCACTTGTCATATGGACACGGACAACTCACTACTGACGTCACCATCTAGAACAAGAACCCAAATTGCATTTCCAGCATCGCGCCACTTGCCATTCAGGATCAGGCGGATGCAGGGTTCTTGCAGACGAAGAAGGACACTTCTCACTACGGGGACACCCAGAGTCACACATCAGAGGACTCATGACAACTCACACTCAGACGTCACAGAACAGTTTTACCAACTTTTCCGTACATGAAACGGCACGGGCAGCTCCGCGGCGCAGAACAAGAACCTGAACCCGGCAACAGTATTGCTTCCCGGAGATGAAGAAAGGCACGAAAGCAATAGCAAACGCAAGAAGTTTTCTATAATTACAACCATAACGGGGGGTCTGTGCTAAACTTTCAGAACCTTTCAAAAACTTTTCGAAAACTTTGAATTTCCCGCCGGCCTGCTCGTCAAAGAAGCTGCCGCGCAACTTCGTGGCCAATGACTGCACGGCCAACACGAGATCGAGCCCCAGCATGCCATCGCGGTTCCAGTGTGACCGATGGGGTCCCGCGCTTTTCGTGGGTGCCCAGTTTGCGCACTCCGCCACAGTGAAAAACGCCCGCACCTGAGAAGGTTGAGGCAGCGCCGAGCTTGGTGGCTCAGCCTGCAACACCGGCGGGCTTCGTGGTCAAGGCAAAAGACCGAAAAGTTTTGCTTTCTGTTCGTAGTATCAAAGAGGGAGACCAAACATCAAAAAACCCAAAAGCTTGACTCAACGAACCCCCTCCATCGCAAAAGTGCCGGCATTGGCGAAACATAACAAAAAACACCACCAACATAATTAACAGCGGCGCTGGAACAGTGCTGATTTTGGCACGGTGGTATGGCGGAGGCCAAAAAATGCAAGCTCCCACTGTGCTACCTCGGTGAGCCCGAAACGAACCCGAAAAAACTTTTTATCTGGCCGCCCTTCCCGAAGCTTCCCGCTGCTGATTCTGCTTGAATCCGGCACCGTTTTGGTGCCCCAAGTGAAAGCTTTTGAAAAGTTTTCCAACAGTTTTGTTTCCCAGAATCAGCTCGGGAGTTTTTTTTTGAAGGTCAGGAAAGTGGCGCCATGCTGTCGGTTTCTTCTGGTTTTACAGATACAGCGAAAAAGCGCAAAGCAAACTTTTTGAAGTGGGCGCACAGGTCGCGCGTTGCCTCAGAATTTGAGCAAAAGTCGAGAGCTCGCGCTTTTTACCCTACGCCGCGCCGCCGTGCATAGATAATGCTACCGCCAGCGGTATTCTTCGCATGTAAAACACACAGCAGCCCACCCCGGCCCCGGGTCCAAACCTATCACGAAATCAGGCCGAGAAAAAAGCGTAGTGATGCCCCATCGTCCAACATCGCGCTCCGACTCCAACTCATCCAGAGTCCAGTACTCAGCTCAGCTTCTAGCTTTTCCTTCATCGCCCAAGCTACTTTTAGTACCAAAAAACCCAAAAGCTTGACCCAGACGCAAAAGTGCCGGCATTGACAAAAAATAACAAAAAAACACCACCAGCATACCATCGGCGCTGGAGCAGTGCTGACTTTGGCACGGTGGTACGGCGGAGGCCAAAAAGTGCGACTTTTTTCCTGTGCTATTTCGGTGAGCCCGAAATGAGCCCGAAAAAAACCCGAAAAAACTTTTTTTCTGGCCTCCCTTCTCGAAGCTCCCCGCGGCGGATTCTGCTTGAAACCGGCACGGTTTTGGTGCCCCAAATGAAAGTTTTTAAAAAGTTTTTTAAAAGTTTTTTTTTTCGGAAATTAGCTCGGGATTCGTTTTCTTGAGGGCCAGAAAAGCGGCATACTGCCATCGGTTTTGGTTTTTCGCATATAGTGCAAAAGTGCAAAAAAAAAACTTTTCAAAATGGACGCACAGCCCGCGCTTTGCCTCAGAATTCGAGCAGAAGTTGGAAAAACGCGTTTTTTTGCCTACGCGGTGCCGCCGTGGATAAAGTTACCACCCACGTTATTCGCCGCATGCAAAATACCCAACTTTTCGCCCCGGCTCCGGGGTCAAAATCTATCACGAAACAGGATGGAACGCCATTCAAGCGCGTAATAAATTGAAAATCTGCCGAGAGGATTCCGCCCGCGATTCACGTGTGACCGAAGGCAGCGCGCGCGCCTTTTATCGGTCAACGTATATGACCACGAAACACGACGGCACGGCGCCGCAAAGACTAACAAACCTGAGCCGTGAGCTTTGCCTATTTCGCAGGCAGTGCCACCCTGCTTCGTGTCTGTCGCGCTTCTTTTGTACTTTTTGAAGACTCAACAGTCTCGCTCCTTTCTGGCAGCGTGCCGCCGTGCCTGGGGTCAGAACAGGCGCCAAAAAGGCAACAGAAGTCAGAGTTTGCTTCTTCGGCTGCGCCACTTTTTCTTGTGCAAATTACAAACGTACGCAACGCGGCGCAGGGGCGCACCCCCTGGATCTCTCCAGACACGCTTCTCAAGGCCGGCGCGCTGCGCCTGAGAACCGAGGCCCTAGGCCCTAAGCCCCAAACCCTAAACCCAAGCCCTGCGAAAAGGAGGAGGGCCAAGCCCTAAACTACCCTAGACCCTGCCAGGCGAAAAGGAGGAGGGCAGGCCCCATGGCCACCCGAGTGCGCTTGTCCCTCGGTCAAATAAACAGCACGGCCACCCGAGTGCGTTTGCCCCTAGGCGAAACGCGAAGGGGTGGATCGAAGCCTTGTCATGCGTGACTACATATATCAATGACGCGGCCCTGTTTGGGCGGCACGCTGTTCAAACGCGCAAGAGATTACAAGTCTGCGGAGAGTATTCCGCCCGTGGTTCACGTGTGACCGACGGCAGCGCGCGCGCCTTTTAGCGGTCAGCATATATGACCACGAAACACGACGGCACGCCGCCAAAAAAGGGCGTCGGACCTTGGTGGTTTCGCGTCATCGCTTTTCTCTGTTTTCAAAAGTTTTCAAAAAGTTTTCAAAAAGTTCTGAAGCCGATGAGTAGACCCCCCGTTATGGTTGTAATATAAGTAAATCATCCGGCTGCGGCCTTGCACGGGAACAAAAGGTAGACACATCCGCGCCGCATTGGGTCTGCCAGCCAACCAAGGAAGGGCTGGCGCCCCACCAGACGGACCTCCAAGCGCCACCGGCGCACGGGCATGGGGCTGGCAGATGCACATGTCACTGAGCGGGCGGGCCCAGGGGGTTACGGCCCGGCCAACGCCCTACGGAGCGCCACCGCCGCTGCTGGGGCGGGGGGCGCTCTGGGAAGCGGGCGGGCCCACAACGGCGCCCCCCGGGCATCCTCGCGCGCCAGCCCTCCTCGGCGGGCCGGGATGGCGGGCGCGGCGGGCCCATGACATTAGGCCGCGGGGTGGGGCGGCCTTTGTCATGGTCTGAGCTGTTTAAGCAAGGGGCTGCGAGTAGGTGACTCCCGGCGTAGCGCTTCACGCGATGCACACCTCTCACCAGGCTGGTTCCTTCTTCCGCGTCCGCGCATCAATTCAAAGCCGCGCAGCGACGCTATGGCAGCCCGCTTCGAACCCCCATGGGACCCCGACCAAGATTATCTTCGCGCAAGACTCGGGGTAGTGGTCCGCGCCACCCAGCATGATTTAGCACAGATTCAGAAATTCTCCAGCTCAGACAAAAAATAGCCCGAATCGATGAAGAAGTAGAAGACTATCTACGAGCGGCAGCTAAAAAGCCATTTAGTGGCCACTCGTGGTCTATAGTACTTGTTTTCGGGTTTGGAAAACGAAAAATAGAGTTGCGCTGGTATGAATTCCAATAAACGCGAAGAGCGCTTTTCGCGATTCTGTACCTGTCACACGCTCGAAATGCACCAAAACACTCAGATTTGACTCTCACACTCCGGCACCCTCGCAACATCACCATCAGTTGGTCTTCGAGGCCGACAGTTCTTGATCCGCTCGGTGTGGGTAGATGAAACAAAGTATATGGACACGTTCGACGCAGTACTACGTACGTCACTGTGAAGAACACGGACCCAAATTGCAGCATTGCACTAGTACTTGTCACGCGCCGCGCGGTTTTCTTCGACATTGCATTTGCACTCCCGAAGTGTGGACCACATCATTGCTAGACAATTACTTTCTTTTCCATTTCCAGTGATAAGTATCTTCATTCTTTGGAACAAAGTTGTTCTTGCGCTGGGGTTTCGTTTTGCATGTGCTAGTTCTTCTGTATTTTCAAACAGTCGTACATATTCTGTCTGCTTCTCCGTTCGCTAAATGAAATAACCACTCAATTTAGAGTAGAGCAGCATGATCTACCATTTTTTCCATGGTTTGGTGAAGTGTTCTCTAAAAATCGCAGGTCAGTCGTGAAAAGGATTTTGATTTGTATTTGAAAAAGTAGTCATTGGTATAATTTATCAGATTTGGCAGGTTCTTCACAATGAGGAGATGGATGAGCTTTATTCTCAGGAGGTGTCTATCGATGCAAGAGCTCATCGTGGCGCAGCCTCGTAACGCTAACGCACCAAGCATGTCCTTGAATTGTTGTTGTTCATTTACATTTTTTTGTTTCATTTATCATTTAGCTGTCGCAAGAATGCCCAGCAACGAGTACTTATCCATCCGACCAGACCACTGATAGACAGACCGTACAACTGGAAGAACGATGCGGCTATCGCAGGAACGAGCCTACGAACGAGATGGTGCTCCATCAGCGCGTCCTGGTGTCCAACCAAGTTTTTTTTTCACAGTTCTTTCACCGTGCAGGAACTTTGGTTGTATCTATGTCTCTCAGTATCATCTACATCTTCTCCGTGAACAACAAGGTCGTCCCTCACACCGACACCTCCACCTGTGCCAGACTGCGGTGCCCGCGCGCGTTTCTCGGAATGGCCTTGGCCTTCGGTTGTGGACTGTGGGACCGGCTTCGCTGGTTCTTCGGCGTGCTCGAGGCGGAACCGCTGGACGAGCTACTACTGGCGGATGACGTCCCTTGTTGACTCTGGTACTCCTTCACCGGACTGCTTATGCAGAAATGCAAATGGTGCGACACCAATACGGTTTGTGGCCAGGGAATCGTAAAAATCGAGTGAGAAAGACCAAGTAAAAGAAGTCAAAATGCAAGGAACAATTATGCGCCCCTTCACATGCAGGTAGTTGAGTGATGGAGTCATGATGTGTTTCTTTCTTCACTTGTAAAGTATGTCTACTTGGTGATCATGAACTGGATTTTTTATTCATGTTTTCTAAATCACATCAATAAACGTCTCTTACTTCCCTAACCTCCGGCCTGCGTCGAAAGTTGCATATCGTACTGCTGGACCTGGACCGGCTGGGACTACTCGGCACATCCGGGTGATGCTGCGCAACATATCACGGGTGAAAAAAAAACGTGCTTAAAAATCATCGTAAAGTTGTACTATGCAAATCCAAATTCCTCTTACCAGCTACCCGAGTGCGAGTACTTACCGTACCCGCCCCAGCCCGAACATCACAAACTAACAACGAGAAAACTAACAATCTGTTTCGTCGTACGACTACGTACGCTCCACACATCGTGCAAGAAACGCGCATACATCGTTGAGGGGCGGAATCGAAGGAGCTGCTCTCGCGTACCTACCGTACCTACTTATATATCAATCTATAGATGCCGCGTCGTATTTATGCTGCTTCTGCTTTGTCTTATTCTTCTACCGGGCCGTCTGCCAAGCAGGTAGTTAAGTTGTAGGCGGAATCGCACGGCGGCCGTCTACGCTAGCAATATTTATACGCACGTATATTTTTTCTGCGCGATACGAATGCAGTGGGCTCGATGTCCAGCTCTCCGCGCCGCGGTCGCTGGCTTCTATACCCTGCTCAGGTCTTGCCATCTCGATACTAGATTGCGAAACAATCATCTTGTGTTGCATCAAGGACGACATCGTGGCAGAACTTGTATTATGCGAAGGATATACTGCGGAACGAGGAGCCGCAGTGCCTGTCTGTGTCTGTTCGTTGCAATACAAATTCATTTACATTTTCACGCGCAGCTATACAAATTATTGTATCAGCAGTTTTTGAGACTGTCAACATGCCTGAGCAAGCCATATTCTCCCAGAACGGATTCCTCGGAAGAGGCAGTGCCAGCAGCTGGGGGCAGAGCAAAAGGCGATAGCTATGGTATGGAAAAACTTCTACACGACCCAATAGCCAATTTTTACTAGGACTCCGACAATCCACAACGCACCAGGTCACTCTCCCTTCAACTGGTTCCTTTGCGCATCACAAACTCAGGATCTTCTCTGTGGGGCGTTCAGATGTAGATGTAGATACACATAAAGTAAGACTAGAGTTATATAATGTTGACACGAACCTGGCTGGTCGTGTGAGAGGATGTGTTTTTCTTTTACACCGGATAACATAATATCCTCATCTTCAGCTTCCTCCATTCGCACGTCCCCGTCAAGGTCCCGCAAAACGGTAGTATCAACATTATTACCCCGGGAACGCAGCAAGAACGGCGCAGCCCTCGTCACTGCGGCCACATCTTCACGATGTGTCGTTGCTTCATCCCGACGTCTCTGCTCGTCCTGTATGAACTGCAAAAGTATCGTGTAAGTATCACGCATTGACTCAGCATTACAAATTCAATTTGTAATGCGGTTCTGCCTTAAGAAAAAGATTTGTAATGCGTAAACGCAAATCGTACGAGTACGATACTTTTGCACTGCATATCCTGTAAATCCGCTATGAAGTCTTCCACGTGCTGTGAGTCCATCGGCTGCGTTGCATCTTCGTCCTCCTGCTGCCCGACAGAAAAATCATGATCTCCGCCGGCAGTCGATAGGTGGTGATCGGACAACGGCGCCGGGGGCGGCATGATGTTGATCTCCACGTCTCCCTGCTCGCCGTCCTCCGCACTTTCAGGCCAAAATTCGTGCCACAGCGAAGCGTCGGGGTCGTGTTGGTGTGCATCAGGATTGTTCGCCGTCCCTGGTGAGGCAGTGGTAGAACCGGAGATGGTGGAACTTATCCTGTGCAAAAGTATCGCACTCGTATAAATGCAAGTCTTGCATTACAAATCTTGTTCCTAAGGCAAATCTACATTACAAATTTCATTTCTCATGCTGAGAAAATTTGTAATGCATTTATACGAGTACGATACTTTTGCAATGCATAGAACTGGTAGTGCTACTGTGTGGCTGCTGGTCCACGCCTGGTTGATGAGGATGTTCCCCTTGCCCCGTCGTGATGATCCGTCCTTGGGCGTCCCTGGGGCGGGCGGGAATCACTTGCGGCTGTTGCTGTCCAGCTGGGGGATGTTGATGTGACAGGGAAGAAAAACAAGTGTCAGTCTACTGTATGTTCTATTTATATGTTCTCAGTCGTACTTGTTCTTCGGACGCTCATTCTAAAAATCTTCGAGTCATGCTCGTGCATCAGATTCTGAATCAGTAGATACAGATAGACATCGAACAAGCAAGTTTTCCTGTATGAAAATCGCAGCACAGACACCCATTTATTTCCACTGTCGTAAACGTTCTTGTTGTTGCTCCGGTCCGATGCGGCGCCGTTCTTGTTCGCGCTCCTGCTGCATATCGCATGAATAAACTGTTTCACTGTGAACTTGTGATGCAGAAAATGGAACAATGAACAATGAAAATGGAGCACAGAGCTATTTGGTTTGCTACACCTGCAAGATACTGGATTTTCAAACGTGTTTTACCTTGGGAAGCGCGCATGACAAATTGTTAGTGTCGCGTGTATAAAAACATGTAATGCAGATCTTGAAAAATCATCGCAGTGAAACAGATTTTTCGTGGGATACTGCAGCTGCCGATTGTATTCTTCCTCTTCATCTGATTCTCCACCATACTGGGCAGCCTCGATTCGGCATCACGGTGAAAAGGAGGTAGCACGTCCTATTCCTAAGTAACACTCACATTTCTTTTTTGAGATGCATTTGCATTGCAAACTGAAAATCGCAGGGAATAACTCTGTTGAACTAAGTAAGCCTCAGCGGGTTGAAGATGCTGCATCAAAATGCAATGAAATGTAACATGCGCAACATCTCCAGAGATGTCCCTTTCTCTTTTTCCATTCCCTCGCCGACATTTGGAAATGCATTGCATGAATTGCAATACCAAAATGTGGTCCGGTCGAAGCCGTATGCTAGCCTTCTTGTTCGTCGTATCAGCCAGTCAATGCGCTGGTTCTTTTCTTTTTTCTGCTTGTTGGTTTTTGTTGGCATGTTGTAGATGCGGTCCAGCTCTTTTCGGAAGCGAGCCTCGCGGTCACGGAACCCAAACATCTCCTGAAAATGATTTATGTTTATTTTTGCATTCAATCATTTAGTCGTACATAGTCTTCGTTCTTCTATTATCGGTTACACTTACCCAGCACTATAAGTACAACATATTCAAACTCTTTCACTCGCTCCTATGGCCGCCCTACTGCTGCTAAGCGTGGAGAGCAGGATGTCTGTGGTCCAAAAGCAGACGCAAACTCTATTTGAAGTGCAAGTCCACCATAAGGAAAGTTTCGTACCGCGATGACACCCAGGCCAATATCCTGGTCAAGTCGCTCCGGAAGCTGCATGACCTCCACCAAGTAGCTCTTGATCGGGTATGAAACGGAAAGAAAACTGCGTGCTAGCAAAACTTCAGCGAGCAAGACAAGACGAGCAGTACAACTGAATCATACCCAAAGAAAATCGTGCCAAAACAAAAAGTAACTACATTCGTACAACCCCCGCTCAACATTCGGAGCATGATATGAAAGTTCTATTCTTCTTCAAAGCACACGAATAACTCTTCTTCGCAGACTTCCTTCATCTGGCCGCTTGTTCAAGTACTTACACACCGCAGTAGTTTTCCTTTTTCGTATCCGTTCGGGCCACTGGACGATCATATCTTCCGCTTTCATGGCCATGGGCTCGTCAAAGGACTGTAATTTGCGGCGATCGATCTCCGTGAGTTCCGCCGTGCCCTCTTCCGGATACTGCAGCTTTTGCACGTAAACGTTGCGCAGGTGCTTATGCACGTAATCCACTAACTGATCCGCATCCGGCTCGTCGATGTACTATGACAGTGCACAACCTCCCCTCCCCGACTCATTTTGTACACTTCTATTTCATGAACCGCAATACAAATACCCGCACATGTGGAGCCTGTGCATGACAAAATCATGATGCGCGTCATGTAGTACTGTTTGGGCTTCCGGAATCTGTCATGCAAACAGTGCCACGAGGCAGTTGCAGCGCTGGTTCGGATTTCGTTTTCGATTTGGTTTTTTGCAATACAAATAAGGGGACGAGGGGGGAGTTGTGCGCTCCGATACACACTCCTGCTCCTCTACGAGCTCTTCCTGAGTCGGATCACTGTGGTCGTCGGAGAAATAAAAGAGCATGAAAATTCTGCCGATATTACAAGCGTTTTCTCGATTGATGAAGAAGCAACGCGCCGCACTAGTACAGTACATACGCATCGTGCCTAAAAAACTGCTCGAAGATTCCCAACTTGAAGATCGGTTTTACTCGGAAAAACTAAAGGTCGTGATCGGTAAAAAAAACTCAAGAGCGACAGCCCCAACGCAGTGAAAAATACCTGATCAAGAAGCAGTCCCCGCTGGAAGCCGTGGCACTGCAGGTCGAGCCGGTAGAACTGCTGCTCAGCGTCCGTTTGCGCCGACCCGTGGAGGAACCTGTTCCGTCCGTGCCCGTCTCGTCTTCGCAGTTGGATGCTGTTCCACTGCCCTTGCTAGTACCGCAGGTCGTATGAAATGCAAAAATGTCTGGGTCTGGAAGAGTCGGGACCGGACTTGTCACGCACATTTTGCATGACCCGTCAGGTCTGTGATGCTGGTGCTAGCATGACAGATTTTTTGAGAGCTTCTCGATGCTAGAACGCATGAGAAAAAAAGTGCTGCTCACTCTCCGCGTGCCAAGAACTGACTCCTCTTGCTGCTTATGCAACACAGATATTTTTAGAATCCGGAGACAGCATTAGAAAGTTGCATTCTTCCAGACCTAGACATTTTTGCACTTGATAGGACGTGCCGAAGAGCAGCGAGCGCACGCCCTCGTCGCAACACGACATCAGTATCAAAAGAAAAAAGTTCGTCACGATCACTCATGGGCATTTTTGCAATACAAAATTGTTTGTCATCCGTAAAAATGCATCACAGCCTAACTTTATTAGGGATTTCCCTAGTGTTTCTGCAATACAAGGAAAGTCTGCGACGCTGAAAAAATTTGTAATGCAAAGCCTGCAAGTTAGTGACTGTGACAAACTTTTTTCTCTCCATAATCAGGCCGCTAGTTGTACTGGAAGTCTTGCCGGTCAAGCGGCGACTCTTGCGGGAATTGGACGACGAGCCACCTTGTTGTTGCGATCCGGATTCTTGCGAGGAGGGGAAGTTATCTTCGAGGTCCTGCTCTCCTGACATTTCCGCCGTGGTCCCGCCCCGCTGGCCTGCTCTACTGCCCTTGGACGACCGAAACGGGCGGAGCGCCGTGTTGGAGACTTGATGTTTCTTGGAGGGATTGTAGGGGAGGTCTGCAGCAGCGCGAGCCGCGGTGCTGTTTTTCGGCGAGGCGTTGCTTGAAGTGTGGTTGTTGTAGGAACCACTGCCACGAGGACCCCCGCCGCTGCGCGAGGGAAGATGCTGTAAGTTGTGACCTCGATCTTCTTCCTGCGGCAGTTTCACGCGCCGCAGCTTGGCCGCGCTCTTCGACCACGCCAGAATCTGACTCTTTTCGGAACCAACTGTGCTACTTCTTGCAGGTCCGGCCTCCTGTATCGCTTTAATATTTGCGGCCGCAGCGGCTTCCGCTGCGAGTTGGGCTAGCCGCCGCCTTTCCGCCAACTGCCGGGCTCGCTCTGCTCTCCGCTCGGCTCGCTTCTCGCGCTCCTTGTCCACCTCTTCCTCCAACATTTTGCGCACCTTGTCCTCGAGATCGTGAAAAAAGAGCCGCGCCCGGAGTGCCACCGTTTGCCGGTGCGCTTCGGTGAGCTCGTCGGGTGAAAAGTGATTGCCAAGCCCTTCGGAATCGCTCTCGCGTTGGTGCTTCGCGCACACGTGCGCGGACACATGCTCCACGCGGGGGTCCGTGGTGCCCTTCCAGTCGCACAGAGCGCAAAATTTGTTCATGCAGTGGATGTTCGTGCACGTCAGACTCGCGCACGCCTGCGGAAGCGAGTCTCGGACCTAGAGGACGGGGGATAGGAAAAGTTTCAATGGTACTCGGCGAGATGAGTTCTACGTAAAGGATCAATTTCAATGAAGAACAAGAAGGCAAAAGCATGAATGCATTCTGAAGATCATACACAAAGACAACAACAATCTCCCGCACATCAACTCGGTCGCAATACAACTGTTGTGGTCACCGACACCGAGCAGTGTTTTGAATTTTTTACCCTGTTGGAAACAACAATCAACAAGTTCAAATCGTAGTACTACAGGTAGTACTCTACATCAAGTCGTACTCGTACCTGCAAACACCTCGGGCAGCGGGCTTCCGTCAATCCCACGAGCTGCTCCTCAAACGTGTCCCGAATCCGGTCGGTGACGCACTTCGCCTCAAGCTGCTTTTTCTTGTTTTCCTTCTCCTTCTCCACGGACTCCCGTCCGTCCACAAATTTCTGCAGCACCGTCCCCACCTGCCGTCCCGCGACGCCCGCATTCTCGAGGAACGCGGGGGAAATCTGGAAGCGGCAAAGCTGGTCGAAGGTCTTCCCCTTCGAACCGTGGCCACAGGGGCAAAGAATGGAGCCGAAGAGCTGCGGCTTGGATTTTTTACTCGTAGTTGTACCGGCGTTCACAAGTATTTTGCTCTTCTCACTAATATCGGTCGTTTCTGAAGCATGGCGCGTTTGCGAGCTTGTCCTCCCGGAAGACCTTCTATGCCGCTCACCGACCACGGGTGGAGGGGGAGGGGGCGGCACTACCATTCCGTCGTCCAAGGTCGTGGAACCCGAGCCTTGTAACCCGCCAACTATAACCGCCGGAGCTGTAATCGCCTGGGCGTCCACCACGTGCGTGGCGCAGAGCTCGTCCGCCTTGGCCAGCGTGCACCACCCGTGCGCAATGCAGTCGGTGCAGATCGCGTGGCCCTCGTTGCACACCAGTCCGCTGTATTCGTCTTCCCCCTCCACGAGCTCCGCGTCGACGTCGCAGGCTTTACACGCGAAGCACGTCTTCGTGCCGGAAGATGCGGCCGCCGCAGCCGCTGCGGTCACGGTCGCGGAGGGGCCTCTAGCAGCTGCGGAGGAAGACGAGGACGTGCTTGCTGTGGTCGTGGAGGAGCTACTAGCAGAAGCTGCAGCTCCACGTGGTGCACCGGAAGATGACCCTCCTGGCCGGGCGGCGGAAAGCAGGAGTTTTGTACCGGTAGCTACTTCGAGGAACAAGGCAGTGGACAGAAAGAAGCTGGAAGTTCTCGACGTTGCGAGCTGCACAAAAGAGCTTCGATTTCTGGCCAAGAACCTTCTTCTCGACGTAGATGTGGAACAAGAACTGCCGGAGGTTGAATTATCTCGTCCAGGACCTCCGCAGTAGAGCGTTCTTCTCCTTGATTTGACGTTGCAATTACTTCGCGACGCAGCGGACGCGGTGGCGACGCGGAGAGCCCCATTCGACACATGGACATGATGTTCTTGTGTAGCAGGGTTTAATGGCGCAGTACCTCCATTATTGTGGTTCGTTAATTTGATTTCGTTTTTCTCGAAACCAAGGTGTATAACTTCGGCGCCCATTTTCATGCCGGTTGCTGTGCAACACACAGTGCTGATTTCTTCAGACAATGGTCCGAAAGAAGAGCCGCTGCTTCGTCCCAACTCGATGATGGATTTCGGTATCAAGGACCGCCTGTCCCTTCGGTCGTGGTGTTGGTGGTTGTAATTGTCGTGGTTTCTTTCTTTATTTCGTTTCCATTTCTACCGGGCGCTTTGAATATTTTCGTGTCGCTTATTTTCACAGACGCGGTTAGTACTCTACCGGGTGCGAAGATCAGCGTGTCGCGGTCGGGTGAAAGAATTTCCTCACCGATTCATTGAAATCACTAATGCAGCAAAATTTCTTTTTTGCACAGAGGTTGTATCAAAACAGTGTATCGAAACGCACAGGAAACGCGAGATTATCAACATGCAGCAGTTCGTTGTAGTTGTTTGTACACAGCGGATGCAGGAGCGAAAAACAAATCGAAATCATGGAAAAAGCAGCTAATATTGCAGCGAAGAATTGCAAAGCCAACGGACGCGGCACCTACTAATTTTTTTCCAAAAATAATAGGATCGGACGTTGGTGTATGAGGATAACTTGGCGCAGAACTTGGCCCAGAACTTGTCGCCCAACTCGTGTGTCCCAGAACTTGTCTCAGAACTTGTCTCGGAACTTGTTCAGGAACTTGCCAAGCCGGTTTTCGTGGGCCGGAAAAAAGAAGGGGAAAAAACGGCCGTGCCGTCGTGCTACGGGACAAAAAGGTTGGCCAAAAAAGGGCACGAAATCAAGTTCCTGGCAAGTTCCTGGCAAGTTCTGAGACAAGTTCTGGAACAAGTTCTGAGACAAGTTCTGAGACAAGTTCTGGAACAAGTTCTGGAACAAGTTCTGGAACAAGTTCTGGATCAAGTTCTGGCGCATGAGAGCCGTTGCCGGCTTTCTTGGGTAATAGAGCCCCAGGACGCAACCACGGCGCCTCATCTACAACCGCCCAAACCGAGCTGGGCAGCTGGAAGCTACCCTACTCCGGTGGCCCTCTGGCACGCCTGTGAAGTCGTTAGCCACCCTGTCCGGCCTTCACTCCCGGGCCTAGCACACTGCGCCCGAAGCTGCGAAAACGACCAAACGTCGCATCTCCGTCGTGGCTAACTTTACTCACGATGGCTCCATCGGCAGTCCAAAAGCAGGACTCTGTACCCTGGTTAGGCCGGCAAGCAACAAGGCAAACAAGCAGAGCGCCATCGTGTAACGTACGTTACACGATGGCGCTGCAGCAACTTCTTTGCGAAGTGCATGTGGCCAACGAAATGCCGAGGAAACCAAAGGCGCAAGCGGACGGCCCCGGCAGCCTGCCTTCAAGACTTGGCGCTGGCAACTACCGATGAGGAAGGGCGCGCGGCGCGGACACACAGCGACCCCTCCGGCGCAAAATGGCGCGCCGCCTATGTAGCAGTCGCAGGCGTAGCGGGAAGTCTCAACGCGAAAGCCCGCCTCACTTTCGCGGAGAGTGCTGCATCATCGGGATCATCATCATATTTGAAAGACCGCCGGCAGGCTCTAATATTCTAGACAAGAAACACGCGCAGCCGAGTTCTCCGCAAGTTCTGCACGCGTTCGGCAACCCGGACCCTACGACCCCCGCTTTCGGAGTAACTACTAATTTTTTTCCAAAAATAATAGGATCGGACGTTGGTGTATGAGGATCCGGTCAGACGATGGGTGTGACGCGTGGCGCGCAACGAACGAACTCGCACGACCAAATAATCCCACACCCCCTGGCCCGCCCCAACAGCCAAGGGAATTTGCAGTGCTGCCGACCCATTGCACCTACCCAAGTAATCGGCCGTGGGCGACAAGAGCTTGGCGCGCATTCCCTCCGCTGCAACGAAGCTAGCAGGTGGAGCCAACACAGATGCACCACGGGCGCCGCGCGCGCCGCCGTTACAAAACCAAAGTCAAGGATAGCTTAGCTGCGGGCGAGACCTTTCGCAAAAGTTGCGCGCCCCGGGCTGGCGACGCAGGCACGACGGGAATAACACACGCTGCGGGGCTGACGGCTCTGTTGCGGGGCTTCAAGTGGCGCATGAGCATGCGGCGCATCTGCTAGCCACCATCCAGGAAATACCCTACACAGAGACACTGTGCGGGGCCGCGCGGCTAGGGCCTTTTTCCGGGCTAGGCGCGCCCTACCACAGTTACATTGCAGTTGCGCGGGCTCTGGGAGAGCGCAGGCGAAACGCCCGCCATAGCTTCAAAACCCTTGAAAGTGGCTGCTTTTTTACGACTGCCCGCAAGCGCCTTTTGCGATTGATTTTGCGCTCAGTAGCGAACTCCCGATGGTTCCGCAACTGCATTGTGTCCGTGCATAGCACCTACTAATTTTTTTCCAAAAATAATAGGATCGGACGTTGGTGATCCGATCAAAACGACTGGCGCTTCGAACTAAAATCTTTCCCGAGGCGAGGCCAGGCCGAGTCTGTGGCCGGCGATCTCTTGCAGGAGAGACGTTGGTTTTTTTCCAAAAATAATAGGATCGGACGTTGGTGATCCGATCAAAACGACAGCGACATCACTTTTGTGATGCACTAAAAAGAACTGCAAATCATGCCTGTGATCGTGAATCGGATTCGGAATCGCAAGCAAGCGAAGATCACAATTGTATTCCTAATACGCAAGAACCATAGCTATACAAATTATGTGTCACAACTCGTCGATCTAAAAACGACGAGCTATCTGAAACCGGAAATCGAAATTCAAATTGATTCAATTTGAATTTCGATTTCCGGTTTCAGATAGCTCAATTTAATTGAACTTTTCCCTATTTTGATTTCCGGGAAAAGTTCAATTTAATTGAACTTTTCCCTATAGTGTATGGCGAATAGCTAATACATAGATACGGATCACATCATGTATCACTTACTTCTGAAACGGAGCTAAAAAACGCGCAAGAAAAAGTCGCTGCAAAAGTACCACTTCTGGGAATTTTTTGTCAATGAACGTGGTACCAAGGAAAACATAAAATCAGTGCTGCCACGACCTGCCACTGGGGCTACTATCGATTCGGTTTTGGAACACGCTTCTATGTCTAGCTTTGTTCGCAGTAAAAGACGGAGATCTTCTCGTTCGCTTCTCTTCCTCTTGCTCTTCTCGGCATGGAGGTGCCTATGCCTTCATAGAATCCTATCAAATGAGTCAAGCGCGTTCTTTCAGGAGATTTCAAAACAGTGAATTTTTCTCTACTTTGCTGAATGTGTGTGAAACTACATCAACAGCAAGGCAAATTGGACCACGGCTGTAGTCAAGGTAGAAAGATCTTTTGCAAAAATTCTTACAACAAGTGGATGAGTACGAGCAGCGAGCAGGGAGAGGGACTATCTTGGCACATTATAGAACAACAAAACAAAGTTGCTTTATTCTCGATGTTGTAATGGCTTGGATCACAGAAAAGTCAATCTGTCGTCGTAGGAACGCGGAAACATCATCAGCCGAAACTGGAAACTTTACAACCTAGTCGCGCCGCCGCACCACTGTTGCTGCTTGATGAACTCGAGGAGCCTGCATTACTAGCGCAGCGTGCTGGCTTCACGCGGACACGAGGAGTAAGTTTTCGTTTTGTAGAAATCGAATTCGAAACAGAAGTTGTGCGGTACAACATGTCACTAAGAATGTGGCAGAGCCGGTGAGAGGCACAGGTGGACCAAGACCAACACGTGAAGCATCTTCACCCTGTACTAGAGGCGGTCGAGACTGGCAGGATACCACTTCGAACTGGTTCGGGAAAAGTGCGAAGTAGTAGAAGTTCTCACACAATAGCCGGAACATCAGCGGTTCCCTTCCCCTTCAACCTCTGCATCACTTCTGCACACAGAAATATATCATGATCCCCTGCTCCGCCGATCAACGCCTTTATTTTGATGATCTTCACATTCCCGCGTACTGCGGCCCGCCGCCGCCTTCCGGCACGGTCCACCGGATGTATTCGTTCGGGGTTTTGATGCTGCAGTATCCAAGAGAAAAACTGTGTAAGTGTGACTTTTTTGCAGGAAGAGCATCACAGATTTTTTTTGCAGGACAGAAAACCTGTCGTGCGTAGCTAGTACGCGAAAACATGTATTAAAATAGCCTCTGATGCATATCCGGCATGACAAGTGTAACTGTATTGCAACATCTGCAAGACAAAGTTACACTTACACAGATTTTTCTTGCATATGCAGCACTTGCAGTGCACACAGTTCTGCGCGTTGATCTGCAGGCGGAACTTGTTCTCGGCGTCGGCCACGTACTCGTACACTTTGGCAGGGCAGTATGAGAGTGCACAACTCCCCCTCCCCCTCATTTGTTATGCGAAATCCCAAACAACCCACTTGCTGTCTCGTGAGTCTCTTTGCATGACAAATTCTCTAACAAGGCCAAACAGTACTACGCTCGGAGCATGAACTTGTCATGCGCAGGCTCCATGCAAGCTGGTGTTTGTATTGCTATTCATCCAATACAATGACGGGTTAGGGTTCAGGGGGTTGTGCGCTCTCATAGGCAGAACCGCTGCTCGGGACCGTCGTACTCGGGAAGCGAGACCGCCAGCGGATCGGCCGCCTGCTCCTCCTTCACGCGGAGGTGCGCCGGCTGGTCGTGATCGTGCTTGACGCCGGATCTGGTCAGGTTCTCAAGCAGGTCGAAAGAAAGTTTGCCGTCGGGCTTCGGGTACTCAATTTTCTGGTGTTTCGCCGCGGGCTCGGTGTATTCGTGGTCCTTTTTCGACCACGTAAACGTCCACGGCTCGCGGCCCCTGCATTTTGGGTTTTCGGCCATGTCCATGACGCATGGTCATGGTAACTTTCTCTTTAACTTTTAAGAACACGAATACAAAGAGCCCAATGTGAAGTCCGTGCAAAGGTGTTGCCTGGAAGCTCAGGACTTGGATAGGTGACCATGTGAAAGGAAGTTATTCGAGCAGTATGTGACATTTCTGTTCCCACCAGTTGTAGTTAGTACCTTGTAACGTGCAGACTGAACGCCGAGTACGCGAGACCACCAAGGAGACCGTGTTTGAAACTGGGCTGGCAGTTCCTGCCGACCTGTTTTTAGTCGTATTTATTTAGTATAATTCACGGTCGAACGATAAGTACCCTCCTCGCTGACAGATTTAATGCTTGCTTTGCCCAAGGATGCTGCCTCTTCAAATTTTTCTTCGCTAAATTTCATTCTTTTCTCAGGAGAGGTGGAGCTACTACGCCAAATTTACGTTCTTACGTTCAACTCGTCCCAAACCCAGCTTTCCGTTCTAATCTAATAACTATAAGGGGAAGGCTTGGCAAAATTGCTGCTGAACCTTCAGAAGCTTTTTCTTCTGAAGGTCTTCTGAAGGTCCAAAATCGTCACTGGAACCTTCAGAAGAAATGGAAAAAAGCGTCTTTTTTTTGAGCGAGCATACCATCGGTTTAACCGTGAGCATTTTTTTCTTCTGAAGGTCACGCCTTCAGAAGGTTTTTTTTGACCTTCAGAAGAAAAAGATGGAAAATGAGCAAAAAAACCTTCAGAAGGTGAAAATTGACCGTTTTGAAATCTTCTGAAGGTTGAAAACCTTCAGAAGGTGGCACTTTTTTGACCTTCAGAAGACTTTCCGACTTTTTAGACAAAAAAAGGCAGTGAAGTGTCGCAATTTTTGCCAACCTTCTGAAGGTTGAAAACCTTCAGAAGGTTTTTCAATTGTGTCTCCAAAGCGACAACTTTTTGCGTCCTTTTTTCCGCATTCTTCAGAAGCTTTGACCTTCTGAAGATCATCTTCTGTAGAATCTTCTGAAGACTGAAAAGCTTCTGAAGACTTTTCAGAAAATACGCAAGACGCGCGAAAGTGCTCAAAAGCTTTTCTGATGCGCGTTGCTTTTTTGGGCGTTTTAAAAGCATTGCTCGCGCCGCCTATTTCGAAAGAGCACCGGCGCGCGCGCGCATTTCGAAAGTGCCCACAGGCACGACGTAGTGCGCGCCTTACTTTCTTGCACGATGAAAGAGCGCTGCTTGTGCTACAAGATATTTGCACAGGGCGCGCTTTGGAGTTAGAACAAGGTAACAAGGAACCTAGACGTGACCGGGGGGGTCACGTCCGTCCGGCCGGCCGGACGGACGGCACGTGACCGGGGGTCGGTCGTGGCGCTAGGAGGTGGTGGCCGCGGTGGCCCGCGCGCCCGGGCAACTAAAAAAAAAAAAAAAAGGTCATGGGCTCGGCACTTCACTGAAGAACTGCCTCTCTTCGTCTCGCTCCGCCCCCGGTCACCCGGCCGGGGGCTGTCAGCTAGCTCGGGCGCCCAACTAAAAAAAAAAGGTCATGAGTTCGGTCTTTCACGAAAAAAGGCACGACTTTTGCCCCCGGTCCGCCGTCGGTGACGCGGCCGGGGGCTTCTAGCTACCGAAGGCCACAGTTGCTGCGGCATTAAGCGCCGAACTCGCACCGAGGCCGGACTACCCCCGGTCACGTGCCGTCCGTCCGGCCGGACGGACGGACGTGACCCCCCCGGTCACGTCTAAGTTCCTTGTTACCCTGTTCTTATTGTTCAGCTGCTCGCTCTGCTCTTGTGCTTTTTCTCGAGCTCCCCTTTGGGATTTTACTTTTGCATCAAAAAAAAGCCGGTGGCGCCTGCGGTTCCATTCTGTGTCGAGGCCTGTGCTGCTTTTTGCCTCTGCAAAGCAGTTTCTTCGGCCGCGGTGAATGCCCTGCCCTGGAGACGTCGGCTTTTTTTATCTTTTTTGGTTCTTCTTGGCAGTTGAGTACTACCTGGAGCTTGGTCAGTGAGCCCGGCCGCGGACGGCGTCGCCTATGACTACCTGTTGCCTGTTTTCACTAACCAAGCAGAAAGCGCTTGCAATGCACGCAATAACTCCAAACTTGGCCCAGCAGCAATTCAAATCAGCCTTGCCCCGCGACGCAGTCGTGGGGAAGTGGTTCTTACGTTCAACTCGTCCCAAACCCAGCTTTCCTGCACCGATTTCGATCCAAGCTGGCCTCCATTTGGTTTCGACAGAAAAAACCTTCCCCGCATGCTATGGCCCCGCCTGGGCCCCCGCCAGGGTCGGCCCCTTGCGAGCCCCAAATCGGGCCCATAGCACGCGGATTGGCTTTTTGCTTTTGGCGGACTTTGGTTTTTTGTTTTTTTTTGGAAAAATGCCGCATCTTCTGGCCTTAAGTCCGCCTCTGAAATAGCGGATTTTGGTGGCGTCTTTTGCGGGGCCCGACTGTGGGCCAAAATGGGGCCCATACCATGCGGATTTGCTGTTTTTTTCTGATTGTTGCTTTTCGGGCGCCCCTTTCTGGGCGCCCCAAACCGCCAGAAACTAAGGCGGTGGGCGCCTCAGAAGGGCGCCCCTTTTGGCGGCTCCCCTGCGTCGTTTTATCAAGCGGGATTCGATAGTTTTCGACCGGGCTTGTTTGACTTCAAAGCTCCGCCCGCTTGATGATGATGATGTAAATCTATTCGAGGTAGTCCCCTTAGATTATCCTCTTCCGTCCTCTAAGTCTCATGATTGCTTGATAAATGGAAATCTTTTACGTCCAAAAACACCTCCGCCCACTTGAAAACTGCCGGCCGTTTTGCGCACTGCATGGCAAGAAAACAGCTAGGATAGAACGTTCGTGACCTCACTACATACTACACCAAATAATTTACGTTCTTACGTTCAACTCGTCCCAAACCCAGCTTTCCTGCACCGATTTCGATCCAAGCTGGCCTCCATTTGGTTTCGACAGAAAAAACCTTCCCCGCATGCTATGGCCCCGCCTGGGCCCCCGCCAGGGTCGGCCCCTTGCGAGCCCCAAATCGGGCCCATAGCACGCGGATTGGCTTTTTGCTTTTGGCGGACTTTGGTTTTTTGTTTTTTTTTGGAAAAATGCCGCATCTTCTGGCCTTAAGTCCGCCTCTGAAATAGCGGATTTTGGTGGCGTCTTTTGCGGGGCCCGACTGTGGGCCAAAATGGGGCCCATACCATGCGGATTTGCTGTTTTTTTCGGATTGTTGCTTTTCGGGCGCCCCTTTCTGGGCGCCCCAAACCGCCAGAAACTAAGGCGGTGGGCGCCTCAGAAGGGCGCCCCTTTTGGCGGCTCCCCTGCGTCGTTTTATCAAGCGGGAATCGATAGCTTTCGACCGGGCTTGTTTGACTTCAAAGCTCCGCCCGCTTGATGATGATGATGTAAATCTATTCGAGGTAGTCCCCTTAGATTATCCTCTTCCGTCCTCTAAGTCTCATGATTGCTTGATAAATGGAAATCTTTTACGTCCAAAAACACCTCCGCCCACTTGAAAACTGCCGGCCGTTTTGCGCACTGCATGGCAAGAAAACAGCTAGGATAGAACGTTCGTGACCTCACTACATACTACACCAAATAATTTACGTTCTTACGTTCAACTCGTCCCAAACCCAGCTTTCCTTGACCGGAAAAGCCAACTGGAAGGGTAGGTCTAGGTAGAATAGGGAGGCGCGCACAGACCACAGCTGTCCGAGAAGCCAAAGGGGTCCAGAGATCCGGGAGACCTGAAGAGCGAGCAACCCCTGACGAGGTGGCCCGTGCTTCATGGCGCAACATTTTCAGATGTGGACACGGCTGAAACGGGGAAATATACCTCGGGGAGAAAAGATGCTGAAGGAGACATCTTTTCAAAATTTGACAACATCAACAAAGCAAGTGCTTGCGTTGTTGAGGTTGTCAAATTTTGAAAAGATGTCTCCTTCAGCATCTTTTCAAAATTTGGAAAATGGGCAGCCACTTATCAAAATTTGAAAAGATGCAGAAAGAGCATCTTTTCAAAATTTGATAGCTTTCAAAGTTGAAAAGATGAGCACTTTGCGTGGCTGCATCTTTTCAACTTCTTTCTCGGCCGAGTGAATGCATTCTCCCGGTTTTGTTCTTGTTTCTGCATGTCGCGGAGATGTGCATGACAAGTTGGCCTCGCAACTCCTACCACACTCCTCCACCAAGCTGCAAAAAGAAAAACAAGACCCGGAAAATCTGTCAGGCAATATCGCCAGCCAGGATCTGCGGTCGAGCTGCTCGAGAGGCTTTACGTATGAGAATGCAACGAAATGGCGGCAAACCGATAGAGCAAATTTTGAAAAGATGGGCGTAGAGATGGATTTTTTAGTTCCTTTCTCTCCATACGTTGTTACGTTCAACTCGTCCCAAACCCAGCTTTCCTGCGGCGAGCCCCGCCACCTCGTATCCCTAAGTGCCAAGCCTCTAGCTGTCGACCCATGCGCCCCCGGCTGGAGGTTTTGTACACTCGCTGACAACCCCGCGCAGAACTATACTATCGACCCATTGAGACCGAGGACGAACCAAAGCTTCTCTGGTGTAAAAAGGAGTAGAGACGCGACCCGGCAGGGGAGTAGCTGCTCTCAAGCTAAAAACCAGCACAGCGAGGTATCTGGCCCCGACAGGGCTTCCCAAACGACGCCTAGAAGCCTCCTGCCCTTACTCGGAGTGGTAGCTAGTAAGTTGAAAAACCCGCAACATATCGAAGGGCGAGCAAAACCCGCCTTGCACCCTGAGCAGCACCATAATGCTCTCCAGCACTGCCGCATATTCCCTAGCAGCGCGAACAAAAACAAACTCCAGCCAGCCCATCTAGGACCCCGAGCTTGAGGGCCAGAGCTCGGAATGAAACATCCTGCCCTAATGAGGAGCGAAAACAAAGAACAGCCCATATCCCCAGGGGCGGAATGGCACTGCGGTGCACTCTGAGCACATGAGCTACCATCCATTAAAGCGAAAACTTCCTAAATCACCCTTCCCCGCTGGGAAACGCCCTCAGTGGCGGAATGGCACTGCGGTGCACTCTGAGCACATGAGCTACCATCCATTAGAACGCAACCTTCCTAAATCACCCTTCCCCGCTGGGAAGCGCCCTCAATGGCGGAATGGCACTGCGGTGCACTCTGAGCACATGAGCTACCATTCATTAGAACGCGAGAACGATGTGAATCCATCACAAAGCAAACTATCCAGCGAGACCTGCGGACTACGTCCGCGTTGGCTCCTTCCCCGACCCCACTCAGAGGGGTGGAAGACCAACAACTCCAGGCATTAGCTTCTAGGGATCTGCCAGCCCATATACAAAAACGGACGGGGGGAAACTCCCTCCAGTCACTCCACGAAAAGGTTCTACCAGGGTAGATGTGTCAATAATTTACGTTCTTACGTTCAACTCGTCCCAAACCCAGCTTTCCTTGACCGCCGTTTCGTAGGCCGCCACCTCGTCTATCAAATGTAAAAATGTCTGGGTCTGGAAGATTCTGACACTTGTCATGCACGTTTTGCATGAGCCATGATGTCTGTGATGCATACCCTAGCAATACAGATTTTCTGAGGGCTTCTTGATGCCTATTCCGCATGACAGATGCCTTCTCAGCGTAGCAAAAATTGCATTCCGTTTGCTACTCATGCAATACAGATTTTTTTGGAATCTAAATACAGCATCACAAGTTGCATTCTTCCAGACCCAGACACTTTTACATTTGATATCGTCCCCAGTACTACTATTCCCTTCCGCCAGGTGTTTCGCGACAAACTCGCCCGCCAAGGCCCCGGTTTTCAGGGCGGTATGGCTTCCCTTGATTTTTGGCACGTTCAGAAACCCGGCCGAGCACCCTGTCAGCACGCCGCCGGGGAACGTCAACTTGGGTATCGCCTGCAGCCCACCCTCGTTGATGCACCGCGCACCGTAACTCAAGCACGTGCCGTTCTCCAGGTATTTCGCAATCCTTGGGTGGTGCTTAAACCGCTGGAATTCCTGGTAGGGAGACAGGTGCGGGTTCTTGTAATCGAGGCCCGTGACGAAACCCAGGTGGATCAGGTTCTCCCCCATGTGGTACATGAAGCTACCCCCGTACGTGCTCCAATCCAGGGGCCATCCCACGCTGTGAGCCACGAAGCCGGATCTGGTGGTCGTGTAGTGGTACATATAGGAAATTGCAGATTTTCATTTTCTTTCATCCTAGAGAGGCAAGCGCAAGAGCAAGAGCAGGTCAATTTTTTGCAAAAGGGAAAACAAACAATAACGAGCTACGGTTATTCGAGTATCCTAGGTAGCGGTACTAGAACAACATCCAACCCTCTGTCTCTACGCATCAAAAAGAACGCGATCAAAAGCCGTACTACTTGAAGTGTTCGTTATCCACTTCCCAGACTTCTTTGATCCCCAGCCCATAGTGCTGGGGACAACTTTCCTTGGCCAAGTCGAATTTATCGATGGATTCGAGCGTCAAGCTGCCTCGACAGCCCTCCGCAAGGATCACCTGCTTGCCGTGCAGCTCCATACCCAGCTCAAACGCGTCTTTCTTGCTGCCGTCCTTCGCAATCCCCACGTCCTTCAGTTGCACGCCGATCACCTTGTTTTCCCCGTTCGTTACCAGTCGGTCGCCCGCGAAGCCGGAGAAAATCTCGACGCCCAGCTCCTCCGCCTGCTCGCCGAGCCACTTGCAGAGCTGTCCGAGGGAAATGACGTAATTCCCGACGTTGTGCTGCTCTTTGGGCAGAAAGATGTTCGGGAGCTTGACCGATTTTGTGTCGTTCCAGAGAAAAAAAAACGCCTCGGAATTTACCTCGGTTTCCAGCGGCGCCCCACGTTCCTTCCAATCCGGAATTAATTCGTTGAGCGCCGTGGGCTGAAAGACGTTGCCGGAGAGAATGTGGGACCCGATTTCGGCGCCTTTGTCGATCAGACAGATGTCCATGTCGGGGTACAGTTGCTTTGCCTTGATGGCGGCGCCCAGCCCGGCCGGACCGCCGCCAACGATGACAATGTCGTACTCCATAACATCCCGCTCGGCGGGGCTGCTGCTCTCCTTTTCCGCATCTGTTCCAGCAGCAGCAGCAGCATCTCGGCGCGGGCGGGATGATGACAGAAAGGTACTACTAGTTGAAGAGAAAGCGCGAACAGAGGGTCGTTTCCCCGTACTTCTCTGGGCAGCTGGTGGTAGAGGACGCATGCTGAATAGTCGTGTGCTGTGATTTTCCAGAAGATCTCTTCTTGACGTGGAACTACTGCTCCCGCCTGGACCCGAGATTGTCACTCCTGGCACACCTGGTGCAGCACCCTTTCGTATTGCGGAAGTAGAAGCACAAGAAATAGACGCTGGTAGACAAGAGGCAGAAGAAGTCACGAAAGATCGACTTTTAGTTCCCGTCGCCAGTTTCTCCACCACAGCTGTGCGACTTGAGGAACTGCGTATGCCGGTAAAGGCTTTCGTACAAGAACTTCGCCGGAATGGCGAAGCGAGTCTGCCAAGTCCGCTCGTCGCGTGCATTATTGCGTTATGGTTATTCTTATTTCAAAAACAAAAAGTTTTCCCTTTCAGAGATAAAAGTGTTGATGCAGCAAAAAGAAAACTCAAAACAGAACTGGCTTCAAAACTATGATTACACGATAGACGTTTGGAAGAAAGTGTACGGCCCTACAGGTACTATCTGCTTGGCCGCAAAAAAATAGCTTTATATACCTTCAAGAACTATTGAAGACGTGCAACATTCGAAACATGAAGGGCTCGATAGCGCGGGAGGTGGAAGAAACAACTTCAGTTGGGGGCTGCATGTCGTCTTTGTGGTTTTCAACAATACGCCTGGCACATTGCATCTCGCTAGCCGTTGTCTCTCAAAAGTATCACACGATAACGCTCCGACCCAGGCTCGCTATCCGCTTTGAAAAAACTGGAGATGAGAAGCAAAGGATTACAGCAATTCAGGGTTTCTAGTAGCGTCAACTCATTCATGGAAGTTTCGTTTTCACCTCCTCTCTAGAATCAATCGAAGGGGGTCCTCTCTTGGTCAAAAGATAAACAGTCGTAGGCAAGAACTCGTCCTCCATCCCGGCAGGACGAGCGGCATGCTTTTCTTTGCTGCGGCGTCGTAGAAAGATCAGTTTCTTTGAATCTTTATCTTACTTTCGGTAACACTTCAAGAAAATACCACAAGCGTTATGGCTGTTTCACGACTGGCTGCAGCTGAAGATTCATTGACATTGTATATGGTGGCAGTCCGAGCAACAGAAAGCTTTATTTGTTCTTGTTGAGCGAGTCAAATTGCTTGCAGAGCTTCACGTACTCCTTCTCATCGTCTGCTTTCCAGCTCTGTTTCAAATCCTGCCTTCGCGCAATCAGCTCGGCTAGTCGCTTCCGCAGGGTGCAGGATTGCACAAACTCGTCGTACTCGTCCTTTTTCTTCGCTCGGTAGATGTCGCTCCGCTCCGGATTGTTGGCGCGCAAATGCGCAGCCATTACCCGCAAGCTGGTCTCGGATGCTGTGGCGCCAAGCTGGCTCTGCAGATACCTTTAGTGGTAATTGATGAAGAGTATAAAAATGGTGCGCTGGGCCTGAAATGCCTATGTTCATTTTTCTGCAAAAGAACGAACGAGGGTAGCAAGAATGATCTTCCAGATCTTCAGCAGGAATCAATCGTAACAACAAGTACTTTTACCTTTCCTTCGCAACCACCACCAGGGCGTTTGTCAGAGCCGATCCCACCGCATTTCGCAGATACACTTTCTGCTCGTCCGCAATGCCTTCCAACGGTATGTCAGCCATCTTTTCTTCTAGGATGGACAAGAAAACCGTAGCTGTAGCTCTAAGTACCTGCACGAGCACTGTACAAATTTACTACGTACAGTTACGAAGTTCAATCATGAACCATCTTTGTAATTAGAGAGACATCTAGACCCGATAACTCAGTTTCTGCCTGTTGCGACTTCACAGCTCCTCAAAGATACACGCGACTCCTCCACCCTGTCTGCCTCGGTGAAATGATGTCTGCTGGTACTCATACTGCTTCACAAAACTCGTGCAAAAATGAATCGCGCAGAGCTTTCGCTTTTCAGTGCCCGTACGATGATGATGCTGAACAGCGATGTGACTGGAGTAAGTACTTAGAAGAAGGACACCACATGCGGTTTATCCAAAATTTCAGCGCAGTGGTCGTCCCTTATCGACCATCTTGTCGCATGCGTGTCCCTGCTCGCGGTCAGCTGGAATGGAAGTTGCTTTCCGCTGTTTTCGCGCTGCTTTTGTTTTCTTCGACGGTTTTGTCCTTCGTTGTTGACAGAAGTTGCAACTTCTCGACAATTTTTTTTGTACAGGATGTTGAATTCCTCTTGACATACTGATACTTGTATACTGTAGTTGGGATATAAGTTTAAGTACTGAATAAATCTGTTTGGTCCTTATTGTGCGAATTATACGACGAGGTGTTATACCCGCCATCGCTTGTATTAAATCGATGATAAATTGTCGCAGTTAGTTTATGCCGACGAGGTGGCCGCGGCAGCTAGATCCTCCGTGTCTGTCTTACTTAAGCTGTCGTAGAGAGAATAGAGGCGCTGCTGTAGGTGCACCGTTCTTTCGTTGGGCGATTTGTTCCTTAAGCAAAGAATTCAAGACGTATTTAGTTGGTCTCCTCAACGGGCGTCTGTACGGCCTTCGAGGTTTTCCTTTTCGGTTTCACATTTTGATTTTGTTAAACTACTATAAGTACTCTACTACAAACAAGACTCACAACATTTATAAACTTGTTGCAGAGTGCACTCCTCTGGGCACTGTATCTTTTGCTCTTCTACTACACATCATGCATGGTGCTCGAACTTCATACTGAGCTTACAACGAACTTAATACCGGAGAGCGAGAGCAAGACGGCCAAAAAGGCGTGCGAAAGGCCAGCCTGGCCCTCTTTTTTATCATCTCCAAACCCAAAGCTTTGAAAATTTTGGCTGATCAGTCAAAGCTAAAACAATATAACAAAAGTCCAAAAAGAAGCGTATTATAAAGTGTCGGTTTACAGGTAGTTTGTTCATCCCGTCGTAGTTGCAGATTGTAGTTCCGAGGAGAGTTCACACGCCGTCACTACAAGCAGGAGCGCTCCTGGTGGACGAAGAAGATGCTAGTGGTAGTAGGCTAGGTACTACGCTGAAAGAGACGCCGTGCGTCAGTTCGCTCCGTTCAGTAGATCCAGATGTGACTGGTCGTAGGAAAACTCTTTACGGGCAAAATCTTTGTTCACTCCTGCCGCTCGAGTCACTTTTTCACAATGCCTGGCTCGCCGCGTTGAGCTTGCTGCACGTGTCTTCCAACAGTTTGAGCAATGTTTCCTCGGTTTGCTCTCGTTCGCGACGCTCGGTAGCGATTTCGCCTTGCATCTTGCTGACCACGTCCTCCATCATACCTGAGGGACGTGGCGAATATCAAAATTGTGGTGCCAATTCCGCTCATCCTATTCCTAACATCCACAGAGATAATTTCGCCTCGCTCTCTTCTTGTCTAGATGCAAGAAAATTTTCAAGAAGCACGACCCGCTGCAAGCAAGCACGGCCGAAAAAACGTTTTGCAAAAAATAAAAAATCATACGGAGCATTGCTTCCTCGGTTTCCTCTCGGGCGCGTTTTTCCGCGACGATATTATCTTGCAAACGTTGTATCTCCTCGTTAGCACGCTTCAAAATGCGGCTTTCCATCTGCTCTCGGTTACTCACCTCGTCGCGCAGGGAGTCGTACCTGATAAGGATGGTGGGCAGGACGCTCTTTCCACACCACTCCGCAATAGGTACTTATGTCATGATTAACCATGCGGCATCGCAAGAAATGAAGGAGAAGCTGCACCTAGTAGCGGACCCTACCCCTGGATAGAACCACATATAATCGCAGAACAAACTGCAAAACAGAAACGAAAAAGCAGTACAATTTTGGTATGTCAACCTCCAGATATCGGCGTAAATTCTGTTCGTTTTCGCTGCGAATTTTCCCTTCTTTGGTAACATCCTCCCGAAGCAGTGTTGTCTTCTCCTCAAATTGTCGGAGCAACCTGGTGTTTTTTATTTTGAAATTCAGGTTCGATTTTTTTATCCGTACAACTGGCTCTATCACCGCTCAAAAGGTGAAGGTCAAAGTCAAGCTCGTCATACATTCATGCTTACAACTCAAAAAGAAAAAACTTCACAAGCTGACATCAAGAATAACCACAGAGTACCGCTGCTCGCTTTCCCTTCGCGCTGCTTGTTCCTGTTCCAGCGCCGCGGTTAGCCTCTGGTCTATTTGATTCAGTTCCCGGGACTTTATTTCTGCGAGGTTTTCTCGTGCCATTTTCTCCTCCTCTAAGTCTTTGGAAAACTTCCCGAGCTGCTCCTTAAGGAGACCGAACCTGAAAAAGAATGTCGATGTCGTTCTCGTTGTTGATGAGCGAGGTTTTCGCTATATATTTTGTACAGTTTTTGCACTCAAGCAACAAACTACACAACTGCTCAACGAGACTCTACGAGCGGCTTGGCCCTGGTTCATCTTCGTTCCTGCAGAAAAAAAACTACTCCATGAAGTTGTACAAAAAATCAGCATCCTATACTTCTTCGCACTGGAATCCTGAGAGCTGGTTAGCCTTTCGTCTACGTGTTTCAGCTTGCTCGACAGCTGGTCATACCGTGAATTCCTCTCATGCTGCAGCCCCACTTGCAAGCCCTGTAACCTCTCGGAGAGCTTACTTATTCGGTCGAAGTAGGCGGTATCTGTGGTGGTGCGTGATGTTTGCCGATGGGATCATGAAAATGACATCAATCTCGACGCACGTCATTTTCTTTTTGCGCACGATGCACGCGAAACCTGGTGGACATCCATGACAAGGAACTTGTTCGTGCGGTAGCTATTTCTATGATTCTGCAGGAGCAAAATGAAAATGACACACATTCATACGTTAAGCACGAAAAAACCAATCGGTACGACTCTTCTTTCCCGTGCTGAGCATGGAGCTCTCTTGAGCTATCGGAGATTCGGTCCGAGACATCTTCGTTCTGGGTTCGTCCTGTTTATTTTCCCCTTGTTCCTGCGAAGCCGCCGAGGGAAAAACGTTCGGGTCCGAAGAACAAAATTTTGGGCCCAGGAAGAAGCCGTCGCCAGTCTGATGTGCGCTCACAGCGCAAAGGCGATCCGTTCGCCTGTACTACCGAAGCATTTTTGTTCTTTCGGGCTGGAGCTGGAAATACAACGTGGTCGACTATTAACAAGTGGAGGATGTTGATTCAATGCTTTCAACAGCTGCGTACCCGCGCCCAATGCAACATCAGGAAAAATAGAGTTAGTGTAAAAGTTATGGTCTTGTTGCTCTTTCAACGAGGAGTATGCGTGCGTGAAGGTATCTTTAAAAATACTCTCATTTGTATTACGGCAATTCATGGACGACCACACACACAGCTTCTGCACCATCTAGTAGAAACGCTTTCTTCTACTGCTCTCAAATCTATCACGTACTGTAATCCTCCTCGACCTGTGTCACTAACTCGGAGATGGTAACTTGGTGAATGTCTAACATGAGTGACAAGAACCTCATCATACATACAACTACACGGTCGACCACCAGTCATACTGCTTTACACCACCAGGAAGGAATTTTTTCTGTGCCTCCCAGGCGCGAAGAAGACACCAGAAGTCCTACAGCTAGCGCGTTAAAAATTTCATAAGTAGTTGACGCACGAACTACAGTACCTACGCAGCTGCCTTCTACTCAGTTCTTCAACATCACCACCAACTCTCGTCGGTAGAAGTTCCGTCTGGATTGATAAACAAAGAACGGGAATGCGCTGTCGGAACGGCAACCGACAGGAACACCTCACGATCGCAAATGTTTTTATGGAATCGTCGCAGAAAGGATGAAATCAAATGAGGGACGACAAAGATTACTGTTGGATACTTTTAAAAATTCTACACGGTTGTTCATCCGGTTGTTTTACAGAAACGCGTTGCATGTTCCGGCGCAATTCTACTCGTACTCTGTGTCGTGAGAGAACAGTGGTCTTCATCGCGAGGTCGCAGTGCAATAGTCTGTCCTGTCGCTCAAATAAAATATCAATGCTGACAACCAAGCATCATGGTGGACGTGGATGGAAGTACATCTACATCTTCGATCTGACTATGAGAACATGTTGATACAAAATTTCTCCCTGTAATAAGATCAAGATGCCACCTATGCTTTAGCTTATAGCTTTTCATATAATCATTTCAATTGTTCACGACAGTTCCTCCACGCATTTTCGAATCACTTCCGCGTTCGCAACCAAGAACGCGCGTGCCGGGGCGAGGTCCGCCCTGGTTACCCCGCCCCCGAACATTTGGACGATTTTCTTTTCGCACTCCCCCAGCGCCTTCTCGAAATATCAAATGTAAAAATGTCTGGGTCTGGGAGATTGCAAGATTTGTCATGCATATTTTGCATGATCCATAATGCCTGTAATGCATGGCCTAGCATCACATATTTTTAGAGCGCTCTATCATGCCTATTCCGCATGACAAATGCCATCTCCGCGGCGCACAAAATCTACTCCTCTTACTGATCACGCAATACAAAATTTTTTCGAATCCAGAGACAGCATCACAAGTCTAGAATCTTCCAGACCCAGACATTTTTGCATTTGATACGAAATCCAAGCCGGCGATCGCCTCAAAGCCCTCGCGCAGCCCGGCGATGAATATGACCCGCGCAGACGTTACAATCTCAAACGCTACAATAGAATCTGGATTTTGTGATGCAAAACGTGAAACATCTGGCCTACTCCCAAAGCAGTGCGCATGACAAGTTCCGGAGCCTCAAACCGCATCGAAATCCAGCGAACTTTGTATTGCGAAAAGCGCAAATCTCTCTCTGCTACTCATGCTGTTTATGCAAGACAAGTCCCAGACTCTATTGTAAGGTTTGAGATTGTAACACCTGAGCGGGTTATAATGAAAGGAATCAACTTCGGGTCGTAGGCCACCCCGGTGCAGACGTAGATATCAAATGTAAAAATGTCTGAGTCTGGAAGATTGCAACTTGTCATGCTAAATCTGCAGCATGCAGAAATCTGTGTTGCATGATTGCCAAAGGTCGCCCAGTTTTGACCAAGTCGGGAGGTAGTTTCTCATGCAGGATAGGCATGAGAAAGGTCTCGCAGAATCTGTCATGCTAGGTCCGGCATTCCAGACCTCATAGGTCATGGAAAAGCAGCATGACAAATCGCGCATTCTTCCAGACCCAGACACTTTTACACTTGATAGTAGATCTGCTCCTGCAAGTCCTGCCGCCAGTTGGATTTCCGGGCCTGGTGGTTCATCGGCGTATCATGTGCAAATATGTCTGGGTCTGGAAAAAGCAGAGACTTGTCATGCAGGTTTTCCATGACTCATGAGGTCTGGTGTGCAGGACATAGCATGACAGATTTTGCGAGATCTTTGTCTTTCTCATGCCTATTGTGCATGAGAAACTTCTTGTAAAATTGGCCAAAAATGGACCAGGACAACCTTTGGTAATCATGCATCACAGATTTTTTCACAATCCAGAATTAGCATGACAAGTTTCACTGTTCCAGACCCAGACATATTTGCAATCCATATGGGGCGGACACGTGCGATTGCACCGTGGCGGACAACCCCGCCTTAATTTCCGCATCCTCCTTCGTGCTCTTCCGCTTCGATTTTAACATCGGGGTCGTCGGGGTTAATATTGGGCTAGTACTTTTGACAGAATTTCTATTTTTACTGCTGGTGATGTTCTCAAACTTGTGCAACATGGTGGAAAACCGGACCGACGGGTCTTCCAACACCTCTTTGCACGCGTTTTTCAGCCTTTCGCGGTAGGCGGCCGCGCCGGGCTCGGACAGAATGGTAGTGATCGCTTGGTCGATGCCGATTAAGTCGAACTCAATCTTGTTTCTGGTTGGTATTTCTTGGTCATGATTGTTCGACATCTTCGTCTGTGGCAGAGTATTCGTATTGCCGGGAGCTCCTTCCTGTTCGATCATCAAATTCTGCAAGTTCCCGTCGTTCGACCAAATCAACCGCCACGGGAGCCGGTCAAAATTGTTTATCAACGCGTCGAACGCGCACATCCGACCCATCTGCTGCAGAATCCGGTCGTGGTGTTTTTGCGGCACTTGGTGCAACCCGCCGACACCCTGGAGTGTGCGCAACCCCCGGACCACCTCGAGAATACCTAGAAACTGCTTCCCGGACGACATCATCTTCTGTACGTTCACGGACGACGTGTAGGCCTCCGCTTCTTCCTCGGGGAGCTCGGTATCTATTTGCGCTTCTTTCTTCTTCACCTGCACTACCGCGGATGCTGTGCAAAAGTATCGTACTCGTACTAATTGCAAATACGCATGTATCCCACGAAAAAAGTGTTACAGTTACACATTTGTAGTCCATTCAGCAACACAAATTTCCCTGCATGAGAGAGAAAACTTGCAATGCAGAAATCCTACGGGAAAACACCTATGAAACGAGGCTCCTATGCATATCCGGCATAACAGAGCTTGTCTGTCTTGCTTGGCCCGCAACAATGTGTAACTGTAACACTTTTTTCTTGCGATAGCATGATAAATCTTCCTCCTAAGATAAAACAGCATTACAAATTCCATTTTTCTTCTTGCCAAAATTTGTAATGCAATCTATCCTAGTACGTTTACTTTTGCAATGCATACCGCGGACAGCAAGTCAAAGTACTCGTTTCCGTTTCCATCTTCATCCTCTTGCAGCAGGTGGATCACCCGCATGTTGGCAAAGCGAAGCACGGAAGGGTGAAAACACCTGGACAACAAAATGGCGTACACTTCCATCGCGTCGCGCTGGAATTTCCCAGCGACCAATTTTCCGTCCACGTTGTATAGCCAGATCCCGCCAGAGCCACCGTAAACCTTGTGTGTCGCCCGCAAACCTTCCCAGCGGATCCGTTTCTGCACTTCTTCCGAGCCCATCACCGGCAACGCGCGCCATTTTTCGAATTCTTCCGCTTCGGAGGGCTTTTTCGGTGTCGATTTCATGACGGAGGATGACGCAATGCTCGTGTCTGAAATTCTCCTGCTGCTTGGCGTGTTCGGCCCGCGCCGTGGCAATACCAGGGGCTGTCCACCCCGCGGGCTTCCGTCGGCAGGCAAGGCACCACCGCACGGCTTCGGCTGGAAACCTCCGCCTTTCCCTTTCCCACCAAGGAAAGAACCCTTCGGCAACGGCCCGTGCCCCTTACGATACTCCTTCTGTCCCTCCTGCGGTACTTTTCCGTCCCTCAAATAGGTTTTCCACGTGTACTCCGCCCAGGATATTGCGGTGGTGGTTTCTCGGCTGTCCTCCTCTGCGGATAGTGTAAGCCCTAAAGCGGATTTCTCGTCCTTCGTTAGCCTCTGGATTATGTCGTCCTTCAGAGCTTCCTTCGCTTTTTCATCTTCTATTCCCTCACACAGCACGCAGTACGCAAGACAGGTGGCCGCGTGGTGGCGAAGTTCCTGGATAAGCACCTCTGGCTTCAACACGGACCAAACCTTCTCCGACTGTTCTACCTCTATCCTGAGTAAAAACGTACCCACGACAGAGTTGTAATGCAGATCTGCAAAGACAGGAAGACTTGTAACGCGCATCCGCATGAGAGCCATTTCCAATCGTGTTTTGGAATTTGTGATGCTGTGAACACGATGAGCAGATGAATCTGTGACGCGGCTGCACTTGCTAACCTGCACTACACTGCAGAGCGCAACTTGTCATGCGTGACTCACAAAACTCCTAGGTTTGTGTTGCAAAATCCCCATCCTGACTCTGGTGTGGGTACGTTTTTACTCAGGATAACCTCCGAAGTGGACACATTCGGGCTGGAGGACATCCCTCCGTCGTCCTGCTCTTGCCTCTGCATCAAGTGCAAAAGTGTCTGGGTCTGGAAGAGTGTAAACTTGTCACGCAGATTCGCCATGGCAGCTCAGGTCTGGAATGCGGGACCTAGCATGACAGACTCTGTGAGGTCTCTGCCATGCCTATCTTGCATGAGAAACTCCCTTCCAACGAACTTGGCCAAAAGTGGACAGCTTTTGGCACTCATGCAACACAGATTTTTACATGCTTCAGATTTACCATGACAAGTTGCCACCTTCCAGACCCAGACATTTTTGCAGTTGATACTCTGTGACAGTCGTCGATTGTGCGACTTTCTTTCTCGCAACGCCAGCTGCCGCTGCATCCAGTCGCCGATCGTGTGCAACACCGCCATGGCGGTCTCAAAATCGAGCAGCTGGCCGAAGATGTCTTCCCACACCCACAACTTGTTCTTCTTGTTGGTCTGTTCCACCACGGTTTTATACTTGTCAATCCGCTCCCGCAAAGCCAGGTCCCGTCCCGTCTTCGCGTCGCTCGCCTTGGTTTGCAGCGGCCCTGCGGTTGTTGTAGCAGATGAACTACCTGGAGGAGGTACTACCATTGGGGGTGCCGCAACAGGAGAAGTTGTAGCTGCACCGCTTATATTTTTACCGTCTTTCGAGGAAGTTTCTCCACCTAGACCATCAAGTTGTGGTCGTCCAGCTATAATTCCAGCACTATCGCGTGCAAATGTGCCCAGGGGGTAGGGTAGGCCCAAATCTTTTGGGCTGATAAAAATACAGCTTTTTTCGCATTTTTGGCATATTTGGTGCAAAAAAATTGCACAGCTTTGGGCCCCTTTGCGCAGACCGTATGCATTTATTGCGCCGCGGCTTCTGTGCCCCCTTTCTGTGCGCGCGCTATTCGTTTTTTTTTTTTGTGTTGCGCGATGAAGATGCTGCGGCACAGGCCGAAATCCCAATCGCGCCTCGCATTGTGGTCTTCGTGCCGGACTGTTCGTGCGCAGCTTTTCTCCCAGACGAGAAGCCGGGAAAGTTGTGGCGCAGTCTGGGGCCCAAGCGCCCCGCTTTGGCCAAGGGCTTGGGCAAGGAGTTGGCCCGATAGATGGCGGCCGCCCAAGATGATTTGCATGTCTGGGTCGGTGCAACAAGAACAACTTGAGGCCCGAACGGACCACAATTTTGAATCTTTGCAGCCTGCACGCAACAAACTGCTGCGTGCTGCCTGCAAAGATTCGCCACCGCAAACAAATTCGCCATCATGCCGTGGCCTTTTCTGAGTGCGCAGCAGCGTGCGTATTCGTCCCGCCTTGCCAGCTGCTTCGCTCCTCGCCCGTTGCCTTGGGTCGTTTTCATCTCAGCACGGCACCAACAAGCACCTTCAACGAAAGAAGGTGTTTGGAAGTGCCTTCATTTTCACGGGAGAAAAACAATTTTTATCATGAAAAAACGCTACTTTGCGTGAAGGCTAGACCACAATTTGTGGTCGAGAAGCTGGTGGAGAAGCTGGTGTAGAAGCTAGTAGGGAAGCTTGTGAGAAAGCAACATTCCTACCAGCTTCTTTGCCCGCTCACTCAGCGCGTTGGCGACCGAGATGGAATCTTGGGCGCGGATCGATCTGCCGTGAGCGAGGAAATGCGAGCCTCTGCAGCCCACACGCAACAGCCTCCTGCGTGCTGGCTGCGTATCTTCCCGCTCGTGGATATTTGGAGTCCATTTCCCGTTTGTGGATACTTCGCCTCCTCCGGTGTATTCTCCGCAAACCTTGGCCCAACCTTTAGTCGAGCCCCCGACAGCCCAGCCTCACTCCTGCCTGCGCTATCGCGCAGCCTCTTGCTCCTGCTCCGCCTCCGGCGCCGCGCCTGGCGGAACCTCGGGCCCCGCGCCTGGCGTGGCCCAGCCTCTGGCCGGCCCAGTCTATCTCTGGCCCTGCCCCGCCTGGCGTAGCCGGCTGGGCCTATCGTTATCTCTGCCCCACCCTCGGGCCCAGCCTCTGGCCCAAGAACGATCGAACCGCCGCCCCGGAGGTTCGGGCTTCTGAGCTGCAACACCTTCGGCGCCAGCTTTGGCACCAGCTTGCTTCGGCACCAGCTTCGGCACCAACTTCGCCACCAGCCTTAGCACAAGCTTTTTTGCAGCTTTTTGCTATTTTTCTTGGGTGCTACCCTACCCCCTGGGCACATTTGCATTTGATAAGCACCGCCTGACGACGATGTGGATGTGGCTTTTTTCCCCAGACCAAGAAAATTCTTCACGCCCCCAAGACCCTGCGTCTTGATCTCCTCCTTCGCTGCCGCCGCGTGCGTGATTTCTTGTTTCTATGAAAAGGAAAAATCCCCCCTCCCCATATCAAAAAGGAGATCTGTGATGCTGGATTTGCGTGGGCGTGGGCGAAACTGGTACCGCTAAGAAGAAGTGGAACAGTCAGCAGCCCGAACTCATCGGTTTTGCCAGGTCCACAACCCCCTGGGGGTGAGAAAAGGGGGTGGCTCCGCGTGGCAGCGATCAAAGATCACTGCCTGGAAGAAGGAATGGGAGCCTCTTTTCAGAAGTACTCCGCAAACCTAAGCCAACCACTGCCCCCAATTTCACAAACTCGCGTCAGCCATCGAGAACCGATGAGACGGAGACCCCGGACACCCTTCCCAACGACCGAATACTGATAGGGAGAAGTGGGCCCCACAGTTTAGACGGAAGTCGAGGTATAGTCCCGGAGGGCACACAATGTATGACTGCTCCCCCTGGCGAAAGCCGCGTCGTTTCAGCGCTATGGAACAGTTTGGCGATCTACAAGGTGCTCAACTGTACTCAGCGGCGAGCACGAAGAGCTAGGGACGTGCTGGATTTGCGTACACAAATCAGATTTGTATAGCAGGAAGGCATTGCGGCCAGATCCCCAGGCTTGGTAGGGGCGTATGGGTCTAGTTGTTCAGCATTGCAAACGGCTGACCTTTAGGCCCTACAGCATGAGAAATCGCCTCCATAATGGGGCGGAAGCTTCTGCCCTTGTCTTCTTGCAAGACAAACGTGATTTGTGACCTCAAATCAGCAACACAAATCTTCGGAAAGATACCTTTTCGATATGGGGAGGGGGGATTTTTCCCCTCAATAGTTTCCGCTGCTGGTACACCTGGTCGTTTTTCGAGTTGTGGTCAAAATTCAGAAAAACCCGGTCGCCAATCACGTCGGCCGCGGTTAAGGTTGGCATCCCCCCCATCTGCTGCCTCTGCAGGTGGAAGAGAATCTCGGTTTCCAGGCGACCGAGTTCCTCGATGAAGTTCGGCCGGGGGTCGATGATCGACCGCTTATCCTTTAGATAGTAAAACGCCTCGTTCAGCCGAAAGTGCTTGTATTCCATCAAATACGCGTATCCAGGAAAAAAACTGTGTTAGTGTAACTTTCTTTTTGGTTGACAGCATCACAAATTTGCTCTACATGACAGAGAAAACCTGTCATGCGTGACTTGTAAGGGAAAACACACACGAATAGAGGACTTCGTGGCTGTCTGGCATGACAGGTGTAACTCTGTTGCATGTTCTGCATCACAAGTTTACACTGACACAGTTTTTTTCTTGCATAACGCGATGATCGTTGACGCCGACCGGGACACGCCCTGCGTGCAATGTACCAAAATCTATCAAACGGAAAAATCCCCCCTCCCCATATCGAAATGGAAATCTGTGATGCAGGATTTGAGGTACCAAATCGACTTGTCATGCTAGAAGGCCAAGAGCCGCAGTCGTGGTCTCGTTTGCAGGCAATTTGTCATGCTGTTTCTCACTCTCAGCTGCCTCCTATCATGCTGAAGATGCAAGGCTCCCCCACGCCACCCAGCACCACAGTCCGCATCTTTTCCCGTGTAGCATGACAAAGCTGATTTGTGACAACAAATCTGCATCACAGATTTCCGTTTTGATATGGGGAGGGGGGATTTTTCCTTTTGATAAAATCCGGTTTTTGTTTTCCGGGTCGTTGATGTGGACGTCATTGATGTACCGGGCAGCGTCCCGCAACCCGTTTTCCAGCAGTTTTTCGTCCTGCGTGTCGTTCAACGGGATGGTTTTCTCCACGAACCGGTTTTGCAGTGGCAGCGGCAGGTAGTTCACCAGCTCCACTGCCACATTTAAAATGTGCGTGATTTTCGTCCTCTCGATCAGCTCGATCTCGTTCTCCGCGTTCCGTCGCCCCCCGAGAAACAGCCAGGGGAAAATCTCGCTATCCTGTGCAAAAGTATCGTACTCGTAGTAATTGATGTGTTTATGCATTACAAATCTCTTCAAGGTAAAACAGCATCACAAATTCAATTTGTAATGCTGAGGGAATTTGTAATGCAATTTATACTAGTACGATGCTTTTGCATTGCATATTCGCTGCTGTGCGAGGACCAATGGTCGTTGAAAAATTCGACGCGGATGTCCTTCTCGCACCGCGTATCAAATGCAAATATGTCTGGGTCTGGAAACTTGTGATGCAAGCCCGCGAACAATAAGTGCTCTATAATGCGCCGCCAAGCATGACAAGTCTTTTCGTGCTTCTGTGTCTGTGATGCGTATTTCGCATGAGAAAGAAAAGCTGCGCTTTTGAATGACAGGCAAGAGGGCCTCTTGGTGGCCACGCAATACAGAGGGCAGAGTCATGCCAGACTAGCATGACAAATCTCACAATCTTCCAGACCCAGACCCAGTATTTGCATTTGATACCGCGGGCACTTCTGCCACTGGATCCCGGCGGACTCGGAGCTGGTCGGAATCGTGGGGTCCTGCGACGATCCCGCGGTGGACATCCCGGAGTACGGTTCCTCAACCACCGCCTCAATCGCGTGCATGTCGTCCACCTGCTGTGCCCGCTGCTGCAGCGCGTTGTCTTCCGCAGCGAAGTTCACGGGTTGGCTATTACAATGAACAATGGCCCCACCCCGGCATTTGCAGAAGTTTGTCATGCAAAGTTAAAGTTTCCAAATGAAAGCTTTTTGTCTTGCATAAAAGGATTGTGAGCGTTTCTGATGCAGAATCTGGGTGCGCAAGGTGCCTTGTGCATAAGAGATCCGGCTGCTGTTGGGCTACTTCGCAACACAAATTTGACCTATTCTGCATGGAAAATTTGTGATGCTGAGATATGCAAGACGGGGAATGTTTCTGTTGGAAAGGTTTGCAATACAAATGCTGCCAGGCTTTGGGTGGGGGCATTTTTCATTGTAATATTGGCCTTTCCGAAACTGCCCGCGCGCCGACATGGCGGGCCGGCTGCCCGTTGGGGGCGGGGGCGCTGCGGCCTTCTTGCCTTTGCCCGGCTGCTGGGCTTGCTTGCCGTCGCCTTTCATGATTTATTTCGAGCGGCCGTTGGGTCGTCGATGTGGTAAAGCTAAGTCGAGGAAATTTTCAAGTGTAGCTAGTAGTGCTATAAAGAGAAAAGTCAATCTGTCATACTTAGACCAAGTCCAACGCAGAAACCTATAGCTGATGCGTTAAATTGATCATTGCATCAAAGAAGGGTAGTTGGCATCTGTGGTAGAAAAGAATGGAAAAGCCAAATATCAAAATTTTCCGTTAACGTTTCGCTAAAAAAAGTAGTTGTTCATTATGAGCATCATGTTGTGAAGGCTGTGAATAGTTCTACCGACTTGGTAGCATAGTCTGTTAGTGGCCTCACGTAGATCCACCACAGAAGTTCCATTTCCCCCTTCTCTTAGAAGTTGCACTCCCTTGTGGTAATTCAAATGATCCCAACACAACTCTAACTCTAAGTAGGAGCGTTGGCCACAAACAGAAATAATCCGATTCAGGTTGTTTAGTATTGACACGTCATTAGAGGATGCGAAACCGATTTTTTTTCCCGGACTGTAGTTTTTCTAGTACCGAGGACAGTTTTACAGACTAAGCGGTTTTGGAGCTTTCTCACTTTATCATTATAGCCAATTCCAATGAATCGTTTCAAGACTGTGCTGCAAAAATATTTTCCGACAGCTGCAAGGACTTCGATTCAAGTACCTTCAGCTTCACATAGGATCTGGTGTTTGTTCTGAACAAAGCACAAGCTTTTCTTTTGCTACTTGGTTCGAAGCAGCACAGGCAAAAGGAAAACGAAGACAGCTTTCGACTGTGCCACCAGCGGCATTATGCTCTGTCAACGTTTCCATCTGTCAGTACGTTCTACTCTGCGTGTTCTTTACGGCGTCGACAGCAGAACTACTTCTGTGCCAGTTTGCAGCGGGTATGCACTTGTGATTCTCGTTTTCTATTTCCGGATCGAGCAAAAGCAGTAAGAAGTACAGTACGGTAAGCAGCACCAACAGCCCCGCAAAGGCACACAAGAGGTTACTGAGCCCGAGTACGTAGCACACTGCGAAAAAAACAAACGGAAGCAGGGAAGACCACTGGAAGATGGAAGAAGCCGCCATCTTGAATCGAATTATTCTCCGGCAGGTTAAAACTGGTTGGTACTAGGCGACGAAAATTATTTTTTCATCCATCGAAGATCATCATGGGCAAAGGTTCCATGATCGAGCTGTATCAATCCTCTTTGCGTCCACCGTTTGATCTATATGTTGTGAACTGCTTGGTGCAAGAACGTCGTTGGAATTCCCAAAAAACACTCAAACTTTGCGCCTCACGAACCTTCAGTTGAGTAGAACTGCCGCAAGAATACCATTAGTTACGCGGCGCCTGTGGTCTCTTAATACACTGGACCTGCTGCTCGAGCTGAACTGCATTGGCATCCACTACTGTAACTGTAAGCTTGATCTTCATCTTGCACGTTGTTGACAATCACAGGCAGAAACCAATGATCACACCATCAAACTTGTGCAATCAATGGAAGTAGAAGTTGTGAAGCTTTCCTTTGCAATTAGGACGTGGACGTCAAACTAGGTTTACAATTTGAGTTTACATCATTTGAAAGCTTTTTTCAATTAATTTGTTCGCGGGTCGTGTAATGATTAATTTTGAAATTGAATACAAAAGCGAAAGTGCGCCTTCCAAGCATTCTACAGGTAGAGGTATGCGCATGCCAATAAAGAAATTGATTTTCGTAGCAGAAGCGCAATTTGTACACAAAGAGAAAAGATTTTTAATTTCGGAATATGTCAATCTCGTAGGTAGTGGCGTACGTGAGGCCTCCACCACTTCACTGCACTACTATCACTTAGCTCAGTTTTCGCTTAGTATCTACCCGCATCCATGAGTGGAGCAGCGCTGATGTCTCCTGCTCCGCCTCCGGAAAATCGATAGCAGCGTCTTCTCGCGGCTCAGGATAGTAGTTCATTTGTTGGAGCGAAGAAGAATCTACTCCGGGCGTAGATGTTGTTGCATTTGTGCCGTTTACTTCGACGTTATTTCCCGTGGTACTGCTAGTATGATCTTCCCTATCTTCCGCTCGCATCTGCTCTGCTGCAGCTCCTGTAGAAGTAGTTGCGGCCGCTCCAGTCAAACCAGCTTCACCGCTCGCACCCGGAGAAGTACTGTCGTCCTCGACATCGACTATTTCATCAGCTTGTGCTGCTTCCCGCGCCGCACGACCACGGCCGCTGTTCTGCTTTTCACTTTCGCTTGAGGAGGACTTCCCGAAGGCAGCCCCCGCGGACTCCGTCAAACTGCCCGGGAAACCGACAGATGCACGCGGATCCGATCTAGTATTGAAGTTGATGCTGGTGTTCTTCTGAGCTGCAGTGCTGCTACTCGCCGGCTCATTTAATAACGCTACGTCTGCCTGTTCCTCTTCTTCGTCATTCGCATCCACCGGGACCACCACGGTAGTTCCCTGGTAGAAGTTCGGGCCAGTTTGTCGATTACCGAAGAAGGACGCTCGGTTTTTCGAAATCCGCACCTCTGCCTCGATCGACTGCTGCGTCACGATTGCGCCCTGGGACTGCTGCAGCAACACGTGGTCGTGCAAGATATAAGCCGCGCAGAGCGCTGTGAGGTGGATTCCCGTGGGCCACCAGGAAAACGCGAACGCCGGCACGTTGAAGAGAAATCCGGCGAGAAAAATGCCGAACAGAACCCCAAAAGGCACCATCAGAAACTGCACGAAAACCACGTGCCCCTCGCGGAAATAGCCCGGTTTGTACAGATGCGCCAGTTCCTTCTTCTCGAAGTCGTTGAGGCGCAAGGCAGACTGGGTGTGCAGCAGCTTCTCCCCGATCTGGGCGAACGACAGAGACCCGCTTTTCTTCGACTGCCGCAGGTCGTTTTCCTCGGCTCTCTCCAAATCTAGAAATTCCTGCGGCTGAATCCGCAGCACCTCCCGCATGAAGATCCCGGGCAGGCTTTGGTCGATATTGAAAGGAAAGATCCCCCCTCCCCATACCGAAAAGGTGCGTCACATAAAATTTGCGATGCTGATTTGTGGTCACAAATCGTGTCTGTCTTGCAAGAAGGCAACTCCGCAGGCTCCGCCGCATTATGGAGGCGGTTTGTGATGCAGTTTGGCCTACAGCGCAGACGTTTCTCATGCCAAGCGCCTAGGCCAAAACCTCTCTAATCAGGCTTGATGTAGGCCTGCCGTCACCTTCAGCAAGACAAATCTGATTTGTGTACGCAAATCCAGCATCACAGATTTCCGCTTTGATATGGGGAGGGGGGATTTTTCTTTTCGATAGCCGATCCCGGTCAGCGCCACCGTGTTGATGCACATGCAGCCCCGTATCAACTGTAAAAATGTCTGGGTCTGGAAGATTGGAACTTGTGATGCTAACTTTGGACTCTAGAAAAATCTGTATTGCATGACCAGCAAGAGGAGTCTAGTTTGTGCTACGCGGGGAGGGCGTTTGTCATGCGGAGTAGGCATCAGGAAGCCCTCTCAAAATCTGTGATGCGCGGTCGTGCATTACAGACGTCCTGGGTCATGCAAAACATGCATGACAAATCTCAGAATCTTCCAGACCCAGACATCTTTACATTTGATACCCCGCCCCGTGAAGTGATTTTGGATGCCGTTCGTGATTCCGGTGAACACAACCCCCCAGGGGAAAATTGACGAGTCGTCCAGAAACGAGGAGAAATAGTGGGAGGTAGACAGGGATTCCAGCAGAACAGAAAGAATCGCGAACAGCATCCCGGCGTAGAACCGGTACGTGGTGACGTATTCGCTGACCGCCGCGCCCGCCACACAACTCAGCACGGCGGCGAGGGAATTGCGGGCGGGAATGTGCCGCGCGTCCGAGGAATATGCATTGCAAATATAATGTCTGGGTCTGGAAACTTCTGATGCAAGGAAGGGAATAGTGAAAACATTGTAATGCGCTGCCCAGCATGACGAGTTTTGCCGTGGTTCTGAGTTGCGTACTCCGCATGAGAAACTGCGTTTTTGCATGACAGACAAGAGGAGCTCTTCCTGGCCCCGCAATACAGACTGCAGAGTCATACCAAACTAGCATGACAAATCCCGCAATCTTCCAGACGCAGACTACATATTTGCATTTGATAAGGAAATGCGGTTCGCCATTTCCAAATCTCGGTCCTCCATGATCTCGTGCCAGTTGCCCGGGCGAAAGTCGTCACTGATGCTGACGCCCAGCTTGACCAGGTTGCCCGTAATCGTGCCGGAAAAAATCCCGTACCGCCACAGGTACACCACATTGCAAAACGCGGCCGCGCTGGCGAATAGAAAGGTCAGAAACCAAAGCTTCTGGGCGAGGTTGCGCGACCACCTGAGGTTTGGAAGAGAGCAGGAAGAGAACTTATTATGGATACAGTTTTTATTTGATCACTTTGCTTTTGGTTTTGATTTTGTTACGCCTACTCAACAAACACGTCATGCATCGATACAATACACGAGCGAACGCGGGGACGACTCATTCAATATTTTTTCATTTTCAGTACTTACCTGTTATTCGCGTTCGAAAACAGCAGATGCTGGAGCTTCCCGGGCTTCACAATCGGGTGATAGATGTCGTCTACCATCTTTAAGTATTTTCTTGCGGAAAAGGAGCTTCAGCTTGACAGGATTTTGGAAATGACAATAAGAGGCGTAACTGATGGAAGTACTGCTCTACTTTGCAACCAAACCCAATTGACCATAACGCAGTGTGAATATGCAACACACAGACACACAAATCGGTCAAATACCCTACTTACATGAAGACGAAAACGAAATCGCTCGCCCCCGCGAAAGCCAAACGACTCCAGACACTAATTGATTTCGAGAGAAACTGCTTGTTCGATTTTTTAACGAAAAGCGAACTACGGCGCACCACCATAATCACTTGCAGTGGCAGCCACGAACGATGGATGCACGACAGGAATTCACAATTATTTTCACAAAATCAAGAAGAGGATTCACGAGCGATCTGTAGTGCTTGGGACATATTTTCAACAGTCGGTCAAAGTCTATACCAACCCTGATTTCCGGCACTGATATGATCTAAAGAGGCACGAGGCGATCAAGCAGCGTAGTGGTTCATTGCTCTCCCACCTTAACCAGGAGGGAGAGTGCGACATGGCCTTCCAAAATGCAATGTGTTCATTCAGATTTGCAAGAAGATCACGACAGACCATGATGCTCGATCCTCGACATCAATTTGAATTTTCGTTTTCCTTCTACACAACAACATTACATTCATACTGGATCACAATTTCAAGCGAAAATAAGCCTCAGAATCGTAAGCCGGGATCCCGATTTCCGTGGAGGAGAGCCAGCAACAGCCCGTGAGCAACTTCGTATCGACCACGCTGCTGTGCACGAGTAGGACGCCGGCCTCCTCCGAGACCCGCCAAACGTTGCATACGGTGTCCTCCGCGCACGAGACGAGCAGTTCTTGTTTCGGATTGAAGGCCAAACCGGTTATCCAGCGGGCGTGCGCGGCGATCTCGGCGAACCGCTCCCGCGCTGCGATCGTGTACACGATCAGCCGACCGCTGCCGAACCCGACCACCATAAAGGTGCCGCCCGTGGCGCAGATGTTAACAGGAACGTCTTCGAAAGAGTCCTGGTGGAGTTTGCTCATCTGGATCCGCTCCCCGGGCGTCGCCACTGTCCACCACAGAATACTACCGTCCTCGTGACCGACCACGAGCTCGGAAGAAAGTTGCTGCTGGCCTGTTAGTTTTGTTATAGGTAAAGCCGCATTACAAATCTAAGTGCCAACTAGTAAGTATTGAAATTTACACGACTAGGGTGAGACTTTTGCAATGCATACAGCTACAGCCGGTACCATTCTCCGCCGTCGCGACCATGCTCATCCTGCTCGCGTGGAGGAAGTTGACACATTCGAGACACGTTACCCCCGACGTGTGTGAGGGAATATTTTCCGACAAATTTGCGAAGTTGTTCGGGTGTCGGTAGTCCACCAGTTGGACCGTCCCCCGGTGGTCTCCGAACGCCAACACTTCGCGGTTCGCGGACGGTAGCAGCGCGCAGGCGGCGCGGTGGGAGGAGAGTTTCTCGACAAAAGCGTCCGAGTTGTTGCCTTGTTCGGTGGAAACCAAATGAAGCAGAAACGAACCGTCCTCGGAGTAAATCTGCGTGCCGCCCTGGAATCCCACGCAGAGCAGAAATTCGCCGGAGAGCAGGCGAACATAGCGAAGGTAGCTGATCGGGCCGGAAAGCTGGGGACCGCCGAAGGAACGCTGCTCCGCGGGGTGCAGGAAAATCACCTGGTAAGAGGGAAGATGTGTGCGATTATATGATCTATCATCAAGTTCAAGGCGAGAACTACGACCTCCACCAAAACATAAACAAATCAAAAGATGATAACATGTCGATCTTGCAATGGTACACGCTAGTATAATTCACACCTTATTTCTGGAGGCAAAAGCGGCCAAGTTGTCGCTTGCTGTCATGTTGTTGTCTAGCAGGGAGGGCGAGGTCCCGCATGGCTCCGAGGTTTGCGAAAACGCGGTTGCAGCCATGGCCGTCCCGTGAAGAGGAAGATTCCGTCACTTCTGCAACGGAACCACTCAGTGCCGGAGCTCGAGAAAAAAAAATAGTCGCGAAAGCAGATAGACCATAAAAATCAGGCGAGTGCACGAAACAAAGACAAGCGCTTTCCCTGTGACCACCGCAGTGACCACGGACTCATTGTCAACTTGCAGCCATCGTGAACAAGCAGAACAAGACTGGTGGAATAAAACAACGTAACTGTTAGTATGTACTAACATTTTAGTAGACGTTATTCGAGATCGAGTCAGTCTGGATTCAAAAAATTATAGATGTTAAAGTAGATCTGTGAAAAAAAAGAACAACGTTGTTGAAGATCCTGTTTCGAAATTTCTGACCGTAAGTCGACCTCAGCGCCACCACCATTGGCGCCTCGTTCCTCACTTGGGAAACACCGTGGCTGCCGCACCTGCTCCTGAAAAGTCGAACATCACCCGCGAGCCGACGACTGATACTGCGAAAAATTTTGCTAGGCAGCGGGAAGGCTACAACCCCAGGCTGTATACAATTTCAAGATGAATTCAAAACCGTAATATGCACGTTCTTTTCGACGTGGTTGCAACACGACGCATATTTTGTTTCATCACCCTTCTGCAACTATTCCGGCGGCCTGACGTGTGCTAAATACGTCAGAAAGCCCGCGGACAACTGCGTCCGATGCTGTCTTTGCTTTTCCAAGAACCCCCGGAGCATCAATTGCCAATGTGTGAAATTCGGGAAGACCACAGAAAGCACGCTTTCTGCTTCTTCCTCAGGCGAAGGGATAACGTCAATACTGGAGTCCAGTCGTGTGCCCAGAATATATGAAGGAGCGGAATTCATCATCCCAGAGACCACCTCCGCTGGGGATTGATTTGGATTTCTCGACAATTTCTCCTGCAGGATGTCGGTCTTTACCGTGTGGCAGCGGTTGAACTTGAATCTCAGGACCCAGTCATTTTCTCGTCGCGGGAGCGGCTCTCGTCGGGGGACTCGTGATTTGCTCTTGCTTTGGTTGTTCCGTCTGCTGTCTTGTTGAAGTTTTAGAAGCTCTTCGTCTTTTTCTGTTTTCCCTTCAATATTTCTGGACGTTGCGCGGCTTCTTTCGGACGTCGTGTCTTCATTATCTGTCCCAATATCGACCGAAGTGTCGACAGTATGGAGTTTTGGCGTTGCGTCTTCGAAAGTAGAATCTTCTCGCTGCGACTGCTCGCCCTCGTCTCCTTCATCTGCAGTGGTCTTCACGACGTGTTCCTTACTAGTACCAGTGCGTAATTCATCCGAGCTTGCAGATGTCAAGCGGCCTGCAGTTGCAACAAGCCGCACGACCTCCTGCTCTGCTACTTCCAATTTTTTGATGTTTCCGTCTGCATCGAACAGCTCGTCCCCATCTTCGGGTGGATCAAGACCTAGTTCGGCCAAGCTTGATGCTGGCGTTGCATCTTCCAGGGAGTTGTGAGATTCTTGCTGCTCCCCAGTCGCTTGGCGTTCTCTGGAAGGATGCTGGTGCACAGTAAAAGAAACAGACGTCGACTCTTCTTGACTTTGGTCCTGCCTTTCTGCGTCGGCCGCAAGGAACGCGTCCAGTGCGTCGTCGTCAAGCTCCTCGATGTTGCGGAGAGTCGCGAGCCGGCTACTTACCTGTGAGTGCGAGGACGATTTTCAAGTGGTTTACTTTTCGGTACAAGAAGGAGAACTTGTTCGTACAGCACGTATTTATGCATATGCTAACATACTAGGCGACGTCCTTTATCACTATAAAAGAACAGCATCCAACTAACTAGTACTGGGTCCATCGCGTCAGCCTCCAAAAGGTTGCTCGGGTAGTTGGAACTTTCCTTTTGTTCTGCACCATTCTCCTTCGACGATCCAGTCCTGACTTCGATCGCCCGACTCACGACCGGCGGGGTGATTCCGCCCGTGCTGCTGGCTCCGTCGCCCAGCAAACCTATATCAACTGCAAAAAAGTCTGGGTCTGGAAACTTGTGATGCAAGTCCGTGAACAATAAAGTGCTCTGTCATGCGCCGCCAAGCATGACAAGTTTTTTCGTAATTCTGTGCTGCGTATTTCGCATGAGAAACTGCGCTTTTGCATGACAGGCAAGAGGGCCTCTTGGTGGCCACGCAATACAGAGTGCAGAGTCATGCTAGACTAGCATGACAAATCTCGCAATCTTCCAGACCCAGACATTTTTGCATTTGATAACCTAGGTTTTGCAGCAGTATCTTACTAGTGTTGTCGTTGTAGTTTTTCGGGCGGGGCGGCGACGGCGGCGGCGGCACGGTGGTGACCGCTAGGAGAGACCAGAACTCTGCCAGGGAGAAGCTCTTGCTGGGAAAGTAGTCAGACGGGAACTGGAGTTCCAGTTGCAAGATCGGCTCGACGAAGACGGGAACGTAGACGTCGTTTTTTACCAAGCACAGCACGAAGTTGTGGCCAACGTCGTCGAGAAACGCCGTCATTTGGATTTTATCGTCTTTGATTTTTCCTCGGTCATGTTGTTCAGTTGTAGAGCCAGGCATTCTAGTACTAGGAGATGTAGACGTAGCTGCCCAGTTTGCGCTCACCTGGTTGGCTGGCCCGGATCGGGAGTGTGGAATGGAGAAATGATGGACGTATCAAATGCAAACATTTCTGGGCCTGGAAGAATGCAAGTTTGTCATGCTTGTCTCGCATGACTCCTACATTTGTCATGCACGTTACCCAAGCGCTCCATTTTTCTGTCATGCAGAAACGCAGTTTGTCATGCAGGATAGGCAACACCTAGAAGCCCAGAAACTTGTCATGCTGAGCCAGCACTTGTGGCCTCATCATGATACGCCACCAAGCATCACAAGTTTCCAGACCCAGACATTTTTGCAGTTGGTAGGACGTGGAAGAAGTCGATAGTGCTTGATGTGGTTCCACCCCCACTTGATGTTCGAGAACCTCCTGAATGCTGGAAGGGATAGCCTTCTTTGGGAATTTTCGTCGCTTGCAGGCTCTCGATAGAAGTACTGGTCGTGGAGATTGCAGCAGCTCCACCCGGAGCCGTCGAGCTACCGTCTACTACTTCGGTCAGAGAGGAAGTTGTCGGAGCGGAAAGAAGAAGATTATTCGACGAAACAAAATGACAGGAAGCAGAAGACGAATTAACAGCGCTGGGGGTTGCAATCCCTGATCCCACCATTTTCCCCACCGGCGTCCCCGTTGGCGTATTGACTTTTTGCAGAGTTCCCGGACTCGGCACAAACTTGTTGCTGGGCGTCGCCACTCGGCTCGCGGGAGCGAAACCAGCATGCTGGGATGATGATGGTCGTGCTTGTTGAGAATTACTATGTGCACCACCTGTTCCACCACCACCTCCGAGCTGCTTTATTGTAAGCTCTTGCTGGCTTGTCCCAGTGGTCTGCTCCTCTTTGCTTGTTTTTATTTCCGGTTGTAAAAACACCCGTGGCAGCGTCGGGGGTAGAGAACGTGCGGTCGCAGCTGCTCCCTTGTTGATGCCCTTGATCAGATACCGGTCCACCCCCCGCTCGGGAACTACAGGCTTTATTTCGGTAGGAGCTTTATTCTGATCTTGTCGCAGCGCTTGTTCCCCCGTGTCGGCGCACGACCTTGTAGCTGCTCCAAAAGCGACGTTCTCGATCCACGAGGCTAGGGAATAAGAAGCTGCAGTTGTTTTTGGACGACGCGGCTCATCTGCATCTTTACCAGGTATAATGTTGTCCATGGTTTTTGCAGCAGTTTGCTCCTCTTTCGTTTCCAACCGAAGGTGATTCCGCAACCACATACTTGTCCGGAAAAATACGTAGCTGGAAGTGACGTGCTGGTCGTGAAATGAAGATGTCGAAGATCCATCCAAGCTTCCCACACTGTGCAGCCCGGACGTAGAAGATGTAATTGGCGGGTTGTACACTTGATGCAGACCCCTGGCACCCTGTTGTTGTCCGAGAGACTTCGCAGACTGCACTTGTTGCGCAGCCGTGGCGCAGCGCTGAAAGTACTTTTCTCGGATTTTGCGCAAAAAATCCTCAGTGGTCTGCGCGGAATGTTGCTGGTGCAGTAAGTTATCATCGTTGTAGCAATTGTACTTCCTCACCGCGCGGTCAAACTCGCGCTCGATGTCACCGAAATGAGAATGCAGCAGCGACGCCAGCGTCAGGTAGGTGGGAACGATTTTTTCTTCATCGAACCCGATGAACACGGCCCCCTCGTTTTGCATGAATTCGTGGAGGAGGTCCAGCACTTGAGTGGTTTGCGTGTAGCTGTGATGGAGAACCTGCTGGATAACGGCGGAGAGATTCGGAGGTTCCTCTTGATCTACTTCAGTACTAGGAGCTGCTTCTTGTTCACAACTACCGTCTATTTGGTTTTCCTTTGTATTGTCGGTGTTCTTGCTGTGGGCGGTCGACGTCCCCGTTCCGGGGCATAACGCTCTCAACGTTTCTAAAATCAAGTCCACTGAGATTGGCCGGAGCAGACCCGGCACCGCTAGCCCCGGGACGCGGTGGCAAACAGCATCGATCAGGTGTTTGTTGTTCTGGTAGTACTGCACCTGAAGCAATCGTTTGTTTTTTTTGATGCTTGTTTTCAGAGTATTTGCACTGTTTGTTCCCTCGATGTTGCAGCCCTCCTCCTCCTCCGGGTCGTCGTCCGCTCCCGGCAACTGCCATTCATTTTCACCACCCTTCTGCGCATAGTGTCCGGCGACGGTTTTCACCGACACACAAAGCTCCCGCAGTGGGGTGAGGAAAACCGTTGCGGCTTGGTGTCCCGCTTGCGCAAGCCGGTACACGAGTTGCTCGATGAGGAGGAGCCGCTGCTTCTTCTGAAAAATCCGCTGCGTGTACGCAAAAGTTTGCAGCATGCAGCAAGCGGACCCCAGGAGCAGGTCGTGGTCGAGGTCGGACTTCTCTAGGGAGCGTTGGAGTTGTAGAGGAGAGTCTACTCCAGTAGATGATGAGGAATACTTTAACTTTTCCACCTGCAATAAATGATCCTCCTGATTTGTTGCATTCGTGTAGTTGTTCCCTTCTCCGCCCGCACTGCTCGTCGTTCCTGTGGTTGTTCCCTTGATGTTCCGCCTCGTTCCGGCTGCTTCCTCAACCCCGGCGGCGACACTAGTGGAACCTCCAATTGTCCGTGAAGTCGTACTGGTAGCGGAGGAGGGTGGAATTCCCGCTCCAACGAGCAGCTCCTGACTTCTCACCTGTTCTCCGGAGGACGGCACGGTGTTGTTTGTTCCCCCTCCTCCCCCCGCTCCGGAGGACCGGACCGACGACGCGGTGCTCGGGACTTTGGGCAAGCTGCTTTGCGTGCTGCTCTGCTCGGCCACGGAGGCGAGCACGCGCTCCTCTCCGCCGAGGACGACGCGGTGGAAGGCAGTCCGAATCCGGTCCACGTGCTTTCCCACTTCGGCCACGTAGGAGCTCGACGCCCGACAAGTGGAGGAAGAAGAGACGGGGGTTGCAGTTGAAGTTGTTGTGCTGGTGACCAAACCCGAGCTGGGTGCGGCAGAGGTGGTGTCTACGAGTACGGTTTGATCGTCGCTTTTAATATTTTTTCCGGGCTGTTGTGCTAGTGCTTGTTCAACTGCCGAAGTCTTTGAACCCTTATCAACGCCATTAATATCCTCCCCTTTCTCCAGCTGCACCCGGATCTCGCGCACCACCCGCCGAGGGGAGGTAGGAACGTTTGTGTAGTTCCAGCGCTGTCTCCTTTCCACGGTTTCTAGCGGGGAGGGGGTTGTGACGAAGAAGTCATCCCTGACGACCCCGGTTTTGTTTTCCACATCCACCGCTCGGACCTCGGTCGTCGACGGCCGCCGCGGCGGTGCCAGCAGCGAAGAGCCGATGGGCCCGACGATGGTCGTTGCTCCTGGGGGTGAGAAAATAATAGCCGGTTGATGTGGCTGGTTGTATAATGGCTGCGCTTGTCCGCTCGTCGTGGAGGTGGTCCCGTCGTCTTGTACTAGTGCACCAGAAAAACCATCATTTCTACCAGTCGTTGTGGTAGTTGTCGTTACAAAGATGTCATCTAACGACCTTGGCAGAACAGACGTACTAGACCCCGTAGAAGTTCTTGTACCTGGCGGCAGCTGAGACCGTAATGGCGAAAGAACCGCTTTGTTCGACGATGAGCCCGGCATCGACGACGTCCGGCTGGTGTTCGCAGCAAAAATCAGCTGGTGCGTTTGCGTCCGCGCAAGCGACTTGCGGACGAGCGTGGAAGCTGTCGTGTTGTAGTTGTCCTCGATGCGGGGGTTGGATACAGCGGTTTCCGTACGACCCTCGTTCGCGGCCAGAGGTGGAAGGAAAAATAGATATTCCGCTATTTCACGCAGGAAGGTAATTGCCACTCCTTCGCTACTTCTACTAGCTGCAGGTCTTTCTTCATTTCCCGCTTCTTGACCACGCCTGTCAGCACCGATAGAAGACGAATTATCCGTGCACGCATGCTGTACCGACACGACCAAGTCAGCTAGTAGGAGCAAGCTGAGATTCAAGTTCTGACTAATCCCGAGGAACCCATCCGAGTTCAGCTTCTTGTGCGAAAACGTGTGCAACAGGCGCGCTTTATCATTGGCATGATTCTTGTTCGCCTTCTGAATGTCAGGCGTGGTCCGATTCTGATGAAAAACCCCGTCGTTTTCCCGGGACAACGCAAATTGCTGCCAGATGCTCGTTGACGACGAACTCCCAGTGTAGGACCGCGTTTTCTTGTTCGATACACTTGCATTTGACGTTGATCCGCCGCCAATCATGGTGTCATTGCTCAGGACAACGACAGCTGTGTTAGCGCCTGTGTTTTGCTTGTCACTTCTATCACCGTGTTCTTGTTTGCCAGGCGGCGACAACACCGCTCCTCGCGTCTTCGCCAGTTGTTCTGTGCCGGCTTTGTTTATTTCGGCGCCAGAGGAAGTGTGTCCCCCGCCGCCTACGGTCAAACTGGGGGACGACGGAGGCAGTAGGAGATTGGCTGCGGATATAACAGCGCCGTTTTCAAGAACTACATCTTCCTTTCTCTCTAGCACACTGCCGGTGTCAATGAACAGCAAGCTGCGGAGCAAAATCGTTCTCACGACGAATGTCATGGCAATCTCGATGAAAATCTCGCCGAGGAGCTGCTGGGGCATGGTTTCCAGCATGTCGGTGATGAAGCTCAGCTGCTCGCTCCAACTTCTGTACTGCTGCGAAATCTGCTGTTGTACTTGCTGCTGTATAGAAGTTGTGGAGGGGATCATGTTGCCCATGATGTTCATGCCCCCTCCTCCGGAAGTGGCACTGCTCGTTTTATTTAAACCGCTGATCCAAGTAGAAATCAGAAGCAAAAATATCTGGGTCTGGAGGAATGCAAGATTTGTCATGCATATTTCTCATGACCCATGATGCCTGTGATGCATGACATAGCATCGCAGACTTTTAGAGGCCTTTGTGATACCTCTACCGCATGAGAAATGCCCTATCCGTGTAGCACAAATTGTACCCCTCTTGCTGGTCATGCAATACAAATTTTTTTAGAATCCACAGACAGCATCACAAGTTGTGACCTTCCAGACCCAGACATATTTGCATTTGATACTAGAGGCATTAGAACAACTTTGCCAGCACGCAAACAGCTGCTCGCGGAGAAGATATCCTGTGCAAAAGCATCGCACTCCTATAAATGCAAGTCTTGCATTACAAATTTTTTTCTTGTAAATCCACATGACAAATTTTATTTCTCATGCTGAGGAAATTTGTAATGCATTTATACGAGTACGATGCTTTTGCAATGCATAGCAGAACACACGTGTCGATGAACAGTGCACAGCAGTGGGCGCGAAACCAGGACGACATAGTCGGGCTTAGCAGGGGTTTGCTGGTGACAGTGACTGAGGCTGCGGTTGTACTTCCCATAAGCAGTTCCTCCGACGTTTTGACGTCCAGCTCTTGGAGCAAATTTAGCACGTACAAGCACGCGTGCTTTGCCTTGGTATTGATCTGCGCTGTCGGACAGTGGATCAAGGCGATGCTCTATCCCATGGAAAAACGTCCCCACCAAATTTGCATGCTCACAATGTTTCTCATGCAAAGCCCCATGGCAGGCATTTTCTAGTCGCGTTTCGGGATTTGTATTGCTCCAATCAGCATAATAGCCTATGTCTGTGATGCTGCTGAACAAGCTAAACAGGGCGACAACTACTAGGCCAAACTTGTCATGCGTAACAACCAAAGCTGGCTGATTTGTATAGCAGATTTCCCTTCTTGACTATGTGGTGGGGACGTTTTTCCTCAGGATATGCTCTGCGTGAAAACCGGAAGTTTCGCGATTACCTCCTGCTCGTTGAAAAACAGTTGGAAGCAGTCCATCTCATTCAACGCAAAAGCATCGCAATCCTAATTGCAACATTGCATGACAAATCTACCTTCTTAGCTGAATCAGCATTACAAGCTTGATAGGATTCTTTTTTCTGAGAAAAATTTGTGATGCAATTACTCCTAGTACGATACTTTTGCAATGCATAAACCTCCTCCGTCAGCAGCTTCGCGAAGTTGCACAGCAAGGTCGCGATGCTGGCCACGATCTGTATTGGAATTGGTATTCTTGACCTTGCGACGCATTACAATTGCTTTATTTTATTTCTCTGCATGGTTTGACTGGCAATGGCTTCCAGCATAATTCGCTTTCAAAAATAGGTCTTCAACCGACGATCTACGCAGGCGTGTGCTGTGAGGTGGTCTCTTTTTGCAACAACCGATCACAGCAGCTGCAAATAGAAGAAGAGGAGAAAATTGCAATCATCAATGGTATAGTAGTTAGAATCAATACTTTTATACGTCGGCGTCCTGGCCGCAAAGTCGCAAGTCGACCATGCAGACCTGATTGAGAAAGAAGTTTGACTGCAAAAAGGTCATCAGCACGGACCCTGGTACCGCATGCGTCAGCAAGATCTGGGTTGTCTGGATGATCTGGTGCCACACAGGCTCCAGGGCGGAAAACGGGAGCTGCGGATAAATAGCACCAGTAGAACTACTGCTGTCTCTACTTCTTCCGGGATGATGATCTCTTGAGGTCGTTGTGCTGCTACTGAAGGGTGGCAGTGCAGCATTTCCTGCTATCCCTAGCATAGATCTGGAAGTACTTGTGTTTGTTCCAAATGTTGATCTTCCCAGCATCTGAGTCGTTGGGTTTGTTTCGTTTCCACCGGCAAGCAGTGCCGTTCGGTCGTCGACTGCGGGAAGCAGACATAGATTCTTCAGACTTCGGAAGAACTGGTAGCGAACCGCAAGTTCGAAAACCGGCCCCGTCTCGATCACTGGACCGGTTAGCCCTGATTTTTTTTTGCATGAACATGAACAAAGCACTGGTCTTCGTACAAGAACAAAACTTTGTGGTCGTCCTCGTATCTATCGAGGAAGAAGATCATGTGCCTATGTAGTACTAGTCCATACATATTACAACTCCTGCAGCTGCAAGACTCCATAAGCATGTATAATTGTACCTTTCGCCTTCCAGCTCCTCTGTGCCTCTTGCTGCTCGTGGAGCAGTAGTTCCCCTACCTTTTGGATTGCGTGCACCAAATCCCGCGCGACTTATCGCGAGGAGAAATTATCCCCCCTCCCCAGCATATTGACAGGGTACGTTTTCGAAAATTTGTGTTGCTGATTTATGATCACAAATCTTCTCTGTGTTGCATGAAGGCAACTCCACAACCCCCGCCGCATTCAGCAGGCGGTTTGTCATTCTGTTGGGGCTACAGCGTAGACGTCTGTCATGCTAAGCGCCTCGGCCAAAACCTGTCTAGTACTTATTCAGGCTTGCTATGGGCCTGCAGTCTTCGCCAGCAAGACAGATCTGATTTGTGTATGCAAATTCAGCATCAGAAACTTCGTTTTGATATGGGGAGGGAGGATTTTCATTCTGATACGACTGCCACGGTGTTCTCCTGCGAAATGCGCCAGATGCCGTCCTCGCTCTTATGGAAGTGTCAGAATCGAAATTGACAAAATCGAAAAACTTGTGATGCATAAAATCGATTTCAGTTGGAGCCTCAGTTTCCGAGTGGCGCATGACAAATTTCGGGAGCACTCAAGTCCAGTCTGTCATGCTGTGTGGGCAAAGAAGACTGCTCCTGTCATGCTACTCTGGCAGCGCATTGCGTACCCCTAAAGAGGCTTGCAATCGGCCTCATTTGCCTGCTCCCCAATACAGGCCTCCAGTGCCTTACATTTTATGCATCACAAATTTTTCGATTTTGTCGATTTCGATGTTGACACATCCATAGCTCTGCCTCCCGGCGTACTGGATCCGCGCAAAAAGATCCTCAGCCGTAACCCGCTGCTCGCGGGGCGGGACGAAAATCATGACAGGCCTCGTCCTCGCGCGGAAATAAAATGCGCCGTTAATGCACAGGTCGCCCTCAGAAGTGGTGGAGCCTGTTGTCCCTCAGAATTATGAAACGTCCATTTTTATTGGTGTCAACGACGTCTTCCCGGCTAGTACTTAGTTTTTATTTTGATCATCAAAATTATGCTTCGTACTTGATCTCGTTTTGATCACCTCAAACCTGGAACGGATATTACGGATCTTCTTCTGGCGCTGAGGACCTTGATTGGATCCTGAAGTCGGTTTCCTTTCTATTTCACACATTTGCAAGCCTTAGCGGAACGAAAGGAGCAACAAAGACTAGGCGATGAACCGAAATAAAAGCAAGAGCTGTCGACTGAGCAAGAAAAAAAACGAAAACCACGATCCGGAAGAAAGAACAAAAGCATCGATCCACCCAAATATACAGCTTAATAAGAACAAAAACAGCTATAAAAACCGTAGAAAGGCAGAGCTAACCCGCATAGCAGCCTCCAGGACATATGGTCTCGTTTGCCAACATGTCGTTGCTTTGATTTTGTTTTTTTGCTTTTCAACATCTGAATGAAGCTCCTAGTCAATATTTAGTCTTCTAATATCTCTTGATGTGGGCGACTGCTCTGTACTATTTCCGCTCTTTCCGGCACAGGAAAATTTGTGTCGTTTCATCGCTGACTTCGTCGACTACTGAAACTGTGATACCGAAAGGAAAGAAAGGCTGTGACGAGATTCGTGATGAAGACAGTAGCAGTGATGATTACATCAACAATAATCTTCGTTCTCCTTCGTGCTAGCCGGTAAAATCTATTCTTTGAGTTGAAGTTTGCTTTTAAGACCTTCTACGGTGGTAAAGCTGCAGCGCGATGCCTAGAAATCATCATCTCCGTCTCCTCTTGGAGGCCAATATACCAATCCGATTAAGTAATCCAAGTGGATATAGATACGTTTCTTCATTTCGAAAGGTTTCTTTGGGAAAATGTTTCATCAACTACGCCATCAAATTGCCCCCAGAGAAAATGAGAACTGAACTAAGACGTTAGTTCATGTGCAAGAGTTTACCAACAAAACCGAAGGCTTCGGTTTTGCGGGCGGTGTTGAAAAGTAAGTAAATCAGGAACTCCCCAGGAGCCAACCCTTTTGCGGGACCGGCGTCAAAAATTTAAATAAGAAAGAAATTCGCAATTTGTCATGCATATTTTTAATTCGCAAAATTTAAATTTAATCAACGTAGTCTTTAATTTCTAACGTAGCGACATACACAAGAAAGCTACTGCTTAATGTAGTTTTTTTGTTCTCAATCTTTTTTTGATACTAGCCTTTATCTTCATCCTTCAGTCTCAAGCTATCTGTATTCCTTAAGTGTCAAGCTAATCGATCTAGTGCCTAGATTTCTTCAGTTTTGTTTTGTTATTGCAAAAGAGGCTTTGAGTTTTATCACATTGACCGCACCAACATCCGACACCGACTCCGTTCGCATTTTCATGCTTTCTGCACGGTGCGGATATCGACAAAGTCAATGATTTCTAGCCCTGGAGGCGGAAAACCAACCATCTATCTCCCGAGCGCGTCCTGTTTCTGCACAAATTGTAGCGCCCTCTATTTCACCCTTGGCATGGGGGATCAGACATACAAATCATTATCATTTTTTTTTTTTCGAAGCTTCATATACAAAAAAGAGCTAATGCACGAAAAAAGGTAGGAGTGCGCAATCATGCTAGATCGAAATTCCATAGAGAGTAAACTAACATCAACCTCCCAACTACATGCCCTCGTCCGATGACACGTCCATTGCCAGCGCTGCCAAGTTGAATTCCCGTTGGCTTCTACGCATCATGGAAGATCCCGTGCTGCTAGGTGTACTCTGGTCGTGCCCCGGCAACGTTAGCAGCAAATCTGAAAACGAAAAGTGATTTGTCGTTACTTTATGTTTAGAAATTTTTCATTGCAGGCAAAGATACGTGATCCGCCAGATTCTAAGGGAAGTAAAACCAAAATAAATGAAACGGAAACAGATCAGTTCAAACTATCGAGCACCAATAGAAAAATATCATTCTTACGCGAGGACATCGACTCCCCGAAGACAAAGGGCGAAGTGAGCGGCATCATATAATCGGTCCCAGATTCGTCGTTTTCGCCGGGCGACGGGGACAGAGTCCGCGACTTTTTCAGGTGTGTGCTGCCCGGCTCATCGGGCTCCACAGTCGTGGAAGTCGAAGTTCCTTTGATGAAAAGATTTATTTTAATATCACAACTCTGTCAGATGATTGATGATATGAAGAGACATAACATATTACGTTAAGTATAGTAGATACGTAACGCATTTTTACACGACTCGGCTTCCACGCATTGTACTGGGGACGAGAGTGAGTATAGCGAGAAACAGTTACTCCATAGAAAAACCTCGAAAATACCGAAATCCGTATCCTTTGCAGCCCTCTGGTGCCTCTTCCTCTTCGATGAGCGGCGTCCCGCTTTTCCTTTTTCCGACGACTCAAACCCCGCGAGATAAAACTCACGATCATCTGCCCCGACACCAGTGGTACTTCTATCCGAGTAGCTGGAGGAGGGTTTTCGCACGACGTCCTTTGTCAGCACGCTGTTGCTCGGAGTATTCTCGTTTTCCCCCGCGCTGCTAGTACTTTCATCGTCCATGAAATGCAGCCACGGTTCGTGCGTAGGCAATGTCAGTCGCGGGGTCCACTCGCGGTCTTGGTCCGGGTCTACTAACCCTGCACGAAAAAACCCACCTATCGGCAGAGTCAGGTGGGCAACGTTTTTCGCTTTCCCGCTGCGCTTCAGCTTCAGAACAGCCAGGGAAAACAAGTTGACCCTGCCAGCGGCGGTCAGCAGCAAGAGAGAGAACGACCTTCGGGAAGCAAGAGCCACCATGGAGAGGTCGTGTTTGGTGTGCGATAGAATAAATATTAACCTCGTTATGTTGGTGTAGAAAGTAGTTGTATAGCAGACCGTCGAAAATTATGAAAAGAGCAGAAGTGCCAGTAATTCAATTGTTCAAATGGGAAAAAATTTAAATCTTAACCACGCACGATAATTCTGCTTGACAACGCAAGAACTCCTAATCTATATTTTTTCCACGAAATAATATTTATACCCTTCTCGCCCTCCAACAATCAATTTGTCGAAAATAATGATTAGTGACCACGCGGACGAATACTTACACAGACGTAGACATCAATGCGAAACGGAAAACGAAAAAAAAAATGAACTACGAAGATGCGCACCTGGAAAGACGACCTCAAGAAACTTTGATCTTACCAGAAAGCAAACTGCAATCGCAAATCCATACACATCTGCATGATCGACGCAGGTTCTGGCAAAAACGGTCAACAATGAAACGAAAAAAAAAAAGGTAGAAGAAGGAAACAAAACAGATCAAGATACAAGAACCTGCCCCGGATAAACTACGGAGCAAGAAGGCGATCGCAATGAGTGCTCTTCTAGACGAAAATAAAGCCGAGGTTGCTGAACACCCGCTTTGAGGAAGAAAAGTGCGCGAGCATATATCATGCTTTCAAAATCAAATGCACCAAGCAACAAAAGATTCAATCCTCTGACTGATACGCACCACATCTGCATCTGCTTCATCGATCTTGTCTCACCTCTCATAAAATCTCGAAACCCAAAGGAAATCAACTAGCGAGTCATCTCACCATTCCTTTTTTTAGTATGGGCTGAGTAATAAGTAAGTACTACCTGGCGCTCTGTTTGACGAGGCTTTCGTTCTTACCTCAACATCATGGCGCAAGTATTGCTCAGGCGGCAGACAAAGAATAAGAAACGATGTCGATGTTTACGTATCTATATTTATAATTCTTTTCCTTTATTCCCAGATGATTGGTGCCGAACAAGATGAAAATGGTATACAAAAGAGATACTTATCCCGGTAAGTTTTTAGTATGAAGATGTGGAAGTGATTTCCTATCCATGTGGAATAGAATTCGCGACAGTACTACTGTGGTCCTGCCATTTATGCTACGACCTACTAGCAACGGCACTAGCGCTGCGATCCGAGTCTTCAGTTGCTGTTGTCGCGGCACTAGCAACAGCCGCGCGGGTGCTCTCGTTTTTACCGCACGTGGCCAGAAAGGGATTTGTGAACAGGTCGACTGAACAGAGTTGAAAAGATGAGGAGCTTGAGCTATCTCTTCTTCTACCAAAAAACCCCGCAGAAGTTGTACACAAATCCCCGGCGCTCTCGTCCTGCTCTATCCCTTCTATTATCACGTTACCCGTAGTCGTTGTAGCACCGCTGGTGCCCAACTGCTGTGAAGCCGTAGTTAATGCGTTCGTGCTGTTGGTAGTCGACGCGGAGGTGGCCAGGCTGGACGTGCTGCCCTTCAAGTGTGCGGAGGTAGAGAAGGAATTGTTGTCACTCAACGTGCGGTCAATGTCGGTGAAATTGTTTCGCGGGGAGCTCCCGTTTTCCAGGCCGCCAGTCGTGGAGGAAGAGGTTTGCCGCACGACTTTGATGTCAAAAATAGAGTCCGCCGGGCTGCCCGGCGGGACTACAACTTGTTCTGGGGATAGTACCGATTCGCCCTCTGCTCGAACAACTACAGGAAGATCGACGCCTCCACTGCTCGGCGGCGCGGCGAAATCGACTTTGTAATACTCCTTCGCGCTCCCGCTCGCACGATTAGCGGTCGGCGAAGAAACGAACCAATCGACATGTTGATCTGTTTCCGTTTGTAGTTGCGATTTAACATTTTCCTTCTCGTTCTGCTTGCTGCTAGACCGAGACCGAGAGAACAGTTTGTTGAACGATTTTGGGTTCAAGGATTTCGGACTCGGCACGATGGAGGTGCCGCCCTGCAAGATCGTCGGTATCTGGATTTTGGCCTCCAGGGAATGAAACGGATCAGTCAGCAGGGTGGAAGCTGGCCATGTTGTAGTATTCCCGGAAGTTGTACTAGTTATCGACGCTCCTGCTGCTGCTGCTGTGTTCGTGGCTATCGTTCCAGGAACGCCGCCGCCGCTGCTTTGTCCGTACACGTCGTTATCAAAATGAAAAATCCCCCCTCCCCATATCGAAAACGAAAAAATTTGTGTTGCTGTATTTGAGTACACAAGTCACATTTGTCTTGCAGTAAAGGACTGCACGCAGATCGTAAGCCTAAGGGGGGGCCTCTTGGTGTAGGGGCCTAGCATGGCAGACGTCTGCCCTATAGGCCTTGCAGCATTACAGATCGCCTGCATGTCGTGGCGGAGTCTCTGCGTTTGCCCTCTGGCAAGAGAGACAGGAGTGAAGTGAAGTGAAGTATTTGTGGTCACAAATCTGCATCACAAATTTTTAGAAACATACCTGTTCTGTATGGGGGGGGATTTTTCCTTTTGATAGTCGTCTTGTAAAAGTTGCAAGTTCTCCCACAGCCGCTGGCTGTTTTGCTTCCCGGCCACGGATTGAAGGAACTCCTGGTCGTTCCACGCGTGATCCGGGTGCCAGTCGTTCAAAACCCGGTCCAACGGCACGTCGCCGCCCATCCAGTCCGGCAGCTGCGCGGGTTCGATGTAGGGGTAGATGTCCTGCAGTTTCGCTTTCAGAACCACTTTTTCCGCGACTTTGGGATCCAAAAACCGCTTCACGATTTTTTCGAAAAACGTCTCGAACCCCCAGGGGGCGCCGACCACGAGGATCTTGGCGCAGGACTCGGGGTAGTTGTGGCTGTTGACGCGCGCAAGCAGCTGGATCATCTTCCGCGTCACAGAAGACCACATGATGGACCGAACCGCTCCGCCACGCAAATCGAGCAACACGGTGTTCTGGTAAATCAACAACTCCCTTCGCTCCTGGAGGAGGCCCGCGGCGGGCGTCTTTAATATCGTCGTGGCAGAACTGTTTCCGTTTGCCACCCCTGTGGCTGCTGCTGCTGCTGCAGCTGCGTCCCCGCCTTGTTGGGAGGTATTAGTAGTGCTAGGGGGATAGTGCTGTGGTTTGTTTTTGTCTTTGCTTCGGGTTTTAGTCCGGGTGGTGACCACGACACTATCTGAATTAGCGTTGTTTATCAGGTCCGCAACGCCACTGGCTCCGATTTCGTCCCGCACCTTCTGTGCCTCCATTACGTTCAACCGGGACACCGCTAGATACTTGTACCGCCGGGTGTGTTCCTGCTGGACGTAAAGCATCAGCTCGATCCGATCAATGTCGAAAATCTTCTCCACTTCCTTGGAGACAATCCCCCCTAACCGCTCCACGTACACCGGCCGGCCGTCGCGGTCGCGGCCACACCACCCGAACGCGTAGCAATTCTTCATGCTGCTTTCCTGCGAGTCCGAGATCAACCGCTGTTCCTGGGTGCAATTCAGTGCTTGGTCGAGCACCTGCTTCGGATCGATAGCTGGTGTTTTCATCTTCACAGGAGGCGGCTCTACTCCTGTGTTGAAAGTAGTAGCAGCACCACCACTCTGACTCTGCGCCGACGTACTACTAGTACCCCCGACATTCGAAGTAGAAGCGGCACCATGCTCCAGCACCCTTTGCCTCCAGGCCACGTGATCCCGGAGCATTTCCAGCGCGAGCTCCAGGTTGCCCTTTCGCGCTCGTATGAACCGGTACAGATCATGCTTCGTCAGATGTTGCAACACGTTTTGGTTCTCCGCGCCTATTCGCTCCTCCAGCTCCTTCGCGAAAGCCGCCACATCGTCGGGGAAGGTGGCGGCGGCCTTGCAAATGCTCAGATTGTAGTCGTCCTGGATGGACGGCAAGGGCGGACGGGTGGAAGACGAAGATAACCCTTGTTGACCGCCCGATTGATGCTGCTGGTGTTGAGCTGCTACGCCAGGGCCTCCTGGTCCTGCGGCGCCAGTTGGATTCACCAGAGAGGAAGTAGGCGCAACTACAGCTTGTTGTACCGCATTTTTTGCATCGCCGGTTGCGTTCGTATGATCGGCGCCCGTCGTGCTGGCTCCCCCGTGGTCTACTACCTGAGTCGTTGCAGCACCACTGTTCGAAGATGAGGCTGTTGACGCTTTCCCAAAAATGGAAAACATGGCGGGATCCGATATTGTGGTCCACCTGGACCACCACTACTTGTAGTAGAAGAGCTGTGTCAAAGTAGATGCTCGTCACCGATAGCCTCGCTGTATACCAGCGGCTACTCTTGTTTTGTTTTTTCAAGGTTGATTTATTTGCATTTTTTGCTTTTGTCTGTGCTAAACATTACGTGGTCTTTCTACTTTCTTAGCATGCCACAGGTGAAGATATTACATCATGTTGACCTGCTCCCGGACCATTGCCCCAGCTGAGGCAAGAGGGTCGTCGCGTGGTCACATCAATAAATATGGCAACTACCGACATGTCGCTTTAAGTAGAGGTCGTATACAACAGTGGAACTGGAAGAGAGATATTGATATCTTCTGCTACGTATGTTGGTCAAACTACCAGTGATACTACGTAAAAATTTGTCGCAAATTGTATACTTGGGGAAGTTTTTGGGGAAAACAATGGGGTCACGCCTTGACCTGCCGTTGCAAGAAAATGATGGAAAGAAATTTTGGACGATAGGATTGACCGCCACTTCTTCTCGCCCGATAAGCATACTTATTAGAGGCGCCTGTTCTGCGGACGCGGACCGAATCACTTTGCATTGCTACAACTCACGACAATAATCAGATTTCTTCTTCTTATTCGCACAGAAATCTTCTACAGAGTAAATAAGAACTCCGGAAATTTTAGAGGTTGTGCAAAAACTGGACCCCCTTTCGACGTGTCGAAAGGGGGGTCAGCGGCCTGCTGGCGACCTACCTCCCCCCTCCCCCCCCCCCTTTCGACAAGCGTCCCCATTTTCTAAAAGATGGGCTGTGTAGGGTGCGCTACGCACGCCGGCTGAAGGCGCTCCCCGGCCTTTCCTGCTTGGATCGCGGCCTACTTGCAAAAAATTTCGCGGGGCGCGCTGCGAGCGCCCGGTGCTGGTACATTGCCCCCTTCTTTCGCGAACTAGTAAAAAACCTTAGGCCCCACGCGGCGCCCGAGGTGCAGCTACGTTGCGCGCGTGTGTTGCTTTACATTGCTTGCAAAAATTTTGCGGGGCGCGCTGCGCGCGCCCGGTGCCGGTATATTGCCCACTCCCTTCGCGAGCTAGTCTTTGTAAAAAAAATTTTAGGAGCCACGCGCGTGTGCTTTACATTGCTTGCAAAAAAAAACTCGCGGGGCGCGCTGCGCGCGCCCGCTGTGGTTAAATTGCTAGGAAAACCGCCGCGGCTTCGCTTTTATTCATTTGCCAAGGGCTCGCGGCGAACGAAGCGAAAACGAACACAGGCGGGCTACCACTATGATGAAAGCAGTCTAATAAAATCCACCATATTGGGCACCCACTAGGCCGGACTTCTGAACTTCTGCGAACGAAGTCCGCCTGTGGTCGTCGTTGCCACACAGCGAAAAAAGTCGCTTCGCCGGATGCGGCCCTGCGATCTACTATCAGAATCGCGGAGCCAAGTTGGGAGTCAATTCCAAAAAACATCTGCACCATTCTGGCCAGAATACATCTACACCGTTTCCAAAAAACATCTTCTACAGAGTAAAAAAGAACTCCGGAAATTTTAGTCCTCGAAGCCTCGAAGCAGCGAAGCCTCGAAGCAGCGAAGCCTCGGGCCCGCCATTTTGTCGTTGCGCCGGACCGGAGCGACAACATCAGGGGTCCCTGGACCCGCCAATTTGTCGCTGCGCCGGACCGGAGCGACAAATCCAGGAGTCCCCGGACCCGCCAATTTGTCGCTGCGCCGGACCGGAGCGACAAATCCAGGAGTCCCCGGACCCGCCAATTTGTCGTTGCGCCGGACCGGAGCGACAAAATCAGGGGTCCCCGGACCCGCGAATTTGTTATTGCGCCGCACCGGAGCGGACCCGCGAATCAATTTGTCGTTGGCCGCCAAGTCGGTGCCGGACCATGGCCGGGCCCGCCGCCCGGCGCCAAATCGCGGCCCCGCCATGGTCCGCGCTTTCGATCGAGCCCCATGGCCATGTCGATCTTTAGAGCTGGCCAAAGCCGAATCGTTTAGGCGCTTAACGCCTAGAGCTCTAAAGATCGACATGCTAACGCCTCGCAGCTCTAAAGTTTCGATCCCCATGCTAAGCGCCGTTCCGGATCGTGGCCATGCCAGTCTGGCGCTTTCAAAATCGCAGGCGGATGGGCCTGCCTCTGCTGAAGCGCCGGAACCGATTTTCCACAGATAGACGCTGCGTCTGTGCTACTATTCATCTAGCGGAATACTATTAAGTCTGCAGGTTACTGGACACGGGAAGCGGGATAAGGCTAGTCTTCCACAGAGTAAATAAGAACTCCGGAAATTTTAGTCCTACCGAGTTGTGTGAAACTTCATCTCAACGAGTAGACCGATCAAAAAAAAGGTACTGTGCTCAGTCACGCAAAAAAAATTGCGGAAAAAACAACAACTATGTATTCGTTTTTCTTCAACCGATGTTGACCATAAACTTTGCACGCGCTGCGTGTAGTTGGTACCGACGGGAGTTGAAGTTTGCATCACGACTCAAACACGATGGCAAAATAAACAAAAAGGCGACTGCCAACAGAAATACGCAAGCGTCAACCTCAACTCTTAGACTCCTGATTCCTTTGCATTTCTTCAGATAGGGACGATTTCATATGAAGTGTACAGGCAGATAGTCCGAGTGATTTTCCTTGGTTAATACAAAAAGCATGCGAAAAACGAAGTCGAAGTTGATACATTTGCATTTTAGCCATCTAAAAAAATTCTGGTGAAGATCGAATCTGTATATGTGAGATGAAAAAAGCTTAGAAAAGCATAGCCCGAATTTTTGGTTCAGATAGAATTCCATCGGTTGCTGCGAGGCAGAACGGCTGTTGCTATGGAAGAAAAGAAACACCATCAGTCACGACTTATATACACATTTTCTTGCATAAAAATCCGTCATGCGTAAAACTGCTGCTTCATGCAGCGTGATTTGAAAATATTTTGATTTTTGTAATAAAAGCCAAAAATTGGCAGCATGCGACCCGAAGAATTTCTATATGCAAACGTATGACTGTGATGGTGTTTATTTTTTCCGTTGCATACGCATAGTCGCGGCACACGTTCTAGTAGCACCTTGCTCCTCTTCTTCTTCCCGACTATTTATTTCGAGTTGATGATAAAAACATATAGTAGAAAAATGTGGTATAACGATAAACTTCTGAAAGCTAGTCAGCAAATACAACGCATTAACCTCTCTTTAGTTTGAGAGCACAATCAAAATCCCGCTGCTATGATAGACTTTTTCTACATAGCAACTTAAAAAACATAAGGCCGGTACTAAGCTTAGTACCGAGTTGTAGATTCGCAGAGACCAGGGAAAACATTGTTTCTTGGTCTCGTCGGTGTAAAAGATTTCATCACCACAACAAACAAAACTGAAAATTGCTAAGTAAAAACATCAAACGGGAAAAAGAAAAAGGATATCATTGACTTTTAGTCTTCATCGAGAACCTACAACCTAGAGAAGCTATGAACAAGTGAACTTTAATAGCACCTGTGTGAAGATGTCGAACGGGACGAGCTAGAGCTACTTACTACTCCACATAGGGGCTGTCGTTTCGTCCCCTTTTTGGAGACGCAACTTACTACACCTTGCTTGCCCTGGTGCTGTGCTACCAACCGCGAGAACATGAGATAGACAAAAATCTAATTCACGACCTGGGGACCTGGAACATCAACATACAGTTATATCAAACGGGCCCGAGGCCTAATTCCGGTTCGAAACAGCTTCAAACTCATTTCAAACATTTTCGAAATTGCACTTTTTAGACTAGCATGAGCGACCTGCTTGGACTTTCCGAAGCCCTCACCTCCCGCGGCATAGGATTCCGCTTGGGAACGCAGGAGAGCTCAGCCTTCAACCAGCAAACAATCCTGCCAGGCAATGCGGAATCCTACCTAGGCTAAATTGGAACGACACACCACCACGAATGCCCCTACTCAAAGAACCCGAATCACAGTGCCGGCGCCCCCCGCGGCCCTACGTAGGGAGTTCCCCAAAATAGAACCTGCCATCCCTCTTGCATGCCGGCAACAGGGGTCCCCGGGACTCTCGTCGCGAGGGCCTACATGACTCTTCTACCTTCGCAAAACATCCGAGGCCCCACCTCTTCTTGAACAAACCACATACAGAGACACAACGCGACAGACGTGGCCGCGCCTTGCTGCCTCCTAGCAGACCCACTAGAGCCCAACGCGCGAGCGGCCCAAACCCAACGACCGCAACAAACAAACTGGGGGCAGCCCGACAGGTCAAGCGCAAAACCCGGGCTACAGCAGGCTTTGATCTCGATTCAAGTCAGGGGGGCAGCATATGCCGGCGCGAAGCGCCGGCCCCAGCAGAAGCGGGCATGGCCTGACGAGGCGACTGCAATCCGGCGTTTGAAGTTGGTTCGAAATATCCAATCCGCCGTTTGAAGTTGGTCCGAAAAATCCAATCCGCCGTTTGAAGTTGGTCCGAAAAATCCAATCCGGCGTTTGAAGTTGGCCGGACAAACCTCAATCCACGACCTCAACCAAATTCAGTCCAAAAAAGTCTGGGCCTGGATTCTAATATGGCAGATTTTTTTGGACTGTTTTCGGATTGACCTGGATTGCAGCCGGATTGTCTGTCGGACTGAATTGGGTTGCCTGCCTAGAAGGGCTGGTCGCCGGCTGCTAGAAAGAGCAACCGCCGCCACCTGCTCTCGCTCGGCGCTCCAATGACAGCCACCAAGCGCGCCGGCTCTTGCGCCTTTGCAGGGTCGGAGGGTCACAGGATTAGGCTTCTCCGACTGCGCTTTCCGCTTGCAGCAGCAGCAACAACATTAAGACCAAGCTCAGAAGCCAGGGAGGGCTGGCTTGGACGTTCGCAAGGTACTACTTGCCGCCCCTCCCTCGGAGATAGACAAAAATCTAATTCACGACCTGAGGACCTGGAACATCCACATACAGTGGTGCTTGGGTGCGAAAATGTCCTGGCCTGAGGAGGTGGTCAGGCGAGGGAGATGATAGATCTTGAAGCACAGGCGCCACGCTATGCGCTTACCGGGGCCGGCAGATCTTCGGCCCCGGTGAGAGCATGGCGCGGCACTTGCAAAGCGAGCTGCTCTTGCCTGAAAAAATGGCCAGGCGAACAAGGGAAGAACTTTGCTTGTCTGGCCTCCGTCAAAATAGATTCAAAATAGATTGAAAATAGATCCGGAATAGATTTGAAATAGATTTTTTTGGCGCCCGTCCAGGCGCAAAAAAGTGGCAAGGAAAATAGCCCAATCTGCATGGTATGGTCTTACCTGAGTAAAAGTTCCCGCCTTCGCTTTTGCGATTTTTTTCGCAAGCTTTTTGCGAAATATTTCGCAAATCTTTCGCAAAAAATCTTTCGCAAAAAATCTTTCGCAAATGGTTTGCGAAAGAATGTCTATTTCATCTGGCCGCTTCCGCTCTTCAGGCCAGGACATTTTCGCATCCCAAACACCACGCTGCTCTCTTACCTGGCCCCAAAACTTGGAAGGCCAGGGAACAGAGTGCCGTGGTGTTTGGGCCAACTTTGTTTGGGCCGACGGGGCCTTTTTTATTTCCAAGCGCCACGCTATGCTCTTACCTGGCGCCAAAACTTGGCAGGCCAGGTAAGAGAGTGCCGTGGTGTTTGGGCCAACTTTTTTTGGGCCGATGCGGTCTTTTTTCCTTCCATACGCCATGCTATGCTCTTACCTGGCCTCAAAGTCTGGAGGCCCAGGTAAGAGCACAGCAGGGCGATTGTGCTTAAAAAAGTGTCTCTTTCTCCTGGCCACCTCCTCAGGCCAGGGCATTTTCGCATCCCAAACACCACGCTGCTCTCTTACCTGGCCCAAAAATTTGCCAGGCCAGGTAAGAGAGTGCCGTGGTGTTTTGGCCAACTTTTTTTCGGCTGACGCGGCCTTTTTTCCTTCCAAGCGCCATGCTATGCTCTTACCTGGCCTCAAAGTCGAGAGGCCCGGGTAAGAGCACAGCGTGCTGCTTGTACTTCAAGATCGCCCCCCCTTATCTGGCCACTTTCTCGGGCCAGAACATTTTCGCATCAGAAACACCACGCTCCCACATCATCGCTCTGGCCACTTTCTCGGGCCAGGAGAATTTCGCATCACAGGCGCACCGCTGTGACAGTGCCTGGCCTTAAAACCTGGCAGCCCTGGCAAAAGAATGCCGTGGCGCCTGTGCCAACTTTTGCGGGCCAGAGCAATCTTTTTCCCAGGCGCCAGGGTATGCTCTTACTTGGTCCGAGAGTCTAGGCCCAACTAAAAGCATAGCGCGGCGCTTGCGCTGCAAGATTACCCCCTTCACCTGGCCACTTTCTCGGGCTAGGGCAGGCACCTTGTGGCCACTTCTCATCGGCCCGGGAAATTTTGGGCAGAATTGTTCTCATTTTTCGCCCAGCTCGCGACTTCGGTGACTGTTTTTATTCTCCGTTCGATCGCGTGCTGCAGAACTGCAGACGCTTTTTCGGAAAACAGAAACCATCTATCTCAAATCTATTTGGAATCTATTCCGAATCTATATGGCTGTCGAAGTCTCCCATTGCCAACAAAAATCTAATTCACGACCTGGGGACCTGGAACATCCACATACAGATACAAGAACGGGTCCATAGAAGTAAAGATGATGAAGCAGAAGGAGAAGAATACAAACGCATCCCGCCAACAAGTAGAAGATGAAACCACAGCCACACGACTACACTGGAAGATCATGAATAAATCGAAGATAAAAAGGGACTCCTGTGAGCTAAGAAATCACCGAGATTTTTATCCGATCCCCTTCAGGAGCATATCGAGAAACGCGCGCACAGAGATCGTAGTGGAGTCGTGCTGCGAGGTATAGTTCATCTAGCTCCAGAGTCGTGGTTGCCTGGTTCTTGTACTTCTAACAACTCCGCCCAAGCTTTACGACCTGTAGGGGTTTGTGAGCTTCTTCTTGGTTTCGTCTCTACCACGTGTGTCGTGAAAGTCCCGGCCCAACAGCGGATCCTCGCGTGGTCCCAGATTATCACCGCCACGTCGCACACTGTTTTTGAATTTTTTTCAATTCATCCTATTTCTCGCAAAAGATTTTTAGCGACCATACAACAGGAAGGGATTTCATCCTTGGGAGAGTGAAGACGAGCTGGTGCTGTCGCCCTACTCCTTGGTTTTATCTGTCGACCATGCAGCAGCTGTTTGACAACCGTTTTTTATGCAGTAGGGGCCATATGAATGGTGCGATGAAAACTGCCACGTATTTCTAATCGTGCGCCTGGCACAAGAAACCCCTCCAGCGTGTTCCTTCACCCGTGCGGCGCCGGGAAGGGCAAGTTGCTCGCTGCTCGTAATCGAAAAGCGAGTTACTCCGTCTCATAATCGAAGGAACGAAAAGCAAAGAAAAAAAAGCCACAACATGATAAAAGCCGACCTTAACCTACGACAAAGCGCTAACTCTAAAGATAAAAGCCGAAAGAAGTAAACAACAGCGAACTCGTGTGTAATTTGTTGCACGTGCGTTGCATCATTTGCATGCATCTTTAGACGTATCAATGCTGTTCTTCTCAGTCGCTGATGACAAAAATCCTTACACTCTGTATTGACTATTGAAGCTTACCCAGCGACTACTGCTCCTGGTCCTGTTTTTCGCGGTGGCTTCTTCACACAGTTAAATGCCCAGCTACGTAGGTAAATTCGATTTGTTTGAAGAAAGATAGCACTTTTTATGCGGCCCGCTAATCGTGTCGCGGCTAAGTAAGCAGCTTCGGTTAAACACCGTCAGCACTGAACGCATTGTAGCTCCACGACTTGCCTTGTTTGATATGCAAAGCTATTTTAATCTCCTCGTCGGTGTGGAAATACTTGTCCCATATCATGGTAAGCGAAAATCTACTGCCTCTCTGTTTCTTCCGTATAAAAGTATCTAAGTCTATCAGCTTCGCCCTCTTCTAGCATTGTTGTAGTAGAGCCAATTGTTGAACTGGATGCCACTGGGATACAGTGCCATACTAGGGGTCGTCGTGAAAAAAGGGTTGTAGTTATAATTATTCCCATCTGTCGTAAAAGTCTCCGCATTGTAATGCTGGTAAGGAAGATCATGTTCGCGATTCCCATTTTGGTCTTGCGTGCTGCTGATCATGATGTTCTGATTGCTGTAAACCGCCCCTGTCTGCTCGCCGCAGCTGGGACTAAAGAACGCCTGTGAAGGAGGAGCAGATCGCGAATCTTCAATATTGACGCCTACAAAGGATCCGCCACAACTCCCGGAAGGACAAGAACTCGGGTCGAAAAAAAAATTTTGGGTGCTTGTAGTATAACTTGGCGCGTGGAAGAGCATATTCCACGCTGGTGGAGGCATGGCCATGGGCAGCTGCGCCATCATGCTGGTGGAGCTCCCCGTCATGTTGACATTGTCGTGAGGACCCAAGCTGTCATACATCGTACTGTTAGCACCATCCCCGGTCCTCGTTGTTTTCGCGCAGCCCGAGGAGCCCGCCATTGTCTCTGGATGAAACGTGTTAGTAGAGCAGCCAGAAGGAGCTCGTCTACCGGCCGTACTACTAGAAGGATGCATGAATGAAAACTGGTCCTCTGCTGGTCGCTGCTGGAAAGGACTATCTCGTCCTTGTCGCCGCTGCTCTTCTACTACTTCGGCACCACCACCTCCAGGCGGAGAAATGGAATGCCCACTGCTCGCTTTTTCGCGGCCGCCGTCCGTGGTGGGTGTAGTTGTGGTGGTTTTCCGTTCTGGTAAGAAAGATTTACTATTTTGATTTTCCCCGTGAAGACGAGGACCAAGCTCCTGTGGATAGGAAGGTCCGGCCACTCCTAGTGGAAGTAGACAAAGAGCATCTGCTGGCTGCTCACCTGCGTGCTTAATTCGTTCCGAGTCCTTGGTGGTAGATGATTTTTTATTTGCACTTGCTATGATCTCGTTCTTTTGCTGTTTCCACAGTTTCCACCTGCAGCTCTTCGTCATACCACAGTTGTGCGTAGTTGAAGTAGAACAAGTATTCTCGTGAAGATCATCTCCAGCTCCATCCTGCCGCAGCAGGCCGAGGATGCTGATACCTTTATTCGGCGCAGTCGCGGCCCCGGGCGGCGTTTTTACCACGTCCTTTGGAACGATTTCAACATCTCGAGAAGGCGCGGCTTGCTGTTCATGTTCTTCTTGATGTCCTCCACCAAGCAGGAGCGCAGTAGAGCTGACACGGCGCCGCTTATAGACGTTTTCAAGCGCTTTCGCCGCAATCTCTCGGTTGCGATGCATGAAGGACGAGATGGATTTTTTACGGTTATTATTTGTTCTTCTCGTCGAGCATTTATCAACATTCAGGGCTTCTCCTGCGTTCTTCGCGTTTATTTTGCAGCTGGAATCCAACATATTTGCGCTGTTCAGCACCTCCGGTTGTTCGGAAGTCAGCAGACTACTAGAGTTCTTCATCTTGTCGCACCACGATCTCGTATTACTTCCGGGAGATTCCTTAATATCTTTTTCTTTACTTTCTGTGAGCGCGATCAGACCGTCAAGCCCTGCTGCAGGTAGGTGATCATTTTTGAATATCGAACTACTGCAGGAGCTCCTAGGGGGAGAGGACGGGGGACGAGACCTAGTCGTCGTCGTCGCAGGCGTGAAGGCTTTCATCATCGCGTCGTTTTGGGTAGAAAGTGACCGGTGTTTATCGCCATCAAGTGCTGAAGCGGTGCTGCAACACGGGGGACCGACATGATTGACATTCACGCCAGTACTACTGGCAGAAGTCGTAATTGTACCGCTAGCCTGCAAGTTCATCTCTACTGCCGCATCTACATTATTGTGCACAGATGACAACAAGGGCGAAGGAGCTACTAGGATAGTATCTTTAACACCATCCTGGTGTTGCTCGTCCTGAAGATCATGATACGGATCATCATCATGCCCCGTCCTGACGCAAGAAATAAATGTAGTAGAACGATACTCCTGATTGCTTCTTCCCAGCTGCTGCGCGGCGAAACTGAGCTGGTGCTTCGCCGACAAGGTGGTTGCAGACTCTACGCGGCCCCGGCCACCGCCGTGCGGACCACCTATCGGCTGCTGCGGTGGCATGGAATTGCTGGCCGCGTGCTGCTGCGCCATGAGCTGCGGAATCTGCGACGTGTATCAAAGTGAAAAATGCCCCCACCCCCGAACTTGGCAGCATTTGTATTGCAAACCTTTGCAAGTGAAACACTCGCCCTCTTGCATCTGTCAGCATCACAGGTTTCCAATCGTGAATAGCGAAAATTTGTATTGCAAAAGACCCCAGCAAGAGCGGCGCCTGTCATGCAAGCGATGCGATCCACGCCGAAACTCTGCATCAGAAAGATTCATACTCCTTTCATGCATGACAAAAAGTTTTCATTTGGAAACTGCGCATCACAAATATTTGCAATTTCAGGGGTGAGGGGCACTTTTCCCTGTAATAACATGTGGCTCTGGTTCTGCCCCTGCGGCCCCCCGCTGTTGGGAGGTCCACCGCCGGGCGGCCCGTGGTTATTGTTCCCGGAACTACCCGGTGGCCCGTTGCTGCCGCGGTTGTGCGCGAGCTGCATGAGAAAGGTCGTGCCGCCCGGGGTGTCGAACGTGTTGGCCGAACTGCTGGAGGACAAGTGTGGCGCCTTCTGCTCCTTATTCAGTGGGGGCGGGAGCAAGCCCTGCAACAGGTCCTGCTTGTTCGGTCTCTGCAGCACCATGGGGCGGCGCTGACCGCCGCTCGCAGCGCTGCTCGGCCCGGACGGTCCCTGCCCACTCACGCCGCTCTCGGGGGGTGGCCACGGTGGTGGCGCGCCCGGCTGGTCGGACCCCGTGTTGTTCGGCGGCTTTAGTTGGCTTCCGTCAAGCAAGCTGCCCGTGGTGTTGTCGACCCCCGGTGGCCCCGGCCCTGGGGGACCGCCGGCTGCCTTCGACTCCTTGCTGCGCTTCTTGCGTTTCTCGCCGTTTTCCATCGAATGCAAATATATCTGGGTCTGGAAGACTCTGAGATTTGTCATGCAGTTTTTCCAAGCTCCACCAAGTCTGGAATGCAGGGCCTAGCATCACAGGATCTGCAGCCCCTTTGTGCTGCCTGTTCTGCATGAGAAATACCCTCTCGGCATGATCAGAAGTGAGCACCTTCTGCAAGTCACGCAACATAGATTTTTGTATGATCCGCAACATGCACCACAAGTTCGCATCCTTCCAGACCCGGACATTTTTGCATTTGATATTTTGCCGCAGAAATTGTTCCATCAAATCAACGCGCTGGTGTGGCATCTCGTGCTCCCGCGGCGGCCCGGGGGGACCAGGCGGCTGTTGTGGAATTTCACATTACTCTTCGCTAAAAATCCAAAGTGATCAAAAATTATATTCAAAGCCAACTACCCGTATGACCCTATCGGAAAAGATTGGACGTCCGATTCATTCTCCAGAGACCAGAATTGCTTTATTCCAAAACAATTCTCCTTACCTCGTCCTGTTTCGGCGGCGGCCCGGGTCCACCTACGAGGTCGCTGTGCGGCCCTAGCCTGCCCGTTCGCTGCAGGGTCGACAGCGGGGGTGGCGCGGTAGTGGTGCGAATTTCCGCGCGGCCGGTGTGCCACGGCTGCTGGTCCCGCATCATGGGCTGGAACAAGGGTGGGGGCTGCACGCGCGTCTGCGGCAGGTTGTTACTTCTCCCGCCCGGCGGACCCCCGCCGGGGTTGTTGTTCTGCGGATTGCCCAAGCTCCCTGGTTGCCCAGGCACCAGTTGTGGTCCACCGCCCGGAGGCTGTTGCGACGACCCCAGCGGTGGCCCCGAGGGCGCGGAATTGACCTGGGCGCCGTGGGCCCCGTTCGGGTTGTTCGGGTTCCCGATGTGGGGGTGCGAGCTGTGGTTGGTAGGCGGGGGCATGGGTGCGGTCATCGGTGGGTGGGTCAGCGTGGGCTCCAGCAGGTTCGACCGGGGCACGAAGCTCGCGGCGTGCGCGTTCAGCTTCTTGGCGGCCAGCGCCTTGGCACGGCATCAACGTGAAAAAATCCCCCACCCAATACAAAAGAGCAAATTTCTGTTGCTGGATTTCCGTACACAGATCAGCGTTGTATTGCAGCCGGCGCTTGCAGGCATTTCTCAAGTCTGATTACGTATGTAAAAGGCTAGCAGTTAGGCATGGCAGACGTTTCTGCAACTGCAGTAGGCAAAAGCGCATCACAGATTGGCTGTGGAATGCGCAAAATGGTTCCCATTTGCCGCATATGCAAGACAGAGCTGCTTTGTGGTCATAAATCAGCAGCACGAATTTGCATTTTTAGTATGGGGACGGGGGGTTTTTCCTCACAATACGCGGTTCTCGCTCACCATGCGTATCTGCTCGTGCCGCATCTCCCGTATCCTCGTCGTGTCCTCGGTTGCGAACAAAACGGAAACCACCAGCGCGATGTGGTCCGACGGGCGGGTGGACGACGGCAAGGCCGCCTCCTCCAGGAGCGCCTCCTCCTCGTCAACCTTGCTGATCGCGATATCAAGTGTAAAAATGTCTGGGTCTGGAAGAATCCCAACTTGTGATGCACATTGCACAACGCAGAAAAATCTCTCATGCATGGGTAGCAAAAGCTGCCCCCTTTCTCTCACCAAAGTGGGGGATTTGTCATGCGGATGCGACATTGCGGAAGCTTCTCGAAACCTGTAATGCTAGAGCTTCCATGCCAGACCTTCTGTGTCATGCAAAAACAGCATGACTCTTCCAGACCCAGACATTTTTACATTTGGTACGCGAGCACGGCGAGCAACTCCGCGGAAAACCACACGTAATCGAGCGTCCCCTTGAAATTCTCCGTGTAGTTGGTATACAAGGGTTCCTTCTTGTCCACGGCTTCATACCTGAAATCAAGTAGTAGATTTGCAGGGTAAGGAGACAGGTATACAACGTATAATCTGCCATACATCAGGGTTGAAACTGAAAGCGAAATGCAAACATCAAAAACAAAAGCAGTCCAAGACGAGAAAACGCATGCAATGTTAAAGTTTTCATCTTTTGTGAATGCTCAACAAAAATTCACTCCCCAGTAGTTGTACTACCCGGAAAGCAGCTTCATGGAGTGGTTTAGCCCGCGTGACCTGGCCAGCGTTTCCACGAGCTTGTGCTTGTCGCTAGCTTTGATGTCCGGGTGCTCGAGGTCCGGCACCTGTCCCCGGCTCCACATTTCGTACACCGCGGACTCTGGCGTGCTGTTAAAATCGCCGCACACGAGGTGGGGGACGCCCTGGTACTTGCGCAGGTACTCGAGCAGAATGCAGGACTGCAGCATTTTCACATCCGTCGATTCCGCGGCCGCCACGATGTGCGTGTTGCAAACCACGAGCTGGTGACCACCTGAAAGGAATAGGACGTATTTACGTATTGGGAAATAAAGCTGTTCGCATTCTTGCGAGCAAATGAACTTCGACATAAACCAGCATCGAAAGACAAAGACCGTACGTCATTGCATAAGTAACAACCAACCGTTGGGGCCCCGAAATTGCTCTTTGGTCGCCCGTATTCTTTTGTCCTCGAGCGTGACGAAGAGTGCAATGTTTCCCTTCGAGAGCCGCTGCATGCTTCCCTCGTAGCTTCGGAATTGCACGGGGTTGTGCGCAAACCAAGCGTTTGTTTCCTCGTCGAAGTCGCAAATCTCGTGCCCGCAGCACTCAAACCTGGATTTCTTCCAGAAGGTCGCGCACCCTTCCACGCAGTACCGTCCACGCACGAAGATCGGCTCACGTTTTTTGGCTTGGTAAACCCCAGCATACCCGTCTGCCGCCATCTCATCGCGGAGCCACGTCTCGAAGATGTCTGTTTTTATATCGAAGATGATAAATTCAATTTTTTCATCCTCGTCCTGATGGACGTCTGCAACAAGCTGCTCACGAGCACGTTGACAGAGATTAGAGAGGGGAGCAGACAGAATTCCGAAATTGTTAGGTTGTACACTTGTTCTATTAATTCAGCACCAGAAAATTGTTCCATCGACCTGTAGACGTAAAGTTACCTTGCTCGACCTCTTGCAGGGTTACAATGTCTGCGGCGATGGAGCGAATCTCCTGCAGGATTATATCCCACGAAGAAACTGCTTCACTGTGGTGATTTTGCAAGATCTGCATCACAAGTTTGTATACACATGACACAGAAAATTTGCCATGCGCGCTTCCCAAGGGAAACGCTTGATGAAAATCCAATGTCTTGCAGGTGTAGCAAGGCAAACACTTTGGTGTTTCGTTTTCTGCATTACAAGTTCACAGTGAAACAGTTTTTTCTTGCCATAAATCAGGTGCTTTCGGTAATCCCAAGCGAGCACCCAGGGTTCCGCGTAGGGGTATTGAGCTTCGTTGCAATACTGATCGGCAAGGATGTTCCAATTCATCAACTGTGAATTTTTTTTTGATGAACTAGTAAAATGGTACAACTTTCTTACAACTTCAACTAAGTACAAACTGGCGTCCGCCCGCTAAAAGCATCTGCATACTCATTCGACGTTCTTGCTGGATGAAAAGTAGGGAAAATGATCAACATGCATAATTACGACGGCGATACGATGAAAACTCATACCTTGAACTGTTGATGAAGCCAGGCCCCGTCCATCGAATAAGCTGTCATCATCGACCGGGTCCTGGCTTCATGGGGTTTGTCCAGCACCGTGCCCGTGATGATGCTTTTGCTCTCCCCTGGTTGCTCCTCCCCTTCCGGCCGCCAGGGGACAACCTAAAATAAACATGGTATTACATTTTTCCGCTTGTAGTTAAGTTAAGAACAACAACAATCTCAACCTCATGGAGTTTTGCCGTGCGGTTTCTTGTCCTTCACTTCTTTACCTCGAAGGCATTAAACCATACTTCGTGCAACAGAAAAAGCATCATGTACGTCCAAACGCAGAGGGTGGCCGACGTCGCGTAGCGTTGGGATGTATTTCTTCTCTGTGCCAACAACCTCCCAAGTGCCTTTGCTGTACACCACGTGAGCCCAGAAGTCAGCTGTTTTTGATAGTATGAACAAAAGTAAAAACTTTTTTTCATCATGTTCTTTTATACGTGGACGAAGAAAACTTACAGAACTACACACAACCGAGACCAACAACAACAAAAGTAAATCTAATTATACAAGGTTCCGCGCACTCCGCCAGTCCCAAGGCACGAATGTCCGAGGTGGCCAGGGCGGAGCGGCACGACCACCCCTTGATGAGACATTCCTTGGAGCAGTAGGTCTGGTAGTTCTTCTCGATGGCCTGGAACCGGCCCATCTTGTGCGGGTGAAATATCGTGAGAAAAAAGTGTTACAGTTACACACTCTCGTGCAAGACAAGCAAGACAGACAAGCCCTGTCATGCAGGAAACGCGTGCCAGCCTCATTTCTTCTCTTATAGTCTGCGCATTACAAGTTTTCTTCATCTTCGCCATGCAGAGCAAATTTGTGATGCTAAAATTCCAACACATGTGTAACTGTATCACTTTTTTCCTTGGATATGAAAGTAGCAGCTTTTGATCCTCGGTCCCCGGCTCCAGATGTACGAAACCAGCCCCTCGCGTTCCTTTCCCGTTTTGTCCTCGAAGGGAATGGTCTTTGCCTCCCCGGGCCGCGATATGTCCTGGAGCGCGACGTAGAGCGGAATCTCGTGGGCCACCACCGGCCGGTGCCCTTTTGTCAGCTGCACCCGTGTCGCCCGCACCGGCGCGCGGTCGCCCGGCGGCGGCTTCTCCTTCGCCCGCGCCATGGGGTCTACTAGAGACGCTGTACTAGAGGAAGACACAGCTCCGGTTGTAGTCGTCCCTTGCAGATGTATCATATGAAAAAACGTCCCCACCCCGTAGTCAAGTTGGGAACTTAGCAACACAAATCCAGAGGTTTTGGGATCCACGCATGACAAGTTGCAGTCCGTAGTCTAGTGCATGTTAGCAAGGACAACCGAATCACAAACCCATCTGCTTCTGCTGTTTACAGCATTACAAATTCCAGAAGGCGATTGGAAATACCTCTCATGGAGATGCGCATTGCAAATCTTACTGTAATCGCAAATCTGCATAACAACTATGGGGTAGGGATGTTTTTACTCAGGATAAGATGCTGATAGGAGCCCGCGGACGGGGATGCGCCCCCGACGTATCAAGAGGAAAGATTCCCCCTCCCCATATCGAGACGAAGTTTCTGATGCTGGATTTCCGTACACAAATCAGATTTGTCTTGCAGTAGAGGACTGCGGGCATATGTCAAGCCTCGGCCGAGAGGTTTTGACGTAGGCGCCTAGCATGACAAACGTGTATGCTCTAAGCCCAACAGCATCACAAACCGCCTGCAAAATGCAGGGGGCTCTCTGGACTTGCCTTCTTGCAAGACAGACAAGATTTGAGGTCACAAATGTGCATCACAAATTTTCAGACGGATGCGTTTTCAATATGGGGAGGGGGGATTTTTCTTTACGATACGACGTCCTGGAGAAGTTGTGCGGTCGAAGTACTGCAGGATATCGTGGACGGGGCCTCGCTGATGTTGCTGCTGTACTTGTTAAAGTTGTTGGACGCTTGGCTGCCGCCCCCATGCGTCGAACCTCCTTGCTGATTTTGCGATATGCCGCGCTCGAGCAGCATGGACGAGGACGTTTTGATGTTGAACTTGAGGCTTTGCAAAATGTCCACCGGCGGCGACTGCGCCCCGTTACTATTGATGTTGCCGTTTGTTGTTGTTGCACTAGTTCCGTTTCCGGGCAGGAGATGTGTGTTATTTCCTGAAATTGTGGTACTTGCTGATGTTGTGGAAGTTCCTGGACCTGGACCGGCACCGGGTATGTTGATCGGGTTATTTGCATTATTTCCCCCGTTGCCCGGAGGTCCTCCTCTTGTTCCACCGGCGGAGAGGTTGATGTGATTATCGACGAGAGCGCCCTTTTTAAGATTCGTGCCTCCGTTCGATGACGCGGTGCCTTGACCTCTCGTCGAAGCCGAGGCACTGGTGCTCGATGAACAGCTGCTGTCTATCACAGGAAAAAGTGTTAACGTTATACGGTTTTGTTTCATTCATAGATTGCAAAAATGCATGACAAATTTTGCCTAGCATGCATGCTAAGCATCACAAATTCAAATTTTGGCACGGTTTATTGGGATGCATTTCTGTATCACAAATTCCGTTAACGTTAACACTTTTTCCTGTGATACTCTCCTCGCTGGTATCATGACTGCTAGCCGAGGAGGTGTGGGGGTAGTTATTCATCGCCTGATCCTCACTCAGTTGCCGCGTCCCGTGCCGCGGCAAGAAACGACCCGATGTCTTCTTGGAGTTCGTGTTTGACTTTGAAGAAGTTGTTCTAGAAGTTTTGTTGATACGGGTTTAGTTGGTGACGAAGAAAGATCTTGCACAACTTGTTCATCATTCGACGTGAACAGCACGGCGACGATATTCCACTCAGGAATCTATCGTATCTTCATCTTTTTCGCCGATTTTCCCTATAGAAATAGCGACCTGACTACACGGTGCTGGCTCACGAGACGTAGCTGCGGTCGACGGAGCTGGTCCAAGGTTGCGGAAAGCACCAGCGCCCTGCAGGATGAGGACGAAGCAAGAAGCTTTCTAGTGGCGGTGCTCCACGACGACCGTGCAGCCCTGCCCCTGCTGCTCTACTTGTTCTCGCTACTGGTTACGGCTAGGAGTACAGTACATCACCAACCTCGCTGCTCCTGCTGCTGCCCCCGAGGCTGTATGTCGCACTCAAAACTTGGCAAGCCACGGCAGACGCAGCCTCGGCCAGCAAACTGCAGCGCGCGGAAGACGATGATCCTCCGGCTCCGCAAATCTGCCCGACAACTCGTATCGGAAATACCACTTCTCCCCGGCTGGAAGAGGCGGTGTGGGGAGTTGAAGATATCAAAAAAAATGTAAAAAAGTTTTTTTGTGGTTTTTTGGTTTTTTGTCTTTGCTCAACAAGTTGTGTACAGGGTTTGTTCTTATTGTTTCGTTTGAATCGAGGGACGACGCCAATGTCAAGACAATTGCAGCTCCTGCGTAGTTGGTCCTGGCCAGCTAGCAGCGGCACACAGAAAGAGGTGCCCAAACTCCTGCACCGATGAATTCTTCGTGGTGCCGGAAAAGAATCGCCGACCAATGAAGAAGGGTCGTGGAGGTCTTAGAAGATTCCAGCCCGAAGAGTCGGCACAAGAGGAGCAGATGACATCGTGTCAATGATCAAAATAAATCTGCTTCAATCTTCTACAGTTCTTATTTCTCTGGAGTCTACTTCTTGAAGATGTTCCGGACATTCATTTTTGCCAATCTACTATCCCTAAGACAAATATTTTTACCTCCCGCGACGAGACTTTCTGAAGCCGTGTTTTTCGCAGTCAGAGCGTCGCGGCTTGAAGAGACAAGTAAGAAGCTGTATCTGCTCTTAGCAGTCCTGATGTACTTTCACTTCAATTCCGTTCTCAAGTTTTTGTACCTTAGCGTGATTTTGAAAGATGAAGAGTAAAAGCTGTAAATGCGTCAGCTAGACAGTTGTTGTTCTCGTGCCTTGGTATTCGAGCATTCAAATTAGAACTCGCCACGTTTGATGGTTGTACTACGTTGCTGACGCTGCTGGTTTTTGAGGAAAGCTTTCACTCCGCATTCTTTTGCTCGTTGCGCTGGCAGCTACTGCAACCAGAAAGTACTTAATGTTGAAAAGTCGACTTCGCATCTTTCTTCATACAAACAGCGTTTTCTTCTCCAACTGAAGCTGCATCACGCATGGTGTAAGTATTTTTAGAGGTTAGTCTCCATGACCATGGCCTGGCGCGACTTAGGCAAATACTGTCTTTCTCAGGTTTGAACCGGTGCCGTCTAAGTCTAGTACTTTGACTCGTTGATAGCATTGCACACTGAGTGTTGGATCATTTCCAGGCGCTAGTATAAAGGCCGCACCGGTTGCAGCATCGGTATTGCCATCTAGCAGGCACTTCAGTACTCTTCGCAGAGACAAGTATTTTTGACGATGCTGTTCCCGCCCTGGCTCTTGCACTTCTACTTCTTGATGCACATAGTTTAGAAGATAGAAGAACAAGAATCATCTTTATCACCCGGGACAATTGCAACTATCGTGACGCATGGAACACTCGAGGATCATCAGCAGCAAAGCAGGTCAAAGCAAAGCATTAGATGCCATGCCGTCTAGCCGCAACAACATCGAGGCTACAGTAGTATTACACGCTGGCGATCTAGTGCAAGAATCCGCCACGTGCTGCAAAAATGCTGTAATTTCTTCAACCAAGAAGGCAGAGGTTTGTTGCTCCTCTACTTCGGGAGAAGTTCCAACTTGATGTTCCTTTTTGATACTGGAAAATGTTGAGTCATCCTCGTTCTTGACATCTTCATGCTGTCCAACGAATTCCTTAACATTCTGCGCTTGTTCTTCTTGGGAACCACTTTTTTTAGCTGTTTTTAAAGTTCTTGTCCACCGTTCCAGCGTCGCGAGGATCAGCCCTCTCGCACACAACAGACCCTCGCTGTCCCCGGGCATCTGTTGAATCAGGTCCTGGTGGTGCGCCGCGCCAGGGACTGGAAGGATCTTGACTACGTCATTGTGCTCGTTTTTCTGGTAGAAACAAGACGAGGAGGTCGAAGTGTTCGATGTTGCATTCTTGGTGGAACTTATTTCGTCGCCGCGCTCGCGAAGGTTTTTGTGCGTGTAGACGTGCCGCATCAGACTGGCACTTCTTTCGGAATGTTCGTCAGAATTTGCTGCTGTATCAAATTCGAAACTTCCGACCCGCCAGGGGTCAAATTCGCCGTCAACAATGATCGCCTTTGTCAGTGGCAGGTTCCTCCCGATGTCGCGGGACCCGTAGTGCACCGGCAGAAAATCCGGACGCGTGTAGACATTGTACACCTCTTTGCAGGTTTTTTTCAACTGCTCCAGTGCGGCGAAGGTTTCTGGCGGGTAAAAACCCAGAAAGTCGGAGGTTAGCGGCTGCATCGGGAGCTCGGAGCACGCCTGCACGTTCCACGGCTCCATTTCCAGAACTTTATCAACGTCCTTTACTATATCAGCCGAAGCGGAAGTTGTAGATGCAGAATTTAATTTGCTGTCGTGAATAAAATCTGTTCTCCCGAGCAGTTCCCTGGTCGTATTCTTGCAGAAATCCGTCCCGACGTACACGTCCACAGCGGCGGCCAGCTGCGACAAGAGTGTTTCTTTGTCAGCGGTTTCAGCTTCAGCTGCCTTGGTGTAGTTCTTTTTCGCAGGATCACGTTCTTGATCAGAAGGAAGTACATCGAGATCCTTCGCCTTCCCCGAAGCAGTAGATGACGTAGAAGTATTAAACGAACGACCACCTACCAGCGCTTCACACGCCACCTTCACGGGATCCGCCGGCAGTGGTTTCGTGAGGAAAAAGGGAAACGGGTAGTTCTCCATAGCGAGGGTGGACAGCGCGCCCTTGACGTAGTAGTACAATTGCGCGGTATTTGGGCTCTTTTCGCAGGTACGAAAAATCTTCGCAAGATCCAGCGTTTCTGTGGACAAGTGCTCGGATGTTGGCGGTAGTATTGTTTTTCCTCTTGCACCACTACCGCTGGTCAGCATGATTTCTGGCGGAAAGACTAGATATGATTCAGGCTTTGCCTTTATTGCCTCTTGTTCTTTCTTCCTCGTCGCGACGACCAGCTTGCCGAGCACGTCCACACTTTTCAGCAGTGCGGACTGGTACGCAGCACCGCCGGCAAGCAGAAACGTGTGCACCACGGCTTTCCAGAATGACAGGGACTTGGAGATAATTTTCACATCGGTGCTCTCGTGCTGGGAGTGGTGGTCAACAACAGCACCATCTTCCCCGGCACGACCCCCTGCGTCCTCCTCGCTGCCTTCGCTGTGGTCCGTCTCTGTCGCACCATCCCCGGTTTTCTTAGGAATTATTACACCACTTAACGACGTTTTCGCGTCCTTATTTTGTACAACGCGCACCGCTCCGGCGCCAGTATAAGAATCCTCGCCCGGGACGAGATCTTCACCAGGACGAGAGGTCTTGCTGCTGACCAGACCTGTTTTCGAAACCCTCGTAGTTCCTACTCCTGCATCAGATGACCCGCTCAACGCTGCCGCATACGGACGAGGAGTTGTTCCGGAGAGGCTGTCGCTCCCCGTTCCCCCTGCTAACGCTTTGGAGGCACCACGACCAGTGGTCCGCCCACTAAGACCAGGGTAGAAGTCCACCGGCGCGCTGGACAGGACCGCCCCGCTCGTCAGGTGCGGATACTTGACGCGAAACCAGCCGGCAAGCATGCCCCCATAGCTGCCGCCAAACACAAATACGGGACTGCCAACCGCGTTTCTCTTCTTTTGGAAGAACACGAGAAATCGCGCGTAGTCCGCCAAAGCTTGCTCGATCGTCAGTAATTTGGTGGCATTCGTGTTTGTTTTTATTTTTGTTCGGTCGATTGTATAATTATAGAGGTAGTTCTTCTTGTCAGCTTCTTCTTGGTCTCCTGCTCCTTGTCCGAAAACTGCAGAGTTGTTGTCCAGAGTAGACTGCCCGTACCCACGGTGTTCGACGAAAAGAATTAAGGCCTTCAATTTTGGTCCGATACTGGAGAACAGCACGGAGGTGTCCTTGTAAAACCGGTCGATAGGGCCCTCATTCCCCAGGTAAAAAAGAATGGGGCCTTCATCCAAAGCCCAAAACCCGTCGTAGACGAGGTATCGTTGGTTAAAAGTCGTATCTGTATCGAAGGTAAAGTGGTCCTGCAACTGCGGAAAAAATCCCACTTCGGTCGGTTTTGGAACTTCGGTCGATGAGGTTTTGGCCTCCCCGGAGGACAAGCTAGTACTCGGGAGCGCCGCCCCTGCTGGTAGCGAGCAGACACACAACCGCGGTAATAAGCCGATGAAACACACAGAAGATGAATAAGGCACAAGTAACAACGGTCCACGCGTGGATGGCCTCATTTTCTTTTTCGTCGTGCGCTTTTGCTTTGATAACTTAATATCACAGAGGGCATATGAAATTTAGGAAACAGAAAACACCCCGCCTTGGCCTTATCATTCAGGATGAAATAATACTCTGCTTATTCTTGAAAAAGCGCGACACTACGGCTTCTTCTAGTCTTAGTGAGGACACTACTAGAAACATAATCGCCTGTAGTTGTAGTCCCTGTAGCAGCCTGTCTGTCAGGCTCGTCACCTATTTCGACGTGAGTAGAGCATTCTTCTGAACACTGATCTGTCGCGTTGTAAGTTCTTTTCGGACAAAATTGAACAAACTTTGTTGGAGCTATCTCAACTACGTCACGTCGCACCATAATATCCCGTTCATGCTGTGATTCAGTTCATTCATCGTCATGCAGCTGTGTGTTTCCCTTAATAAGAGGCACATTGATTTACTTTTGATTTGATTCTACTTTTACTTATATGCCATGTAGTCCCCAAAAACTTGCTTCGTCTGCGATCCTAAATAACAGGGAACCTCACGCCGTTTCAACGAAACGGCACGAACCGCGATATTGAAACCGTATCATTCACCGTCTGAGTATTGGTTTAGGGAAAATGTCAAAGTGGCGTCAGCAAGAGAAACACATTTTGCGATGAAGTGCATAAGGAGGATCCTTGCTCGCACCTGCTAAACTATACAGAATAAATCTTGCGACACTACTATGATACATAAAGCTTTACATGCTTCTATCCGGTGCTATAATTTTTCAGTTTAACTTTAAGCTACACACATTCACATTCTTCAAAACGCTGCATTTATTTTCCACCCGATAGATTCAAGTACATTTACAACCCTAACCAAAACTCGAAGTTACAACATAGTTTTTTCCCCGAATTTTCACGCCGCAGCCGAAGAGGGCGAAAACCATCTTCAACTAGTACACCAACTTGCGTTAATAAAGAAATTGCTTTCATCTATTATTGCGTCGTTCGATTTTTTGTGTCTTTCTCTTTTCCCGCAAGAAATCTCTGCTGGAGAACGAGAACGCAAGCCAGAAGGAAAAACATATAACTTACCACCAAAAGGCTTTGAAAATGAAAGAATTCATACCGCACACACACGTGCAGTCGGTCTTCACGGCATTAATCATACATTCCCACACTACCTAGCAAAGACCAACAATTATCTAAAAATTCGAATTGCAGCAATCGTGGTACACTATCAACAAAATCTATCATCCACTACGCTCCTCTATGCTCGAAAAATCATGCATTCGATGAAAAAGTTCTCCTTGTCTGGAGGCTTGCTTCTACGGAAGGTTGTTCTTTAGATTTCTATTCGTCATCGCTCGTCATGTCATGATGGTAGCCGCAATGCAGAATTTTTACTGACATCACGCACATATCAACAAATTTATTGCCTTTTTCCCCTGACAATATGCGAATACGAATAGGTGTAGATATATTGCTTATTTTCCTGATAAAGTACTCATTCTGTACTTGTAGTCTAAGCGGAAATCGAAATTCGAATCGAAAAAATCATATTTGCTCATAATCCGTCCTGTTCGCCGACATATCCTATCGGGATCCAGGTCTTCAGACTGTAGGCGACGGCATATGGATTGCAAATATCCCTGGGTGTGGAAGAATGCAAGTTTGTCATGCTTGTCTGGCATGACTCGAGAGTCTGTGTTGCATAGGCACGAAAAGGGGCTCTTACCTGTCACGCTGCAAGAACGCAGTTTGCCATGCGGAATACGAAACACATGGCAGCCAAAAAATGTGTCAACATGCATAGCTGCGTATTGCAGTGCGTCTATCATTTCTTTTATAGCATTACAAGTTTATTCCAGATCCAGACATATTTGCATTTGATACGGCGTTCACCCGATTTACTATTTCGTGCGTTCCTGCTCGTTTTTCGTTTTCCTCGCTTAGTTGAGGTAGAGGAAGACGTACGATCCACGTAAGGCAGTCGTGTTGAGGAGGAGTAAGAGTAGTTCTTGGCGAGACGACCTGTAGGTGATCGTCGTCGTCGAGGTAGCACGATTTGCTTCGAATACCACTTTAGTAAAAATGCATGATTAAGATTTTTATTTTCTACGAATGATCCCGAAAGAATGTGGTAAAGGAATGAATATCTATAGGGAAAACAAACCGCAACAGGGTGAGAACTCGTCAGCTCTACTGTACGAGAAACAACACAGCAGCGAGCTGCCTGGCTCCTGCCGAATTATACTTTCTTACCCAAAGATAATTTGCACATCTCGTGGACTGGCGCGTGGCTGGTTCCTGCTCTCCCTCGTCTCGCGTCGTTCCTTCGCTTGATCTCCGGCACCGAGGTAGTACCAGGAGCGGCTATCAAAAGTAAAAATGTCTGGGTCTGGAAACTTCTGATGCGGGGTGGCGTCTCATGATGAGCCTACAAATGCTGTCTCAGCATGACAAGTTTCTGAGCTCCTAGGTGTTGCCTATTCTGCGCCACGAACTGCGCTTCTGCATCGCAGAAAAACGGAGCTCTTGGGTAACGTGCATGACATTGGCGGTCTACCGGCAGGACGTCCGGCAGGACGTAGACGGACGGGTAACGTGCATGACAGATTTTATGCACTATCCGCAGATGGGTCATCCTGTGGGATGAGCAATTCCTTCTGCGGAGAAGTTAAGGCGCCCGAATCATGGAGCGCCAACCCCTCTCCTGCCAGAAGAAAGCAGAAGCAAGGGTCTCTGTCCGTTTATAGGCACGAGACCGCATGAACCATCCGCAGACCAGTGCAAAACGATACATCCCCCGAGGGGGTGAACCAGGCTGGGAGGGTGGGGAAAACTAACAACAGGCCCGAGGGCCATCTTCACACACATACAACTTTCTCAGGTTCTGGCTACCGTACAACATGCTAGGGCGGGGCCGATACATAAAATACCGCCCGCCCAGCCTCAGCCTTGGCTCACAGGCTCGCAAGACTGCTGCTGCCCGGGCATACATTTAAGAGTCATGCCAGACAAGCATGACAAACGTGAATTCTTCCAGACCCAGACACTTTTACAGTTGATAGCGTCGTTCTTTCGCATCTCCGGCACCGAGGTACCAGCGGCTATGCATTGCACATATGTCTGGGTCTGGAAGATTCCGAGATTTGTCATGTTGGAAGGCTAAGGGCAGGGCGTCCCATTCGTTTATAAACTTAAAACGGTAGCCACCTACCCAGCAAACTCTGAGTGGAACAAGCACGGGCAAAGCGATTTGTCATGCAGTTTTTCAAGCTCCGCCAGGTCTGGAATGCAGGGCCTAGCATCACAGGTTCTGCAGCCCATTGGTGATGCCTATTCATTCTGCATGAGAAATGCCCCCTCAACATGGCCAGAAGTGGGGACCTTTTGCAAGTCATGCGAACCTGTACAAACGGGCACCCCTGACGGTACGGGCCCTCTTATACACAAAATGTACATGAGTAAACACGAAAAGTGTACAAAAAAAGACCGAAATTGTAGAAAAGAGAAGACGGACGGTCCTGTGCAACCGGGCACCTCCGAACACGGATTTGTATAGAAAATAGCGAAAAAAGAGATGAAGTCAGAGCTGGAAGATGTGAGTGGATAGCGCGCGCGCGCGCGACTTGATGTGAGTGGGAACACGGGCGCTGCAGAGCAGGGCGGGGAAGTGAGGGCAAAATAGCTTGAAAGAGGGGCAAATGTATTCATCTAGGCGAGCGACGTGCTTGGCTATGGCGGCGCCGTGCTCACGAAGGCCTGTAGATCTATTGATGACGGGCCCGGTGGCTGCGCGCGGCGTGTACATAGTCATCATGCAGAGTTGGGCCCTGTGCAAAACGGACCGACCTGTTAATCACGGGGCCTCCGGAGATTACCGCCGGGCCTGTGTATTTGGTAACCCTGTACGGTGCGAACGGGTACCTTTGGCGGCACATACATTTGTATAAAAAATGCAAATTTCGTTTGTTTTCCAATAGCATAATTTGTTTGCAGGTGCCTGTTTGTACTGGGGGCCCCGTACAGTACGGGGGCTCCGTTTCCACTGATACACATGCAACACAGATTTTTGTATGATCCGCAACACGCATCACAAGTTCGGATTCTTCCAGACCCAGACATTTTTACATTTGGTAGCGTCGTTCTTTCGCATCTCCGGCACCGAGGTACCAACGGCGGTCGTCGTGGAACGACCAGTCTTCACGGTACTCCTACGCAGTAGTCGCAGCTTCTCGTCCTCGTCTGTATGCATTGGAAAGAACCACTTTGTGTCCGGGACTGGATGAAAGTGAAACTCGTGTTGATGCTGCGTCGCGAGGAAAACACATTCGTAGAACGCCACAATTGACGGGCCACGGCTCAACAGCATCACAAAATTTTTAGCTTCTAGGATTTTTGTCTGAATTCTGCACGAGCATGACAAAGTGCGTTCTTGAATAACAGAAAAATAAGGTTTTTGGATCAACTACACGTGCATGGCAAACCTGCGATTCATTTTCATGCTAGCCGAGGAAGACAAATAACCCTGAATTCTTAATATTCTTCCATAACCCAGCCATCTTTCCATTTGATAGGCTTCCTCCCCCGCTGACGACGCTGAAAAGTCATTGCCCCAGAGCTGCGCACCGGTGCCGGTAAACCTTTTTTTACGTTCAAGATGAAATAAGCGTGCTCTATTTGTCGTGCTAATTTTTTAGACCCGTCAAGTCGTGTTATTGAATGCGTTACCAAAAAGGTAACTCTTCGATGGATATACTTTCTGTAAAGCTTCCGTTTCAGCTTCGCCTCGGTCCATTCTGACATGCGCTCCATCTTCTCCGGTCCACTTGAGCAGTAGCTTATCGGTGCATATCGACTGCAAAAGTATCGTAAAGTGTTGGTGTAGTGGGTCGAAGTATACTTGAAAATCATGATGCACAATTAAGTACTCGCTCCTACTTGACAGATTTCTTAAATTCTTTTTAAACCTCAAGAAGTTGTTTGAAAACTTCCAAATTCTGTATGTAGCGACTTATACCACGCACCAGTTCTACGATATAACTTTGTTTTGTGCTGCATAAGGATAACGCACAATTGATTGTTTCATCTTCCAGCAAGTGCGGCACCCGTTGTTTGAGCTCGTCCCGACCGGTGGCGTTGTTTGACACATAGTTCGCCAGGTGGTGCAGACTCAGCTCTACTGTTCCACCACGAGCGCGGCGGTCTCCTGCGTTCGGTATGGAACTCTCAAACCACGTTACACTCTCAACTGTTACAATGCAAGAATGGCAAAAGTGAAAGGAGGAAGATTGCCATTGCGTCTTTTGCATTACAGATTTGAGACGGTGGATTCTAGTCCTATTTAGCGCGTCGAGAAGTTGCCATGCGAAGAAGGCTTGATCGTGTGCTGTGAAGAGTCAGAGTGATTGCATGACAAATCATGTAAACAGTTGAGAATGCAACGTTTGAGAGTCCCATATTCGGGGCGGCTGAAATATCACCAGGCCGACGTTGATCTTCTTCCACGCCCGGGAAAACCTCCATAAAGGCATTATTACCTGTAAGTAAAGGGTAAAAGAATATATCACTGCCTATGGAATGGCGAACGACACAACCAAAATCCGCCTGGTTCTTCTAAGACCACGAGCTCCAGGGACAGGTCGGAAAGAAGCATCCAGCTCCTAACTGAGAATAAAAAGCACCAGCGCAGACCCTCTCCTAGTTATACCCGGCGCGGCCCCAACGCCAAAAAGAACTCTCCACCTAGAAGTCCCGGTGCCGAAATAAACGCCCGTCGTCAGGCCAAGCTGCCAAAAAGTGAACAAGAACTCTGAAAGCAGTCAGCAACTCTTGGCAGAGAAAGGCTGCAGCTAGTACTGTTGAGCTGCTCTGGGGAAGGTACGCTGCAAATTTCCCCCGGCTGGGGGAAGGCCTCACAGGCATTTCCCACCTCACTGGCTATTTGCTACCGCAAACTTGTTTCCCCCGCTGGGGCAGGCCCTCACGTGATCCTGCGTGCCATGTTCACGTTCACTCGCCGTCGCCACACAGGCTGCAGCATGGAGCTGCATTAACTCGGTTATTGTTGTTGTATAAATATAGTACGTGTTGAAGTTGATGTTGACTCCTGCGCCAGATGAAAATGATGAAAAATAATTTCATGTGGATTATTATACTCACCGTAGCCTCCAAAAGTCAGCGTGCAGTCCGGCGAAGATGAATCAGTATCATCTCCGAGGCTGCTCGTCCTCTCGACCAGCATGAGCGGCGTCGTGGGTACTGGTTCTTGCAGCTGTTGTTCTTGGTCATTATTACTACTATTCATCTCGTCCAGGCGGCTGCGACCAAAAGTTGGTGTGGAAAGAGAGGACTTGTCTTCATCTTCCTCCATGATCTTCGTCGATGATTCGAATTCCTGATCTTGAGATTTATTTTCTTCGATTACGGGCTTCATGACTGCTGTTGTTTTGCATTCCTCCTGGAACAAAACAAGAGGCTCGGTCGAAGGCGAGACGTGCTGGCCGACTACGACGTCGCCAGGCATGCATCCTGAGCAAAAACGTCCGCAACATCCTAGAGTGCTTCGATCATGCAAAGCTGCAAGCTGCCCATAGCGTTTCGCATGCGCAGAGGCAGACCGCCACGATCAGCGCACGCTAATGCTATCTGAGAGTTTGTCATGCAACAATCAGCATGCAATAAAAAGGGAAAAAATACCTATCTAAATCCTAAAACCCTAAGTCGTGGAACGCAATTGCCCGGCCGGGGCGGGCGAAGAAAAGTCGACGATGAAGCCAAAATAACTAGCATGAGATGATCGATTAATGTGACGCGGCGGAACTACTTGCTAAACGCGACTACGTATATTACGAGCCCAATAAACTTGTCATGCGTATCAGCCAAAATTTGCCGATTTGTGTACTAGCAAAATCACCATCTTGACTCTGGGGAGGTAGGGACGTTTTTACCCGGGATAGCGTGTTGACGTCTTCTTCGCTCAACAAGCTGCTGATGCTGAGGCTGAGGCTGCCGTAGCTGTTGTCTCTGTTCATTGGTTTATTGCTCCTGCTCGGAGTTGTCATCTGCTTATCTTCATCGGGCATGATCAAGACTGGGGTGAACGGCGAGACGAAGAGGGGGTCAGTGACCAGAGGCATCACTGCGCTTTTCTGGTGGTGGTCAGAAGTTCTTGTACTGGTTGTATTATTACGACTCTCCTCTCCTTTGAGCAGGACGCAGCTGCAATATGAGAGTCCACAACTCCGCCCCCTCGATCCCCCTATTACTATTTGTAATCAATGCATGAACAGCAGTAGACGTGGGAGCATCGGCAAGAGAAAAACGCACTTTTTGCATGACAAATTCACACAGGATTGTACTTCTGTTTGCCCTGCCGGCACCTGTCATACAAACACTGCTAGGAGAGTAGCGAAGGGTTTGCCTTTGCGTTTGGCTTTTTGCATCACAAATGTATGAGAAGGAGGGGGGGTTGTGCTTGTGCACCACTCTCATACGTGGTAAGCTGGAGATTCTAGGTCTTGTAGCTGAAACGAAGACAGTGGAGTTCTTGAAAGTGGTACTTCGAGTTCTGGAACTTGTTCTACCTTCTGCACACCTCCAGGAGCCACGCCTTGCGAAGTAGTTGATGGTGATGTTGCTACTTCCGGTTCCACCGCCATGCTGCTGTTACTGCTGATATTGCTGATCCTGTCGTCTTGCAATTCCTCCTCGTCTTCGCTTGTTGTACTATAGCAGTGGTTGTCACTAACAACTTCTGTTGTTGTCTCATTCACGACGCCGGAGGACAAGCAACGGCGAAATATCCACTTGTGGGCACGACGGATGAAACAAGTTCTCGTGCGGTCGCGCACCTCCTATACACTGCAAAATTATCGTACCCGTAGTTCCCGTAGTACTTAATAAAAATTGAGATAGATCAATTATGCGTGACATCAAGCACCAGTCATCTGTGTCTGGTAAATGCGCATGACGAATTCGATTTTTGCATTTGCGAAAAAATGTAAGTAAAAATGTAATTCATGCTAGCACGATACTCTTGCACTGCATACCTTCTCGGATGCGTATCAAATGTAAAAATGTCTGGGTCTGGGAGATTGCGAGATTTGTCATGCGTTGTTCGGATCACGCAAATGGCGTCTGATGCAGGCAAAAGCATCACAGGTTTTGAGCACGCCTCATGATGCCTGTCGCGCATGAGAAACTTCCTACTTGCGTGCCAAGAAATGGACAGCTTTTGGCGCTCATGCAACACAAATTTTTGTGTGTTCCAAAGTTTGCATCACACGTTCCAACCCTTCCAGACCCAGACATTTTTACAGTTGATAATGCGAGAGTATGTGCGAAACTCTTCGCCGCTTCAATCATCGCCGCTTCGCCACCCATTTTGCTCCTGATGTCAGTATGCATTGCAAATACCCATCTGGGTCTGGAAGCGTGCGAGTTTGTAAAAATGCTAGATTCAGCACCTCTCGTACTAGACCAACTCAGATCAAGATCTTCACACACAAAAATCTATGTGGTGCACGACAGCTGCACGACATTTTATTTGATGCCAAAAGAAAATATACTACGTACCCTCGACGCGGCCCCGGAACCCTCCTGGGTTTATTTTTAAGCGGTTGGGGGCGAACAACAGGCCCGGCCGGACGAAAGTCGTCGCACACAAAAATCACCTCCACCAAAGCGCAGGTCGAACCAAACAAGAGATGGTGCCCAGGTCGATCTAGAAGTTCGAGCACGTGGTCGCGCGCAAAGCCCAAGTATCGATCCGGGGGGGGGAGGGTCAACACTTGAAATCTTAATTTTTGTATTTCGTTTTCCATAGATAACAATAAATCCCAATTTTACAACCGATAATCTCGCCCCACGTTTTCATTTATAATGAATAAGTCACTTACTATACCCAACTTACGGGGTAAGTATGCTTCAACTTGTGGAACGGCAAACGAAACCCACCTATGACGTGAATTCTTGTAGTTGAGTCGAGACTTGTATCATGATAGATATATTTCAATTTCATCTTTTACTGGCGTCAAATAGTAGTGCTAGTGTGTATCAATTTGAAATTGATACACACTACTTAGTAAGTATACAGCCGAACAAGCTTCGCACAACATTCGTATGTTGATACAGGGATCTACTCAGCCACCCTTCTCACCTCCACCAGGGTGGGGCAGCATGGACCCGCTCCTCGCTCCTAAAAAAAACAAAACCCCTCACTTGATGACAGGAGTTACCATCAGTATTGCCATGCTGCCGCTCTCCTGAACACGCAACACGGCGACAGTACCGGAGAGCACTTAATATCGTCGCTCTTGCTACACATACAGTTTCCGTGGCTCCATAGAACCACTTTAACAGGAAATTTTTCTGCGCGTCAATATCTCTCTCTCGTCTCAACACTGCGGTCACAAAAACCAAATGAGTTCTGTTTAGTTCTAAAGGGCACGGAGAGTTTCATCAACGTCTCAGGAAGCAAAAGCACGCGAGTAGCCAGTGACGAGACCAGCTACGTCGGGGTTCGTAGTTGGTTCTAGAAGTTAAGTGGAGTCACGCTCTACTAAAAAAACCCTTTGAAACCTCAGTCGTGTCGGTCCCAGATCTTCTTGTCTCTTGTACTCCGCCTACCAGAGCTACTTGCCATAGTCAAACTCAAACATCACAATCACTCTTCCATGTTGATAAATCAGTCGTCTTCGCGAAAGTCACTTAATTCTTGGAATTCTCATCTTAATCAAGAGCGCGAATGCAGAATGGAGCAACCGAAATACATTCCAGCATAATAATCCAGTTCTCCGGCATCCAGGTTCTCCAGGTGACAACTTTCCAATCCGGGGCGAAATACTTCAAAGCGTGAAGAAGAAGATGTTGATGCCCGCGTGGTGGTCCCTCTGGTGTTTATCTACTTCCCAAACTACACATCCGGAGCGGTCCCTCAGCAGCCCCCGAGTCCTCCTTCGCAATTCGCAAGAAGAAGTGTCGTCGCGAGGACCCCGATTCATTCACCACGACGCCGTTCGTCCCAGGTTCGACCGTGGTGAACCGTCGTAGTTAGTACCACGGCGGACTTAAGTATGAAAGGCATCACTGAAGAGTACTACAACCAGTGCGCCGTCCCGAGGGCGAGGACCCATGGCTGGCGTAGTTGTACTTCTATCTAAAAGCAGCCCTTCTCAACATCCGTCGCCTCGCTCGTGGTCTGCTCTGTCCGTTCCTCCCGCCAAGTTGCCGCACGTGCTCGACCAGATTCTCGCGGCGAAATCGCAGGTCAGCTTGTCGAGTCGTACAAGTACTGGTCAATCAACGTCCACATGGTCCGTGCAGGAAGCGCTAAAAAGTAGTTGACTGTTGCTCCCCCGCCCTCGCCATCGCTCTGTGCCATACTGCCACGCTGCACAAAACGCTGCCACGTCGCTCTTTGCCACGCTCCAGGCGGGTTCGCAAAGTTGCTCGTTGGCTGTTGTTCCTCAGGTTCATCTCAAGGTCACTGCTTCAACTAGGCTACGTTGTTCTTGCTTATAGAAGCCTAAGCATAAGCGGTGTTGTAGCAGTCCTCGCGGGCGGGGCGCGGGCGGCGCCCTGACGTTATCGCAGACGTTGCTCAACGTAATACTTCGATGCCGGCGGCTGCGCTTGAGCTTGTTGCGTTCTCTGGGGCGGTCATCTTCGTGGTGTTTCACGATGGATTTGCTCGTTGTCCTCGTGGCGGTGGCCTTTTGTAGTTGTTGTATCTCCTCATAATTCTACTGGTGAGTCGGCCAGGCTATCATCTTGTCCGTTCCTAATCGACTCCTGGCTTCTTGTTGCGGACCATAGACCGCGGTTGCTGTCGAAAAATCGAGGCCCGCGCAAGGTTGTAGAAGAAACGCCAGCCGTTGTAGAAGATGAAAGGCACCTCTTGCATGATCGGCGCGAAGAACCACAAGTCTACTGCTTGGTTCCCGCGAACTACAAGTCGAAGCTTTAAACTTCTTCACGTTCTCGCCGTCATTCCCATGCTTCAGGATAAGATGCTGATAGGAGCCCGCGGACGGGGATGCGCCCCCGACGTATCAAGAGGAAAAATTCCCCCTCCCCATATCGAAACGAAGTTTCTGATGCTGGATTTCCGTACACAAATCAGATTTGTCTTGCAGTAGAGGACTGCGGGCATATGTCAAGCCTCGGCCGAGAGGTTTTGACGTAGGCGCCTAGCATGGCAAACGTGTATGCCTTAAGCCCAACAGCATCACAAACCGCCTGCAAAATGCAGGGGGCTCTCTGGACTTGCCTTCTTGCAAGACAGACAAGATTTGAGGTCACAAATGTGCATCACAAATTTTCAGACGGATGCGTTTTCAATATGGGGAGGGGGGATTTTTCTTTACGATACGACGTCCTGGAGCAGTTGTGCGGTCGAAGTACTGCAGGATATCGTGGACGGGGCCTCGCTGATGTTGCTGCTGTACTTGTTAAAGTTGTTGGACGCTTGGCTGCCGCCCCCATGCGTCGAACCTCCTTGCTGATTTTGCGATATGCCGCGCTCGAGCAGCATGGAGGAGGACGTTTTGATGTTGAACTTGAGGCTTTGCAAAATGTCCACCGGCGGCGACTGCGCCTCGTTACTATTAATGTTGCCGTTTGTTGTTGTTGCACTAGTTCCGTTTCCGGGCAGGAGATTTGTGTTATTTCCTGAAATTGTGGTACTTGCTGATGTTGTGGATGTTCCTGGACCACCTGGACCGGCACCGGGTATGTTGATCGGGTTATTTGCATTATTTCCCCCGCCGCCCGGAGGTCCTCCTCTTGTCCCCACGGAGAGGTTGATGTGACTATCGAGAGCACCTTTTCACGTTCTCGCCGTCAGTCCCATGCTTCCGCCGCTGCCCTGCGTGGCGCTGAGGTCGGTTCGCCCGGCGGTGACCGCCTTGACGGCCGTCAGCGTGGTCTGGGCCTCTACCAGCGCGGACGCCTGCTGCTTCTCCTTCTGCACCCGCTTGCGGTCCTGGTACATCAGGTAGACCGCAATGCAGACGACAATGGAGTAGGGCAGGACTCCCAGGCAGATCCCGCCCACCGCGCAGGCGTACACCCACCCGTCCGCTAGACCGTCGCTGTCCGCGTAGAAAATCACGAAGAACCGGTTCTGCAGCCGGTTGCCCTGCAACCGCTTCACGATAACGGTGTCCAGGAAGAGGTGGTCCTTGATGCCCTGCAGCTGCTGCGCGGAGGTGACGGCGGAGAAGGACGCCATCTCCCAGATTTTCTGGAACTCGATCACCCCCGTGTTTTTCAGCGAGAGGTCTACCAGGATGGTGCCGTCGTCGGCGACGAGGAAGCCTTGGTAGTCCCCGGGCAGGAAGTGCGGGTCAACCAAAGAGTCTTTCAGCTTCTCGATCTCCAGCGTGAGTTTGCCGTGCAGAAAAACGCGGTCCTGCTCCGTCAAACCCTCCACCTCCTGTCGGTGCATCTGGCTCGCGTCCAGCTTGAACAACAGCGAGATGGTTTGGATAGTGTCTACCTGCTGCGAATCGATGTTCACCTGCGTGTCGCCGGGACTGCTGCGCTCCGGCAGTTTGAGCTCCCACTCGGTGTAAATACCCCTATCAAATTGGTCACTCAGGAACGGCGCCGTGGTAGTGGAAGTTGTCGTGGAAAAGAAGTCGTGCAAAGTTGTCGTGACGCCACCCTGCTGCTGCCCAGATAAACCTCGCTCGACCAGATTGTGCGCGTTCCGGTAGGCGAAGTGGTTCGCTTGGTAGGGCAGACACACAACGCCCGGCGCGGACACGCTCGGGGTCACCAACTGCTGGTTTTGGAGTCGTTGCGCCGTCTGCGTGTACCAGAGCGCCGGGTGATTCGTGCTGTTTGTCAGATTGGAACTGCTCTTTGCCAGCTGTTCTAGCGACCCGCATTTCTGCGGACAGCTTTTGCACTCCAGATCTTTCACCTGCGCCCGCAGCGCCTGGTATTGCTGTCGGTACTCGTAGTTCCGCAACTCTAACGGGAGCGCGATGCCCGTCGTACTACTTCCGTTCTTGGCCTGCTCCAGGATGTACTCCTCCCCGAGCACGGCGACCACGGAAAGCAGGTCCGGGTAGTGCCCCGGCGGGCAGAAGTAGGAGCTTCTTTCCGGGCCCGCGGGCCCGGCCCCCGTGTTCGGGCTGATCCGCTGAGCGTCCTCTTCTTCGCTGCCCGCCGGCGGCGCCGTGGTCTCCGGCGTCTGGTCGTCGCGGAGAGGCAAAATCCCGGCATACATCTCAAAGGGCATCTTGTTCAGCTTATGGAAGTGTGAGAATCGAAATCGACAAAGTGAAAGTTCAAATACTTTCTCATGCATAAATTCTAAAGCATGAAGCGCCTCTCTTGCAGGGATGGCAAGCGAGGCCAACTGTCAGCCTGTTTATTGGCGTCTATGCGATAGAGCTGCTAAGTAAAGCAGCATGACAAAAGACGCGCTCTTTCCCTAAACAGTATGACAAACTGGATTTAGGTGGTGCCAAAGTTTGTCATGCGCCGCTTGGAAATTGGGCTTCCAACTGGTATCGATTCTATGCATCACAAGTTTTCAACTTTATCGATTTCGATCCTGACGCTCCCATGATACAGCTCCAGTGCGCTGTTGTTTACCATATCCTCGTGGTGGATGTTATTCGCGCTCATCGGCGGCACCATCGACGAATCCCGGTTCGCGAGCGTGTGGTCATTCAGCACGCGGCGGTCAGCGCGTTGGTGTTGCTCTTTATCCTCCACCGTTCTCGTGCCTCCATCACCGTGACTTGCGGCGATTTGTTCACTAGAAGATGTAGAAATCGTGTGGTCTCTACTCTGATCTGATGCACCGGTAGAACTCTCCCCCGAAGTCGTGGTCCGGCGACGTGCGCGCGCCCTTTGTTCGCCCGGCGTCGCCCCCTCGAGTGCAGCTTCTAGTCCCATCATCTGCAAACCGGGCAGCATGATTGGGGCATCGAACGCACGCACCGCGGTCAACGGGTCGGCTGACAGGCGAAACACGTTGTGCTTCTCCAGCCTATCAAAGTGAAAAAAGCCTCCACCCCATATCGGAAACGGAAGATGCGCGAATTTGTGATGCTGTATTTGAGTACACAAATCGACTTGTATTGCTAGAGGACCAAGAGACTAAGCTGCGGCCTACATTGCAGGTAATCTGTCATGCTGTTTCCCACTTCCAGTTGCCTCCTGTCATCCTGGAGCTGCAAGGCTTTCCCAGCACGCTAGACAGCACTACAGTCCGCATCTTTTGCCTTCTAGCATCACAAAGCTGATTTGTGACCCCAAATCTGCATCACAGATTTCCGTTTTGATATGGGGAGGGGGCATTTTTCATTGTAATACAGCCGCTCCTTTGTCAAGTCCACCTGCATCAGTCGCTGGTGCCAATCCGCGTTTGCGATGGAGAGGTTCCGATTGCAGGCAAAGGGCTCCGCAATACACGAGGGGTACAGGTCGCTCTCAAACTGCAGCATGTCGTAGGTGCCGATCCGGCGGAACCGCATGCCGCCCCGGGTCAAGCTCAGGTCCTGCGTCTTGTTCGGGACGAAGTAGGCCATCTGCAGCATGCTGAGCTCCGGAACCCCGGAGAGTCCGGCCAACACGACGATCTGCAGCGAGAAGAAGTCGAACGGGTTCCGCAACGCGCCCAGGGAGATCCCGTGAGCCAGGGACTCCACCGGAACCATCAGTTTTCCCTGCACGTACCCGTCGAAAGCGGCCTCGATGCGCGCGGCGCCGCCGTGCCTGTGGGGAAAATAATGGTCGTGGGGGGTGAGAGGTGAAGACCAAAGCGAATATCAACCTTACCTTGCATTTGTCCAGAAGGAAAATGACTATGACATGACTCGCGATATAACTAGTACGAACGAATAGGAACGAGGGCCGGCCCTCTCCACCTTCATGGGATGCTAAAATGCGAAATGGAACAAGTAAGCACATAATTCTGTATATAGTACAGGAAGTAGATGTCCCGCAGGTCTGGTAACGTGGAGTTGAAGTATTGTTGGCCACTGTACATGAGCCAGGCGGTCGCGATGCAGAACCAGAAGAAGAAGCACATGTACATCTTCGAGAAGATTTTGTAGGCCGCGGTGTTCTGCATTTGCTGGGTGTGCAGCGCGTTTTTCAAATGCGGCGGCTCCACTGGCTTGACTTTCATGGTTTGCTGCGCCAGCGACTCCTGCGGCTTCCCCGACTTGGTCGGCGAGAAAACCTGCATTGCGGTGGCGGTAGCGTGCGTCACCGCCATGACCGACTGCCCAATCGCGGTGTCCGGCTTCGTGACTTTCAGGGCGACCTCGCGCTTCTTGATTTGCTGCTTTTCCCAGTCGTCGGCAAAATCCGCCATGATTTCGTGCACCCTTGTGGCCTCCGGCCCGCGCCGCATCACCTCCTCCGGGATGTCGTGCTTCTTTTTCTTCTTCTCCGGACTCGACTGAGCCCCCGCACCATCGTGGTCCGCCTTCTCCGGCGACACCACATCCAGGCTGTTCTTTCCCCCGCTTTTTTTCCCGCTCTGCGTGTTGCCATCCTTTGTCCGACTCCGGGTCGGGGTCTGGGACGACTGCTGCGCTGCAGCTTTGTCTGCGGTTGGCGACTCGTCAATCGCCTTGCTGCTGGCGCCCCCGGGTGAAACTACCATCTTGCAGCTGCTCCGGGCGGGATGCTGCAAGGTGGCAGACGCGGATGTTGATCCAAATGCAAGCTAAAGAATGCAGCAATTACGAATTCCGGTTGATGTTCTAGGAACTATCTACTTGTGGCTACGAAATCTTAAACAAAGAAACTACAACTTCAAAATGAGATCGCGATCGCGCAATACAGGCATAGAAATGATATCATGAAGCTGGTTTTGAGATTGAAGCGAGGCAAACCACGTGGGTGTCCAATCCATGAAGGTCGGAATATTACGATTGGTTATACGACACTCAGTCTGCTCTCCGCAAGAGAATGTTATTAAGTTGCATTCGTTCGCGAAATCCCAGCCTAAACTTGTCGTCCCGCTCTCGCCAGTAGCAGTATCAGTTTCAGTAGTACCGAAGGTTAATGATTTTCTCTCTCAATGTCGCTCCGTTCGACGAGTAAGTACTCTTTGTCTAAGGTGGGGATAAAAATATCCTCCTGGCTTTCTAACGATGAACACAACCGGGAAACAGCTCGACAGAGGAGAGGGCACGCCCTGCCAAATTAATTTTACATCAATGGAAAAATCGTGCTGTTGTCAAAAACGAATTATCGGCTACGACGTTTCTTACGCCCCGCACTGCTCTACTTTCGTTGCGTTTGTTCTCGACGATGTTTCAACGACAGATAGTAGAACCGGCTCGACTAATGATGTTGTTTGTGCCGCTTCTACTAAAAACTTCCTTCTTTCCATGTTCAGCTCGGACAAGTACTCATACAGAACTTCCTTCATGTAGGCGATGGTGTGCGCTTTTTCCGGATGTTCGCTCTTGTCGTATCTTACTTCTGAAAGAAACGGACAAGATGTCGAACTTGTTACACCGCTGGCGGCCGCAGTTTCTGCATTCGTTTTGATCTCTTCGAGTAGACATTCCGTGGCGTGCTCGTGCGTCATATCGACCAGATCATGCACGGACTTGGCGCCCTGCAGCTTTTGCATGCACTGCCTCTGTGGGAGTTGAAAAACACAATTGGTCTCTTTCACCAGAATTTCCTGCAAATTCCACTTGATTTCCTGCAACGAAGCGCCGCAGTCGATGCCTTTCTGCAGGTAAAGACGAAAGCAGTCCTCGCGTGTGGGCTTGCGGTACGGGCGTCCGTGTGGAGCGGGAGTGGTTTTCATTTTTTCCTTCACATTTTCCGTGCAACTTTTGGGGGCCGGAACTGACACTGATGTCACGCGGCCAAACGCTCCTGCTTCATCTAACCTCCTTCGCTTCGGCTCCGTCCCTTCTATCTCGTTCTCATCACCATCAATGCCCGTTGGCACCACCCGCAGGCTACTGGCGCTGTCTACCGTTTTATCCACATTGGCTACAGGGTGCATAGCAGGTTGTTTGTTGACATCTCCTACCGGAGTCGACAGTTGGCCACCGGTCCCCGCCACGGCACCCGGAGCTGCAGAATGTGTTGACGAGGAGTCTGCGACAGTAGACTCTCCAATCCAAAGTGAATGCTTCACCTCCCAGAACAGGCCAGGATTCCACTGCGCGCCCCGAGCAACCATGACCGGAATCCCCGGAAACATTTTTTGGAACAAATTGACCTGCTCTACGGTAAAGAAATCGCCGTTCGCAATCAGAGGAAGACAAGAACTTTGAGGGCCTTCTTCTTGTTCCACCTCTAGTTCCTTACCCGGACCTCCAAGATCGGCCTTCAGCAGCGCCAGCAACTTCCCGAACAAGGGCCACCGCGCGGGCTGCTTCGGCCGATCCGGGACGAAGCGCATGTGAATCGCCACGGCGTCTGCGCCGGCTGCCAAGCACTTTTGCACGAGTCGTTTTGTTTTCGTCAGATCCGGGTCCAGCCGGATCTTGCAGGTAACGGACTTCTCCCGCGGCAGATGCGCCCGCAAGTGGCCCACAATCTCCGCCGCGAGGTCCGGCTTTTCGAGCAGCGCCGCGCCCATGCCGCCCTTCACGCTGAAGCTTTTCGGGCAGCCCATGTTGACGTCAATCCCCGCTACGTCGTTGATGACTACTTGCGCGGCTTGCAGCGCGAGGTGTTTGTCGCACGTGCCGAGCTGAAAAATGGTCCTGTTCTCCGCAATTTCGGCCCACGTCGTGCGGAAAATGCTCTTCTTGTCGCCCGAATTGCTGTTGTTGGGCTTCTGCGAGCAGGAGGGGACCAGAGCACCAGCACCTCGGGTTTTGATATTATTTTTCTGCAACCTTTCTGGACTGTTTGAGTTTGAATTCTGCAGACCTTGATGTCCACCGCCTTCTACTTCTTCCACGACCTCCTGCTGCGTTAATGCTGCAGCTTCTGCGTCATTTATTTCTGTTGTGCTTTCTGCACAAAAATTCTCTGCTCCGACGAAGTATTCCACCAGCCCGGGGTAATGCGGGTTCTCGAAGCGTTGGGCGTAGAGGACGCGCTTGTCGATAATCTCCTCATTGTACAAAATGTCGCAGCCGAAGTCCCGGCAGACCTGCCGCAGCGGCAGGGTGCTGGCGCGGACCATGGGGGCCAGGATGGTCTGGCAGTTTTGGTACACCGGATGTTTGATGAAGTTCTGAAACACCATTTTGCGGTTGCACTGGGGCTCAGTAGTACTAGTCACTGACGATGGAGAGGAGGGGGAGGAGGGGAACTTCTGCGCACAACTTGAACAACTTTGCGGGGCTTGCTCCATGGTATAGTCTATAGTTCGTTGTAGTTGTGCCTTCGGGCGGCGGCAAGTCAAATGGTCATCATGATGCTCCTGAATTCATGCCTGCTACGTGTTTGTGTGCTGTTCAACACTTCGTTATCGCTTCTGGATGAAATAAACGAAAAGAAGATAAATAAACCTCAACCGAAATACTTAGTCGCGTAAGCCCCTGGCACTGGACATTTGATTGATTTCGCATTTTTCGCTGGAAACGTTCGTATAGTACTGCTGTAATAAAAGCAGTGAACGTGTATGGCTCCGTAAGGCGCACTGACGGCAGGAGGTGTTCTATTGTACACGAATAAGCATTTCGATGGGAACTCGATTTGGAAAAAAATGGTCGCTTCTGGTCGAATTCTTCGAAAGGAACCGGAAAATAAAACCAAACTGAGTGCTCTGATCTTCGTGGATCATATTGTTTGTCAAGCGTTCGGATCCACCTTGCGGTCGCTTGCTTTCCAGTGTGAGCATCAGAAGATCACAGGAGCATTCGAAACGGCATTCTGTTAACATTCATGCAGCTACACTCCTCTGTTGACTGAGTGTCCGAGATACAAAATAAACAACTTCAGAGAGGAGGACGCGTGAGAAACAGAAATCTGCTCAAAAGCAGCATCATAACGGACGTTACTTCCGCCGAAAACTTCGCGGCAACGCTGCACCTCCACAAAGAAAAAGTCATGCTTTATCAGGCCACTATAATAACTCAAAAAATCCAAGTTTCTTCATCACCGCGTGCTTTGAAAAAAGTGAAATTCATTAACTGCCGCAATCACGCCTGCAGATAACTACTCCAATAGATGAGTTGTACGAAAAATGAGTTCATCATCTACTTGTTGCATGCTTCTCTTCACCCTGAACACTTGACGCAGCTGCTGTGCCGGATTCATCTTAAACCTCCTGTCCTCTTTCTCATTTCTTTGACTTTGCCGGCGCAGATCTGCCCTTCGCAGTTTTGGTTTTCGACGGGTTCTTCTTGACGGATTTCGGTTCATTTTTCTTCCCCGCCTTGATCACCTTCGTCGAAGCAGGTGGTTCTTTACCGGAACGAGATTTATTCTTGGAGTGGGAAATAGCGTTCTTTCCGGTCTTACCCTTTTTTTCCGCCTTTTTGCTTTTGTTTTTGGCTGCTTGAGTCCCGGGCAAAGCACTGACCTTCTGTTTCTTCTTCGTAGCCGCGGAGGTACCGGAAGAGCGAGAAGTCGAGCCCGACTTCATCGCGCTTTTCATTTTCATCTTTCCCGCAGCTTTCTTCTTGTTGACCACGCTGCTCCCCTGGGCCGGCTTTTTGGACTTCTTCATCCCGGCAGTTTTTTTCTTGATCTTGGCCCCACCGCCGCCCTGCGCCGGCGTTTTGGACTTCTTCATTCCCGCAGCTTTCTTCTTGGCCCCACCGCCGCCCTGCGCCGACGTTTTGGACTTCTTCGTTCCCGCACTTGTCTTCTTGGCCCCACCGCCGCCGGAGGCATCCGCCATATTGGAGTTGTCTTCTTCCCCATCTGCATCGTTGTTTCCCTTCGACGCTGGCGTGTCCTCCGCGTTTTCCTCGTTGAAGCAATCGATGTTCTCCAGCAAGTGCGCCGGCCACGAGGACACGAACTCCAACCGCATGGAGGAGGCTTCAGTGAACATGCCGCTCGCGTTTTCTACTTTCGCGACATTCCACTTGTTCAAATCCTGCGCGAAGGCACTGCAATGCTGGATATGCATTGCAAATATCGATCCGGGTCTGGAAGGATGCGACTTCTGATGCTGTCTTTGGATCCTACAAAAAATCTGTGCTGCATGACCAGCAAGAGGAGTCGAGTCTGTGCTACGCGGAGAGGGCATTTTTCATACGGAATTATGGGCATCAAGATCCAGAAGCACTCTAAAAGTCTGGCCTTGCACTGCCAGCATGGGCCATGCAAAATGTGCGTGACACACCTCGCGCGCTGGATCGATTGCCCCACTAGGGCCTCGCGTTCTGGCTACTCCGGGTCCCAATCGCTGGAGGTCGGGACCTGCACCGGCGACAGGCGCTATCCAACCAACCAACCGACCAACACCTGGCAATCCTCCAGACCCAGACATATTTGCACTTGATAATGGAACATGCCATACATATTCGTCGCCGCCGCGGTGTTCCAGGACTCCAGCGGGTGGTTGAAAAATGAGCAGCCATAAAACATGCCCCGAAACTCTGTCGCTCCGGAGACATCCCAACCGCTTATGTCCTGATTGAACGAATGGAAGTGCATGAAAAGGTCCGCCAGGTTTGTGATTTTCGAGCAGTCCCAAATCCGCAGGGGGCCGTAGATCTCCTCGATTTCTTCCCGGGTCTGGTTCAACTTCGCGAGGATCGTCGGGGTGTCGTCGTGGGGCAACCCTGGTTGATCCGCATTTTCATAATAGTCACTCGGCGTGTGCCAGTGGTCCGAAGCTCCGTCGTTGTCGTCGTCGTAAATTTGAAACTCAGGCATTCCAAACCCGGTGCCCAATTCCCCCCCTCCTTCACCGTCTTCGTCCAGGAGTTCCGTATGGTAATCCGCGCTGCAGACGACCATGAGTGCCTTGTGCAAAGCGCGCTTGTTTTCGAAGGCTGCAAACGTCTTCACGAAGTACGAGACTTTTTCCGCAAGAAACGTCGGACTGCTGATGTCCAGCAAATGGGCATCGGAGTGTAGGAGGCACTTGCCCGCGGCAGGTTGAACACCAGGAGGAGTCGCTTGGTGGTCTCCTTTATGAATTGCAAACATGACTGGGTCTGCTCAAGCGCACTGTTTGTGGTCATGCACGTTTCGCATGAGCAATGATCTCTGTGGTGTGTGTTCTAGCATCACAGATTTTCTGAAGGCTTATTGATGCCTGCCCCGCATGCCAGATGCCCTGTCAGCGTAGCAAGAAATGAAGTTCTGTTGCTGCCCACGCAAAAATACAGATTTTTCTCGCATCCAGAGGCAGCATCGCAAGTCCGTAATTTTCCAGTGGACCCAGACATTATACTTGCATTTGATATCCTTCGCCGCCACCGTGGCCCTGGTCCGCGGCGGCCTTCGACGGCGACGCCTGCCCGGCTTGTTCGTCCTGAACCTGACCTGGTGCCTCTTCCTCGTCGACAAACAGTTGCACTTGCTCCCATTGCACCTCCCGCCCCGAGGCGGAAACGTGGGCTTTCTTCGTCCGAAGCGCGTTCGCGATGAGCTGCTTCACGTCCTTCGCGGTGATGGTGGACGAACCAGCGTTCTTCTTGCAGATCGTCCCTAGGTCGATTTCCACCGCGCAGTCGGCTCCGGACAGGGCGCTCGGGATCTTCACGACAAAGACAGGGGTGGAGGCAGCACCACCAGCAGTTTTTTGACCGTCCTCAGACACGGGGGCCACTCCGCATTCTTTATTTCGGGGCATGGCGTTCTTGGTGAGTGCGAGATACAGAAAATCAACACGAGAGAAGTGGCCAGAACCAGCGACGACTCGATGAGGACGCCAACGTAGAACCTACTATGATGATGACCTGCTTTAAGAACGTTCGAAGGTCTTTCCAAATTCACTAAGAGTAAGTACTTACTTCACTACAAGTGAGTTCCAAACGGTAAACCTAAAAGTGAAAGTCACACTCACAACATGATCAGCAACACGAAATAAACGCATAAAAACTACAGCCTAAACTGTCGTATGGGAAAGAAGCACGTCAGAATTCTAGTGGAGATTCTGAGGATAGGCAAACGCGTTTCAGTGACGAACAAAAGCCAGTAAAGTGATCTTTTTCCGCCTCTCCGCACAGGGTGGCGCAGGAGTAGTAAGTACTCTATGAGACGACTATCGTGTCACCAACATCTTTCAGAAGTATCCGTAGAAATTCTGTGAAGTAAGTAGTTTCGCCCATGTCCCTTCTCCGCGTACTCGTCTTCCTGATGCTTCAAAAATGACGAAAGCCGTAGACATCTTCAAGCAAGATCCGATAATTTCGACACTTGCAAATCGTTAAACGCTGGAAAGGAGCTGCTGCTCTCATTTTCGATTTTATTTTCAAAAAAAAATACTTTTACTCCCATAATTCCGCCCTAGTATACAGCGCAAACAGATCTTTAGAGAGTATGCCATACAGCTCAATCAAGAAGAGTCTCGCTTTTTCCTTTGTCCAGCACCCTTCCGTCCGGCGTTCGACGTATAACCCGCTCAGGTGTTACAATCTCAAACGTTACAATAGAATCTGAGACTTGTCTTGCATGTATGATGAGCATGATCTAGCCAACTCTCATAGGGTTGCGCATGACATCAAGTTCCGGAGCTCCAAACCCCACTACAATTTCAATCTGGGGAAATTTGTATTGCAAAAGGTGGAACGCTGTGCGAGTCTGTCATGCCCATCATGCAACACAAATTCCAGAATCTATTGCAACGTTTGAGACTGTGACGTTTGAGCAAGTCATACGACGTGCTTTTGCTTTTTCCCCCGGTCTTTTTCGCAGGCTGCTTGATCTTCCCGTTCCCAGCTGTCTTCGCAGTTTTAGTACCTTGCTTGCCCGTCGCACCAGCAGATCCGACAAGAGCGACCTTCGTTTTTTTCATTCCCTTTGATGACATCACACCAGCAGCGGTTTGCTCTTTCTTTGCCACTACGCCCGTCTTCGCGTGCTTGGTTGAACCGGAGCCGCCGGAGCTTTTCTTATTCGCAATCTTTTTCATCGTGGTTGCAGTTCGGCTAGATGTAGTAGTGGTAGAGGTTTTCTTCCTGGAGGTTTTCTTGCTGCCCTTCTTCACAACAACCTTCTTCACCGCGTTGGAGCTGCTGTTCTTCATCGCCGCGCTTTTCATCGCCTTTCCGGCTTTCTTCTTGGCCTTCGCGTCCGCCACGGGCCCACCGTCCTTCGTGTTCTTCTTTCCCTTGGAGGTGCCCGCTCCTGCAGCGGCCTGCTTCTTGGTCTGCTGCAGATGCTTCGGCAACTTTTCCCGCAGGTGCAGCGGCCAGGACGCGACGAACTCCGGACGCATAGAGGAGGCATCAGTGAACATTTCGCTCGCGTCTTTTATTCTCGCGACATTCCACTTGTTCAAATCCTGCGCAAATGCACTGCAACCTTCGAACATGCCAGACATAGTTGTCGCCTTCGCGGTATTCCAGGACTCCAGCGGTTGGTTGAAAAGTTGGCAAGTGTAAAATATGTGCGAAAAGTCTGTCGCTCCGGAGACATCCCAACCGCTTATGTCCTGATTGAACGAATGGAAGTGCATGAAAAGGAACGCCAGGTCTGCGATTTTCGAGCAGTCCCAAATCCGCAGGGGGCCGTAGATCTGCTCGATTTCTTCCCGGGTCTGGTTCAACTTCGCGAGCACCTTCGGGGTGTCGTCGTTGTCCGCATTTTCATAATAGTCACTCGGCGTGTGCCAGCCTTCGGAAGCTCCGCCGTCCGGATTCGAAATGTGAAACTCACCCATTCCGAACCCGGTGCCCCACTCACTCGTATGTAACGCACCGCTGCCGCACGGGCTAAGGAGTTCCGTGTGGTAATCCTCGCTGCAGACGACCATGAGTGCCTTGTGCAAGGCGCGCTTGTTTTCGAAGGGTTCAAACGTCTTCACGGAGTACGAGAGCTTTTCCGCAAGAAACTTCGAACTGCTGTCCAGCAAATGCGCATCGGAGTGTACAAGGCACTTACCCGCGGCGGGTTGGACGCCAGGAGGAGTCGCTTGGTGGTCTCCTTTATGAATTGCAAATATGACTGGGTTTGCTTAAGCGCACTGTTTGTCTTTGTGGTCATGCACGACATTTCGCATGAGCAATGATCTTTGTGGTGTGTGCTCTAGCATCACAGGTTTTCTGAAGGCTTATTGATGCTTGCCCCGCATGCCAGATGCCCCGTCAGCGTAGCAAGAAATGAAGTTCTGTTGCTGCCCACGCAATACAGATTTTTCTCGCATCCAGAGGCAGCATCACAAGATGGTAATGTTTCAGACCAGGACATTATATTTGCATTTGATATCCTTGTTCGTTCTGAACCTGACCTGCCTCCTTCTCGTCGACAAACAGTTGCACTTGCTCCCATTGCACCTCCCGCCCCGAGGCGGAAACGTGGGCTTTCTGCGCCCGAAACGCGTTCGCGATGAGCTGCTGCACGTCCTTCACCGTAATGGTGGGCGAGCCAGCGGTGTTGCAGATCGTCCGTAGGTCGATTTCAACCGCGCACTCCGGTCCGGACAGGGCGCTCGGGATCTTCACGGAGGTTTTCTTGTTGCTCTTCTCTAACACAGCAACCTTTTTCATCGCGTTGGAGCCGCTGCAGCTCGCCGCTGCGCTTTTCATCGCCTTTCCGGCTTTCTTCTCCGCGTGCGCGCTCCCGCCCGTCACCGGCGCGTCGGCTTCGCTGTCCTTCGTGTTTTTTTTCCCCTTGGCGTCCGCTCCTGCAGCGGCTTCCTCCGCAGCCTGCTGCAGGTGCTTTGGCAACTTTTTCTGCAGGCGCAGTGGCCAGGAAGCGACGAACTCCGGACGCATACTCTTGCAGGCGTCGTCGAAAACTTTTCCGCTATCATGAAACGCCGTACCACTCGCCTTCACCTTGGACAAGTCCCACGAGTTCAGGTCCTGCGCGAAGGCGTTGCACTTGCGGAGCATCCACTGCATATCTGTTACATTCCTGGTGTCCCACGAGCCCAGCGGCTGGTTGAAGACGGTGCACCCGACGAACATGCAGAACATGCTTGTCACGTTCCTGGTGTCCCACGAGCCCAGCGACTGGCTGAAGGCTTCGCACCCCTCGAAGACACCACTCATGTCTTTGACTCTCCCCGTGTCCCACGAGCCCAGCGGCTGGTTGAAGGCCTTGCACCAACGGAACATGCCACCCATGTCTTCGACATTCCTGGTGTCCCACGAGTCCAGCGGCTGGTTGAAGGCGTAGCACAACTCGAACATATCACGCATGTCTTTGACTTTCCCCGTGTCCCACGAGCCCAACGGCTGGTTGAAGGCGGCACACCCCGCAAACATTGCGTTCATGTTTACGGCCTTCGACGTGTCCCAGGCATCTACGAGCTGGTTGAATTTAGCACAATTGCTAAACATATCATGGAAATCGCAGGCACCGCTAACGTCCCAGCCCGAGATATCCCGATTGAACGTGGGGAAATGAGTGAAAAGCAAAGCCAAGCTTTCTACGCGAGAGCAGTCCCAAATCCGCAGGGGTCCGTACCGCCCTTCGATCTCCTTCGCTGTTGTTTGCTCCATCACGTGCGCCAGAATCTCCTCATCACGGAGTCTTTCCTCATCCTCAGGATCAAACCCAGACGGGGTGCGAAAGTGGTCTTGTTCGTCATCTTCATGAAACATGTCCCAGTGGTAGTCCACGCTGCAGATCACCATGAGCGCTTTGTGCAGTGTGCGCTTGTCTTGGAAGGCCTCAAACGTTTTCACGAAGTACGCGACGTCGTCGGGAAATTCCTGCAAATTCGTCGGAAGCTCGTGGTCGTCAGCCAGATTCTCGCCGCTGTCGGTCACGATTTGCACTTGCTCCCACTGCACCGGGCGGCCGGTCGGCGATGCGCCGGCCTTCTGCTCTTTAAAAGTTGCCGCAATCTGTTCCTTTAATTCTTTCACCGAAATAACCTTTTTGAGCACCAGGGACGGGGAAAGCACCACTTCCACCGCGCAATCAGGTCCCGAAAGCAAATTCGGGATCTTTAGTACGGCCTTCGAAGTCTCCGGAGGAGACAGGGACGACTTCGACATACTTTATTTTTCGCGTGAACTTTTTCTAAAGATCGCGCAACAAGTTTCTACCTACTAATTCGCTTGTCAGAACTCTTCAAATTTTTCTTGCGAAGTGTACATTCTGCTTTGTGCAGCTGCCGCTGCCCGGCTCCTGCCAGTCTCTCATACAAGAAGAGAAAAAGCAACCGCAAGTCTAAGGTCAACTACACAGCCTCGATTATTACGCTTCACCTTTATGTTTATCTTGAGTCACGACAACATTGTTGAGAATAAGAAAAGCACGCGGCTGTCCTTTTTGTGTGGATTCATTCAACACTATCTTTTCTATCACACAGAACAACATCCTTCAGGGAATATGTGACAGGGACAAGACAACTGACACTCTTACGTGCGTCATCTTGGCAAAAAAAAATCCGCCAAATGGAGTACTTATAGCGACCCTGCAACAATTTAAACTAGAGGCACACGCTCACGCACAGGCAGTGGTATAATCATTTGAAGTTTCAGTTCACACCATACTTCACAGCGACGACAACCATGATCATTCTCGACTGGATCTCAGCCCAGCAGGTCCCTGGTTGTCTTCCTCCGTTTGCGTCGCAGTTCCTCAGAATCACTGGACGAGGCATCATCTTCCACGATGAAGTCGTCAGCGGCCGTCCGCGGTTTTCGCTTTGCGGCCCCCTTCGCCTTGCTGGCCTTCGCCTTTCCTGTAGTCCCACGACCCGCGGCCCCCGCCGCTTTGCTTGCTTTATTTGCATTTCCCACCGACGTTGGCGGCGGTTTTTTCATCCCCGAGTGTAGCTTAGAGGTTCCCGCACATGCAGAAACAAGTTGTGGAGGCACATGATCACCCACAGCAACTTGCATTTGCATAGAAGCTGCTGCTCCTGCTGTCCCGCCTGGCCCTTGTTGAAGGTGGGTCCCCAGCAAAGCACTCGTCTCGGACCGTTTTCGCTGGGCCGCGGAGGCCTTCGCCGCCCGGGCGGCCGCACCACCGCCGGGCAAAATGATTTTCCCAGGGTCCAGCGGAGGCATGTTTTTGGCCGGGTAGTCTTCTCCGCATGCGCCTTCGCGCGCGTTACCGGTGCGTCGGGTTCGCTGTCCTTCGTGTTAGTTTTTCTTCCCCTTGGCACCCGCTCCTGCAGCGGCTTCCTCCACAGTCTGCTGCAGGCGCTGTGGCAACTTTTTCTGCAGGCGCCGTGGCCAGGACGCGACGAACTCCGGACGCATACTCTTGCAGGCGGCGTCGAAAACTTTTCCGCTATCATGAAACGACTTCACCTTGGACAAGTCCCACGAGTTCAGGTCCTGCGCGAAGGCGTTGCACTTGCAGAGCATCCACTGTATATCTGTTACATTCCTGGTGTCCCACGAGCCCAGCGGCTGGTTGAAGACGGTGCACCCGACGAACATGCTGCTCACGCTTGTCACATTCCTGGTGTCCCACGAGCCCAACGACTGGTTGAAGGCTTTGCACCCCTCGAAGACACTAGTCATGTTTTTGACTCTCCCCGTGTCCCACGAGCCCAGCGGCTGGTTGAAAGCCTTGCACTCACAGAACATGCGACCCATGTTCTCGACATTCCTGGTGTCCCACGAGTCCAGCGGCTGGTTGAAGACGTCGCACAACTCGAACATACCACGCATGTCTTCGACTTTCCCCGTGTCCCACAAGCCCAACGGCTGGTTGAAGGCGGTACACAGGGAAAACATCCTGTTCATGTTCACGGCCTTCGACGTGTCCCAGGCATCTAGGGGCTGGTTGAATTTATAACACTCCCTAAACATATCATGGAAATCGGAGGCACCGCTAACGTCCCAGCCCGAGATATCCCGATTGAACGTGAGGAAATCAGTGAAGAGCAAAGCCAGGCTTTCTACGCGAGAGCAGTCCCAAATCCGCAGGGGTCCGTACCGCCCTTCGATCTCCTTAGCTGTTGTCTGCTCCATGACGTGCGCCAGAATCTCCCCCGTGCTCTGCTGTAGTCCTTCTTCAGGATCAAACCCAGACGGGGTGCGAAAGTGGTCTTGTTCGTCATCTTCATCAAACATGTCCTGCGCATCCAGGTAGTAGTCCTCGCTGCAGATCACCATGAGCGCTTTGCTCAGTGCGCGCTTGTCCTCGAAGGCCTCGAACGTTTTCACAAAGTACGCGACGTCGTCGGGAAATTCCAGCAAATTCGTTGGAAGCTCGTGGTCGTTGGCCAGAGTCTCACCGCTGTCGGCCAACACGATTTGCACCTGCTCCCACTGTATGCATTGCAAACGTGTCTGGGTCTGAAAGAACATTGCATAGACTTTTATATGCTCTACTGACAGGAAAGAGAGATCTGTACATGCATGTTGAGCTACCTAGCTATTTCGTTTCTGTAATGCAAAAACGCAGTTTCTCATGCAGTTTGCGCTAGACCTAGTCGCTCAGAAACTTGTCATGCGCGCCCCCATATCGGAGGTTGCTTATGCTTCGCAAATTTGCATCGCGATCAACTCTACAGACCCAGACATATTTGCAATGCATACACTGCACCGGGCGGCCGGTCGGCGATGCGTGGGCTTTCTGCTCTTTAAACGTTGCCGCGATCTGTTCCTTCAGTTCCTTTACCGACATAACATTTTTGAGCACCAAGGACGGCGAAAGCACTACTTCGACCGCGCAATCAGGCCCCGAAAGCAAGTTCGGGATCTTTAGCACGGCCTTCGAAGTATCCGGAGGGGACAAGGACGACTTCGACATACTTTATTTTGAGTGTGAGCTTTTTCTGATCGCGCAGCAAATTTCTACCTACTAATTCGCTTGTGAAAACTCTTCAAATTTTGCTTGCAATCTTTACACTCTGCGTTGTGCAGCTGCCGCTGCCCGACTCCTGCCAGTCTCTCATACAAGAAAAGCAGAAGCAACCGCAAGTCTAAGGTCAATTACACAGCTTCATCTTTATCTTGAGTCAAGACGACATTGTTGAGAATAAGAAAAGCACGCGGCTGTCCTTTTTGTGTGGTTTCATTCAACACTATCTTTTCTATCACACAGAAGAACATCCTTCAATGAAAGAACATGTGACAGGGACAAGACAACTGACACGCTTACGTCATCTTGGCAAAAATCCGCCAAATGGAGTACTTATAGCGACCCTGCAACAATTTAAACTACAGGCACACGGCCGCGCACAGGCAGTGATATAATCATTTGAGGTTTCAGTTCACACCATACTTCACAGCGACGACAACCATGATCATTCTCAACTGGATCTCACCCCAGCAGGTCCCTCGTTGTCTTCCTCCGTTTGCGTCGTAGTTCCTCAGAATCACTGGACGAGGCATCATCTTCCACGATGAAGTCGTCAGCGGCCGTCCGCGGTTTTCGCTTTGCGGCCCCCTTCGCCTTGCTGGCCTTCGCCTTTCCTGTAGTCCCACGACCCGCGGCCCCCGCCGCTTTGCTTGCTTTATTTGCATTTCCCCCCGACGTTGGCGGCGGTTTTTTCATCCCCGAGTGTAGCTTAGATGTTCCCGCAGATGCAGAAACAAGTTGTGGAGGCTGCACATGATCACCCGCAGCAACTTTCTGCATAGAAGCTGCTGCACCTGCTGTGCCGGCTGCACCTTGTTGTAGGTGGCTCCCCAGCAAACCACTCGTCTCGGACCGTTTCCGCTGGGCGGCGGAGGCCTTCGCCGCCCTGGCGGCCGCACCACCGCCGGGCAAAATGATTTTTCCCGGGTCCAGCGGAGGCATGTTTTTGGCCGGGTAGTTGTTATCCGGAACTTCCGGGGCGCCCCGAATTCGCAAAATGGGCTTGCTGCGAGCCACCGCCGAGGAGGCTTGTTTTGCTGGACCGGGGGGGACATCATGAGCAGCTGCACCGGGCTTCATCCCGCCTCTCTCCGTCTGGTTGTTCATCGCCGTGTTGTTCTTCCCAGGCAGCGTGATCCTGCCCACCTGCAGGCTCAACTGCTGGTGCAGCGGTTGTTGCGCTTCTCCCGCCCCGCCCCGACCTGCGGTCGCGCGCAGGTGGGTCTCCACCGAGCGGCGCTGCGACTCGTGCTCGAGCGCTAGGTTTGCGCGGTCAATCTCGGATCCGAGTCGGTTGCCCCAGGCTTTGCTCCCGGCGGCCAGGGAGCGCTTCGGCTGATGCTGCTGCGTGTAGTTCTTATTTCCGTGGTGCTGGGCGTCGAGGGTGTTGTTCTGGAAGGTGAAAGGTTCCCGTCTGATCAATGCTGCATTTTGCTGATGTTGGTCACCAACACTTATGTCGAACAGCGGACGCACGGCGGACTCGACCTCTTGCTCCAGTTCATTCGGCGTGGGAGAGATCATGTGGTGAATGCGCGCGTCAATCACGTTTCCATTTGCATCCCTCAGCGGCGCACCAGCAGCTTCATGGAGGTTCTTGAAGTTGTTTTGCTGGTGGTGCGACTGGGCACTAGAAGTACCAGGTTTGGTATTCTGGTGCGCAGAAGAGCTGCTGTTTCCCGTCGGGAGAAGATGTTGAACTGCAGCGCCTCTTGGGGACGCGGCGCCGCGCCCTCCTGCGCCGGAAATTGGTATCCCAGGGTGCTGGTGGGCCAGCACTCCAACTGCGCTACTAGCAGGTGGCTGGCCAAACTTTTCCCGAAACGCTTCTTCGCGATCCAGGCCAGGTTTCGCTTCCTGCAGGAACTTTTGCCACACGTGCTTGGAAAAGTAGTCTTCCATACTTTCCGGCGCGTCTAGGATATTGATATCCTCGTCGATGGTACTGCTGTTTGCTGGCAGGGAGAAACTACTACTACTACCTAGATCCACAAACCGCACGAACCCCGCCCGGAAATCCGAGAGAAATTGCGCCTCGGGGGGCAGGATCTCGCCCAACCGGTGTGGCGAAAGTCCCGAGTTCGACGCGAATTGCGCGGCGGAGGGACCACGGTCCGCCGCCTTCAAGTCGTGGGAGGTGCCGGTGTCGTTGGCAGCTTTCGAAAGTACAGCCTTACTAGTACTACCGGATGAATGTTGCAGCATCTCCTCCTTGCTCAACAACATTCTGTGCTGGTGCGCGGCTCCGGTGGACCTCGCAGCAGTCGCGGCGCCGAGCTTCCCGAGGTAGTGGAGCACCGCGCCCGTCGCGCGGTCGCAGACCAGACAGAGATGCAGCAGAAACCGCCCTGCGGCCCGCCACATCGGCAGGCGGTACCGGTCGTACAGCGTCCGCCACTGCGCCTTGAATGCCGCCTTGAGCTCTGCAGTGCCGGCGTCGTACCGGCTTTCCGCGCTGCGCAGCACCTTTCTGAACGCCCGCCTCCTCGCCTTGTTGAAGCGGGCTACCTCGGCTTCGTGAAGACGAGCAGTGCCGATCGTTGCAAACAACATACTGTTTGAACCAGTGGAGTTCGGTGACTTCGCGTCGGGATTTTGCTTTTCCTGGCTTTCCATTTGTTTTGCCAAAAGTTCGCGCAGTTCCTGTTGCAAAGCCACACGCTCGACCAGCTCGTTATGGTTCTCGAGGAGAAAGTGCCGCTGTTGCGGCCGCGGACTGCGCAGAACGTGTACCCGCTGCACGTGCTGGAGGCTGGCGGTGCTATCAAGTGGTTTGCTCGGATTTTTTTCTTTCAGGTCGCCCACGGCGCTAGTGTTCGATGTCGCACCACCTAGTAGTTGTGCTTGTACAGGACCAACTGCAGCACCTCCACCAACCTGTTCCAGAGCCGGCGTGAGGGGCGGCGAGTCGATGGAGGGTTGCACAACCCCCGCGCGCCCTGAAAACAGCATGTGTTGCAGGACATGATCTGAGATATCCGGGTACCAAATCCCCCGACTGGCCAAGTGGTGCTGCTGCTCCTGCTGGAGAGCCACGCTGTTGTTATTCCCCGTGGCCCCACCGCCGCGTTTACTGGACCGCGCCGTCTGCGGCCCCTCGTCAGCCGAGGCGGCCGCACTCGAGCCCCGCGCACTTCGACCGCCGACCGAGCGCCGATCGGATTGGCGGTGGCGGAGGTTGAGGTCCCCTTGCTGCAGTTCATCCTCGGCGCCGCTGCTAGAAGAGAACACGGCCTTCGCGGATGCGAACTCCCGCTTGGCATACCACTCCTTCTTGCGCGCTCGCTGCGAATCCGAGTCCGACGACAGGTCTGAATGTTCCGAGCTGGTGCGCCGAGCCGAGGAGGACGAGGTACTGATTCCGTCCGAGGAGGTGAAGTCGGAGTCGCTCTCCGAATCTTCCGACGACGAGGAAAATTCGTGCTTCGAACTACGGGCGCTCCTGCTGGAAAGAACGTCGTGCTTGCTTGTTGTAGTTCCGGCTTTAACGATGGATGCACTCGTCGCTCTTCCCCTAGTACCCACTCTACCACTGTTCTTCTTGCTTCCACCATTTCTGGTCGTCTTCTTCGATGCTTTTGCGCGGTACTTGACGCGCAACAGCTTCCCCGGGATTTTCGCGGCGCCGCGCTTCATCAGAAAAAAGCGGATCAGTTCCTGTTCGTAGCAAAGCTCGTAATCTACCTTGAGCAACTCAAGAAATTGCGCGATCAGGCTCACTGCGATTTCGGCAAGGCCCAATTGGTGCTCGGGGGCTAGGGTGCTTCTATTCGAATCAGTGCAGGACACGAGAGAATCCACAACCTGGAACAACAGGGGGAAGTTTCGCAACCAGCAGGTCTGCCAGTCACACACGAGCGAATTCGAGAGCCACTCAAGGGCCAGTCTGCGCGCAGGAAGTCCTGCGTCGTGGGGAAGCAGGGAAAGAACGGGATTTTTTTCGGAAGAAGAAGGATTTAGTACTCCCGTAGTTGCTAGCGATGCTGCTGCGCCGCCTTTTTGGTGAAAATCGTCGTGACCTGCGACCATGAGCTGGCGTGCTGTAGCGATGACGGCACTTTCGACGAATAGTTGTGTGATATTTTTCGTGGTCGCGGTTGGAATCTCTGTGTCTTTCTTTGTGCCTTCGGTTATACTATCAGGACCGCGTCGCTGAAGCTTCTGCGGTAAATTCAGAACCTCCTGCTCCTGTGCCAATAACATGGATTCGTAAAACCGAATCGTAGCTACGACGTAAACCGCCTCTCGCGTTGAGCGATCCGGAAACCAGGGCGGAATCTCCTCGCTATCCCGTACAAGTAGGCTGCTTCCAGAAACAAACTCTTTGACTAACAGACCGGCCAAGTTCAAATCGCTTTCCACAAATCGAATAAAAGCCTCTGCTGTCTGCTGCATTTTACCCGCAGGGGACGACGTTGTGTCTTTTCCTTTTCCCTGCTGCAATTCCTTCTTATTTTCCTCGGTCATCAGCGCGTCTAAATCGAAGCTTGCTTGGTGCTTCAGCGGAACCGGGCTCTTCTTGTTCGGGGCCTTTGAAAGAACCCCGGCGGAGGTTCTCGACGCAGTAGTAGCAGTTCCGAGCAAAACGATCTTCGCTTCTTGCTCCGCCGACAACGGCTGCACTTCGCTGGCCAGAATCGCCTTTACGTCCGAAGCGCTCGGCCGCTTTGGCAAGTCAACAGCGGATGGCGACTGTACCCCGTTCATCTTCTCATCGACCAGTGATGTATTTTGGCCCGCCGCAACCGCGCCTGCTTCTCCCGTACTAGCCTGCTCTACTAGCGCAGGCGGTTGCATTGCGGTCAGCAGTTTCCCTTGCAGGTTGTGGAAATCCAGCAGCCAGGCCACGGAAAGGAGCGCCTTCACCAAGGGCAAGCCGGTTATCAGCATTTGGATTTGGTGCGCACCGTCATTACCATTCCAAACTCGCCAAGTATGGATTGCAAAAATGTCTGGGTCTGGAGTGTAATGCTGGTCTTGCATTCCAATTCCTGTGAAATCTGTATTGCGTGACCAAGAACAGTGGTGGCTCCTTATGTCCTCATACAAAAACGCAGAGTCTCATGCGGAGTTCGTATGAGAAGGCGTGCTGTAATCTTGTCATGCTTTCCTACATAAGGAAGTGAATTCCTCTTGCACATTTTAGCATCACAAATTTCCAGACCCAGACATCTTTACATTTCGTACCAAGTGAGACACTGCAACATGGGTTCCACCAGCCACTCGCGGTGCCCGATGGCCTCACGCAGCGTCTCGTTGCCGCTCTGCTGCAGGGCCTTCTGCTCCGCGTGGCGCTTTTTCACCTCCTCCAGGTCATTGTTATCGCTGCTGCTTGCCAGCGACGACACCGCGTGCATGATGTAGATGGAATCCGTCTCCTTGCTGCTTTGCACCGCTGCGGCGCGCCCGTGCCCGCTCTTCGATGTCACCGTGCTGGCCATCGCGCGGACGGGAACCAGCTGCTGGCTCGCACCATGCAGCACGTTCGTTGTTCCAGTCGCCCCTGCGTTTGTACCGCGCACGCTGCCAGTAGTCCTGCCGTTTGTAGTGCCATCTGGTCCATTTCCTGGTACACCGCTACCATAGTTCAGCTGTTGCGCGGCCCCCGCCGCCGTCTTGAGCCTTTTCGACGATCGGTGGTCGTGGTGGTGCCCAGACAAAGCATTATTTTTGTAGCTTTCTAAACCGCTCCCCGCGTTCTGCCCGCCCGACACGCCGGAGCGAGCGGCCTCGGACGCGAGACCCATGAACGGCGTCACGCCCACACTGGACTCCGCCTCCTTCTTGACTGTCTGCTTCTGCAGCAAGGAACGCACTATACACTGCAAACATGTGGTCTGAATCAGGAAAGCTGCAAATTTCTCATGCTGCCATTGAATTCTACGAAAATTTGTGTTGTATGAACAGCACGCAAGTTGATTTCGCTGCACAACTACAAGACGGCATTTCTCATGCGAGGTAGGCATCACGAAGCTCCCGGCAACTCTGTGATGTTACGGCATACATCACAGACGTTGTGCGTTAGGTAGAAAGTGCATGACAAATTTCTGCATTTGCGAGAGGACTACATGTTTGCATTAGATACGCACGCGCTCGTCCGGCGTGATCCGCTCCGACACCCGCTGTTTTGCCTCCAACTCGTTATATTGCGTCAAATTCGCGGTGTTCAGCTTCAAAGTCGATGTACGGTTTTGCTGCTGCTGCGAGGTGGATCCGTGCGCCTGCCGCGCCAGTTGTGAATGTCCTCCTCCTCCTGCATGGAGACTGCGACTCCCGTGTTCGCTGTCCAGGAACGACAAGTGCCCGTCGTCCGAAAGGCGCTCACGGTCCTCCTCCTCGAAGGGAAGAGCAACTTCCTGCCCGATGTCGTCGACGTCGTAGAAGGGCAGTAGGGGCGGCAATCCGTGCAACTTTTCCTCTTCGTCCTCGTCCTCGACGACAATGTGAGCGTTCGCCGCTTCGACCGGTGCGTTGTAATTGTAGCTGTATTCCTCGTCGTCAAACGAACTGAATTCCTGGTCCTCCATCGACTTCAATCGCTTCAAGGTGCTGGTGTTGTTGTTCTTCATCTCGCTAGAAGTACTTTGCTTCATGTTGATGTTCTGGCCACTTTGGCTCTGATTTTCAACAACATCAAAGGGTGTTGCATCAAGTAGATCTACTTCGCGCTCGCCCGGACCGGGCGGTACCTGCATGATCGGGTTTTCCAAAAGTTTGTCCTTTTCGTTCATTATAACCTGCTCAGGTCGTGTTACAATCTCAAACGTTACAATAGAGTCTGGAAATCTGTGATGCAAGAGCTGCATGATCTAGCCAAGTCCCATCGGATTGCGCATGACAAGTTTCGGAGTCCGCAACCGCACTACAATCTGGCGAAATTTGTATTGCAGAAACGGGAATGCTGTCCGAGTCTATCATGCTCGTCATGCAATACAAAATCCAGATTCTATTGTAACGTTTGAGATTGTAACGTTTGAGCAGGTCATATTCATTTTCTCGATCTTCTCGATTTGCAGGTCGTCGTCTATCCTGTGTAAAAACGTCCCCACACCAGAGTCAAGATGGGGAATCTGCTAGACAAATCAGCCAACTTTGCTTGTTTGGCATGACAAGTTTGTCCGCGTAGTGTACTCCTGTTTAGTTACTTAAGAAGCATCACAGATCTAGCATAGAATGCTGACTCTAGCATCACATACTCCAAAACCCGACTGGAAAATGCTTCGCATAGGGCTCCGCATAAGAAACTTTTTTGGCATGCGGAATTGCATCACAACTATGGGGTGGGGACGTTTTTACTCAGAATATCGTCGTCATCGTCCTCATCCTCCTCATCTGCGGTGAACTTCGACGAGGAACTAGAGCTGGATCTATTACCACTTTTCGGCGACATAATTGGAATTGCGTTGCTGGTGGGAGATAAAATTTTCTTCTCCAACTTGTTCTCCTTTGTTCCAGGCTTGCCGAAGAAGAAAGCTGGATCCAGATCGAACGACTCCACTCGTTCCGCGACAGTGGCCGGAAAGAACTGGTCGCGGGTCGTGTTCATGCTTTGTCCAGCACCGGAAACAAAATCATGCTTGGAAGTTGTACTAGTAGCTCCTCCTGTTGGATTCGAAGTCTGATTGAGAACTTTCGACGACGACCGCCCTTGCAGCTGGTGCATTTCCGCGACCAGAGCGTCATATCAAATGCAAAAGTGTCTGGGTCTGGATGATTGCAACTTGTCATGCTAAATCTGAATCAGGCAAAAAACTGTGTTGCATGATTGCCAGAAGTTGTGCACTTTTGACCCAATCGAGAGGCAGTCTCTCATGCAGGATAGGCATTAGAAAGGTCCCGCAGAATCTGTCATGCTATGTCCTACATACCAGACTTCATGGGTCATGGCAAATCTGCATGACAAATCTGGCAATCTTCCCGACCCAGACATTTTTGCAATCCATACGTCATACAACGTGACGAAGTCGGCTTCCGGGCGGCGAACGCGGAAATACCGGCGCTTCAGCCCGGCGACGAGCGGCTGCTCTCGTTGCTCGATCTGCTGGTTGTTCTCCACCGCTTTTTATGAAGTCACAAAATACAAAAAGGTGACAGGTAAAAACCTCGAATATAATCGAAATCCCGCAGTTTTATTTTGCCAATTTTGGTTGTTGGGAGGTGGTTTTTGGAAAGTAGGGGGGTTGGTTTATTTCGGGAGGTGTTTTTTTTTGTCGACGGGCAAAGAACCTACTGACACCGAGAGGAAGGCGCTTCGGTTTCCAGATGAAGGCGATTCAATTTCTAGACGAAGGCAACTGAGTTTCCAGATGAAGGCAATTCAATTTGCCGACTAAGGCGCTCAATCTGCCAAATTTGGTTTTGAAGAGCTGATTTCTGCGCTCGCGTTTTTTGTTGTAAACGAAAAAAACCTTACAGAGACCTAGACCCCTGCAGAAGTCCTTGACCTTACAGAGACCTAGACAGAAGTTGCCGTGCAGAAGTCCTTGAGCTTTCTCCAGAATTCGCTGACTTCCCTGCGCATCTGCACCGAAACCCGCAAGCACCTTCGCAGAGAGCATTTGCTCACGGATCGCGGTGAAAAAGCTTCGCGCTGGGTTGTGGTGAAAAGGGCGATCCCGTTTTCGGTGAGGATGGCTTAGGTTTTTCCGATGTTTGGCTAAGGACTCAGCGCCGTGAAAAAGCTCACTCGGGCGCTGGTGCTCATGCGTTTTGTAGGCGGAGGCCTGATCTCAGTAAGCTGCTTTTTCGTTTATAAAAAAGAAAACGAACGCAAAAGCCGCTGGCTTTTCCGTTCGTATTCTTGGTTTTCGAGAGGTGGCCAACCTCTCGAAAACCGAAGTCGGCAGATTGAATCACCTTGGTCGGCAAATCGAATCGCCTTAGTCGGGAAATTGAGTGGCCTTTTTCTCGGTGTTAGTAAGTTGTTTTTCCGCCTACAAAAAAAAAATAGCGGCCGGAAAACAGCCTCCCTACCTTCCCAAAACCACCTCCCGAAAACCGAAATCGGCGAAATAAAACTGCGAGATTTCGACTCTATTCAGGAAATTTACCTGTCCCCTTTTTGTATTTTGTGCGTTCATACCGCTTTTGTTCGCAGCGCAAGCGGCTGCTCTCGTTGCTCGATCTGCTGGTTGTTCTCCACCGCTTTTGTTTACAGCTTGGATGGCCATTAGATTTCTCTGCGGTGAATTTCGCGTGATTTTAGGGGTCTGCACGAATTTGATAGGTGGCGCTGCGAATATTATATTTTCTCCCGGAAATATCGACATCCACCCGACGGAATAGTCGTAGCGACGTAAGTTCCAAAAGGCTTCCGGTGGTGGCGGAATTTTTCCAGCAAAAAAAAGACCGGGATGGGGCGCCTCAGTGTGTAGTTGTCATTGTCATTGTCAGCGCCCCACCCTTAGGATGATGGGTTGCGAAATAGCTTCGCGCAGTTGCTTTTGTTTTCTAAATGCTTCGGATGGCTTGTCGGGCTCGGGCGCCTGATCTGTCAGACGCCTTCTCTGCTGCGGCAAGTCATAGCAATTCAATGCCTCGCGCGGCCTTGTGGCGTGCTTGCATTTTGTTGGTTTTGTATTTGTGCGTGCATGCGCCAAATGTTTCGTATTTTCTGAAGCAAATGCGCGGTGATCGTTTTGAGTGTGGTTCTCCGACTCCGGTGAATTTAGAAATGAATGCAAAATGAGTGTTGATTTGGTGATGGTCTGGAATCCAGAATCAGGTCGGGGTGAATTTAGGAAATCACAAAAAATTCCTAAATTCACCGCCCACCAATTTCTAAATTCACCGCCAAACTCACCGATCGCAGCATACCATCGGTAAAGGGGGTACTTTAAAGCGGGTTTTTCGCGCGAAACAGCACGGCACTCCACATCGCGATTTTGTTGTCCAAAATTGAAACGCTGAAGTTGAACTGTTAAGAAGGAAAGGATAAAGTCATGAAACCACCAAAAGACTTGCTTCGCGAAAAAAGGCGCGGAAAAATGTGGTAGGTTGGGCGTTGCCGGGACGGGGATTGCAATCAATGTCAGGGAGCCGTGGTGACGAGCCCCGTGTCGCCATCACCTCTATTTGTGCTAGGCCTTGCCCCGTGAACCATAACCACCCGAAAGACCGGCCCCGCGATTCTATGCCACCTCTAAAATCACTCGAAATTCACCGCCCCTATATCTAATGGGCGTCCAAGCTGTAAGCTTGCTCTCGTTGCTCGCCCTGCTGGTTGTTCTCCACCGCTTTTGCTCGCAGCGCGTGATTTTGCAGGTTATTTCGGTTGAGCGCGGCGGCCATTTGACCCTTTGGGTTGTTCTTACCACTGTTGTTGCTGTTCGCGTTATTTCTGGACAGCTGCGTGCTATCACGACCACGACCCTGCACAGAATTTGTTGTTCCGATTGCTTGGACCGCGGCTAGTTTCAGGGTCTGGCCGGCGTGTGGAAGATGGGGTTCATCTCTGCCCGTCTTGATGTCGTTGTTCAAAAATTCCCCTTGTAGTTCCCCTGTCTGTTTGTTGTTTTTACCCACCTGTTGTAGTTGTGCTGAGGAGGAAGAATGTGCTCCCACGACCGCGCTGTCCGATGTGTAGTCTTCGTCGCTGGTCCCATCGTCAAACACTTTGGAACTCGAGCGGGTCCGGTTTTGTCCCCTCTTGCTGGACGCTTTCGCGTTGCTGTCGTCCTCGTTGTCAGGCGGCGACTGCAGCTGGAGCGATCGCAGTCCGGGCGAGGACTTATTCTTCTCGGAATCTTCGTCTTCATCGCTCGTCAGTTCCAGGCTGCTACGCGACGTGGACCGGGATCTGGGCCGCCGATGATGATGAACCGCGCCGGAAGTGGTTTTCTTCGCCTGTTTCGAGGTATTACTCCTGCCCGAGCGATTGGTAGTAGTCAACTTCGCCGAATGGGGCTGGTGCTCGACATAATCGTGTTGGTTTTGTCCTTTTTTGCTACTAATTGCGTTTTCTTTTTCGTCGATTTTATTTCCCTTGCCAGCATTTTTGCTGTTCATCACAACCTCAGCTGTAGTTCCACCTTGATGTTGCAGCGCAATGTTGCTGCTCGTCCCCACAACGGCACCTCCAGTACCTCCTCTTCCCCTCCTCCTTCCGCTCTTCGAGCCCCCTACGGAGTTATCGTCGCCCTGCTCGGAAACCGAAGCGCCCCCCGCGGCCGTGCTGGTGCCTCCGCGACCGCCCGCTTTGTTCAAAAATTCTTCGTCGCCCACCTCGGATAATACGGAGGGAAGCGCCCAGCTGGCCAACATGTCTTCTATCACGGGGAATTTGGAGCCGATGATGCCGATCTTGAGCACCAGCAGGAAACAGTTCGCGTCGATGGTGAGCATGTCCATCACTTGCAGCAAAAACTTCTTCAGATTCTGCCGCACCTGCAGTCGGTAGGTTTCGATCTTCCGCCGCCGCCGCTCCTCGAACTGCTCGCTGGTCACTTCGTACTCCTCCTCCCCGGGGAGCAAGAGCTCGGAATCTGCAAAATCCTCTTGCTCGATGTCGGAATCTATATGCATTGCAGAAGTATCAGTACTGGAATAAATGGCAATACAAATTCTCCCAAGACGAGAAAAAATGTAATTTGTAATGCTGATTTGCATTAGGCCATAGATCTGTCATGCATAACTGCTATTAGTAAGTACGTACGAGTACGATACTTATTTTATTGCGATTCATAATTCAAGTAGTCGTCCCAAAAGTCGTTGTTGAACGAGCCAACTCCCAGCGCGGCTGCGGTGTTTTGCAGTAAATGCGCGCCGGCTGCATAATTTTTCTGCTCCGGGTCCCCGACAACCCCTCCGAGCGGCACGAGCGACCCGGTGGTGGTGGTTTTATACGGGACCGTGACCCGCCCGATGGTTGTCCAACACAAGTGGTACAGCGCGACTTGCAGGTACAAACAGGCCCAGCTGTTGTGCCGGTTGTTCTCTTTCAAGAAGCGGATCATCTCGTTGCCGAGGATCTCCTTCAACTGTTCCGATTCGAAGATTTTTTGCTGCTGATAAAATTGCATCTTCTTGCTCTGCTTGTTCCTGTGTCTTTCAATTTTCGACGTTCTGAGGTTAATGTTGTTCCCCGTCGCCTGACCCGTGAAGTGGTTACCGGATGAACTAGACGAAGTGGTCAGGAACAACTCCGCCCCCGCGGGGATGCAACCGAGACTGTGGTCTTGGAAGTAGACGTTGTCGAACAAAATGTCGAATTTCCGGCTGCGCACCAAGGACGCCAGAAACTTGCGGCACGTGCGGGTGAACACCAGGTAGTTCTGGCTGGCGTTCAGAGACAACTCCGTTTGCCCGGTCTCGGCCAAAAACTCCAGCATCGCGGTGATCAGGCGGCTGGTGTTTTCCCCCGACCGGTCCAGCGTCAGAATAGCGTCGCGAAACTCCGGGACATTGAGAAATTGCTGAAACCAAACGGGCGTGGTCCACGCGTTTAACGGGAAGGACCGGGGGGTCTTGTTGTGCTGCTGGTAGTACTCCAAATCTAACGGCGCCTTCAGCCCCTTGAACAGGGGGGAGTCCTTCGCTTCGCTCTTCATCTTGCTCCCCACGGCCGCGTCGTCGATAGGAACCGCGCCGAGGTGACCGTAGAACCCCTTCTGGCCCTTGTCCGGGCGAAAATTCCGGACCAAGCTGTCGCCCAGCTCCTCGCGGAATCGGTGCGTGCTCTGCATCTTGGCGGTGTCGACGATTCGTTGTTTCTCCAGCTGGTAGTCCATCTGCGTCATCTTTGTCGTGCCAGCGTCGAGGTGGAGGGTACTATCACCGACGTCTTTACTATTACCGGCTGCTGCTCCACTTGTTCCACCTCTATTCGGGGATTTCACGTCAGTCGTAGCGCCGGCCCCCAGTGTTGATCCTGCTCCAGTTGACTTCAAGGCTCTTGTACTCAAAGCTGCGGCGACGCCAGCTGCGCCGAACAAACCGGCTGGTGCGCCCCCGCTGCCCGCGTGTTGTAGTTCATCATCTTGTTCCCCGCCGAAAAAGAGTGAGTCCCACTTGGCCAGCGGTTTCAACAGGTGCAAATGCCGGTGGTCCCGCAAACTGTTCTCCATCAGGGCGGCCCGCACCGGATTCCGCTCCCGCCGCCTTCCGAACCGCGCTGCACTAGTGTAGTACGATGACACGACACCAGCACCCGCAGACTGGTCGTAGTTGCCGTACTTACGAAAGAGCTCGTCGACCGACTGCCCGCTGGTGTCCAGTAAATCTTTCGCGTAGACGGACAGACGCTGGAATGAGGCAGGTTGATGTTGCCTGCCATTCTTATTACCGGACGAGTTGTAGTTCATTCCGCTTCTCGAACCAGAAGACCCGCCGGCCTGCAGATTGTGCGGCCGGTGCGATGTCGACGATTCGCCGAGCATTTTTGCCGCGTACTAAGGAGCTACTAGAAGATAACACGACAGCACCTAGCGACACTTTCTTTTCGATTTCTTTGTCCTGGCACCCGCTTTGACTAGACGCTGTGCAAGCAGGCCCCCGGATCGTAGAAGCTGGGCAACACCAGCCGCGGGTGTAGTTCTCGGACGCCGTGCTGGGTCCAGCTGTGGTGCTCCATTACGGTCCGTCAGCTGCTCGGAATGGCGGGTAGACCTCCTTCATTCCTGGCAATGTGACTTGCTGCAGGATGAAAAAGGATGGCGCCGAAACGAGAATGGCTTTTCCTCTTCCGGTCGCCTCTCGTAAGAATGACCATCTTTATCTTTTGCTTTGCTCGGTCTAAGCGTGAAATACGGTGGTTGAAAAGAGTTGCGCAAGAAACGAATTCTGAGTTGGTATTCGTCAAGAAAGTTGATGCTCAATAAATCACGTTAGACCACTAGCACACGTAGTTACTTATCTAGAAGTAGTTCCTGGATTAAAATAAGCAAGCGGTATCCGGTATCTTTCGCCGAGCATCGTACTTACTTTCCGCTTTCTCATCTACGTCGGGGTAACGAAGACTATGCTGGAGATCATCCAGGTGCGTAGTTATTCTAGTAGAACTAGAAGACTGATCCATCGTGGCAATAGAACGGCGCCTAGGGAGTAATAGTAATACTGAAGTAGTGGTGTAGAGCATTATTTTTAGCAGACTGAGTACCTCGGTTGCAGCATCTTTCTCCCTCGAGATGGATCTTCCTCCTGTACTAGGTCATAGCACCTACTAGTTGTCAGTATGCTCCTTTTGGTAGTCAGTCATCTCTGTCATGTGTAGGATGAGCTTGAGAGCAAGGATCTCGAAAACGTTCCTTCCGAAGGAACTCGGCGAGAAACACTAGTGCAAGACAGGGCCGCGAATATTAAGACCCGACATCCCATCGCAACCCGTCCCCGAGAAAAATGACGCAAGCCCGCGACGAAGGTTGTCCGTGTTGGTCGCCAGGAGTACTGCTTGTCTCTTTCTTGTTTTTGGCTCTTTAGTGCAGTTGTTCAACATCCTGTAAGTGTACATCAACATACCATGGCAAAAATTGCGCGTGGTTCGTCGTGTTTCTTTTTCTTATGCTGGCGAAGCTGTAAGTAGTACCACTCCTTTTACGCGGCCCGCAAGTTGAAGACTTTTGCACTTCGTGGTTTGGTTCCTACGAAAGTAATTGTTTGAAACCTGCGTTGTTCACTACAGCAAGTTAAAAGTCGTAATTCACGCTTTTTCAGCTCGGCGTCAGCAAGGTCCGTTTTCCATTCCCTTTCAACTTTTACAGTTCAAAATAACACTGCTGACAAAAATCGAAACTATGAAAGATTTAATGGTTGTCCACTTCAGTTACTTTGCTATACCGAAATAAATCATGCCAACGTTCACTTTTACGCGAAAGCCTTTGGAATTCTCTCTAAATATTCTTCCCAACGATAACTGCTTGTGGGTTGTACTTGCTCCTGCGATAAATGTCTATAATCAGATAGATGAAACGTGAAGATTCAAAAATGACTTCTCGAAACGACTTCGAAACTTATCGAACCTACGTTGTAGTTTGTGAGCCATTCATTAACTAGTACCCGAGTAGGAGGACCACTACACGACCTTACGCTTTGTACTTCTTTTCGGGCGAGTCCGGTTTGGGCGCGACCTTCTTTTTCGCGGGCAGTGGCGCCGGTTTTTCCCCGGGCTTCACGTATTCCGGATTCTTCTCAAAGGTTTCTTCCTTCTCCTCCACCCGGTCCTTTGCCTTTTCGTAGTTCTTGGACCAGTCGAGATCGGTCGGGTCCGGCTTCGCGTCCCCCTCGTTCAAGGGGTTGGTGCGGGTTCCTGTGTGGATCATGAAGATCTTCGTGTGAACAATTCAATCAAATTTTGATGTGCTGGCTAGTATCCGTACATTTTTCAATCACTCGAATAACTGCATAAAGTTTATTTCCCTCATACCGGTGCTGCCGTGCTATGCTATGCTATACCGTGCCACTCCGCGCTGAGCATCTCCCACATGGCGACGGTGGAGAATATCAAATGTAAAAATGTCTGGGTCTGGAAGATTGCGAGATTTGTCGTGCTAGTCTGGCATGACTCTGCACTCTGTATTGCGTGGCCACCAAGAGGTCTTCTTGCTTGTCATGCAAAAGCGCAGTTTCTCATGCGCAATACGCATCACAGAAGCACGAACAAACCTGTCATGCTTGGCGGCGCATTACAGAGCACTTATTGTTCACGGACTTGCATCACAAGTTTCCAGACCCAGACATTTTTGCATTCGATAGAGAACGCGAGGCGCTTATTCTTGTCGTCCTTCAAGTCATCGAATTCTGCGACGACCTTGAACAATGTCTTCAGTTTGTCATCCTCGGTTCGTGTAGTTTCGCCGGTCACGTCGACAACATAGCTGTTTGGCAAATGGAAACGATTTCTGCATAGCTAGATATTTAGAAAAATCCATCCGGGTGGAAACGACAGCATTACACCTTCCCTTCATCATACTCAAAACGGTGTACCCCTGAAAAGCGGCAGCCGCACGGCTTACACGATCACAAACGTTATGTGTCAGTATACTCGATGGGTTCTCCTTCCGGCGTCATCCAGTGACCCGGGGTCCACTATGAAATGTAAAAATGTCTGGGTCTGGGAGAGCGCATTTTAGAACACAGAAAAATTCTCACGCATGGGGGATTTGTCATGCGGATTCGGCATTGCGGAAGCTTCTCGAAACCTGTGATGCTAGAGCTTCCATGCCAGACCTTCTGTGTCATGCAGAAACAGCATGACTCTTCCAGACCCAGACATTTTTGCATTTGATATCCACCTGACCTTGACCAGTCTCTGACTCGGGATCGGCTCGTACTTGCAGCAGGCACAGCAGGGTAGGCAGCACCCGCAAAACGCCGTGAAGGGTCCTGCGCAGGGCGCCACGCACTTCCCGCACATCCCGGTCGGCGAACAGCACGCGTCCGCGCAGCAGAGCTTCAGTCCGGGTCCGCTACAGCAGGCCGGCTGTCCCGGGGGCGGCGGCGCACAGCAGTAGCACGGCCCGTTCTCGCAGGCACCGCCGGGCGCGCAAAACGGAATTCCGCACTGCAGGGCGAGCTGCATCAAAAACCCGGGCTTGCCACAGAAACCATTCGGCGCACAGCATTGGGTGGAGCCGAGACCTGTGAAAAAAATGTGTTTGTAAAGTAGTACTTGTAAATGATGCTGATGGACGATGAAAATAACGGTGCGGCGTTGTTGAAGAAGTGTCGGGGGATTCATTGACAGGTGGAAAACAAGCAGCAGCTCTGAAAATAAAATGCTCAACTGTTTGCAATAAACTGGAGGAAACGACCAAAAGAAAATAACTGTAGCTCCGTGGAGCCTGTAGCTCCTGCAAAGAAATGATAAAACAAAAACACCTTGACAGCACTTTAATTCGCCAAACCAGTCCGGTTTGCCCTTGGGACAGCAGCCCCCGGGTCCGCACATTTGACCCTCCAAGTGGCAGGCCGGCATGCCGCCCGGACAGCAGCCGGTGGCGCTGCAGCACCCCTCACCCTCGCAGCACGGCAAGCTGCCGCAGCCAGGCGGTGGCTCCACTGGTTCTGCCGGACGGCGGAGCGCGTACCTGGGAAGAGAAAGATTCGATGATCATACATAATGATGCATGTGGGCAGCGAAATCAAGTGCACCAGAAGATAATTCATCGCGCCGGTTGGGGTTGGAGAAGCACTTGCACGACACTTCTGACACTGCCATGAATGTCGGTGAAAGAAAAAAGTCCTCCCAAAAAAATATCGTAAATCACGATCGTACTTACATCTTACTTCATGTTTTTCTCTCCGTCATCCACGCGGTACAGTACCACGTCCTGCGTCGGGTCTCCGCCTCCTCCGAGGCAGGGGCACAGCGGTTGCGGGGGCGGGGGCACTTCGTTCAGGCTTCCGAGCACTTTTCCGTTGTACAAAACCTTTACCAAGCAGCTCCCGTCCTTCTTGGCGCCCAGCCTGCGGTGATAGATACGACAACGAGGATGAAAATCAACATGAAGATGAAACCAGAGCATAGCTGGACATGCAAAAGAATAATTTTTAGCGCGTTCATCTTCGAGAAATTGTATGTAAATCTACGTTTTTACCCGATCATCCCCATCAAGCCGCCACCTTGCTTCTCGGCCCATTCGTACGTCAACTTGTTCCCGTCCGCGTCCTTAAACTCAAAAGTCGTCTCCAATTTTCCCTCGAGCTCCTGGATCAGGCGATCGCACTCTTCCATGGCCATCCGGGCCTGCGCCAGCTTCTTTTCGTCCTCTGTTACGCGTTGTAGATGTAGAAATTAACAGCTGCACCACGACGTGTGAATAAATCAACAATGATGGCTCAAGCTGCTAACGGCTGCCGCTGCACAAAGGCAAACCCCACTTTTGCTCACGAAAAAAACAGCAGTTATAATTGCATTTATCCTTCTCGCGAAGATGAAGGATAAGTGGCGCGAAGATGAAAAGTAACGGATGAAAGTGGCGGGTATATTCAAGCAGAAGTATTCAAGCAGATAGATCACTACTATTCAAGTAGAAGTACTTTTGTCGCCTCCCTTCGCGTCCTTCTCCAATTTGGCGCGCTCGCGCTGCTTGTTCGCGATTTTCTGCATGATACCCTCGTTGATTCCGCCCGTTTTGGTGAAGACTTCCCCCATGAAGTTCACCGTGGTTTTTCCCACTGTCATCTGATTCATGCCAAACACGATATCCTCCTTTGTCATCCGCAGTGCGTTGTCCTCCCCGTCGTCGACGGCACCGCCGGCGCCCGGCGCGGGCTTGTTCATACCCCCTGACTTCAGCGCGGCCTTCCGCGCGGCGACAAACAAAAAATCGGCGGAAACTGTAGTTTTGTCTACTAAAAGTGGTTTTCTGGCTGTACTAGCTGTTAGATGTATTTAGTGTGTGACAGCTTCTACATGGTGCTGAACATGCTGGTATGCACTTGTGTGACGCCTCTACGTAGATTGCTACCAAAAAATCGCATATCAGTACAGCATCTTCCCCTTGCCGTCATCCACCCGCCAGTACACCTCGTCTTTGCCGTCGGCTTCCTTCTTACCGCCGCACGGGCAACACCCTGCCTTTTTGGCGTTCATATGCATTGCAAAAATGTCTGGGTCTGGAAAGAGAAAGTTGTCATGCTACAACATGAGTCACGAAATGACTAGAGTAGGCAGCCAAGCATGACAAAGTTTTGAACGGTCCTGCGGTGCTTAAAACGCATGAGAAAATGCGTCTTTGCATGACACAGAACGAGCACTAGTATTCCTCAACGCGCATATACAGAGTTTGGGAGCAACATGGGAGTTCAGCATTACAAGTCTGGCATCCTACTTCGAGACCCAGACATATTTGCACTTGATAGTTCATCGGGTTCGACAACGCGCCCAGCAGTTCGCCGTTGTGAAACACCTTGTTTTTGGTCATGATTCAAGTAAACTCCTCCACCACATCGTGTCCATCTCCTCGCGGATAAACAACAAACTTTTTCTCATTTATGAACAATAATTCAACATTCAACTATACGTCGACCTGCTAGATAAACTTCTTTCAAAAGTTCTCTACCTTCACCTGCACCACGCTTCCTTCGTCTTTGACCCACTCGTACTTCAGCGTGTTTCCTTTCGCGTCCTTAAACTCGAAGGTCGTTTCCAACTTTTGCTCGAGGGCCGCGATTTCCATCTTCAGCTGCATGGTCTTATCGTCGCCCTCCTTCTTACCGTTTCCCTTCTTCTTCAGCTCGGCCTGTTTCACCTTCAGCGCCTGGGCAAGCCCTTCGTTCAGGCCCCCGGACCGCTCGTAGCGCTCCCCCATAAATTCCACGCTGGTCTTGCCTTGTTGGATAATGACAGGTTTTTGGTTGGAGACAGATAGGAAATACAGGTACAGCCCAGGTGATGATGAATAAAGAGGAAGAAAAAGTATAAGCCATCCACTCTGGTTCTCTTCTCACTTTATTTCAAAAACGATTCAAGGTCACGAATCCACTCAAATCAATCTCACCGACGCTGATTCCACTGGCGCTCGCGACGATTTCCTCTTTGCACACCCGGAGTTCCCCGTCGTCGCCCAGCGCGGCGCGGCTCGCCTGCCGGCACTTCAAGCAGGTGCCGCACCGCTTGTCCGGGAGATTTCCGCGGAGGTACTGGAGCATCAGCAACTTTTTCTCGGGCGGCAGGGAGCCGCAAACCATTTCCAAGTCGTCGTACAAAACCGATTTTTTGGCTTCTTCTTCACCCTCCTTCTTCTCGCCGGAGAGCAGAGTGGGCAGCGCGCCCTCGCCGTCCGGGCCGGCTGTGTGCGACCTGAGACAAGGGGGTGTTGCAGAGCTACTTCCATTGTATTTTTTGCACCGTCGTGTCCTCGTGTTTCATCATCAAATCCTCGTATAAAACAAAAACAGTTCGATGCGTATTTACCCTTCCTGCCATCTGCTGCAGCTCGCGCTGCTAGTTGCTGAACCGCTCATCTGCTCCAACGCCGGGGCCTGCATCGGAAAAGCCCGGGGACCTGCTCTGCTGGTGCAGAGGCTCGTCCGCCCGAGAAGCGCACCAACGAGCGCGCTCTCTTCCACCACGGGCTGGCCCGGAGCACCTTGCGCGGCTGCGTAGGGGCAATCCTGATTGACCTCTGCGTCTCTGGCGAGCTTGAAGGTGACCGGCGCCAGTCCTCCGGAGGGATTCTCGGCAGGCCCGTCCCGCATCGTCTCCCCGAACAGCGGGGGGAATAGCATCTTCATCTCGTGTCGTCCGGAAAAACTGCAGCAACAGGAGGAACGAATACCGAATACGAAGACGCTGCCTCAGATCAGAAGAAAATGTACATGATAATGAAGAGGTAAAGCAAAAAATAAAACTGCGCTCCCGTTCCTTATTCTCAGCCGGAATGGAACGGTCGTATCGAGAAAAAAAAACGAAAAAATTGTGTACTTAAAAACTCATGGAGAAGTACTTGCAAAAAGGAACATCAAATACATAGAAATAGAACTACTTCACGCCATCACGCGAAAAAAATCGCTCAAAAAATTACCCGCTTCCGCGAGCATTCACCCCACCGACCAGACACCCCCAAGAAATCCCTTCCGCTAGCCAAAAAAAAAAAAGAAGCTCCCTCAGCGAAAAAAAGCTCTCAAGTAGAATAGGTTCAGACTTATCCCGGAATCCCAGTACCCATTGCAGCACCGTCCGGTCTTACTGTGCTACCACAAGTTCTGATTTTTGTCGATGGATAACTTCCGTGTCCGTTTTTGCAACCTTACCAACACAATGTAGCCGCGGCTATCCCTGCGCCCTGCAGCTGGATTTTATATCAGAAGATAAAGCAACGAAAAGGAAAAAAGAAGCAGGTAGAGAGAACAAGGTCGGTCAGTTCAATTAATGATCCGCCGACAACGTGCCACATGGAGCACATCTCAGGTACTGCAGCAAAGGCGTCGCAAGAAGATCATCCCGCTCTGCAGTGCCTCAGTCCTGCAAGAGGTTTGTCTTTCATCTTTCCACGCGACGACTACGCTACCACGTGATTGTTGTCTACTGTGTCAGTATGATCTTTTTTTTTGTCCGAGATTCTATGTTTTTCCCTGCGTCAACAAACGCCAGACAAACACTGTCGATTTCGTTCCATGTGTGCGAAAATACAGCGTCGCTCCTGGTCGTCTAGTACTGGCTGTCGCACATCACTTTTCAGAACCGCTGGTCCTTTCCCTGGGCAAAACAGACGTAGGGCAGCAGTCCGACCCACTGCACGGCGGCGGACAGGAGAAAAATGGTGTAAAAGTTGTTGTCCAACAGTGCGACGCTCCAGTTGCCAAACACCCCGCTGGTGGCCGCGATCGCGTTTCCAATCGACATCAAGTGCGCGTCGTACTGATTCGGGGACAGGTCCGTGTAGCCGGCAATAAAGCCCGGGAAAGTGAAGGCGCCCAACGCGGTCATTAGACAAATCAGCACGCAGCAGTGCAGAGCCGTGAAGGCGACCCCAAACTGGTCTTGCGTTTTGTTCTCGTCGACGTCTGCGTCTGCTTCTGAGTGCGGTACGATTTTTTTCGTGATCGATTCCGTGCTTTTAGATTGTGAGTTTACTGTAGAACTGGTTGTAGCGGTTCCTCGACTTGCGGGTCCCCAGTGCGGCAGCACTTCTTGCGTCTCGTCCGTTATTTCCTGTTCTTCTTTCTTCTGAACTTCTTTCTTCAGGAACCAACTTTCGACGTTGTTTTCGCGGCCCCTTGTTTCTACTCCTGCTGTCTCCCCCAGCCTCCACGATGTTGAAACTGTCGGGGCAGCAGCCGCGCTCGCAGAGGGCGGTATTGAATGAGGATCAAGATGAACATCAGCTGTGCTGCTCAACAATGAAGGCACACTTTTGATGTTGACACGGTCGGTAATCTCAGCAGCCGTAGTAGTTTCAAGCGGTCGTATTCTCGTCGAAATTCCAGCTACGTTCGTCGTTACACTGGTCGTCCGTAGTTCAGGCGAAGTCGCGGACAAGAGCGCCAACACGACGAAGCAAACACTGCAGCCGCCGTTCGCGATCGCGGTCCAAATGTATCGGAGTGCAAAACTCCCCCTCACCCTCATTTGTACTGCATGAGCAGCAATACAAGCGTCTGCAGGAATGCAGTTTTTCCATGCCAAATCTGCACAGGATTGCAGTGCTATTTGGGCTGCCAGAACTTGTCATGCAAACAGTGCCAAGAGGCAGAGACCGGACTTGCTATTTTGCATGACAAATGAGGAAGACAGAAGGGCGGTGTTGTGCACTCTCATAAAATTCGGCGCACCGCCGTGCAGGTAAGCAGGCGGGAGCTGACGCAGTAGTCCGCGAGAAAGCCGATCGGCCCGGTGCAGAGGATGAGCGCGATGTACGGTGCCACGCTGAGGAACCCCAGTTGTGCGTAGGGCACGTGAAACCGCTCCTCGTAGAACGAGGGCATCACGCTGATGACGAGGTACCAGCCCCAGTTGTAGCAGGTGTGCGCGTATCAAATGCAAAAATGTCTGGGTCTGGGAGGATGGAACTTGTGATGCGCCCTGTGGGTTACACAAAAATCTGCGTTGCGTGATCACCAAAAGATCTCTTTTTTTGACCAACACGAGCGGGAGTTTCTCATGCAGGATAAGCAGGATAGAGACGTCGCAGAATCTGTCATGCTAGGCCCTGCATTCCAGACCTCATGGGGCATGGAAAATATGCATGACAAGTCTGCATTCTTCCAGACCCAGACACTTTTGCATTTGGTAGCGCGAACCAGTTCACGATGAAGGGAACATTTGTCAGAATTTTTTTCCACGGAACCGGAGGCTGGCGAAGATTCGTACCAGTCGCTGTCGTCGTGGTGGTAATGATCATATCACCTGCATCTCCGAGAAATCCGCCCTCACTTCCAAAGTTCCCCCTCACCGCTGGGGTCGTCGTGCTGTCTCGCGTGCTTCCCGAGTCCACCGAACTTGTGGCGTCCGCGTCAATAAGTGCGGTCGCGGCCTTGGGGACCAATTCCCTCCCTGTCGTGCCCGACGTCGTAGTTTGTTCCGAGAAGTTCTGCTGCAGTACCCACTGTTTCTCCGCCTCGGACATGTTGCGTGCGAGCCAGCCGGCGCGCGACCGCACCGTGTCACTGGCGAAAAACGTGAAAAACCGCAGCCACACGAGCCCCAGCACCGCGGAGAAGTAGAAGATGGACTGCCAGCCGAGCGCGGTCGCCAGCAGGGGACAGACCAGCATGGCGAGGATGTTCCCGATCGGCTCGCCCGCGAAGCTCCAGGCCCACGCGCGAGACCGTTCCTGCTGCGGCACCCAGCTGGAGATCAGCGCCGTCTGCGCGGGGAAATTCATGCCCTCGCAGATGCCGATGAAAACCCGCGCTAGGAAAACGCCGAGGGGGAAATGCGTTTCGTCCCCGCGTTGTCCGTCCAGGTGGTACAGGGGGATGATCAGCATGGACACCAGAGACCAGAGGAACACCGCCCAGCACAGCAGCCGTTTCGGGCCGTACCGGGCGGCCAGCGAGCCCGCGAACATCTGCAGCGCCGGGTAGCCGAAGAAAAACCCGGCCAGCACCGCGGACGCGGCCGTGGACCCGGGGGTGTACATAAAAACCTATCGAATGCAAAAATGTCTGGGTCTGGAAGAATGCATGTTTGTCATGCTTGTCTGGCATGACTCTGAAATCTGTCATGCACGTTACCCAAGAGCTCAACTTTTCTGTGATGCAGGAACGCAGTTTGTCATGCAGAATAGGCAACACCTAGAAGTCCAGAAACTTGTCATGCTGAGCCAGCATTCGTGGCCTCATCATGAGACGCCACCCAGCATCACAAGTTTCCAGACCCAGACATTTTTACATTTGATAAAACCACAGCCATGCTCATATTCGCCCGCGCCAGGTACAGACAGGTGTTGCAGAACGTGAGCAGGCCGATGAAGCCCACGCGGTACCGGGTCGGGGCCGCGGACATGGTCGTTCTTTCTTGGGATGAAGAGAAATGGGATCGGTTGTTAGTATTGTACCACTCTACGTCTAGTCGTATTTATCGAAGAAGATATCTATGTACTTACTTACCCTTAGTTTTCTGCCGTCGTGGTTACCGTATGCTTTCCAAAGCAGCCAGGAGAGCAAAACTCGCTAAGCTGCGCGCTTCATCTCGCATCAACTCGGTAGCAGCATTGAAGCACCTCATCCTTGTCTCACAATAGACACATCGACATCTGGTCTTTTTAGTCAACGAGAAAAAAATATCAGCAACTACCAGCAGCTCTTATACGTCGCCAATAAAAACGACAAATCCGCGAACGCTACGCCGATGTGTGAAAGACCGGCACAGTCGCTGAGAGATCAAGTGCGTTTTCCGCAACATATCATTGCCATTCACTTCTTGCTCCACTTATCAACATGTGCGCTCACTTTTTTGTACATAGTTTCTGTAGTTGAGTCAGCTTTTTACAGCTGCGATAAACTCAGCTAGGCCGTCGGGCGTGAAATCTGGCTGCATCCCATGTCCCAAGTTTGCAATCAGACGTGCGTCGCCGAATTCCGCTCGCATCTTGCGCACCTCTGCGGCGATGGTTCCGGTGCCCACAGCATAGAGCACCGCCGGATCCAGGTTGCCCTGCAGCGTCTTGGACGGACAGGCTTTGCGCGCGTAGCTGGGCGTCTGCTTCCAACTGACGCCGACCACGTCGTACAGACTGTCTTCCCAGTAGTGCAGGGGTGCGTCCTTCGCGAAGATGGTCAGCAGAGCTGGGAAGGGCAGTTCGTTTTCAACTTTTGGAAAAACTAGAGCTCATCGGGGTGAGTACTATTTGGAACACCTACGAGAAAGCTCTAACTCTACTCGTGAGCATATGCCTTGGAGTTGAATCATACAGCGCACAAAGATCCTCGAGTCTATTGCAATCCCAATCTACTTCCTTAGGAACAACCAGAATCTCTTCGACGTTCCATAGTAAGTACTTACCTTCGGGTCGTGCCGCTTTGACCGACTTCGCGATGCGCTTCAGCTCGGGAACCATCAGTTCGTCAAATAGCTTCGGTGGACACTCCCCGGCATTGGTGTCAAAGACCTGCAGCAGGCTGGCACCAGCGTCAAACTGGGCGATGAGGTAGTCAATGATCACGTCCGTGATTGCTGTTTTTTCGTTTTCTAGGTAAGTACTCATTCTTCAAGGGAATGACTTTTAGTGGTTGCGCATACTGGTACAAAATTGTGAAAACTCCCAAGTCAACAAGGAGTCAACTGGCAACTTTATTTGTTTTGAAGTCCTTCCCCTACAGCAGCAAATCGAAGAAATCCAAATGCAAAACTCCTCCCAAGAACCTGTCATGACTTTCACCGCTGCCTCTCGGTGGAGGTATAGCCACTTCCGTGCGAGACTCCATGTCTTCGAGCCACCGCCCTCTATCATGTATGCGAGCAGAGTCCAGGGCGCACCACTGAAACCGATTACCGGTACCTGTGGTGAGTTTCATGATCAAGGCCAGTCTTCTCGTGTTCACCTGGCATATTACTGCATCAATCCCGATAAAAAAAAAGCAGTCTGTCAGACGAGAAACAGCGCACAACTATTTTGCTTTTGAGTCGGACAAAGCCGTGCATTTCTTGCTGCGCTGAACCAGAGTTGGCAACACGAGGACCTCCTTGCTGCATAAAAAGTTTTCTCCGGCGAAGTAGAAAAGAGCCGTTCTACAGATCTATTCAAACCTTGTCCCCGACACGCAAGTGTGTCCAGTGTATGGCGTCAAAAACGTAGCCTAATTTCTCCTCCACGTCGGGTCGCAGCGTCAGGTACTCGGCTATTTTCTCCGGCGACTCGAGGGGTTGGTGAAAGGTGGGGCCCTTGCCGGGGACCATTTCGCAGGGCATGCCCATGGCGACGGGGATCACCAGAATGTCGCTGAAAATGATCACCGCGTCCAAGTCCGGGGCGAACCGGTCCAGCGGCTGCACGGTCACCTCCGCCGCGAGCTTCGGCGTTTTGCACACCTCGAAAAATGAACTGAGGGACCGCACCTGCTTGAACTCCGGTAGGTAGCGGCCCGCCTGGCGCATCGCCCAAACCGGAATTTTGCCGCTCGAAGACGATTTCCCGCCCGCAACGTCGAGCAAGCTGCGGTTCGCGGGGGTTGGACGGTGTTTGAAATTTCTCCGTATTTCGGTGAGATTCGACGGGGGGGCGGGCATTTCCGAATCCGTGCGTGCCCTTTTCGCGGGCGGATGCCCGGGTTCCGCCGCGATGGTGGAGGCGGGCTGGTCTGAGCCCGCTGCTGGGGCCGTTACTGCGGTCATGATGCCGGCGTACGGCAGTCGTTTCGTTCAGTGGAAAATTACTCAAATCCAAATGTAAAAACTCCACCGCGGCATTAAGAAACAAAAAAACATTTACAGATACAGCCGCAAGCTTTTGAGAAGATAAGAAGCAGCTTTGAAAAAAGATCGGACAAGGCTCGTGATGTTTCTCCAGGGCGTGCACTGATCTAATGCCTTTCCCCAGCGCCTGCAGCTGTGACAAAAGGTCGAGCAAGACTCCCGGTCGCGAGGATCCTTTCACTTCACGTTCACCACCGTCAATACCGCAATCCATTTCCAGAAAACAACAAAAAAGAAAACACAAACCAACGCGCAAATGTCAAATCCATGAAAGCGGTGACGAACCATACTAGAACATGCACGTTGGTTGACGAGTACTACAATACATGCCAGTTTTACTGATCACGGAAAGCGTCCCGGCATGTCGTCTCTTCATGTATTCATTCGCGCTTCACTTTGTACAGCGCGTAATCACTTCGCATATAACACTTTTACGGCTCCCTTCGAAGTTTTATCACTGTCGCTGCCGAATTCTAAGCAGCATCGAAACAGTCAGAGACAAGAATGAAAAATGCAAAATTTCGGCTTCACGTATTCATTTCAACGTCACGAGTCCCAAGAAAGGCACAGCTGTTGATCCCAAGATGCGTCGTAGATGAAAAGCCGCTACCTGGTCGTTGGAACTTCTGGCTGGCAATGAAGTTCGGCGGTTGAAGTTTATTTTGCACAGTTTTACAGTTACTGGTCACGGCTGCCTGTAGTTCTTGGCGAGAAGCGGACTGCTCTACTTGCAGGCTCGTACAATTCCTACCGGTAGTCACGTCCTGTGGCTGCAAGGTCGGAGGCCCCCCAAGTTCGGCACGCGACGCCGCGTTTTTACCACGGAGTTGTAGAGGCATGAAGACGCTCGTACTTCTTGTGGTCTGTATGTTGCAGCTACCGGTGCTCAGAGACAAGACAGCAGATGTTGGTCCTGCAAGGGAGCAATTGCTCGCGGTTTTACCAGCACTCCCACCGGTACCGCCCACAACCCCAACCTGCGCGGTTAACACGACCCCCTTCCGCGACGTCGGGGGTGGGGAGCAGTGGGCGGGCACCTTGGCGCTGTGAAAGCCGGTTTGACACGGAGACGTCGGCCGCGTCGTGTTTGCAGAGGAGGAGGACGACGGTTTTGTGGCCAAAACAAAACTCCCATTTGCGCTGTTTGGCGAGCTTCTACTGTTTGATGTAGATGTTGCGAGAATCTTATTGGCTTTTGGTTTTGAAATATTAAAGTAGGGCAGTGCCTGCTGGAACAGACCTTGTTGCTGATCATGCCCCGCTCCGGCAACGTGCTGCCGCACGCGTAGCGCTGGTGATGGGAAGGGAACAGGCTGAGCAGTTCTACTTCCTCCCAGCTGCGGCATGGAGGCGGTGAGGTCTACTTGTTGCGTGGGACTACTGCTGAAAAGCATCAAACCGGGCGATGGGCTCTGCTCGCAGCGGAATCTCGGAGCTGCAAGTAGAGAGACTTCTTCCACGGCACGGGCGCAATCTTGCTCCACTTGTCCTACAGGTCTTGCAGCAGGCACTGCGGTGGATACAACGCGCTCAGCAGCCGCCTCTCCAACATGTTCAGGACCGGCTAGCAGCTGCTGCTCTTCATGATCTACTCCTGCTTGTCGTTCACGTTCAGATATATTAAACGTTTGCTCTCGCTCGCCTCCATTTCGCTGCAGATCCGCAGCCTCTACTCGTGGAGATAATTGTTGCGACCGGGGAGCTACAAGGGCACTTGTAACGACCCCGCTTGTACTATTGCCACCGGAGGTGCCCGTCCCCTGTTTCTTGCCGTTCGACATCAAAATTGCACAACGGGTGGAGGAAGATGATTTACCAGAGCCGGCCGCCGCGCTTTTGGCCCACTTCAGGGCAGACAGGATCTGTTGGCTGGTTTTGATGTTGTGCTCGTGGCGGCGGTACTGCTGTCCCAGAGCCGGACTTCTCGTTCGGCGGGGCGACACTCTGCTGCAGCTCCGGTCGAGGACACTGACGCTATTACCTAAGCTGCGGATCGAAGAGGTGGCACAGTCGGGGTCAGAGGTACCTGCGAAGTAGAGGAGGGAATTACTAGTTGGAGATACATAGTACTGACGCGACAATAATGTTGAAAGAATCCACAAAAATGATGCCAGTCGAAACGGAGTCACGACACTTTGACAGGATTTCTATATTTGAATGATATGCAACCCACATCAGGAACAAAAGCTCCAACAAAAGTACGGTCCTGCTGCAGGCGCATGGACGCTTGACTCTGTGCCGCCGGCGTACTGCTGGCGTGCGTATCGATCCTGTTCAGTGCGCTGCCGACTGAGGAAGCCCGCCGCTGCTGCAGGGGCTGGTACTGCTGGTTAGGGTGGTCGTGGGCTGCAAGATGAAAACACGACGACGACGATGACGACGACGACGCACCAGGCTGGTAAAATAAAGGGTTGCGTGACGATTGGGATAATGCTGATGTCCCGCGCTGTTGTGCAACCGCGGGGCAGCTTTCCTGCGGCGTCCGCGCAGACACCAGGATCCGGGACTCTTCGCAGTACTGGATCCGGTACTCGAGTCGAGGATGAAAAAACTGTGGTAGTCTAGGTGTCTTGGGGTAAAAGCATGACAAATTTGCTCCGCATGACAGAGAAATCCTGTCATGCACAGCTAGTAAGTACGTGAAAAGGTGTATGAAAACAGGACACTAGGGCTGGCCAGCGTGACAAGTGCTGTAACTGTGTTGCATATACTTACAGTTTACAGACTTACACCTACACAGTTCAATTTCTCTTGCATAACTCGTCGAGTCGCTTGGCCGCCTCCGCCTCTTTCTGCTGGGACAAAGCCACATGCTCTTCCAACTGCGTCATGCGGGTTTCCTGGTCCTTGGACACGCGCCCCAGCTCGGCACACAGACTCTCCTTCTCCTCCAGAATGGTCGAACTGTTTTGATCATTGTATAACTGGCTCACTACTTGGGAGAATGCCATTGCGTAAGTGTGAGGAAAAATCCTTTCGTGGATGATGAATGGTCTATCATCTTCTTACAAAAAGAAAAAACAAAGACAAAAGGAAGGTGATAAAGCACTGCTCGCGAAAAAAATAATATCACGCAAACTCCTTTATTCTGTATGGTACAAGTTCTGCTTTTCCTTCAGCATGCGGCCCAGTTGCCTCCGCAGCCGCACTACCTCCTCGCTGCGGTACGAAAGTTCAGCCTCCAGTTCCGGCACGCGACGTTCCAATTTCTGCAACAGGTCCCATTTCTGCCGCTGCTGCTCCCGGCAACTCGCGCCAGGGGACACGCGCTGGTGGGTCACGGCGCCTCCACCTGCAGGAGTCGTTTTACGCAAGAACATTTTGGAGGACGCCGGCGAGACATTGTTGTAGCGCAGATTTTGATCTTCAAGATTGAGCGACGAACCTGCAATTTCGCAAGTAGGATCGGTAGGCAGATTGGTAAAGACAAAATCATTAGATGGCAGCTGCCCTGCGATGACTGCAGTACGCGATCCGCCTCCGTCATTTTCCTCAACACGGCGAGCCCCAGTAGTACTAAACGGGGACAGCGGTCGCCTGCCCGCGCCGGCGAAGGGGCTCAGCGCTCGGTTTTTGCGATGGAAGCTGTGCGGGGGCGTGCTCGCGGTTCGCACAAGGGGCTTCTGCGTCAACACATGCTGACTGTCTTGTTTCGCCGCCTGCGCCAGGCGGGGAGAGCAGAAGACTCCGTGCTGCCTAGGCGAGGTGCCGGAGTTCTTTTTGCTCCGCTGCGGCGGCCCTCGCGAACAAAGGTGCAACAACTTGTTGGCGACAACATTATTCGCCTGCGCAGCGTGCTGTTTTGCTTCGTGAGGGTCCTGATTTCCACCTGCTGCGCGATCTTCTAGACGAGCAACAACATCTACGTTGCCCGACCCCGCGCCACGACCCGCTGGCCCCACGGTTAATATGACGCTCTCCTCCTCTGGGAGTTCGGTCTGCACGGAGGCATCGTCACATTGGAGGGCGACTTTTTGTTGATCCACTTCCTGTTGTTGACTTTGCGCTGCACCAACCGAAACCGAGCCTGACCCTGTTGACTCGTGGTCCTCGGGGCTGCAATTTGGTACCTTCAACGCCCCACATGTATGATCACTCGCATCGCAGGTACTCGCCGTTCCTTCTTTCAGCGGTGTACTTGACGCGAGTGGTAGTACAACCGGAGGACCAGCGTCGACAACTTCTTTCGCGACAGAACTACGCCCAGCACCGACAGGAGGGGCAGTCTGAAAAGAGTGCGCCTCCTGTGGGGATAGGTTCGCATTCGCTCCATCGAATGTTCTTACCGCTGTGCCCCACGACCTGGAAGCTCTTTTTGAAACGCCTTTGCCAGAACCACCGGCGCTCGAAGCGGTAGGACCTCCTCCACCTGCAGAGTGGTCGTAAAAATTGTTCCAGGTCAGAGACGCTCCCGTTGTTCCCTCGATGTTACTCGGTGATGTTGTATCCCGACGGAACAGCAGGGTAGGCGTTCGCAAATTATACCCGGCGGAGGGAGGACTCAGCGCACTTGTCGGCCGGTTGCTCTGTAGGTCGTCGACATTGGAGGACCTGCAACGACGATTTAATACGGTTTTCCAATTCTTGATGTTTGGTGCCTCCTTCGATGTCAATCTCAATACTTGCGTTCCACATTCTCCTCATATCATTGACCTTCTTTCCAGATGAAAACTGCGAAAACACTGCAGACTTTTCCTTTTCCTTTGCTCACATTAATCGGTTTCTCTCTAAACGTGTGGTTGACCTTGAGCCGCAGGCTGACGACGCAATCATATTCATTTACCTGTGTCGACCTGCGTGGAAATCCAAAAAAACGTTCCCGGGAGCAGCTGCAGCACCAACAGCGGCAGAAGAGGAACTAGCAGAAACAGGATTCGCCTCCTTACTCCGGAACAATTCCAGCGGCGGCTCCGAAATTCCACAAGAGGACCTCGGACCGGCAACGGCCAACGTATCGCGCCACGCTCGCAAGACAAATTTCGCACGCCAATAACTTGCATCTGCCTGCTCTCGGGCAAGCAACACCGGAATGGTCATCTTGATGTTTTCGTGTTGCGTGGAAGCATAGTACTTTCACACGGATGGAGAAAAATGAAAAAGAAAATCGGGAAAAAGGTAAAAACGAGACCACGACCACCGACGTACTTTTATGCAAATTCGGTGGTGCGACAAGACCGACGGTGAAAAAGCAAGTCGTTGGGGTAACTGCGGCGGAACGGCCGAAAAAATCTCAGACCGCAAAAACGCAAAATTGATTCCTTTCATTCCATGCTGTTCCTTGGTGACATCAAATGCGTCCATCCCGAACGAAACTGTGGATCTTCTCGTCGAGCCAACACCGAACAAAAGCGAAGAGTGTGATATGGTGAAGCCAACCTCAGCTGATGGGCCGACGTGGAGCAGATCTCTTTGCAAAAAAAAACAAAAAAGCGAAGGCCGTTTTTTGTTTTTGCCATCAAACAGGCCTGGAGAACAACAACCACTCAACGCCAATTGCCGTGCTTCGTGGTCGTGTCCGGAAAACATCACAAGGATGCTTGCTCGCATGATTTCCCGGGCTCTTCAACAAGCAATTGCAATGCCCCACCCTCCGAGGTTAGAATACCACGGAAGACTTTCTTCATGTGGATAAGAAATGTTCTCACACGTCATTTCATCTGCCAGCCTGCAGCGCAAAAGGAGAGAGATCTTGCAGTGCCTCCAGTACACTCGTCTGTCGGTTGCAGCTCAAGGAAGATGCGACAGGTTGAGAGTGAGACACCGGTCCTCCACTTACCTAGGAAATAAAATTTATCTGCGAGCACGTAAAAGCAGACCAAGGTCACAGTTAGCTTTACATTAGTGCCAAATTCTGGTGTCTACTAGTACGTCTACTACGTTCCCCCGATGGCTTGTAACTAGGAAAATATGAGCTCGCTGAAATTACATGCATGTTCTTTGCGTTTCGGCATCCGTCATAGAAGTGCTGGAGCTACACTGGCTGGTAGAGAAGAATGACATCTACTTCGGAGCTGTTTTTAAATGGTAGACAGCGAGAAACGAGGAAGCAGGTATGATATTTCGCGACCGAGCTACAGCTAGCACTTGCTTCCTTGTTATGCTGCATACATCGACATCCCCGTGGTCGTCGTCAGGAACTTCTAAGGTAAAATTTTATCTACTTTGTTTACACCTGGATCTTTTACATCAATCCAGTTTCGCTGTCCTCTGATAACAGGCAAATGCGGTTATCTTCTTTGTTTCAAAATCGCAAAATGGGGTATAAAAAATGCAGACCTGAGGCTGCAACCTGGTAGTTCCAAATTTACATAATTGCATCTACTGACGTCGGCTTCTCCTGTCGGGTTTTACTACAGTTGCAGGAGAACTTTTATTTTGACGGTCGTGAGGGAGAGGGTGAGGGGTTTGCATATGATACAATTCCAACCTGTAAAAAATGTACTTCTTGCAAAAAAAAAAAAACTTTGGTCTACATTTTGGGTGTGTAAACCTGAAGCCTGTCTTCAGTGATACCATTAACATCAAGTACATATCACTTTACGGCAGTGTCTTAGTGTCCTAGAACCAACATCACCTCTTCCATGCTAGCCGGAAAATGGTACCATTGGGCAGCTGTCCAGGAGAAAACAAAGCCCACGTAGTTCTCACCTTCGTGGCAGGCTCTGAGATAGCGAGAGCGTGTAAACGATCTGAAGCGAGTCACCCAGACGTGCAGGAGCCTACTACTTGAAAAACTTTTTTTGATGCAGTCTATCCATATCTCTTGAAACTAGTACTAAACAAAACTATTTGCAGTAATTCTTCTCTCTTTCACATTACGTTCGTAATGGTCTTCGCAACTATCCTTCGCGAAACAATACATCTGACACCACTGCCAGCGACTTTCTGCGACACGGCACCAGTCTTCAGTACTGCCCCCTTTTTACCTCACATTTGGAATTTCGCAACGTCAAAATTTGCAACTTCACTCCCAAGACAGAAACAGTCCAAATTTGTTTTATCGATGTTTGGAGCGAAATAATGGAAACTCAATCCATTGAGTACTCGGTCTCAATCTACTTTTGACTGGCATAATCTAAATCTATTCTACTTCACATTAGTGCTGACTGCAGAAACACGAATGCACTATCGACCACTCCGGCACGCCCCCGTTTCGACATCTTCCAGAAGCGGCATTCGGTTTTGTAATGCACGTCGTTCAATAAATTGAAATTTCATGTGGTGAGTACTTAAGTACATAGTTCATCAGTACATTGATGTCATATTGTAATCCACCTCGTCCTCGTCCTCTGATGCGTCCCCGGCCTGGTCCACGTGGCTGAGCGGCGTCAGGTCGGGATCAACATCGTGGCTGTCCTCGTTTCTAGCGTTTAATCCCCCGCCCAGACTATGCGAGATAAAAACTGTGTCTGTGGAGATGCAACAAAAGCAAAAACAGTTACACAACTTGCCATGCCAGACGGCCACAAAGTCCTCTCTTTTATTTTCATCGCGTACTAGCCACGCATTACAGATCTACTGTGTCACGTACAGACAAATTTGTTGTATGCTGTCAGCGCACACGCACACAGTTTTGTGTCCTGGATACGGCTGTTGACTGACATTTTTGCACCCGCTCCCGTCCAGTCCCGCGGCCCCGAACGCGACACTGTTCAAGCCCTTGCGGCTACTGGTAAAGCTGTTTCGATCGTTGTGGCGGAGAGACCACTGCGAGCAGCACCGCAGTTGGTCGATCAGATCCGACACCTCGTCCACGTCATGGAGAAAATACTTCGCCTTCGAGGGCTTCTGCCCCACCGTACAGGAGAAGAAAGCTGGACGATGTTTAGAAGTATGCAGAGCTGCATATGGTTTCTATTCTACCCACGACGAGACGAATTTCCTAATGCAAGTACTACTTGTCGAAGCGCTATGATCAACACCAGTACACGAGCCTCAGCCATAATCAAAATTCTTACCACTCCGCTTTCCGCCCCCATGGCCCGTAGCACTGTCGCCGAGCTGGCAGAGCCCGCCGATGACGCTGCCGGACCGCTGTGTGTGCTGCCGAAACGTGGCGTTTGCGGAAGCCGACTCGGAATTCTCCGAAGCTTCGTCCGTCGTACTGCCCCCATCCCGCAGTGTGCAGTCGTCGCGCCGAATGTCGTTGATCTGCGGTATTCAAATGGGTGACGTAGTCGACGTGTCGTGTGATGCGAAACCAAACACTTCTTCGAGATCACAAAGGGTGATTTTTGTTTTCAACTTGTGTAGATCGAGTCTCACCTTCATCGCCCTAGAAAACGTAGCTAACGTTGTAACCGGCGACCGAAATCAATAAATGCACTTTTCCAGCAGCAGAAAAGGCCAACTACTGATCATGATCTGTTTAAAAGTTTCTTCGCTTCTTTTGTACCACTTGGAACATGTCTTCGTCCGACCGGTCGTCCCCGATGCACAGTACAAAGTCCGGGTCTCCGCGGATGTTGGAGATTTTGCTCAAAATTTTCTTCACGGCCTCGCCCTTATTCACCCCGGCCAGCTTGACCTCGATGTAGCCCTTGCCCTCCACAATCTCGACGGGGAACCCGAACATGAACTCCCGCAAATGCTGCGACAGCTCCTTCGCCTGCCACCGCCCGAACTCCGGGTCCGAGTCCCGGTACTGCCACACGAGCGCGGACCCCTTGTTCTCAATGTACGATCCCTGCGTGCGGTGCACGTAGTGCTTCAGCAGCTCGAACGCGATCTTCTTCCAGGTTTCGATCCCGGTACTAGCTCCCCCCGCGGCCCCCCCGGCGCCGGCGCTGGCGGCCGCCTGCGCGGCGCCCGGCGAGGAGGCGGCGGAGGTGGTCTGGCTGCACAGCTGCGGGTGGCTCCGCGTGACGTACCAGTCGTGTCCGGAAATCGCGGGCAGGCGGTAGCACCACCCGTGCTCCGCCGCGAGGCCGATGTCCGGCACGGAGGCGAACCAGGTCTCCATCTGCACTTTCGAACGGCCGCTGATCACCACGATGATGTTCTTCGGGTCCCGCTGCAGCTCGCGGAGACACTCGAGCACCGACGCGCGGGGCGGCGCGCCCTTGCTGTGCAGCTCCTCGGCGCACGAGCACGCGGACTGCTGCCGCGTGCGCGAGTACAGGTTCCGCAGGTCCGGCGCCAGCGTGCCCTCGTTGTCAAAAAAGAAGACGCGGGAGGTGCGGCTGTTGCGGTAGGCGTGCAACTATCATCTGAGAAAAACTGCCACCACGTTCCATTCCTCCGCTCAAAGAAGAAGAATTGTCACGCGACGTCGTGAATCGTGCGTGTATTGCAAGACGGCAAGAAGTAAAGGAGCCAGGCTTTTTTATTGCAGGCTGCAATTATTTGTCATGCTGCTCATGGCAGTTTGTTCGAGTTTCTGCCCGTTTGGCTTTTGTGATCACATCAAATGATCATGCCTACGGTACAATCCCCCTTTGAACATTCAGTCAAAACCCGCGGCAGCAGTTTTTCCACGTTCATACCACCACCTCGTCCGTGTCGAGCTTGCAGAACCCGGCCTGCAGGGACATGACCCGCACGGTGTTGCCGAACCCGTATTTGATGTAGGTGCGGTCGTCGGGTTTCCGTGCGGCCCGCAGGTCCTGCAGGAAGGCGACCGCCCAGTTGAGTAGCGTGTGGTCTTTGATGTATTCCATGTCCTTGGAAAATCGCTCCTCCATGTCCACCGGGCTGCTGCGGCACATGCGGTCGCAGGCAGCGATCACCTGCGGGGTGTTCCATGGGTTGATCTGGACCGCGCCCTGGAGCACGCGTGAACACCCCGTGAACTCAGACAGGATCATGCCGCACTTGCGCGCGGGCGCCGCATCGCGGTGGCAGGCGAGAAACTCGAAGGGACCGAGATTCAGCCCGTCGCGGACCTGCGTGTCGAGGAGAACGTTTGCGTTCTATGCATTGCAAATATGTCTGGGTCTGGAAGGTTCTAAACTTGTCATGCGGATTCTGGAGCGTGCAAAAATCTGTGTTGCGTAACCCGCTATTAAAGCTACCAACTTCTTGCCACACGAAAGGTGAACATTTCTGATGCGGCTTAGGCATTCAGACACTCTTGCAAAATTTGTGATGCTTTTGGGTGCAGCATTCCAAATTCTGTGATCTACGAGACACATGACAAATCTCGTATTATCTTCATCCCGACTCAGACATACTTATTCACTTTTGATACGTTCCGGTACAGGGCGATCTTCTCGTCCCGCTCAACCTCGTCGATGATCAGCAACACGTGCGTGCCGTATGTCGCATTTACGTCGTCCACCAGGCCCCGGATGGTGTCCTCCAAGCGCGCGGACTATCAAATGGAAAAAAGCAGGCAGGTCAATATATTTGTAATGGAAAAATAAATACACAAGGAAAATCTGTACTGCATATCCTAAACAGCACGCTAAGGGCCCGCCCATGACAGATTTTTCTGTCTTTTTATTTTTGCATTACAAATTTGCCCTGCCTGCTTTTTTCTGGGGGATACGGACCCTTCCTTGACTAGCGAGCTGTTCGAGGGGTACACGCACTGCACGAGCAGTATCCTGTGCAAAAGTATCGCACTCGTAGTAATTGCAATCATGCATTACAAATAATTTTCTTAAGGTGAATCCGCATTACAAATTCATTTCTAATGCTGAGGAAATTTGTGATGCATTTATACAAGTACGATACTTTTGCAATGCATAAGCAGGACGTTGTGACGGTACTTGGGGAACTCCTGCAAAAACGTCTTCCACATCCGCAGCTTCAGCATCACGCCGGCCAGCGCGTCGCACCGGTCCAGACCCGCGAAGATGGTCTGGTGCGGGTACTGCTCGCGGAGCGACAGCAGTAATTTCAGGTGCCGGCTCTTTCGCCGCGTGCTGGCCGTCGCGGGGGTCGGCAGGTGGCGGAACGTCGCCATGGACTGTGACCGTCCCAGCGCGACCGGCCCGGCCGCGCCGCCGGACATCAGCGTCCCGTCGCGCAGCAGGCTGCCGCCCTGGCTGCAAAGCGAGGACGCGGAGCTGCTGCTGGGCAGCATGGCAATGTACTGGTTGGGCACGGTCACGTGGAAGTTGTTCCCGCGCACGTTGCCGAGCAGCGTGTTCGCGCGGCGGAGCGGCTCGGGCGAGGCGGTCCCCGAGGACTTGCTCAGGTCGTTCTGCGGCGACAGCGCCTCCGCAACGTCCTCCTCGGCGATCTTGGGCAGTGTGTGCCCGTTTTCGCTTACGGGGATAGACGACCGCTCACTACTGCGGCTGCAGTGGTCCAGGACGGACGACTTGCGCTCGGGCAGACCGTATGCATTGGTGCAAAAGTATAATCGCACAACTAGTAAAGTATACGTCGCATCACAAATTTTTCCAAGAAAAGAATTATGCGATTTGTCATGCTGATTTCCCTTAGTTGATAAAATTTGTCGTGCAAGACGGCGATTAGTACGACGACGTGTACGATATTTTTGCACTGCATAGCCCGCATCGCGGCGAGTCCTCCAATTCGTACTCTACCGAGGCCCGCGCGGGGGCGGAACTTGTCAATTCGTCTGGGGACAGGGAGTGCGAGTCCGTCGCGCTCCACTCGTCCTCTGCGAGCGGCGTCTATGCAAGAAAAAGATACTCGTGTAAGTGGTAAGTCTGTAGTGCAGAAAAAGCAATCCAATCACACTTGTCATGCCAGACAGCCAGAAAGTCCCCTGCTTTTGATATGCGTTAGCGTTTTCACGCACTAGTCATTTTATCTAATATGCAGAGCATCAAATTTGTCATGCTGTCAGCATTCCACGAGTTACACGACTACCACAGGTTTTTTTCCGGATAGCGTCTGCTGCACTTGCACCGCCTTTCCGTCCGGTACGCTTTGTTCCTGCTCCTCGTCAGTGCTGCTCCTACTCGCCGTAATCCGGTCGGAAGTCGCGACAATGCCGGCGGTGTTGGCCGGCGCGATATTAGCCGTAGTTGTACTACTGGTGCCAGCACCAGCTGCCGAGGTAGACTTAGCGGGTGCGGCCACACCACAAGATGATGTTTTGTTCCCCACAGCACTCGCGACCGTGGTCCCGGCGACCACTCCATCCTCGATCGCAGCTGCGGACTTGCTCTCTAGCTTTCGCTTCTCCTCATCTGCCTCCAGAGCCGCTTTCAGATCAACGAGGTTGTTCGCTGCCTGCGCCACCTCGTGCACGTTCACCATCACGTGACTCACCTTGATCATCACCTGCCGTCCATGGTAGTCCACCGCCATCTGTCCCGAGGGGAGAAACTGGTAGTCGAGGCCGACGATGCGCTTCACCGTGACGAAAAATTTCCGCACATACTCGAAAAACTGGAACCTGGGTTAAAGATAGAGGATTCTCAATGGTATATTGAAATTCTCGCCTGCTTCCTGTTCATGTTTATGATCACCCACGAGTTATTTCTTGCTGTACTTATCCCCAGCCCCACGCCTAAGCGGTAGAAGTTTGAAAGTTTTCTTCTCGCGTACTACAGTAGCTCGAGAGCACGACAAAAAGCGGCCAATTACCCGATCAAATCGGCGCACAGCATGGCCCGCAGCAGCTCCTCCCGCACCGCGAGGCAGCGGAAGATGTCGCTGCTGGGAAAGGGCGTGTGGAGATACAGGCCGATGTTCGCCTTCCGAATCTTGCGCGTCAGGTACTGCGGCAGCAGGAGCAGGTGGTAGTCCTGGATCCAAAAAAAGTCTGTGTGGTGCGAGGTGCGGATGATGACGTCTGCGAAGCACAAATTGATGCGCTGGTAGGACACCCACAGGTCCTCCAGCGTGCTGTGTGCGCGGTTCGGCGAGGGACTGCCCCACGTGCCATTCTCCGATGCGCCGCTGTGGTTTAGCCGCACCACCTCGTGCAGGATGGGCCACAGGATCTGCTGGCAAAAATTCATATAGTTGTCGAATTCCTCGCGCGGAAGAAACACCGGAATGCAGTCGTACTGGAAAAGCAGGTCAGACACCTGATTTTGAATGCATTTTTCATTTATTCCGTGCGTTAATGTTGTCTGTTCAACTTGCCGAAAGAACTTAAGAGCGATCATGCACAACCATTCCTAACTGTTCGAAACGGCGAGCAAGCGCTTCATTCGCCTGCGTGCTGAAGAGTTCTTTTTATTCTGGAAACACCTTTAGCTTGTTGATCGACCAAAGCTACAGCAAGCACCTGTCTTTTCTCGTACTCGGACTCGATGTGCACGCCGGGCCAGCCGACGCAGAGCAGCCTGAACCGTGCTTTCTATCAAGTGCAAAAGTGTCTAGGTCTGGAAGAGTGAAACTTGCAATTATGCTGTCTACGGATTCTAAAAATATCTGTGTTGCATGAGCAGGAAGAGGAGTCAGTTCCTGGCACGCGGAGAGGGCATTTGTCATGCGTATATTAGCATCAAGAAGGTCTCAAAAACTCTGTGATGCTAGCACCAGCATAACAGACCTGATGCGTCATGCAAAATGTGCACGACAAGTCCCGACTCTTCCAGACCCAGATATTTTTACAGTTGATACTTTCCCCGCGCGCACATTTTGGTGCAACGTCGGAATCAGGTTCGCTTTCGACTCCGTCACCGCCCACGTGCCCTCCTTGGTCTTCGTGACCTTTATCAAATGTAAAAATGTCTGGGTCTGGAAGAATGCAACTTGTAATGCGTATTTCAGAACACAGAAAAGTCTCTCATGCATACGTAGCAAAAGCTCCCACTTTTTGCCAGCAAAATAGGGGACTTGTCATGCGGATTCGGCATTGCGGAAGGTTCTCGAAACCTGTCATGCTAGAGCTTCCATGCCAGACCTTCTGTGTCATGCAAAAACAGCATGACTCTTCCAGACCCAGACATTTTTACAATTGATAACCTTGAGCGGCAGCTGAAACGCGATCACCATCACGGTGTCGCCCGGTCCGAGGTCCGCGTCGTCGTTTTCCTCCTTCAGTTTTTGCAAGATCGGATCGTCGTTCCAGAGATCGCCCTCGTTCAGGTCAAACCCGTCCTCGTTCTCGAAATTACCCTCGACCGACGAGAGCCGCCCGTCTTCCGAGTGATTTACGTGGGTATTGCCCCGGTGAATCACCGGCGCGGACCCCGCCGGCTGCAGGGAACGCAACATGCCGCCCTGGGTAGCAGCTGTGCTGCCATGGTTGTACCTACTTCTGCTGGTGGGGTGAAACTGCTGTGTGGCAGCTGCCCCATAGCTCTGCTGGTTCAAGCTGTAACTCGACGGCCCTTGTGATCCTGCCGAGGAAAAACCTCCGCCGAACGTTGTTCTGTGCAGCGGCCCAGCTCCGAACGACGTAGTTCCACCCCGCAGCTTGCTGCTGCTTAGGCTGTGCTGGTTATGCAGTCCTCTTATGCCACTTCTTGCGGTTGAGCTGTTGCCCGCCGCCGTGTGGAGCCCTGCTAAAGTAGTAGAACTGCCAGTAGACGCAGAAGTCGCGTTTCCGAAGCCAAGAAGCTGCTGTCCTGGCTTGTTGGCATTCATATTTCTTGGCTGCATATTATTGTTGCCCGCCTGATTCGTGCGCACTCCCAAAGCACTACTCTTGAGCGGCTTGAGTTGCGTTCGTCCGTTCCCCACGGCCATATGCACCAAGTGGTATGAGCCGTCGAGCTGATCGAACACCGGCTCGGGGCTGTGGCCCCGGGCTGGGTCGTCGTCTGTCGTTGGCGCGCTGTCGCAGCTGCTCGCCCGCGCTGCCGCGGTTGTGGCACTCGAGGACGCGGCGCGCGATCGAGGCGGCTCGGTGCTGGCCTCGGAGGTGCGACAGAGCGGGTGGGTTCCTGTTAACTTCGCGTCCGGCTGCTCTACTGCGGTCAGCAACTTGGAAAAGTTCCGGAACCACCCCTCGTCATCCTCCACCGTCATCTCTTGCCCGCTCGGCCGCAGCGTGTACCGGTGCGCATCCAGCCACCTCACCCGAGTCACTTTCATTTCCGAGTCATCGCTGTTGTTCTCAGGAACACGGTCTTGAAGATGTTGAAACGTGCTGCTTGTACTAGCTGCTGCTGCGCTCGATGTAGTGGCACGACCAGCTTCACCACACATCACTCTCCGACTCGCGTCTGTCGTAGACGAAATACCGCTGCCACCGCTGTTCCCATCCTGCCGCGTCTGCTCTTCACGAAGACCGTTGACAGCCTGATTTCCACCCGGCGTGCAGGTTGATCCCGTACTACTCCCCGGGACGAGGTCCTCACGGCCGCGCGAGGATCCGAAAAAGGAATTCCACACGGACGCAAGGAAACCCGGGTCGCTGCCCCCGTCCGCTGCAACCGCGTCGGAACCCGGGGAGGCGGAACAATGCTCGCTTGTTTTGGGCACGGCCTCCTCCACAATGTATTGGTATTCTACCCTGTGGAGCGTGTAGTTTTACTCCAGAATGCAGATGATACCATCTTTCCATTATCGCACCCAGGCTAAATGTGCTGGTGGCGTCGTCCAACTGTTGTCCTACTTACATCAGCAACCCATGCAAAGTAATGCAGATGAGTACCAGGTATACTTCAATATTGTCGTGCCACCAGCCCCTATCGATCAACAGCAGAATAACGAGAAACGAAGGCAGAGCAAGTGCTAACGATGAATTTGAATACACTCGAAGCGCACCACAAGCTGAGAAGACAGAAACAAATACGTTTCGCCCAGCGGCAAATGCACGGGATCGTTGCTGATCCAGCACGGGAAATAGTTTGGGTTGGTGTGGAGCTCGAGTGCGAGGTCCGGGTCCCACGATCCCAACTGCGGCGTGGACCCGACCAGCTTCACGCGCACGTTTTGGCTCTCTTCGTACTTGAAGCGGAAAAAGCATCTTGTGGTTGGCAACCGCGAGGAAGAGCTGCTGGTCTGCGGGATTGCAGCACCCCCAGAAGCTGTCGGTGACGCCTGGGCGGTCGGCGTCGTCGCGGCAGTTCCCGGGGCGGTCCCGAATGCCAACGCAGTGTAGGAACTCTGGCCGCCCGGTGTAGTGGCAGTCTCATCCGCCGACCCAACCGGAGAGGGCTGCTGCTGCACAACCACCTGCATCGCGCAGGAGTTGTGGCTTCCTCGTGGAAACAAGCTATTTTGAAGATGCAAGAAGAACGAACGGCGTGCTGTCGAAAGTTCTACTAGGTGCAAGCAAATGAAACTCCCGCAGAGGCCCTCGAGGACGTCGGCTGTGGTCACAGCCGCAAGTTGCTTTAGTGAAGATCGGCCGTCCTGGGAGTATTGAGCAGCCGTGCCGTGCTTCCTACTCTAACAACTGTACCAAGACAAAGAAGAGTTGTAATTCAAACAAAAGAAATTCAAATTTTCTTTCAGGTCGCGAAAATCATAAAAGCAAGTCTTTGAAAAAAGGAGTTCCTCTGAGTAAATAGATTTTTTTACGCACGACAGCCACAAAGAAACCATGCACGAACAAAACGATCCTGTGCATTATAGCGTTTTCAATTATCCCACATTGATTTTTCAACGACTACCGTCTTCAAGATCGTCTTCACTTCAGGGCGCGATTGACAACAAAATGGATAATATGCCGGCGTCCGTTGTTGGCAGAAATGATAAAGCTGCAGGATATCATCGATGAGGAAGTACAACTAGACTTTTCCGTTTCGTATGAGTCTGTGCGAGACTACGCGAGTTTCGGAAAGAAGCGGGCACAAGTGGACCAAAGATGAACACAAGTACTTCTTAACAAACACGACATGGTAACTACGTACATTTGGGGCCAAGTTGTTCTTCCCAAATGTGGAGATGTCGTGTGTAAAATTTTTTTTCTCTACTTCCCTGAAGATGGGCCACGAAGGTGAAAAATAAATATAAAAGAGGAGCCCCCCGATGTCAGAGACAATGACAAACATCGACTGATACTACTGTGCAGCCAGTAACATCAAGAAACAGCCACCCTTTCTTCCTCGTCCTCACTCCGTTCCGCTGACGAGGCAGCCCATGTTTTTTGCGACGGTGAGGACGGAATTCCAGTGCGGGTCTTCGGCCAGCAGGTTGGAAAACGCGCCAATTACCACCATGCCGTCCTGCGCGCGGCTCAGCGCCACGTTCAACCGCTTTTCGTCCCGGAGAAACCCGATGGCCGCCGTGCGCACGCAAGAGATGATGATCACGCGCTTCTCGCTGCCCTGAAAGTACTCTGCGGTACCCACTTCAATGTCGCCGAGGTACACCTCCCCGCTCTCGGAGAGGTTCATCAACTTCTGCTGGATCCACTTCACCTACGGTATGGAAGAAAAATTGGAAAAAACTGCTTCACCGTGTGCAATTAAGTAGGTTCAAAAGCAGGGGATTCAAAAACGGAAATTTCGAATGAGTCAAAGACTGCTTTTTAGTCTGCTTCGCCGATTATGGTGCAAAAAAGGACACTCACACTTCATGTTTCATGCTTATTCTGCTCCAGCAAAGAGCTCGCGTCGCATATTTTTACACGTACTTATGCCGGACTCGTCACATGGACCGCCGTGGTGCAAAATTTTCGTCACAGTGAAGCCGGGCGTTTTTCATACGATATGAGCGTCGTAGAACGTGATCACACCAATATCATGAGGAAAAATGCCCCCTCCCCATATCGAAACGAAGTGTCTGATGCTGGATTTCCATACACAAATCAGCTTTGTCTTGCAGTGGAGGAATGCAGGCATATGGCAAGCCTCAGCCGAGAGGTTTTGACGTAGGCGCCTAGCATGACAAACGTGCATGCTCTGAGCCAAACAGCATCACAAACCGCCTGAAAAATGCGAAACGCTTTCTGGACTTGCCTTCTTGCAAGACAGACAGGATTTGAGGTCACAAATGCGCATCACAAATTTTCAGACGGATACGTTTTCGATATGGGGAGGGGGGATTTTTCCTTTTGATAACCAATGTCCTTGGTGCGGACATGCTGCGTTACCTCGTGGAGAACGTATGAAACCAAAAATTTGGATTTGTAGAATGCAGTTCATCGTGCCATCGCTTCGCCGGCCTTCTTACGTCATGCACAGGAAAATTTTCCTCGTTCCTTGTAAAAGTTTTGCTCCACAGGGTCAAGTCGAATTACCTTATCTATGTATTCCAGAACAAAAAGCGCAAACCAGAAGCGGCAAACCAGAAGTAGCGGCAAAAATGACAGTCACTGCAATCACGAACCCCCAAAGAACTCCCTCTGCGTACGATGTACTCGCAAACCAGGTGCGCCTCCAGCTGGTTGATGTAGCTCTGCTGTACTTTTTCCTCCTTATGGCTCTGCTCCTCCCCGCCCAGGTCATGGAATAGTGCGGGCTGGCCGGTGGCGCGAAACCGCACGACGGTCTTCTCTCGGTCGGACATGGGTTTCAGCAGATTGCCGTAAAACACGTTCCACAGCCGGGTCAAGTCCGGGTGCGACCGGAAGGTCTTCGTCAGGAAGTAGATCTTTTCGTTCACCTGCGCCGGGGGGCCACCGCGAGCTGCAGATGAAACACTCGCGTTCAGCCGCAGCAGTTCCCGGCGGCGATGTTCCGCGCGGATACGCTCGGAGGCCAGGCGCTCCAGCATGCTGATGTTCAGCTGCAGCTGCTCGGCCTGCTGCTCTATCAAATGCAAATATGTCTGGGTCTGGAAACTTGTAATGCTGAGTGACGTAGTAAGTATGTCGTAGAGGCCACAGATGATAGCTCAGCATGACAAGCTTCTGAGCTTCTAAGTGTTGCCCATTCTGCGTGACAACCTGCGCTTCTGCATCACAGAAAAATAAGGCTTTTGGGTAACGTGCATGACAGACTTAAGGGTCTTGCTAGCCTAGCATGACAAACCTTGCACTTTTCCAGACCCAGACATATTTGCGCTGGATATGCTCCAGCACCGTCGGCCGCAGCTGCTTGTGGTCCCCGCACAGCACCACCCGGGCCCGGCGGGGGTTCAGCGCCAGCGGCACGTAGGCGTCGGGCTCCGTGCACTGCCCGGCCTCGTCCACGATGACCAGGTCGGGCACGAACACCACCGGGTTGATGGCCTTTTTTGCCGCCGAGTCGAAGAACGTGGGAAGGTTTCCCGCGGCGGTCGCCGTGGTCACCAGGACCCGGTGCGTGCTTTTGATGTCGTAACTGTCGCACGTGCTGTACTGGAGCATCATGCTGTGCTATCGAAAGAAAAAAGTTCGCCATAGTCAACTCAAGAAGCTGCAGGATTTGCATCACAAATTCTTCTACGCATCACAGCTTTTGCTTGTCTTGCACAACCACAAGGGAACCCCCGTATGACTACATTCGACTGTGATGCATGGCTAGTACGCATGACAGACAATTTTGTATTGCAACAGTGCGCATTGGTGATCGTGACGAACTTTTTCCTTTTGAATATGTGCCGCACGCACTCCTCCTTCTGCGCGAGCTCGTCCTCGCTCGGGTTTGCAGGGTCCAGCATGTCCGGTATCTCCGGAAAGTGGGTCTCCAGGTAGTGCTGGCGGGCGCGCGAGTTGACGCGGATCAGGTCCTTGGTCTGCAGACCGATCTTCTTCGCCAGTCCGACCAGCAGCAGGTCCGCGGCCTTGTTGGAGGGCGCGCACACCATCACCTTCACGTCGGGTAGGTGCTTCAGCACCTTCCACAGCGCGCACAGCAGCGTGAACGACTTGCCCGTCCCCGGCGGACCCCAGACCAGCATGGGGTTGCCGAAGCTGCAGTCCTCGGACAGGACACCCTGCACCACCTCCAGCTGCTCCGGATTCAGGCACGCGCGCAGGTTGTCGCAGATCGCGTCGCGGCACTGCTGCAGGGTCAGCGCGATTTTCCGGCTCACCTGCAGCTGCTCGTACTTCTCCAAATCTGTCAGCTCGGGTGGTTGGCTAGGGGTCGTCGTGTCCTCCTCAGTCATCTCGGGGTTCTTGCCCTGGCTGTCCGTGTTTTCATGCTCATCTGCAGGGTCAAAAGCGTCGGCGTTCGCGCCTCGCTCACCTACACTCCGCGGCGTTCCCTCCAGTAGAGATCCGGATGAAGACCGCTGGTGTACCTCTTCTTCCTCCGTCGCACCAGTACTACTCGCACCACGTCGACTGGAACCATCATTGTGAAGGAGCTGCTCTTTCTTCGACGCATCCGCTTTGCGCGACGAGGAACCTTTCTGGTGCCAGTCCTCGGGCGCGCAGTCTATGGCGATGTGCCGCTTGCGCCACTGGCCGCGGGGCACGACGAAATCGACCAGCACATCCTTCCGCCCGCGCAAGTGGTGGCAGTCCCCCACCCCCTCCAGCCACAGCGTGACGGTGCCCGCGGGTTTTTCGTTTTCCACCGCATCGAGTAAAACGGCGCCGGTGGGCGTCAGATTGCGCGGCACCCGGACCGGCACGTTGCCCTCCATGTCGCTCAACTTCTGGATGGCCAGTTGCTCCCGCACCGCGGCGTCCGCGAGGGACGTCAGACTGCTGGGCCCGAAGGACGTGGCCCCAGCTCCGGCGGCTTGCTCAGCGTCATCGGTACCGCTTTGCGACGTCAAGGAATCTTCATCTGTAGTAGAAGAAGCTGTGCCTTCATCTTCTGTGCTAGGGGGTAGTCGCGCTGCACTAGACTCCTGTAATTGCTCCGCGCGTCTTCGCGTCGCCACGGTCGTGGACTCTAGCGTGCGGACGAAGTCGCGCCATTCCGGCGTTTGGCTCCACACCCGCACTATGCAAGAAAAAAACTGTGTAAGTGTAACTCTGTAATGCAGAACATGCCAGAGAGTTACGCCTCTCATGCCAGACACGCACAAAGTCCTCTTTCCATGTGTGTTTTCCCTTACCAGCCACGCATGACAGGTTTTCTCTACCATGTAGAGCAAATCTGTGATGCTGTTAGCCAAAGAAAGTTACACTAACACAGTTTTTTTCTTGGATACGCACCTGGATCTTCTCGATCTCGCCCCGCTTGCCCTCCTTCACGTCCTGCGCCCGCGCGTGGCCGCTGGAGGTGACTTTCCCGCCGAAATTCCGCGCGTCCAGTGCGCGCGGCTCGCGCAGCCGGCTCTGCGCCACGATCTTGCCCAGCACCGACGGCGCGACCGCCACCGCCTGCCCGCCGCGCACCTGCTTGTCGCCGTCCTCCGTGTTTTTAGCGTCGGTCGTCTCCAGCCGCCCGGCCTCCTCCTGGACGTGCTGCAACAGCCGCTTTTCCACGTCGGACACGTACCCGGCCCGCGCATCGAGTGCAAAAATGTCTTTGCGTCTGGAAACGTGCGACCTTGTGAGGCGTTTTGCTGAAGATCATGATCAGATTCACTTTCACACAAGAAACATCTGCCTTCCATCGGTTGCAAAAGATGCCCGATTCTGGCCATCCTGAGCAAGGACTTCTCGTGCAGAATTCTAGGACTTGCCAACGGACTGGAGACCTCCCTGATGTAACGACTCTAAAACCCTGCAACACGACCCCAAACCGCTCTGCGTGGGGTGGCAGTGTGTCAATGTGATGAAAGAACTGCATGACAAACAACTTCGGCGGACGATGTTCCATACCCAGACACTTTTTTCCACTGAATACAGCCGCACCTTGAGCGAATTCGTCTCGGCGTCCACGTGGATCACGCGCGCCCGCATGGTGTTCAGCCTCTCGTCGATCGTCTTCTGCTGCGCACTTTCGTCCACCCAGATCGCCTCGTGCCACCGCCGCTTCACCATCTCGCGCCACCGCAGCGTCCCCCGAGCCTCCCGCAACCGCACCTGGTGTGCCGAGGGACCCAGGTGCAGGTACTCCAGCGGAAGCAGGTACTTGTTCTGCGCAATCCCCGCGAGGGGCTGGTGCGAATCTTTTTCTTTCGTAACTTCTGGACCGGCGTCCCTGTCTTGATTCTGGTGTGGGCTCCTGCGAAGGTACAATTCATGACTACTAGTTGTAGTAGAGCCCGTGCTGGTCGTGTCAGTTGAACGAGAGGAAGACGAAGGTGAGTTCCCAGTGTACGTCGGTGTCGGGGCACTTTTCGTAGCTGCGGTGGTCGGCCCCGTCGTGGTGCGCAGGTATGCCGCAGTCGACGGCGCGGTACCAGCATGTGGCTGCGGGTATCTGCTCAGCTTTGGTGCCGCCGCGCTACTAGAGGACGAGAAGAAACACGAGCGACAACGCTTCATCTTCTGGATAATTTACTTCTTACGTGAGACGAGCGGGAAAGATTTGTAAATAATATCGACCTTGCTCTAGTAGCAAAACCCGAGGACTCGCCGCGTTTTCTGTCTATTGAGAAGCGACTCCGTGTTGATTATATCCCAGAATCACTTCTTGCCGAAAGAGACATGCGACTGCAGATGGCTTGCTAGAGCCGGTCTCTCATCGCTCATTTCTACGTGCAGCGGCGCACACAAATACCGTATGAATGTGTCCTTCCACTTGCGAAAAAAAAGACTGCTGCAGCCATCCATGCTGAGCGAAGCTATGTTCGTAGGCAACAATTTCAAACAGGATTGCTCAATAGATCGATGTGTAGATCTACTGCTGGGCGAGCATAAAGGACCATCATAATCGCGTCCAAAAATTCCTTTGCGTTTGTAGACCGTCGACTGAAGGAACTACGAAAGTCTGTTGAACAAGTGCACTTCGAAAGGTCATCGGGTCTTTCCTGTATCACGTGCTTTCCGCCTGCACAATTCGCGTTCTCGCCGTCCGCAGCCCGAGCACAGGTGCCTATGCGTTCGCGAAGAAAGAAAGTGATGCGGTCTCGTTCTTCCGCCGCGCGCCGTGAACCACCCGCCTTAGCCGGCATACTTACTTCAGGCCCGCCTCCTTTTTCGCCTTGGCTGTCGCTCCATTTGTTCGACGAAAAGGTGGTCCTGGCCACCCTGTCTGTCCGCGCCAAACGCCGCCTTTGCGCGGTTCTTTTGGCGACCGCTGATTGAGACGGCAGTATTTCCACGTAGTTTCCCCTGATCATCCTCGTCCTCACCGCTGCTCGTACCTCCTTCGGAGCCGAACGATTCTCCGTCCGAATCTGCTTCCAAGCTGGCTTCGATCATCGCCAGCTGCGCGGCGGTCAGACTGTTCTCATCGTCTTTTATGAGAGTGCAAGAAAACTCGTCCCCCTCACTTCCCTATGGATAGGCTATCCATTGTTTGAAATGCGAGAAATGTGGTTTCCGCATGACACTTCTTCCACGCACCGAATAGAGCAGTACTGGTGTTCCCGGTTCCGCAACTTGTGATGCCAACGGTAAAAGAAGGCCTTGAAGTGGATTTCGATTTGCGATACTTTGCATGACAAGTGAGGGGGAGTCGTGCTCTTTCCTATCTTCGTCGTCGAAGTCGATGGCGTTCCCGTCGGCGTCGCAACCGTTGAAGGCGATGAGGTGGGGCAGCGCGGCGAACACCTCCACGCGGCGGTGTTCGTCGCTTTCGTATCCTATGTAAAAACGTCCCCACCCCATAGTCAAGATGGGGCATTGGCTAGACAAATCCACAAGTTTTGGCTGTCTTGCATGACAGATTTGGACTCGTAGCGTAGTGCTGTTTGAGCTAGCTCAGCAGCATCACAGACCCTGTATATAATGCTGATTGGAGCATGACAAATTGCAAAACACGATTGGATTTGGAAAATGCTTCTCATGGGGCTCCGCATGAGAAACAATTTCAGCATGCAGATTTGCAATACAACTATGGCGTGGGGACGTTTTTACATAGGATATTTCGAACTCGAGCAGCATGTCGCACTCCAGCACGCGCAACTGCGGGAGTTGCTGAAGGTACGGCGCGATGTCCTGTGCAAAAGAGGTGATATTGACGCAGCGGTCCACGCTCAGGTGAAATAACCGCGGAAAAGCCTGTTCTTGCGACCCCTCCTGCACCGCCAGAAAATCCAACGTCGTCAAGGGATTGGCAGAAAGGTCAAGAACCTGGTGCGCGTCGTGCGGGGTAGGAAAATAAGAATAACGTACGGAAGATGATGTCGAAACTACTTGGATATTGATTTTTTCTTTTTGTAGCAACATTCTATTATTTCCCGCTCGCGTAGTCTTTCTAGTGGAAGTTATGCTTCCGTCGTAGGATTCCAACTTGCCAGTGCTTTACTTGGAGCAAGAAGCTGTACCAACCCGAAACAAAGAGAACAAGATACACAACCCTATCCTGTCATTACCACGAGATTTTCTGCCGCCTCTTCCCAAGCTCGCGGCGGCGCCACTTCCCGTAGATGGCAGTTGGTGATGGCCAGAGCACGGAGCTTCGGGCACTTTTTCTTCAGTACGCCCCATTCTGCGAGCGAGTCGTTATGATGGTATGGCACGAGGAATTGTTGTACCCTATTTCGGCATGATCTACTTCTTCTGTACTCTGATTTAGCTGTTTAAATAAACCAAACGATCGTCCTGGTAATTCAGTGCTAAATCCCTGTGGTAAGCACCAAATCCAAATGCAGAATGAGTTGTTGCGGACGACACTGATTTTATGCAACCGAGCCAGGTCTTCGTGGTCTTTCGCGGGCAGCAGATTTTCCCCGTATCCGTACAAACCGTTTCCCCCGCAAATCGACGCTCTCCACGTCCGCAAGCACCGGTGTGTCAGTTCCTTGCTCGAGGCGCAGCAAAGCATGCTCGCTAAAGAAATACTCGTCAAGAAGCTCGGACAGGGCCCTGGGAAGTTGCTGCTGTAGCATCTTCTCCGGCTGCGCTTCCGGTGCATATGCAGTCCCAGGATGAACAGGACGCTGCTGCGCGGCAGTAGTTGCGGCCCGAAGATGTAGATGTTGAACAACCGGATTGTTCATCGGTATTGGCACACCCCTAATATGTTGCGGCGGCTGCATGTAAGAAGTCCCGGGCGCGAAAGGAGGACGGTGCCCGCTGCTAGAAGATGCCGATGCCTTCCCAAACGGAAATCCACCAGAAACCGCGTTCTCGCCTCCCATCTTGATGGTGAGTCATTTAACTCGCCACGGTATGAAACGCCTTGGGCCTGTAAGTGTGAAATCAAAATATATCCAACGAGAAAATACGAACAAATAATGCTCCAAAAAGCTGAGGGTGAATATACAACGCTATAGTCAGTTTCTCCATTAGCTGCGGTACGTGTGCTAATGAGGTCCTTGGCTTGATCTACGTTTCACCTGACGGGCAGGTTGTCCGATACGAAACAGAAAAGGCAATATGCGATCCTGATTGACAGTTTTTTTCTTTTACCAGTATGAATTCTGAGCAGGGCTGCACCTGTCACAAACAATGACCAAAGCGACAGACCTCGCCGGGAGGGTGCGTTGAATTGCAGGCGATTGGAAATGTTGGTGATCCACACACTACTATCTAAATATTGCATTAGTGCTTCGACTTTTTTGCTTTCCAACAATACTAGCAGAATATAGGTGGACTCAGGGTCCACGTGGGACAAACAGCAACTGAAACTCCACACACGGAGATGGAGGCTCTCTCTTCACATAAAGAAAAGTAATTCCAAAGCCCCCGTTCTGCTGAATGGATGCAAATAGGCCGCGCCAAGAAAAGGCTTGACTTTCTTCGATGTACTTTTCGAGATACGCAAACGTGACAGGCCCCACGTCAACGATGGGAACCGGAACGAACGCTCGATTACAAGGACGACCCGTGTCTGTGTTGCATCTGCCGCGCAGCGAGTTCTGCAGTGCAATGACTACAGTGACGAACATGATAATGAAAGCGAGTACTTTTCCATGTCTTCTAGCAGCGTGCTGACTGACGAGTCGCACGCCTTACTGTTTTGCATGCCGATGTGTCAGGACATCAAGGGGCTCCAAGTCGAAGTTTTGCATTCGAGCACCCTTTTTTTTTCGTTCGAATAGGCACAACATCATGGACCACCTCCAGCGTTCTTCTTCACCTGGCAAGAGCAACGCCTGCAATTTCCAAACCGTTCTATGACTGTGATCGTCATCGTTTACATTTCAATAGGGACCACGAGAAGGAAGCAATAAATCAGACGAGCAAGGCGATTTCGGTGTTAAAAATGAATCCGTCAGCTCTGCACGTCGTCACAATAATATCCTGTTGAAAGTATGTTTGTATGATAACGTCCCGTCTACTGCCGATAGAAGAAGTTATTTTTTCATTTTGTACACGGTGCCGGCGGCGGCTATTCAGACAAGTTGCTGGTGCCCAACGGATACGTACAGGGCAACAACTGCATTGTGTGTACCTTAAGTACGTTCACTCCAGGTTGATGTATCAAACCCAGTTGGAGGATGCCGTCGAAGAAGACCGTGCCATAAACGGCCAAACAACGGCTCTTGGTTGATCCTGTGTGGGTTCAAGTAGTCTCTGAACAGGCTAAGTACTTACTTCCTTTCTTCTACTCGCGCAAAATCCGTAGCGTCTCGCTCGAGTCCTCGGTGGCGGACAGTGCCTTTTGGATCTTCCCGTTTTATTGAAGAAAAAAACCTTGCAAGTGTAGCTTTGTGATGCACGACATGGCAAGATCATTGCGTCTATCATGCTGCTCAGGCATTGTAGGGTGTATTCAACCTCATTTTCGCGTACTATCCGCGTATCGCAGGTTTTTGCGGTTATGCCAGACAGATTTGTAATGCTGTTCCGAGAAGAAAAATGTTACACCTACAATCTTTTTCTCTTTGATAAGTTTTGCAGCAGGCCTAGTATGCCCATCCAGGGGGCGGCCCCGTCGTTACAGCCGCCAACGCACACACCATTCACGAACGACTGAGGGATGGTGCGAGACCCATGGATATCGCTGGGAAAGGAACTGAGTACGTGCTGCGCGTAGTATTTTCAATGTCAAACAAATTAAGTGCTGCCTCGCTGCATGCAAAGTGAGTAAGTCTCTCGTGGGGAAACAAAACACTTCCCTTTCAAGAAGCTGCAGAACATCGTAAACAGAGAAGTGCAATTGCGGCCGCAAATTTGAATTCCATGTGGTTTTTCTGCTCTCAAGTACCGGAACAAGAACAACCAGCTGCAGTTGTAAACAGGACACATATAATTATCCTTTATTTCCCCTGCGATATCCGCTAATTTCTCGAAGCTCTGCCCGCTCGGCGTCCGTCATATTCTTGTGGTATACGAATTCGACCCCGCAGGTGTTCAGCGCGTCAACAATATGGAAATGAACTTTTGATGGCACCATGATGTTGACCAACATTGTTTCACTATTTTTCATCGCGATTTTTCCATGGTATTTCAAATTTCATTTCTGTCAGAATGTACATATCTTGCGGAAGACAGGCGTGTTTTCATGCACAGACTTTCTCTCTCTCCTCGCAGCAGCGCAGCCGTGCTGCGATAAACACCAAAAAACTACAGAACGAGATAAGTAACGAGAAAATAATGCACCGCCACAATATGAATATAGACCGTCGTGGTCGTAACTGCACCTTACAGCGCCAATAAAATGTTCATTTTCATAGCGGGTCCGCCTCACAAAGGGTCAGTAATCTTCTCCAAAAACCACCACCCGATGCTGCCGCGCGATTTGGCCCAGCCTTTTCGAGGCGGACATCGTGCTTCGGGACCCGCTGCCCCCAATTTTGCAGTACGAACTAGGGAGAACTAGAGGTGAGTCTAGTACTCGACTGACTGCACAAGGCTGGTGAATACCAGGGATTTCACGATCGCCGGTGCCATAGTAAGACGAATGGTGCTACAAGTGGGAAGTGAAGACAAGAGTATACTGCAAGGGTACAAGGATGCCAGTGCAACAAGGAAACACTGCTGAATCACAGAGAAAAAAAACGAGATAATGTACGACAGGTCTCTTCTCGTATTGTCAGGGCAAGGACACGAGATAGTACGAGTACCAGTGAAGTCATTAAGGGGCTCAATACGGATTCTAAACGGGCGGTACAGGAACTGCGAGGAAAAGTGATCGTGGCATAGAATTCTGCGCGGAAAAATAAGAAAGATGCTTTTCATCTTCACAGCTGTGCAGCTGACGTACTGTTTCATGATCTTGTCTGAAACTGTTGCCTTTTGTTCTCGTTAACGAAGCGGCCTATAGCGGCCGGAATACAGAGCGAAAAGAAAAGAAAACAGCATCACCACCAGCAAGGACTTGTTTTGAAAGGCGAACACGTTCAGAAGGGATTTTCCATCAAATAGATTTATGTCGCCTGCTCATACAATTACATATTTTTTCATTTTTCATGCGTGATATGAGGAGTGTAAGTACATGTGCATTCTTATGCTATTAAAGAAGTATACAGCGATTCACAAAAAATCTGCGCTACCAACACCCGGGTCGCTTGGCGGAACCGGCACAGGACGATTGTTGTAGTTCGCAGCTTCTATACAATGGAGCAGTTTTTTTTAGTAGAACATTTTACTAGTAAATGCAATCTGGCTTGCAGCCTCCGTATTTCTATCTTGAAAAAAGGGTCGTACACGCTGAAACTGAATCGATATTCTGTCTTAAAAAAGGTAGTATTGTTTTTTGTTCTGAATACAAAGTCGAACTGTTCTCTTAAAAGGTGGTCTTCTTGGAATTTTGATTTATTTTTCCTCAAAAAAAGTATCAATCTACAAGTCTGCTTCGTGGAGCGTAATTGCTAACGGTAACCCTGAATGCTGTATTTCTTTCCCTGACAAACAAATTGTGAACTAAATACTTACAAAAATGAAAAATCTTTTGCCTTCGGCTTCGCGCTTGACGTTACGCGGTCCTTACTTAAATTGATGAAAACAATAATTCCAAAACGGTCTAGTACTTGAGGTGCCAAAACTTCACTTCATCGAATTCAACAACGACTTCTGATAATTGCCATCCAACAACGACTTCTGATAATTGCCCTCCGAAGATATGATCTACCTGATACGCAGAAGCTTCAACTTCGTTTTCGTTTTCCCATTCCCGTCATACAGAAGATCTACTTCTCCCGTTCCCTGCGGTTGGAAATAGTGTGCGACACCTCCCCCATTTTTTTAGTACGCTTCCACCTACTCTGGCACTAGCATCGAAGCATCGATCAACAATGAAGAAGTTGCTCGAAGTGCACACAATCGGGCGATCATGGAATTCGTATTTGCGGTCTTTATCTCAAAAAGAGATAAATGCATCGTGGTAAAAATGGACCATAGTACAGAAAATTGTGCTCAGTAGACGAGCCGCAGTACTGTTGTTCGATGTTGACTCCTGGCAAGAAGGTTGTTCCAGACGAGGTGGATTGTTACAAACCACGTCCCACGGACAGTAGAGGAATTCGCGCTAGTGAAAAACTCAGGTAGTCATAACACACGAACCGAAAGTAAATCGTCGCAAAGGATAATTACTCCTCCAGCAAAGCCTCCTGGTCGGATATCGCAAGAAAAAAGTGCTTCAGTTACACATTTGTAGTGAATGAAGCATTACAACAAACTTGCCTTGCATGACAGAGAAAAGTTGCAATGCAGAGGGAAAACACGTATGAAATAATGCTCGTAAGCATTTTGTGCATGACAGCGCTTGTCTCTGTTGCTTGGTCTGTAACACTTTTTTCTTTGCATATCAGAAGAGACACTCGCGTCGTCCCCCGTGTGCGGATAGGTGCTGTCCCCAGCTTCATTGCCTTCGTGGATGTCATTTTTTGCGTATGGGAGGATAATAAGTAGTGTCGTCAGGTCCTGCGCGTAGCTAGTGTTAGACTTACACTCCAGCTCCACTACTTGATTATACACCATTTGCATTTGCAGTGGATCTCATCACCCTCACCACAGAGCGCACCATAGTGCGGAACTTTGTCACAAAGAAAAACTCCTGGAGAGCTCTGCTGTTCTTGATTCCAAAAACCATGAGGATGAGTGACGTTTTTGGTCCATGAAGTAATGCAGAAGGCGAAACTAGCAGAACTGCGAAAACGAGCAGCAGGTTGTTGGTGTCACTACATCTACAATAGACAACGACATTAATTTTTCTACTGCCATAGAGACTTGTCATGCTTCGGTAGGTTCCCGTCTTCCGTCATTCCGGCGTCCGCTGCCAGCGCGCCGAACGGGTAGACGCGCCCCTCCGCCAGGTCTCGCGCTCGCTGGCGCTCTTCCCACTTTCGCACGAAGAAAGACTGGAGTACTGGGAGGCAGTAGCTGTACAGAAAGAACGAGATCAGCAGCACGACAGGCCAGATGTACCACCGGATCGCGGGGTTTATGCGCTTCCCGTCTGCGTCGAAGAGGTGAGGTGCCCGCCCGTGGCTTGTCAAGCGTGCATCTTTGACATCGGTTCCACGAAGAGCAGGACTCTGGCCCGGCGAAATCTCAGGCGGCTGGTGTGCGTCACGGCCTGGCGTCCGTGGCAAGCGGGCTGTCTTCGCAATTGCGGGGCGGGACGAGCTGCGTGGAGGCTCAGCTAGTAACTGAACGAATGCATTGGCATTGCCTCCCCCGTGCGCATTGTCCGGTACCGATTGCGGCGATTCATACCTCAATAGCCTCCGCATTTCGTCTGCCGCGTTGGCTATTGCTGATTTGTCCTCTTGGTGTTGGCTGCCCTGGCTCCATTCAACCCTGATTGCCTCTTCGACAACATCGTCCGCCCCCTTTTGTTCCGAATAAGAAAACGCCTTGCCCCCCATTTTCGGGAAAGTTTTGATGAACAGCCCTGCGGGCTTTTGCGCCGCTCGCTGCTTCGCCTCGTCGGCGCCGTCGGTTCCCGGCACTGCCCGTTGCAAGCTCTCGACCTTATATCGCCTGACCCTGCTTTTGCCTGCGTCTGGAGGACCGCCTTCTGGGTATAACAGAAACGAGGCCGTCACATCGCCGGCAGCTAATTTCACTTCACCATCTGGTGTGCCACCAGCCTCGCTTCCGCTGATCATCCGGGACTTCAAACCGTTAAAATTCTCAGCAACCACGTCCATCCTTAATCCGCCACTCCGCGTAAAGACATGCACGAAAAGAAACGGCTGCGTTAGCAGGCGCGATGCTTCTCGTACACTTTGCGCGACGTCTGGGACCTTGAACCTTGCAGCGAAGCTGCGCGCGGTCAACGCGTTGCGCAGATTGCAGCCAGTAGAAACGTCCGCGTTTACTTGCCCCGCCCCCGCAGAAAGATACCACCAGTGCGGCGCGTCGCTCTTTCCTACAAATTCCACTGACTGCCCCCTGCTGTCCCTCAGGTCGAACGCGAGGTACCCTGCGATAAACGCCCGCTGACCTTCGTCATAGGCCGCAGGCGTGGGAACGACATTTCTCTGTTCTGGAACGAGGCGCACCGACAGCAAGCCTTGCTTGCTCATGCTTTGACTCGAGCGGCCCGGCAGGCCAATGGCCGCAAGGCCGTCAACGAGAACGACGAAGGGCCGGGCGCCCATATCGACGACCCGCTCGCTGCTCGTAAACTGCGTGGCGCAGGCGATATTGTTTTCGATTGCTGCAAGAACATCTCCTCCGAGCCGGCTGAAATAGTCCTGCGGGCGCCTCGCTGCGGCTTGACGGTGGAGCGCGGCGTACACGAGGGGCAGGGTTGTCGCGTCCTTCCCCATGTTTTCCTCTTCCGCGCACCCCTTCGCCACCAACAGCTCGGCCGCCGCCAAGGTTCGTTCTTGTGCCACGGGTCCGCGCGGTCCTTTGCCGAGCAAGGCTGCAACACAACGCAGCGCCAGCGCCGGCTCGTGGCCGCCCGTCACAGCAGTGGCCGCCGAGCTTCCCGAGGCAGCCTGTTTCCCTGGTGGCTGCGTCTGTGGCGGTGTCGCGCCGTCGCATGATATTGGTTCAAACACGACAGCCACCTCGTACGCCCCCACCAAATCCAATTCCACTTCCTCCGGTTCACTAGTTTCAGCTTCATTGTGCGCCTCTATTTGTTCCACCTTTTTTTCGGTGGTAAGATCCCTCGCTACAGTGTATTTTTCTTCGCCAGTCTTCGACGAGCCAGCTTCCGATACTTCCTCCGCCATGTCATCTGTTAAGTCGGCCTGCTCGTCTGGGTTGCTGGGTGAGTATGCATTGCAAATACGTCTGGATCTGGAAGTATGGAGACTTGTGACGCAGTCTGTCATCCACACAAAGAACTGCCATGCATGAGTAGCAAATGCTGTCCCTTGTTGGCCACGCTGATAGAGGGTTGCCCATGCAGAATAGTAGAGTAGAGTAGAGGGTAGCATGTTGCAGAGTAATCTCTCACAGAACCTGTGATGCGAGGCTATGCATTCAAGACCTTCGTTCTGTGCGATGCAAAACCTGCGTCACAAACTTGTACACTTTCCGTCCCAGATCCAAACCTACTACTCAATTTGCACTTGATAGTTTGTTGCTTGTGAGAATACGGAAGCGCCGCAACCTGATAACGGGAGAGATCGTTAGCGTGTTCGCTTGTTTGCTGACGTGGACGGAAAAGTCGGGCTCTGGATCTGCTCGCACATCTCCAATCTCGCCCCAGTTTTCCCTGGCGGTCGCGCCCTCTTTGCCGGCGAGCAGAACATTTGTAACGAAGACGCCGGTGCTGTGGCTGGCAAACTCTTCGAGCTTCCAAACGTCATCCTTTTGTGTCTCAAAAAAGTCGGACACGTCGTTAATGTCGCCGCGGCCGGGCAGTCTTAAGAGCGATTTGCTCCATGTGCTGCACACATTGATGGCACTTTCCTTGGGAGGAACGGGAAAGAACAACTTGTGGAGTGCTGGTGCCAACTCGGTATTAATTTTTGTTTCCCATGCCTTGCGCAGCCGTATCCCGTCCGCCACGGTAGATTTGGAATCGGGGGACACAGCATGGATGAGAGAGGTCCACGCGGTGAGGCTGATCGCCTGCCCGAGCCTCTCCGCCGGTGGGCGCGCTTCTTCGGGGGTCGTGATGTCTTCACCTTCTCCTTTTTCTGGGCCCTCTGCACCTTCTTCTATACCTGCGCCTCCTGCCTCTCTGCCAGGCGGCTGGCCAACGCCTCCACTCACCGCCTCCTGGGTGGCCCTGTGCATTTCGTGCGCCTAACCCTTCGCAACCGCAAAGCGACAAAGACTGAAAACAATTCGGGCGGAAACGGTCCCGCGGTGCCGCGAAATCGCTGTATAGAGCGAGGCAAAAAATCTGCCTGGGGGGGAAGTGAACACGCAGTAGGAGCTGCGCGCGGGCTGTCGGGCTGGGACCGACATACCCGGGCGGGAAGTGGAGCGCGAGCGCTAAACGCAGATCAGCGGGCGGAGAAAGAAAAAGAAGCGCCCCAAGACGAACGGCCGGCCAGGGGGAGTCAAGCGGGTCGCGCCTGAATGCGTGCGCCGAACGAAGGCCAAAGCATGCCAGCGGACAGGCACACCAAAAAATGGGAGCGGGGGGCACGCAGGAAAACAAGCCAGCCCCCCCAGCATGTGGAGGCTTTCCAGCACAAGCGAAAGGGGGCATCGTGAAAGCGCCGCCCCCGCCATCGCGATCACCCTTCGCCTTCTCATAGCCATCATGTGCTATTGCTGCTGGTTACAGCTATGCGTCGTGTTCAATGGGATCCTTTAGTCTCGTTCTAACGGGGGGCGCTCTTTTTTCAACCAGAGACAATGAGAAAGTGAAAGCCCGGCACCCACGTGGCCAAAAATTAAATGCCAGCGCCTGCCCTGGATTCTATTTCCAGGGGGCCAAGTAACTGGCCGGGCACTGTCGAGCCTGCCACGAAGGCGCGTCTGCCTAAGGGCTGGCGCTCAGAGAAACGGCTCGTGGCGGAGCGCCGCTTGTGTTAGCGGTGTCCAGATCAGGTCAGCGGCTTACTCCTGGTCAGCCTCCGCCTAGCCTTCGCTTAGCAACTCAACAGCGTGGGCTCTCGAAATCGGTCGGGGGCGCAAGACCCTAGAGAGGCTGCGGAGAAACAGACAACACAAGCCACGAGAAAGTCGCAGCCCCAAAGCCAAGACGCCGCTGAACTTCCCGGGCAACAGAAGCGATGCCTACGCCGTTGAACTCCCTGCGCCTCTGTCTCGTTTCGAGTTTTCCTTTCTTCTGCCCCCGAGACTTGGCCGCCTGTGCGCCGCTTCTACTTTTCTCGCGCAGTACTTTTTTTTTGTTGATGCGGGCGCGCGCGCCCTCAAACCAATGTCCGAGTGCCCTCGCCTCGCCTGCCTTTTGCTCTCGATTTCAGCGGCAAAAGCGCGCAGCTGCGCATGTCGGTTACAACTCGGCAGGCTAAGTCCCCACAGTTTAGCGACCAACGAGGCGCAACGCAAAAGAACTGAATCCGAGAAAGCGGGGCCGCGCACATCCGTGCCGGAAAAGGGAAGGAGGCGGCGCCACAACGGCCGGCGTCCTGCAGGCCTAAAAGGGCCAGGGGGAGGGCTGGAGAGAAACCGAGAAAAGAGAAGCGGGGGAAAGGGGAACTGGAAAAAAGAAAAGCCGGTAAGAGGAGAAACCAGGAAAAAGAAAAAAGCCCGGAAAAAAAAAGAAAAGAGAAACGGGAAAAAAGGCAGCGGAAAAAGGGTAACCCGGAAAGGGGAAACAACAAAACCGAAAAAAGGAACACCGAGAAAAGAGAAACCGAGAGAAGCGGAACCGGGACAAGAGAAACTGAAAAAAGGGAAACCGAGAAAAGGGAAACCGGGAAAAGGAAAGCCGGGAAAAGAGAAACCGAGAACAGAGAAGCTGAGCGAAGAGAAACCGAGAAAAGGGAAACCGGGAAAAGAAAAGCCAAGAACAGGAAAACAGAGAAGAGAAAAACTGGGAAAAGGGAGACCGAGACCCTCGGTCCCGAGGAAAGAGAAATGAGCCGCCGCGCCTGCGGTTCACGATTGTCCATCCCCCCAGCCAAAGGCAGAAAAGAGGCGGGCCACAGGTCCGCACATAGAGAATGAAGGGCGCCGGGGCACTAGCCGCCCGGCCCCAGCACAAGAAAAGCAATGTAGTGCAAGCTTCTATAGACAAAAAACTATTTTTTAGGCGAGCTTGAAAAGCTACTCTCGTCCTGTCGTTGAAAAACAATGTAGCGCAAGCTTCTTAGACAAAAACTAATTGTCAGGCGAGCGCGAGCTTGAGCTGTCGCTGAAAAACAAAAACGGTCCGGGCGACCAATTTTGCATGAAGAGAAGGAGCCGCCGTGCACGCCTCGCCCCAATGGGCCCGCGGGGCCTCTCTACAGTCGTGTCACCACTGCTGAAGAACGGGGCGCGCGCGGGCTGCTATCGGAGGCGCCCCGCAAGAAAAAGGCGGGCCCCCGCAGCTGCCACAGCCCGTAGCTAGGGCAGGACGCAGGGCACTGCATACAGCGCCACAACCTGAAGGCCCGCCGCGGCGCCAACCGCTATGCACGCTTCTGGCCCCAGGTGAGACCAGACGGCTGGCCGCCCATGGTTCGCTACTTGCTCTCCTCCCGTGTCAGCGCCGCCGAATAGTCCTGCATCCTTACCTGGTTCTAAGTGACCGAAGCAGCCATAGCTACTTTGACATCATGTTAAAAATCACAATGCAAAATCATAACAGGCACACAAGGACAAGTCGCGAGCCGCAGCACGGTGGAAACAAACTTTGTTCGTTTTTACAAAAAAAAAAAATGGTGAGCCCTACACCAACAATGCTTTTCTCTTCAGTAGAAACACTCGAAAGGCTGTAGAAATTGCTACCCATAGTCGGCTCATGCCAAGAAAGCTACTAGGCTAGGACGGGCGTAGTTCGCGACCACACTACATGCGACCGCGCAATCCTGAAGCGCAATGGATTGGGGCGCACTGCTTCGCACTACAGGAGAGCCAGAGTATAGGGCGGAATGACAACCGTATCATCCCGAAGAATGGAGCAAATCCGCCTTCCTCAGGCCGCCACACCGATCTCAGCTGCTTCGTTTCGGCTCTGCGCAGGCCCTCCGGGATTAAAACTCCGCAGCGTCCTCTGAGAAACTAGACTCCCTCCTTCGGGGCGGGTGGTCCGCGCGCTGCAAGAACGCCTCGAAACACATCGTGGCGTCCGAGGCCCCCCAAGGATCTTCTCCCTGGAGGATCGACATCCCGGCACACATAACGTCCCTCGCGCAGCAGTTGAAGCAGCCCCAAGCGGACTGCACGAAAAGTTTGCAGGCCGCGGACGCAGTGTGTAAATCTGAAAACCCAATTTCAACCAATGTGAAAATCCAAAAAACCACGACCTCACCTTGGCAGCGAAGCGATATAGAAGGCCTTGCACGCCGGCCAAGAAAGCCACGGAACTCGGACCCACGCGGCCCTCGACCCATGCTTTGAACTGGCTTCGCGCGAACCCGTCCAAGAAGCCTCCCGAAACACGGCGGCGACAGCGCAGCAGAAAAAAAAACGAAGCATGAAGGGAGTTGCCTGAAAATTGCATCCTCGCATCAAGCCATCCCTAAGAGCTCTAGTGGCTCCTGTCTTGTGTCCTCGGTGGCGCCGTCCCAGCACCACCACACACTGATCCGCGTCTTCCTGGAGAAGGCACGGCGCAGCAGAGAAGCATCACCTACTTCAGTTTTCGAAACAAGTTCTCTTTTGCTCAAGAATACGTAAGAGACAGCTGCTGCAACCGCTGTGACCAAAAAGCATTGCTTGCGAGCGTTGTCTTTGGTTGCCAAAGCTATCAATCTCTCGATTGCAGTCGGCAACTATCTATTCCTGATTCATGCCGAGATCTAGCACTCACACAAACCTCGCCTCCTCGCGGCCATGATCTGCTGTCGGTCATTATGTGTCGTTTCCAACGGGGTGCTTTCTTCTCTTTCAAGACAGGCGTGCTCATTCAACATCAGGCAACGAGAGAAAGAAATGTTGAAACCCCACATGCATAATTCTAAACTTGAATTTCATATAGGGAATAAGCGCGCAGCGTGTCAAAAAGTAGGAAAAAAGTATTAACATTCCTAAACACTTACAACAACATCAACACAAAAAATACTTGGCTGCACGTTGTGCTGCATTGTGAGCGCGCTGCTCTGCTTTCGACACCGTCGACTTTACCGCATCGAATGTGTCATGTGCGTTCGGCACCATTGTACCCGGATATGGTGCGAACCACTTCCCCATACCACACTTCCCAACGCCCCCACTGCCATACGCTGGGAAAGTCCTTCCCCACCGGTGAGAAAGTGCTGCCCCAGTGACGGGGAAGTGGCGAATCCAGCCTCGACTTCCCAAGCGCCTGCTCTAATGCCCTGGTGTGCGTTGCCCACGGCAGCTGCGGATGTATCTCTAAGTATATGGCCGCCACCGTCCGGCAAATACAGGAGGGCGGACACGGAACGACACTGACAGACGGGGCGGGCAGTATTGCAAGGAAGCGCGAGGAGAGACATTGGGAACACGGCGGGGCCGCACTGCGGGGCAAGGGTGAAGGAATAACGGAACAAGAGAAGGAGACATGACACACAGGGGGCGACAGTGAACAAAGGCAGCGCAAGGGAAAGGGAACCGCCAAGGCCAGCCGGCGCAGCGGGCGGCGCCCTCGCGCCTGCTGGCCTCGACGACCTAATCTCCGAAGCCTACGCTGTAGACTCTAAAAACGAACCAACCGGCCCGCAGCTCCATGCATCACCACTCCGGGTGCAGTGAGGTGATGCAAGGCAGGTGGGGGACGTGACGCAGGCGAAGTGAGGTAGTGACGCAGCTCCGGCGGTGATGCGTGGGGAAGTGGATCAAAGAGATGGGGAAGTGATTCACACCGTTACCATGACGCCCGCTGATGGTAATATACATGGGTAGCGCGAGGCCCTAGGTCCCTCAGGGAGCAAAGCTCCCCGGGCAGTCCCCAAGCAGCGGAAGCCCGCCCTTCGGGAAGAGGACTCCTCCGCGAAGGACGTAGGGCCCGGGGTCTCCCGCTTGGTCATCTCCCTGAAGGATCTAGGGCCGCCCGGTTTCCTGATATACCAGCCCCGACAGATGAAGCCACGCGTTGTAATGCGTGCTGTGGTTGTATGCGGGCGAACAGACCTGCCGCAAAATTGCCACAAAATTGCACATAATTCGCGTTTTCCGGTGCAGAAACGCCATCCGAAAGCCGACCGGATCTTCCTCCGATCTCCATGCATGCCACAGGGCAGGTTTTCGCCTGGCAGTTTTCGGCAATGACCTGCCACTATTGCTGCCCCTCTTGGAGACCAGAAATAGAATTGCTGCCGCAATTGCTGCCACCATTGACTTTTCAGCTCACCTCTCTGACCAGGAGACCGGTCACTGAAAAAAAAAAACCTGCACACAATTTGCTGCCACAAGTGGCGCCACAATTGTGGCATCGAAATATCAGACACAGAGAATATTTTGTGCCGCAATGAATTGTGGCACCAATTGTGGCAGCAAATTGTGCGCAGGTTTATTGCGCGAGCAAAAAACTTGTCCGGGTGGTTGGCAAGGTGGCTGGGGAGGTGGCCGGGAAGGTGGCTGGGAAAGTGGCACGGAGGGTGTCTCGGAAGGTGGATGAGGGGTCTCCGAATCACAGCCACCGGATGAGCCGGTGCACGCCCCCTCTCGGGCAATGTGGTAGCTAACAAAACTAGCACGCGCGCTCTTGAACCCACGTTGCTATCGAGGCTACTGCTATGTATCCGGGAGGGGCCAGGCACCTACTCACTAGGCAAAGTATGTGCAATTTTTGTGCAGAAATCTGTGTACAATTTTGCCCCGGCTTATTATTATGCGTTTCAGGAGATTGCTCTGCCTTTTTCGTGCCGGAGCCGGTCAGGGAGCTAGTTGCCCAGCGAAAGCGCGCCCTCATTTCCAATTCACTCCCTGCGTCGGCACTACCTTCCCCGTCCGCGTGGCCTCGCTCGCCTTTGTCCGTGGAGCTGCTTCCGCTAGAGTCTTGCTCCGCCCCGTTGCTGCCACCAGCCGCCCCGCCGACCTTCTGCTTCACCTGCTCGTCACCCCCGTCTTCCGACGCTAACGCGTTTTTACTTTCGGCTCGACTCGCCTGTCCCGCCTTCTTCCCGCCGTCCAACGCGGCATCTTGGGAAGGTGCGCTGTCTTCGCTTGATTTCATACCATTTTTTTTCGAGTTTTCCGGCGTTTTTCCGTCGGTGTCGGAAGCCGCTTGACCACCGGTTTCCGCCTCCGTGGAAGTTTTCGTGGAACTGCTCGAGGCACTTGTTCCAGCGGCGTCTGAAGCCAGGCCTCCATTTGCGTCATAGGAATCGTCTTTGTCGACTGCAGATCCGGTGGCGTCATGGCTGCTTGACTCCGGAAGCTCCTCCGCAGCGGCGCCAGGAGTGTGGTGCGAAGATGAAGTAGAAGGCATATGAAAACTAAATTTCCCCGTGCCATCCCGCGGATCAGTACTTCATGAGCTAACACACTGCAAAACGTCGTAAACACAAACAGGCTTCCAACGCACTGCGCTTTCTTTGTACTTTACTTCTGTAGCATCAATTATAATTAACAAACATAGCATGACAATAATTCCTTTGTTTAGCTGAAACCACATGGTACACAGAATGCGGAGCTCTAGCACCAGCACGATCTTCGTCGCTACTACAAGCCTGACCTTCATCATGACTACTTCAAATACCAACTCGTTGCTACGCAGCAACGACGTCTCTATGGCCGAAAAAGGGGTCGGAAAAGTTCCCACGTCCGTAGGACATCTCATCAGAACCAGCTGCAGTCGAGTGGTGCTCGTTCTTCATCGTCCCGTCGTCATCACCTTCAGCCGAAGTGGATGACTTCTTTTCCTCGCTAGAAGCAACTTGCAGTATGCGAGAAAAAACCATCTTCATCAGTGTCCTCTGTAGGGACCGTCTTTCGCAAACAAACGTAGCGCGCTCACCTGCAATGCAAATTACAACTTCGAAGTGCTTGCCGATATCTACTTAAGTATGTGCGTGTTCGTTGGTACGCACGGGATCGTTTACTACACGGCCCAAGATAGCTTGATCTTCGACGTAGGAAACACCCTAGCACCATGATCTAGCATGTCCTCTCTCATGCCCAACACATTTTTCGTGGCCGTGCTCTGTCCAGCAGGTTTTTCTATCATTAGATTGACAACCTTCTTTTCTCGATTGGATAGGTTTGGTTTCATCCGCGTCATCACCCTCGCGTTTCTCGCTAGCGGTATCGCCACCATGCTTCTTCCCGTCCTTGGCGTCAACGGCGTCAGTTTTTTCCTCCGACGATGCAGAAGTTGTGCTCGGCGCAGTGGTGTCTTCCGTCTCCGTCTTCGTAGTCGAATCCGCGTGGTCATCAGTGGACGACGACGTAGCAGTCTTTTTCACATCAGACTTCTCGTTTTTTTTCCCCGCACCCGCAGCCAGGTCCGCTTTATCGTCTTTCGACGAGGAGCTTTTTTTCGACTCGGCGGGCGCATTCTCGTCGGAACTGGATGAACTTGCCTGCCCTGACGAGGACAAAGACACTGTTGTATGGCGTACTTAGACGTATTAGATTCGACCGTGGGGACAACGACAGGAAGCTTTTGATTGCAAATTTGCGTGCGTGATCTATCAGCTACATTTTATTTACTGGTGTAGGTACATGACAAGTTGTGGCTTCCATAACCGCTGCATGGCATTGTGCACAATAAGCGTCACTAGAAACCCGTATTCTTGATACATTGAACGCAGGCACAGACGCAACTCCTTAGGGCAACGTTCCGCCAATGCAGTATCAGGTGGAGGTAAATGAATTTCCAACGTAGTGATTGCAAAACGTAGAAGACTCGCTGCATCAGGATGCTCTCGACGAGCACTTGCTCGTGTGTGTTTTTTTTCCAATCGAAACTCTGGCTGAGCAGCGTGGTTGCGGAGGTTGCCTCTCATGCAATACAACACGAGCAGGATGGCCCTCACTATGTTGTCCAAGAAGTTTGACGCGTCACGTCCAAGCTAGCCATACACCTCTTTAGTGGATTTGTCCTTTTTCTCGGCCTCCGAGGTGTCCGTGACCTTGTCCACCTTGTGCTCCTCCTCGTCTTTCCCAGGTGCTTTATCAGCCACGATTTTCTGCTTCGGGTTCGATTCTGACGTACCAGCACCCTCATCGTGCCGGATCGCGGCCACCAGCGGCACGCCCGTCCAGCCCCCGAATGTCAACCCACCGGACGTCGCTAGGGTAAAACCGAGGATAAACCTCCGACAGACGCAGGCCAGGTTTTTTACCGGCATCCACGAAGAGATAACCCCTGCAGCAGTCATTGTGCCTGCAGCTTACGCTCGTACAACCCGGAGCTGCACGTTGGCAGTTGGTGTCGTTCACAGTTGGATCCAGCACAAAAGTGATCCCGTCACACGTCGGCCGGCGAAGTCCCTGCTCGGACACCAGGGTCCGGCGGTACGTACCGTACCGGGGTCCGGGTTCAAAATACGGGTCCGTTGTTCGAAACAAATCGGTGTGGACAAAACAAAAATCAAGCAGTTTCAGTCATTCCCCCGTCCCGCGGGACGAGGATCCGTAGACATGTTCGAAATGGAAGTTGGCCCCTCACTCTACTTTCTTATGTCTTTTTGTACAGTAGATCTGGCGTGCGTTCGCATGATGGATCGGCACACTTGAGCGCCTTTTCGTTGTTCTATCAGTGCTGTACTGCGAACGGGTCTACAGGGGGGAGCGCCAGCATCGCAACGCATAGTTGCAATGAGTCAACATAATTGAAGACTCCGCGCAATTTGTAAGCTTTCATCTTTCGCCACAAACTAACAGTGCGCGAGCAGGTGCAGGCAGACTATTTTCATTCATTCTCGTACATTCCATGCTCCTCCCCAAGAGCTTCGATACATCAAACAGCTACTTTCAAAAGTCTTTTTCTGCAACTGCAGTGACTGTTTTGCGCGACTAAAGTGCGATTAATCTTCTGCGCGTGCTGTTTACATCCATCTACTGCGAGTCAACTACTTACATGTTCGTCGATGCATACACTCTCGCACAACTTGAACTTGCTGCTTTTGCTCTTGGACGCCGCCCGAAGAAATGTCATGCACAAAGGTGCCAGGGCATCATCGAAGTAGAGTGAGGGGCACTACTGAAAACTTGCGGTCGATAAAATTTGTTCTTCATGCATCGCATTTAGGTCCCAACATCTCAACTATTTTACTCCTACAGGTGTTTGGTATCGCATTTTATGACTTTCTTCGAAATCACAGTGGGTACATTTTCAAACTTGTAGAACCAGTGTGCTGTGATCGCAAAATTTTCTCCACTCGTAACGGAACAGAGAGGTGAAAATCAGGAGGAGGAGTGACTTCTACTGCACAAGAACAGCTCAACAGGTCGCTAGTGAAACAACTCTCATCGCTCGTCTCTGGTGCATAGTTCAATGTGAAAGTCAAGGTCGTTGTGAATGACCTGAGAAATAATGCGCGTTTGATTTTGTTTTTCAACTTCGCAAAGAATAAGAAAGCTGAACTCTTCTACTTATACACAAACAGCGCATGATGAAAGACTGTCTCCTGACAAATACAGAAGTTGTGAAGAACAATCTGTGATTTGCATAGCACGATCGAGATACATATTCATCCACAGCACCAGTCGTCCGCGAGGTAGATTTCTCGCACTTTGCGGATTCACGCTTCACGTTTTCTAGATTTGAGCTATTGCAAAGCCCATGCGTCGGGCAAGAGGCTGGCATGTAACCCACACTGCAAGTACGAAGGACTTCGTTCGTAAGTGATGGACTAGATTCCATTGATTTGCGTGAAGTTTCGTGGACGAAGCTGAAGCTTGTGTCAACGAACGATCGTCGCTATGAAGCATTTCTGCGAGAATGCGCCAGGAACCGGCGGGTCGACGTTTGATCGTGTTGATGCCCGTGATGCCCTCACGAGCGACGTATGGAGGTTTGCAACAATTTTTTTTAGTGCCTTCTATCATCACCTCTGACTGTAGTTTGCCTTTTTTTTCTACACGCTCTACGAAATTTGGCACGTAGAAATGGTGACTCTGACTTCGATTTGGTGCTAGAACAAACAAACGCGCAGCAAGTGTCTCCTTATCGAAAAGATGCTTCCTTTCTGGCACTGTTCAGCCCTCTCCAGATGCTCGTTGGCCTATCCCTTTTTTGCAAATCTTCATGCGTCTATGCGCACTGAATCAAGGAGGGCCAGCCTAGACTGCGTTTTAAACTCGGAATTCATCCGGCATTCTGAGTCAGTAACTCAAAAGCAGCATCATGGCGTTTGTAACTTCACAGAAGATGCAAATTGAACGTCTGTAAGATGAAGGGGAAGTACGCAATCAAAAGTGCACGTGATGCGATGATGGACTGAGACTGAGAAAACAAAGTTGCGTGATGCATACGCAGCAGCGGTTCCAGCTGTTTGGCGTCCCATATGTCTTCGGTCGTGTTATGCAAGCGAGTCGTGTTTTTCTTGAAGTGACGCGGCTGATGCACTCATTCATGAAATCGTGTAGATAGCAAAACATGCTCCGAGCTATGCGGGCTCAAAATGTTCATTGGCAGAATGTGTTTGCCATGGCGCTTGTTGTGAGTTTCGTTTTTCTTCTTTTTCTGATTCAGTGGTAGCACATCCACTTTCAACTTGCTTGTTTTCTCAGCGTGCTATATCACCACTTGCCTGAGTAATGTTGAATGGTTCTCGACGCTAACTGAGTAAGTGGATCGTAGAAAGCAAGGCAGCGCTCTGTCTGTTTTATTACCTACGTTCTATCCATCAAGAGCTAAATTGAATAAAATTCCAACTACCTAGTACCGTTGATGCAAGACATAACCCATCGCGCACAGCAGTTCTTCTTAGGTCTTTCTCTTTGTCACACAATTTCAAGAAATAGCAGAACACTCTTTTCTTTTCCTTCATAGTGTCCCATCGTGTGTTTGTAGCGCGAGACCTCACCCGGCGTCAGCCGGTCGGCGTCCCAATTCAAGCTGCTGCCCCGCCGCCGCCGCTTTACTGGCACGTTGTCCGCCCCGAAGATGGTCGCCAGGTCCGGGTTGACGACATCGGTTCCGAAAATGGTATCGGGGTCGTACCGGCTCTGCTCCAGCACCCGTGGTAGCCAATCGTCGCACCTAAGCACGGACAACAGTTGTAAAGCAAGGCAGGCATTAACACACTTAATTATAATTGTCTTCGGACACCAAAGGTCAACAGACAGGAGTCCGTCCGTAAAAATAGACGCACGGCTCGATTTTTTGACAACAACCGGCGTTGATGGCGTTGATGTACTAACGTTATCGAGGAAAATCTACGTACAAGTTGCGGCTGTGGCCACTGTGTCAAGATCAAATGGCTCTTGGATGGGTTCAGCGAACTTTCAGCTTTTCTCCGCACGAGGACGGGGCATGTTATATGATTTTTTTGTCAGCCGGCGGCCTTAGCGTCAGTGACTGATGTGCTCATCTCATACATATGATCATGTTTCGCGGTGCGATTAAAATGTTCGACAAATAAAGCTTCAGCTTCAGGAAAAACTAAAAATGCTCAACAGCAGTCTGCGACTTAAGTCGTGCTTACATCCATCGCAGATTCTGCGAAAGAAGAACCAATGTTACAACATCAGCTCGATGATGATACGAAATTTCATGCATGCAGCAAAAAACACATCGGCTCTAGCCTGGAAAATCATGTCCTCTTCGAAGGAACGGAGTTTTTTTGCAGAAAGGAATCTCTGTCACATCTGCTTGCTGCACTCACATGCATCACAAGAGCATGAGTTTCTGCACAGGTACTGCTTTCCGTACTGCTTCTATGTATTTTCAGTTCCATGAGTGAAACAATTGGTACTTACCATTTTGGAATGCGTTTGTGGCTGCGGTCCGGAGACTCGTCGGAATCCTCTTCGCCATCGGAGGAGGCCCGCTCTGACACTTCGTAGTCCTGTATCATGCTGAAAAATTCATTCGCTTTCGTACTTCTGAGGCAGCATCAAATTTTTCTGCTTGTTGTTCCTCACTTGGAAGACCACGAACTCCAATTCGTTCCTATCACGTTCAAGCAGCAAATGGATCATGTAGCCGCCGAGAATCAAGAATCGTGAATAAACGAACGCACAAAGAAGTGAAGCATCGCAGATATTGAAGACGAGTTTTTAACTGTATCGCGTTATTTGTGCCTCACATAGAGCTGCAAATTGAAGAATCTTCCGCAGGATAGTGTCCTCGTCCCGTTTGCTGCCTCGAATGATGCAACGCCGTCTCTGCATCTCACGGTGGTCCAGTTTCTGGCAGGCGAAGGACGCCGGATCCACGTTGGTGAGCTCGATGCTGGATATGGAAGCGCCAGGATCGCAATCAACAAAATCGAAATAATTTGCGATGCATAAAATCGATACCAGTTGGAATCTCAGTTTCCAGGTGGCACATGACAAATTGCGGGAGCACCAAAATCCAGTCAGTCATGCTCCTTGGGCAAAGGAGACTGCTCCTGTCATGCTACCCTGGCAGTACATGGTTACTGCCAAACAGGCTTGCAATCGGTCTCATTTGCCTCCTCCCCAATACAGGCCTTACGTGCCCTACATTGTTTTATGCATGACAAACTTTTTCGATTTGGACGATTTCGATCCTGACACTCCCATACTAGAGGTGAGCAGCGTCGTGTCGTCCGTCAGCTTATTCAGATCCACCGACAGTGTCTGGTCGCCCGCAGCTTCCGCGGGTCTCGAATCTGGAAAATTGGATAGATTTTTTTCTGCGACACTCGCCGAGACTGTCTCGAGGTTCTGGTCCACGTGCTGCTCCACTTCCATGCCAGAAGCCCCGTCTTGTTCCGTACCAGATGGAGCGGGTACCGAAACGGCCAGTGGCGGCGCACCAACGGGATCATGTTCTGAAGGGACGATGCGTTGCTGGTCGGTAGACGGTTGATCCTGTGCGTCGGCGTGCAGAGCTTTTTGCTCAGGGGGCGCATTCAACTTCATTCTACCCGATGCGGAACTTGACTCACTGGGACCAGCACTTCCATCGGGAACTGGCGGCTCGGAAGTATTGGCAAACGCTGCTTTCGAGGATGACCAACTACTGATGTGTTTTTCATTGATAATTCAACAAGCGGCTCCAGACATTCACGGCGCGTAGAATTCGAGCGAGATAATGTACCGAAAACTTGCTGTTGAACTTGAAGTCAAAATAGTAGCACCCTAAACCTCCAAAACGACTTCGGATAATATCTATACGTCTCTGCAGCTCCTCCCCCTTCCTCGTCTAGCATTTCGACATCCATGCTGGCGTCTGCGAGTCTGATTTCTTCTAGAACCTTCCCCGACTGCTCCTGTTTCTTCAACATCTGGCCCCCTCTAGCTCTAGTATCCCGCTCCGCCGACCCGGTCATCTGCTGAAATTTCGGACTGCTGTTCTTCGGGAAGCGAATGGCGCTGTTCTGAATCTCGTCGATGCGGGCTTGGAACGCCTTCACACGCTCCGAAATCGCGGCGCAGGGGGTCCGGGGTCGGGGGGTACGGTCGACATGGAGTGTCCGGCCCAACGGGGAGGCATGATGCGTCGTTGGCCTTGATTCGTTTTTTCTCTGCTCCCGGTCCGACTGGTCGTGTATTTTTCCTTTCGTGGAAGAGGAAGATGGCTCCGGCAGCTTAGCTTCCACTACCATTTCATTGGCAGAATGACAATTTCCAGGAACAGCACAATCTTGCTCACCCAGCCAGCCCTGGTCCTGTCTTTTCGCTTTTGCATCGCACTGCGAGGTTTGCCGCGGTTCCCTACCTCCTGCTTCGACCGTCCTGTCGGATTGTTGACCTGCTGGTCGAATCACGGCACCACCGGTAGTACCGTCGATGATTCGCATGGTACTATCGCCATTCCGATCTACTTCGAAGACGCGGTTATTACAACTCGATGCACCAGTAGAAGACGCCTGCTGTGACGCTGCCACGACTTCTTGCGGCCAAGAAGTACCTTTTTGCAACACTGTAGTCTGCGGCTGCGGCTGTGACTGTGGCTGTCTCGTATGATGTAGTACCTCCGCAATGCCAAAATCCTGCTGCATCGCGAACCGTGCGGAAATCAATCTGGACTGCGACGACGAGGTAGACGCGGAGCCGGCCGTGCATCCGGGCTTCACAGCAGTTCCTGTATTGTTCATCCTCATCCCTCCTGCATTCCCGCTCTTCACAGCGGTAGAGGATGCCGACCGTGGCTGCAGGGGCGGTTTCGATACCACGTGTGACCGCAACGTTTCCATGGACGCCGCACGCACGGCTGTGGAGGAGGAAGAGCCGCCGGCGCCGGATGTATTAAGAGACGGATTTTTTCCTGCTGCTGTTGAAGACCCGGAAGGGAAACCTGCCCCAGAAATCATGTTGCCGGCTGTGCTGCCAGTAGCGCTGGTACCACTATGTTGGTGTGCTGCTCCTACTGCACCAAGTTGGTGATTCGCGCCGTCTTTCTGCTGCTGGAAAAGAACCTGCAGATGACTTCCCGGTCGAGTAGTGCCCGAGCTGGTGCCGAAAAACGCACTCGAAGTGGTAGACTCCAAGACCGTGCTGGCCATCGTGGCCTTATCAAATGCAAAAATGTCTGGGTCTGGAAGATTAGAACTGGTCATGCCAAATCCGGATGATGCAAAAATCTGTGTTGCGTGTGTGCCAAAAGCTGTCCGCTTTTGACCAAATTGGGAGGGAGTTTCTCATGCAGGAAAGGCATGAGAGAGACCTCAAAGGGTCTGTCATGCTAGGTCTCGCATTCCAGACCTCCTGGCTCATGCAAAACGTGCATGACAAGTCTCAGAATCTTCCAAACCCAGACATTTTTGCAATCCATAGGCCTGCGTCGCGCACAACTGTTGGTCCGCTGCTGCCTGGCTGTGCGTGCCGAATTCGCCCAGCTTGCGCTCCGCCGGCTTGCCTAACAGATTCTCCTGCACACGCGTCACGTGCCGCTCCAGCACTTCGGTGACCTGTGGGAGGAATGATTTGTTTGCTTTTTCTTTTTCGGCGGCACACGCCGGGCTGCGTCCTCCTGCTTCTGCTTCTACAGTGACAAGTAAAAAAATTTTCACTGTTTCTACCTTCAGACACGAATCGGAATCAGCAGAATCAATCATTGTAAAAACGAAACAAAGAAGTACTGTACATCCTTATCCAGCTGTTCGCGATGCAGCCGCTCGAGGATCCGGGGCCGCAGACAGGACAAAATCTTATCGTCGCTGCTGTTGCTGGCTGTGTGCACCACACTGGCCAGCTGGTGCTTAGTTTCCTGCAGTTGCCGCCGACACCACGCACTGTCCCGCTGGATGGCGCGGCTTGTGCAGGTGCGCACATCGTGCAGAAAATCTATGCAATACAAATCTTATTCCGTACACGACGTACCAAATGCATCACAAATTTCGCCAAGTTGGAGCATACCATTTGTCATGCAGAATAGGGCTGGGGAAAATTTTTATCATGCAGAGACCGCGTTTGTAAATCGTCGTGTTCTACTTCGGGAATAAATTTCCTGTGGATAGGATCCACGATTACACAATGAATCGGATCCGGATCCTCTACCTCCATGGCTGCGTGGACGGAGCGAGATCGGTCGTGAACGTGAAAGTTTGTTTGGCTGCTACTCTTTCTATCGTCCTACATAGGTAAACGTTTCCTAGTCTGTTCGTTATGAAGAATCTGTAAGTCTACACGACTACCGCTCAAATGAGCTATTGCTCTGTTTAAGTAGTACTTACTTCTTTTCAACTTCTGACGTCGAATCAAGCACATTCTTTGTCTTTCCAACTTTCTTCAGCCATCAGCATTGGGCAGTTGCGGCAAGATTCAAAGAACTAGCATGGATGATGAGAGGTGCGGAACTCAACAGAAGCCATCTAGTTCAACAGTTCACAGTGTGTTGACGCGAGGGTGAAACTTAATTCGGAACACTAAAGGTTTCAAGATGACCTCACCCTGAACCAGAACACGACGCATCTAGAGGCTGCTTCCATTCTCAAATTGATTCCTCATGCCGCGGAGGCTGTTGGTAAGTAACTACAAAAGCTCGATGGGTGCGCAGCTTCTTGAATAAAAGTCTTTGGCCCACCTGTAGCGAACAAGCGCAGCGAAGACACGACGCAACAATGGTGTGAAATAAATGTCCTTGCTGATGAACCAGACGAGTAGAGCGATACCAATAGATACAAATACCGGCGGTGCCAGAACTGCTCCCTCGGCAAAAATCAATGCCTCCAGCGTTCTTCTATGCTTAAATCCACTCGTCAGCACTTCTCATCACATCACCTGTTTCCCACTTCGTGCGGACGAGTTTTCATCACTTCCTCTTCCCCGCTACCTGGAAGGTCCTCGCTACCTGGCTGACCCGGAGTTCATCCCACTGGGCCCCGACATCCCACCGGCGGCGAAGTTGTAGGTGAAGGGCGCTTATCAAATGTAAAAATGTCTGGGTCTGGATGTCATGCACATTTTGCATGACTCCTGATGTCTGTGATGCATGCCCTAGCATCAGAGATTTTGTGAGGGCTTTCTGATGCCTATACCGCATGACAAATGCTCTTTCCGTGTAGCAAAGCTTGGACTCTCTTTGCTGCTCATGCAAAAATACAGATTTTTTCAGAATCCAAATGCAGCATCACAAGTTCCAACCTTCCAGACCCAGACACTTTTGCACAGGATAGCGCTTTCTTGGCTTCAAACGTGGTTTTCGCCGCTTGCTGCTCCGCGGGGCCTATCCTGTGCAAAAGTATCGTACTCGTATAAATGCAAGTCATGCATTACAAATCTTGCTCCCAAGGCAAATCGGCATTACAAATTTTATTTCTCATGCTGAGGAAATTTGTAATGCATTTTTATATACGAGTACGATACTTTTGCAATTCATAGGGCCAAACGAAACGCTGCCCAACAGGGACTGCACGCACCGCCCCACCTCCTTGTAGTCGTCGTCGCTCAAGTTGTCGGGGAGTTTTTTCGCGGCCCGGTTCAGCTGCGTCAGGCACTTACGGTCAATTTCGCGGATCAGCTGGCTGCCGCAGGCGTTTTCCAGCTCGGAGAACTCGCCGCAGACCGGGTACCACTGCGCGAGGTTGAAGAGGTCGAATTTGTTCTTCTCCATGCACCGCCGAAAGTCCTGCCGGTACTGCCCGCAGGTCTTCGCGAACAGCCGCCCGTACGGCTTGCCGTAGGCCTTGAGTGACTGCGACAGTGGCGGATTGGAGGTCCACCATTGCGACTTGAGCTCGCTGGCGCACCGGCCCACCTCCACCCGCGTCGGCACAAATTCCGCGTCATATCGAGTGCAAAAGTATCGTACACGTACTACTTGCAGTTATGTATTGTTCTTAAGGCAAAACAGCATGACAAATTCTAGCGCTCGCGCTGAGCAAATTTGTAATGCAATTCAGACTGAAGGGATACTTTTGCAATGCATACGTCAATGGCTGCGTCCAAAGTGGTCCGGTTCACGTTCACGCCAGCACCGCCGCCGCCGCCCTTGGAACCGGATGAAAGGCCATTACCCATGGGGTTTCGGGATTGCAGATCGTCGTCGGTCTTGTACTACGAGAACAATTTAAACTCTCTCAAACATCAAGTGTTCATGGGACCATGATCATGCACCATACATTCGACGGCGAAGTAATCTCTGACTCTATCTCCACATATTTCACTTTACTAATTTCATATCATGGCGCCGACGAGAACCGCAACCTGGTCGTAGTTGAGAGTTCTGTTAATACCGAAGCAACAATCAGACCTGGTGGGTACTATCCAAAAAAACAACAAGCCTACTTACTTATCCATCGTTCTTTACCTGGTATTCATCAACCTGAGAGGGACAGACGCAATGCGCTCGAGTTGTCAATCAGTCGCTTGCCTGGGCACCGTAGCGTTGCTTCAAGAAATCAGCCGGGCTCTACTTATCGCGATCACTTCAAAGAAACTCAGTGCCCATGATCCTTCAGATCTTGATCTTTTCTCGTGTAAAATAACACGCGACTGGAGATAGAGATCCGCAGATCTCAAAGTCGGACCCTGAAAAGCACAATTATGCTGCAGTTTTCTCTCACTCACGCGCAAGCACGACCAGAGCGAGCAAAAGACAGTGAAAAAACCTTGCGGACTGAAAAAGAACAACCGGCACTAGCATCTCATCCTGCTTTTTGTCGCTCATAAAGCCACACGGCTCAGGATTCTCTGCAACTTCAATTTTTCTTTTTGATATTTCAATTTCGACTTTCATCGTACAGTTTTCTGTCTCACACGTGTCCGATACAGGAATAAAAACTGCAGCGGGACACAAGTACTCCCGTCATTCGCACTACCACTCGCCCAGCACATGATCAACCTGCGCTACATTCGAGCGGTACATTCGAGCAGTACCGCTAGTCCCGGTACAGCAGCACTTTGTACCAGTTCCGCGGATTGCCTCCCAGCTCCGTTTCCGCGCCCGCGCGCCAGCCGCCCGTGGACTCGGCGCGGTCCAGATTCCAGCTCAGACGGCGCTCGGAGTCCGTTTCCTCGCCGAAAAAGGCGATGGCACTGTCCGCAAAGCGGAGAAAAAGGTTCGGCGAACCAGCGAACCCGAAAGACCGCTCCCGCCACCGATACCAGTAGGTCGTTTGCGGCAGCTTCGGCGCGTGGTCTCGATGGGAGGTTCTCGAGCTCGACGAAGTGGTCCGGTTAATATCTTCTCCTGCTGCATCTACCCCTTCCGCGCGTCGTCGAAAAGGTGGCTGTCCCGCCAGCTGTCGGCGATGCGCTTGCAGCGCGGGCGCGGGGACCGCCGGCCACGCGTTGTCGCTGGCGTCAACGGCGCCACCGAAGAAATCGTCCCGCTCGACCGTCACGCGGAGTGCGATTTCCGCCGGGGCCCAGGCGGCGAGAGCGAGAGTTGAAGGGGAAGAGGTGGTAGAAGCCGAGGGTCCAGGTGCTGCTGGTCGTCGTGAAAAGGGGAACATTGGTCTATTCTCCGCGTTTGCGTCGGGTTCGTTTGTTCTAGTTTGAGAACTGAACGTGAAAAAACGCGCGAGGCGCTGCACCACGCCCGTCTGGCAGTCGGGATTTTCGTATTCGGCATACAAAATCGGTGGCGGACCCAAATCGAGGGGCTCCTCAAGGTCGGAAAGGTCGTGTTCTGCTTCGGATTTCGGATTTTCTTTTTCTCGCGAAACAGCACGACCATCGCTGTCTTTGGACAAGGTGCTAGCACGAGACACGTTTATTTCAGGTAGTGGACCAGCAACATCTTCTTGCGCCGCCGGTGGCGATTTTTCTCGTGCTTGCTGTTCAAGCAGCTCAACTCTTTCCGCAGGATTTCCAGAAGCAGTCCCCGGATCCACAGGTGCGGATGGTGCCGTATCTTCGTTAATACCAGGCACACCGACAAGCATTCTTCTTTCTTCCTGCGCGGGCGCGGCTGACGCTGAGGGCTCCTCTACCACCACATCAACTTCCGCCATCCCCACTTCCGGCGCAGCTGGCCCAGCTGGGTCCTCTTCCTCGCGCGCTCGTTCAGGCACAGCTTCAAAATCCCCCTCCCCGTCGTCACTCTCTCCGCCAGCGTCGAGCGCCACGCCCCGCAAACCCGCAAACACCCCGGCCGCTCCTTCGTCCTCTTCCTCACCCTCTGCGTTATTTTCCGCCTCGCGAAAAAGCGCCCGCAGGGCTGCGCGAAACCGCGGCGGCGCCCGCGCGAGAAAGCCGGCCGCCAAGTCGTTGCCCTCGCCCGCGTCCTCGTTCTGCACCCGCGTTCTGCGGGCTGTCACGGACTCCCGCTCTACTTGGGGCGTTGTGCCTTCTGCTTGTTGCGAAGCAGTACGACTTTCCGGTGAAACTAATTCGGCGCCTTCGACGTCCGGGTCCGCTCCAGCCTCGTCATTTCGATCCAGAAGTAGTCCCGCGGAGGAAGACGCCCCCGCACCTGGATTTGATATCCTTTCGCCTTCCCCCTTATACCAGTCCCGGATTCTTTTCACCAACGCAGATCCGTCCTCGTCCTCGTTACTTCCAGTAGCGTCTCCGCGGCGCGCCGGACTGTCTTCTCCTACTGCAACGTCCTGCCAGGCGCCCGCCAGCACGTACTTGGCGTTCTCCGGAATCAAATTATCCAAATCCTCGTCCAGGGTAATGTGGTCGTAGCGCTCGAAGTACGCCAGCTTCCAGGACGTCGGAAACCGCATAAGACTCCGCCAATCGAACTGCTGCAGCGGACCGGGCGTGAAAAACCCAGCCTCCCACAGGTGCAGCACCTGCTTCCATGATTCCCCCGCGGACTTTTCATACGGAACGAGGTCAAACGGGGTTCTTTCCGGTTTTTTTTCCGCACTTCGGCGTGGCGCGGCGGAAATTGATGTTGCGCTCTCTTCATCTCGAAGATGTTGATCTTCAGCATGATCATAACCTCCGTTCGCACTGCTGATACGATTTTCTTCTTCATCTTCGATTAGTCGCACACCGTCTACTTGGCTGCTGGTGCTTGTCGGAACGTCTATGTTGCCGTCCTCGTAGGCAAACGACGTGGAGCTGAAGTTTATGTAGAAGAGGTTGTCACTCTTTTCCCGGACCCGCAGGCGTCGGCGGACCTGCCGCTGGGCCACGACTTCGCCGATCAGCCGGAAGTACCGGCAAACGCACTCTAGCCGCCCGAGGTCCGCTGCGGAGAGGAACGGCATCACATTCTCCGTCAGTACGGCCGCGGGGATGATCTGCACCGGGGCGAATTCCGGGGTCGGATTGATGTTCCGAGAAGTACTACCAGTAGCAGTGTTGTTATCCGTGCTCTTGCTTTTCAGAAACGGGATTTTGCTCAAAACAGCCCGGAAAATGGTTGAAATGTTGACACACGCAGCCGGGAACAGCGACGACGGCCGCAGGCTCCAGGCTGGCGAGGACTCCGGCGGCATTCTGATTTTTTTGATGTTCTAGTATGGTGGCGATCTGGGAAAATGAAATCTAACTTCTCTTGCGTGGACGCAAGTTCGTTGATGCGGCGAAGTACAACCAGGGCGAAATCTTTCAGCGCTGGTAAGCAAGTCGTAGTACGGGTTTGCAGCAGCTGAAAAAGGGCTCTTACTTCAAAAGCGCGACCTGTTGAGGTCGTCTCTGCGTGAGACTAACTATCTTTCTAAAGAAAAGCCGCATAGCTCACGGGAGAAGGTTGTTTTGAAAACTGTGAAGACAGAGTCCTGAGCGAGTGCTTCGACTTTCCACCCTTTTTCTTTTTGCAGCTCTCCGAGCGGCAAAGAGAACGAAAACTACCAAAACACATCTTCTTATCATCCGCCACCAGCCACAGCAGATTCTACGGAAAGGGAATCGCTTCACCGGGCCAATAAGAACGTGAATCCTCCCCGCTCTGCATACTTCACGAGCCAGCACCTTGCGGCGCATAATTTCGATTTGTAAACAATTTCCGACTACAGACTGACTGTATTCTATCGTGCTTGACAGGTCATACAGTTCAAACAAGCTCTCAATGACGGCATAAGATTCAGATCATTCGCAGTGGCATGTCTACCACCACAGCAACTTGTCCCCGAAAACGCTGCGACAGGGACAGCCCCTTGCTCCCCCTTATACTCCTCACTCTTCCTCCTGGATGACCCAGGGCCGCAGCTGGTTGGTGCGCTTCTTGTAGGCGTCCACTTCGCGCTTTGTCAACCGGTCCTTTTCCCAGTTCTCCGAGGACCCGTATCCTATGTAAAAACGTCCCCACCCAACATCTGTCATGCTAATCTGCATGCTCAAAATGTTTCTCATGCGGAGACCCATGGCAGGCGTTTTCTAGTCGTGTTTTAGGATTTGTAATGCTCCAACCAGCATAACAGGCTAGATCTGTGATGCTTCTGAACAAGCTAAACAGGATCACACTACTTACGAGGCCAAATTTTTGTAATCCGCAACAACCAAAGCTGAGTGATTTGTCTAGCAGATTTCCCATCTTGACTATGGGGCGGGGACCTAATGGCTCAGGATAACCCGCGGCGCTTCTTCTTGCTGCGCACCTCCGGCCCGAAGATCCGGCCCAGGTCCGGGTTCGCCACCCGGCCGCCAAAGATCGTGTCCGGGTCGAACAACCCCTGCTGCTGCACCTTTTCCGGCCAGTTGCGGCACCAGTCGGGCACCCGCTTGTCGCGCCGGTCCGGGGACTCCTCGTCGGTGGAGCACTTGTCACTCAGTTCGTAGTTGTCCTCCTGTCGCTTTAGGTGTCGGATCGCCTGCCGCTGCGTGCGCAGCGACTCCAGCCGCTTCCGTTCGGCCTCGCGGCGGACCCGCGCCGCGTCGGTCGGCAGTCGGGCGTCCGGTTCTGTCTGCGCGCTGCGCATGCCCTGATGAGAGAGAATGCGTTTGGATCGTGGTTGTGGGGAACGGAAGTAGCCACACCAGCGCAAGTTGCGAAGGCGAATAGCAACGCCTTCCGCTGATATTAGTCAAATACAATTCATCCTCATCATCATCGACTTTTGGAGAAATTGTACAAAATCGAAAATTCAACGACCATACCCCTGGCGGCGTGGACTGCGGCAAGCGGCTCGGCGGTTCGGGCGGTTGTCCGTCTGGTTGCACTAGCAAGCCACCCACAATGTCCTTCGGTGTGCTTTCTGGGCTAGAGGAGGCAGCTGGTTTTGAAGGTTTTGTATGCAAAGCAAGCAACAGAAAAGCTTTTTAGCACTTGCACTGCGCCATGTTCAAAACAAAAAAAACAAGCAAATCTCCGATCGAGGCGATCTTTTTATCACAGTAACTTTCATTCCAGTACATTCATCCTCTTATACCTGACCCCGCGGTGAAGTACGCTGCATCGGAGCTGGCACACCCGACAGAGAAGTAATCCGCCGGGGAAAACTTCTGAATTTCCACCGGATCCAGTACGATTGGATTGCCAAACCACGAATGGTTGGACTGGTTACTCACTGTGCTGCCGGGCACGACCGCGGGCACTTTGCCACCAGCAGCCGCCGCTCCAAGAACTCCCCCTGGGGGCGGCATCTTCTTCCGGTCGGCCTCCATGTTGTCCTGCTTTGATACTTTATTCCCGCCCTCGTCTGCTGTGCCAGCTGGTTCCACTGGCGGGCCGCTGCCCATCAGTTTGGGAAGCACCAGAGAGGATTTCCGTTTGCCGCCGTCGTCCGACTTGAACAGGTTGCTGCCTTGGTTGCTGAACAGCGAGTGCGAGGAGAACAAACTATTCGAGGGCGCGACGGAAACGGAGGGGTAAGGCGCGAAAACCATGTCCGGGTCGTCTGATTTCTTGCCTGTACTACTCCCCGCCTCACCAACCAGCGGAATCTTGTCCGTCGCCTCGAAGTGCAGTTCCCGCGGGAGCGCGGCCGTGATATCGGCGTCGGGCTGGGGCGGTTTTTCCACGGCGCTGTCGCGAAACAGCAGCCCCGTGTCCATGAATGCATCGTCGTGGTCGATTTTCTGCAGTGAATCTGCCATGATTTTTTTGTCGTTCCTGCTTTCATCCACCCCGTCTTCCGCGTTTTGCTGCTCTTTTTTTCCATCATCTTCTCCCTTGTTTAGTATCAGCTCGTCAATCTTCTGACTGCTTTGCTCAAGTTCCTCATCCTGCTGCGCAGCCGCGACCACGCGCGCAGCCCCGCCGCCGAACGCGCTCTTCCGCGGCGGCTCCTTCTCGGAACTCTTGTCTTTCTGGGACCGCTTGTCCGTGGAAACCTTCTTGTCCCGCAGATTGCCAGAAACTGCCTGATCGGGGTCGACGGCTTCTTCTTCTTTCTTCTTCGAGTTAGAACCTCCTCCGGTAGCAGCGTTTTTTCCCGACGCCGACGAGTTCTCGTCTGGTTTCCTTTCCTTGTTTTCCGCTCTGCTGCTGCTCGAAGAGGAGGACGACTTTTCGGTCGAGTTCTTGGGTTTATTTTCTTGCACAACTTCTTTCTCTACCGCGTGTGCTGCTGGTGCGACTTCTACTTTTCCCTCCTTTTCTTTACCGGAGCCGCTTCCTGACAAATTGTCGATCTTCTTCTTATCTGCTTTGAACATCTCGCTCAGCGCTGCCACGCTCCGTCGCGGCTGCGGTAGTGGCTCCTCGTTCTTTACTTTCAAGTCCGCGGATTCCGGAACGACCAGGGGAGCCTTGGCTGGAACATTTTCATCATCTGCAGACGCCTTTGCTGGCAATGCCGGCGGCGGCATCGACCTGTCGTTCGTTGTGCGTTCGTTTGTATCGCTCAACACATGCAGATACAGTAAAAGACTTTTGTGTGCATAAAGCTACGCGATCTTATTTTCAAAAGGATCATCTACTTCACATGCAGAAAAGCTTATCAAATCAACCACATACTCGTCCGCCCCGGCCGGCTTGGCGGCGCTGTTCGCACCCGCAAAGACGTCCGTCGTGTCCTCAAACAATGCGTCCATGTCCACGTCGCTTTTTCGCTTGCTATTGTAGTAGCCCTCGCTGAGCGCCCGCACGAGCGCGTCACTGTCATGGGTCTTGTCCAATTTGCTCTTGCTGCTGAGAAGCTGCGCCACTTTGGCGGCCGCCAGCTGCCGCGGTTTGGGCGGCGACTTCGCGACCGGGTTGTGCTCTCCAATTTCTTGCGACACCCGGTTGACGCTCCGGCGGAGCACCGGCTGAAAGGCCAGCTGCGGGACGGGCTCCTGCTTATTCCCGCTCTGCGAAAACCGGGTCGGCGCCCCCGCCGTGCCCACCTTGCCAAATACGCCGGCCATGGCAATTACCTTGTTCGTCGTGGATCCGGCTGCTAGAGCTGCGGAAGCCGCGAAACTTTCTGCCTTTTCCTCCTCTTTCTTGCTGCCCGACGAGCTACTTTTCGCGTCCGGCGGCTTGTGGTTCTTACTGCTTCCTCCAAAGGACGACCTGCTCGCAGCCGGCTTACTAGAAGACGACGACGACGAAGAGGAACTACCCGCTGTGGGTTTCTGTACACCGGGGGCAACACCCACACCGCTTGATGCCGCGCTGTTGTTTTCCGTCGTGGTCTTGGTACTCTTCAAAAACTGATATTTGCTGCTGTTGTTCTGCGGCGCCGCGGTGACCTCCTTACCCGATTTGATGTTACTACTTCCGCCCGCCCCTGCCACCGTCACGGCGGTTGCGGTGACCTTCGCAATCGGCGCGGGCTCGAAATTACTGGGCTTCGAGGAGGCGACAGCCGATTTGCTGTTTCCGGCTGCCCCACCGCTGGTAGAAGATGGCACTCCAGCTGTCGGCTTAAGCTTGCTCTGGTGGTCCTGCACCACGCGTGGTCCCTTACTCGTGCTCCAACTTCGAGTGCTATGGTAGCTCTCACCGGACTGCCGCTCATCCTCCATGATACCATCCTGCTGTTTCATCTCCTGCGGCTTCTTCGACGGAGGGGGCCCTCGGACGTCGATCGCCGCGCTGGTCTTGGTAGCTGGTTGCGATGATCTGTGTTGGAAACGAAACAAACAAATCAATGTCCACGACTTTTAAGTATCAGAAAAAAAACATGACCCACCTTAAGAAATGAAAACATCAAAACAACGAGCCTCTCTATACGATGGCTGCGCCGGCTGTGGTCGAGCGCGTTTTGCTTGCTTCCTCGCACGAACGCCATCCTCCATGTGTGTGCGCAAAACATCGATGTGATGCTCCACAATGTCGCCGATCCTGGGTTGGGTATTTTTGCACTTAAGTAGACAATTTTGTACGAATAAGAGATGGACAACACGAAGACTGTTCAAAAGCCCACCAATCAAAATCTATCTAGAAGCGAAAAAACATATTCTCCCAAAACTCCGTACCTTCCTTCCGACTCGACGAAGAAGCCCCATTTGTGGTTTTTCTGAATGGGCGTTTTGTTCTGCTCGGCAGCCTGCAAGACGTCGTAGATCTCTTGCTTCTTCACGTCGACCCAGGCCCGATGGGTCCCGATCGCTTCGTCGACGAATTCCGTGACATCGGAGAGTAAATCCTCTACCAGCATGGAGAAGGGTCGCTTTCGGTTCTTCTGCGAGCTGGAGCTGCTGCTGGAACCAGGGACCACCGCGGCAGAAGCGCCGCCGGTGCCATGCCGCGGCGCGGTGCTGCTTGGCATACTGGGCGTGTTTATTTGCGCGGTAGTAAAGAGTGTTTTGTATTTACCGACTCTTGTTTTTTCGTGCGCTATACTGAGTTGCTGTTTCTGAAGATCATATTTGTTGCGCACCATTTTGATGTATCGCCAAATTAAAATTTGCACCAGCTCGACAACATGCAAGTCCATGCATTATGCATTTCATGCGCGACTGCTCCGTCTCCCAGCAGAAAAATTCGAATGTTTTTTGACACTGGGGTTTCAACGACTAACTTGCGAGAAACATTGCTATCTTTTTCGCTTACTTACACACCTCTCGCTCACGAGGACGACCACGCCGAGTAGTACATTTACACTTTGATCTTGGAACACGTGACAATTTGCTTCTCTAGCAGTGAAACCGCGAGAGGCGGTGAAAAACGCACTATCGATCGATACGATTTGGCTCGCGTTGTGCATCCTACTTCTGTCTGGCGGTCTCATATCAGTACTACCGTAGTTGCGCTCACCACGATAACTACGAGGACCACTTTCAACATTCTCGCACCGACAAACAAAAGCAAGGTTGCGCAGCAAACTGAGAGCTGAAGCGAAGATATTTTTCTCTTGTTCCGCCCGGTCCGGGTGAAGTACAACTTCGGGATACCTGCCAGACTGGGAGATCCTCGGAGAAGCACTCTCCTCCTTCCCTCGTTGTTCCGTCGTGAGACTCGGTGGAGCAGGAACTGGTTCGGATTTATTTCCCGGTGCCGCATCGCTCGGTGTTCGTGGCGATTCCGGTTCTTGCACATACGCAGGATCGTCTGGTGGTGCATCCGAGGTTTTCTGACTGGCGTCTCCCTCTCCTTGCCCCGCCCCTTCATCGTGCCCTCTCGTGGTACAGCTCCTACTTGGTGCCTGTACAAAAATTTCCTCCGACCCCGACCCTTGCGGCTGGGAAAATGAGGAGTTTGCTTCCACTTCCTCCTCCTCGAAAAACACACCACCGTCCACAAAAACCCGCAGTTCCCGCCGCAAAATCGCCATCAACAGCGGCGCGTTGCAGCACCGCCCCGATTTTTCTTCGAAAAAACGCCGGAACTCTGGGCTCCGGCGCACAGCGTCAATGTCGATCTCGATTGTGCTGGGAGAAGAAACTTTTGCTGTAGTAAGTTCCCGACTTTTCCCCTCGTCCTCCCCGAGCAATCTCGTCACACCAGCAGCAGACGCAGGACTACTCGGACTATTTCTTTTCACGAACTCCGCCGGAAAACAGGGTACGGGCAGCGCGTCCCACAGCTTCACGTTTCTCAAGCCGTGCGGGACGATCAAGCCGTCGTCGAAGCTCCGGCCAGCGTAGTCCAACGCCGTGTCATTATTTTCCGTCGTTTGCAACTCCACGTCAGCTTTGTTATCCAGCAAAATCTGCAACACTTCCACGTTCCCCAACGCGGCGGAACACATCAGCGCCGTCCGGCTGTACTTTCCAAAGTATTGTAAATTCACGTCCGCTTTTTCCTGCAGCAGCACCTCCACCAGCTGGTAATTCCCATAGTCCGCCGCAAACGCGAGCGCATCGAAACCGACGTCTGTGATCTGCCGGACGTCCGCCTTCGCATTTAGCAACGTGAAAAAACTGTGCGCGGTTTTGCTACTCCGCCGGTTTTTGCAGCAGGCGATCATCAGGGCGGTTAATCCGTAATTCGTCTGCACGTTCACGTCCGCGGCCAGGTCCACCAGCAAATTCAGCAACGCCGGGTCTTTGACCGTGTTGTCCATCCCGGCCGCAAACATGGCAGCGGTGAAGCCCCCGGCATTGACCGCGTTGATGTCTGCGTTCAGGTGCTGCACGAGGAGTGTGCAGGGTAAAAGCATCGTACTCGTACTAGTAGAAAATGCGTCACAGATGATTTTTCCAGCTCCAGGAAGAATAATGCTGATCAAGAAACACCAGCATGCAATTTTGCGACTGCTGGTACGAGATACTTTTGCAGTTGATATGGAGGTAAATAATCTGCCTTCTTTCCTCCGCGTCCTTGTTCCGCATGGCACAGAGCAGGGCCGTGCGGCCCGTGTCGACCGACCGCCGATTCACGTAGTCGAAAAGACGCTTCTGCTCGGCGGGATTCAGCAGCTGCGTGTTACTGTGCGTCAGGGGGTCTTTGCTCTGTGAAGGTAAAAAAGTGGCAGCCCCTACTTTGTCCGGCGGAAGTCCGGCATTTGTCGTGTCGTGGCCACCTAGTACTTCTACGGCATCGCTATGTGCTTTGAAGATCTGCTTGCTCTCGAAATCTGAATCGTCCGGCAACTGAACCACTGTTTTTGTGCTGCTGGCAACAGAACTTGCTTTATTTTTCCTTTCGTTCAACATTTCGGCGCCACTACTAACCGTGTACGCCGAAACCTTACTATTAAACCGCGAACTGCACCGCGACGCGACGTCTTCCGCAAGATAATTAACCGTCAACTTCGTGTCAAATACGCCCGGAAATTCCTCCGTGAGCAGGTCCAACACCGCAGCCAGGTCCTCGGTCTCGCAGACCCGCATCAGCTTCGTCGTGTCGTTCGCCGTGAACTGACTCGTTTGCAAGTATTCGCGGTACAGAGCTGTGATGTCGGACGTGTAGGTCGTCGCAGAACTACTACCTTGCTGCCCGTTTTGTTCAACATCATTATGCTTCCCCGCGTCCACGTTGGCGTAATGCAAAAGCTCGTCGTACAGCCGCCGGGTTTGGGGGTTGATCAGAACCTCGTAGGCCGCGCGCAACTGCTGAAACTCGGCGGTCGCAGCTCGCTCGGAACTCGCTCGGCTCTTGTCTGGGTGACGCTCCCGGGCCAACCGCTTGTACTGCTTCCGCAGGTCCGCTTCGCTGGCGTCGGCGGGGAGGTTGAGGCACGCGTAATACGCCATTTTTTTCTCTGTGGATTTGGCTAGAAGTAGAACATCTTCATCCTGCTCGAGAAAAAAAAACGCTCGTGGTGACTGCAAGTATGACACCAACAGACGCATTTCAGAGGCTAGGCACACGACAAGCAACAAGATTCATTAAAAACACTTTGGAACACTTCTCTGGTCTGCTTAAGAAGGCTCGAAGACTCCTGTGAGAAACAGAAACTGAAACCCCTGTCGTCCTTATTCTCTCCTGTTGCGCCAAAAGGGAAGATGAGGCCCAGCTCTGCTAGTCGTGTCAAATACAACAAAAAGGAGTCCTTGTACTATGTGTCGTGTTTCTATGTCTTCTCATGTTCTTTCAGCGTCCCCGATATCCAATCCGACGTGGTGGTCGGAGCAATAGCAGCCACTCGAACAACAACCCTTAACTAGACTGCTGTTGTATGTTTCCGACGTCGCTGTATTTATTCTTTTCCCATCAAAACCGCATGCTGTGGCTGTTCCTCTGCTACAGCAGGAACATCTCTACACGAGCATGTTGGCAACGCGTTCACTTCACGATCACAATATCGCTAGCTCGTCCACACAAGAAAGGGAGGGGACTGCGAGAACCTGAAATTGTTCCTTTTTCTACTGCAGATTTTTCTTCAGCCGGTCCGCCGCTTCCGCCAGGTCGTCCATTTGGCGGCAGAAGCAAAACCGAATGTACTCGTTTGCCTTCTCCTTGTTACTGTAGAACGTGTCCCCCGCAACAGTTGCCACACCGCAGTTCTTCAGTAAGAACATGCACGCGTCCTGTGCCGTTTCGAAGTGCTTCAGCTTCTCGACTTTCCGGAATTTCGCGAAGATGTAGTACGCTGCAAACGGACCGATGATCTCGAAGTTCAGTTGCTTCAGCGTAGTTACTAAAAAGTCCCGCCGCTCCTCGTATTTGTTCTTCAAATACCGGTAGTACTCTTCGTCCATTTTATCCAGCAAGCTCTCCACCCCCAGCTGCATGGGTGTCGGTGCCTGCAACACGAGCTGGTCGTGCACGGCGCGGACGGTCTTCGCCAAGTGCGGCGGACAGATCAGCCACCCCACCCGCCAGCCCGTGCAGGAGAAGGATTTCGACACCGAGTTCATCAGCAGAGAGAGACTTCCCATCTTCACCACGTCCTCGTCGCTGAACCCGGCTTCCTTCGTCAAGACCTGGGCCGTGTCGAACCCGGGCAGCACGTGCTTGCTCCGCACCGCGCCGTCGTAAATCATGTGTTCGTAGATGTCGTCCGTGATGAGGTACGCGTCGTTGTCCAAGCAGATCCGGCACAGCTGCTGCAGCTCCGGTATGGTAAAAACCTTCCCGGTCGGGTTGTGCGGGTCGCACAACACCAACGCGCGGCACCGTCGCATCTTCTGCCGGATGTCGTCGAAGCTGAGCTGCCTATCCACTCGTAAAAGCATCGTACTATTGTATTCGACGTAACCAAAATGCATGACAAATGTGGTTTTCTTTTCCTACCAGAATCTGCATGACAGTTTATTTCCCTTCGAAAAAATTATACTTTGGCATGCGATTTACGGAAGTACGATGCTTTTGCCTTGCCTACTGCCAGGCGTTGGCCGCTTCGTCCTCGAACAACGTCGTGATTTCGCAATTCAAATGGAAAACCTTCGCCTGCTGCGGATACAGCTCGTGATAGGGCTCCATCACCAGAATGGAGTCCCCCGGCTGGCACACCGACCGCAGGGCCACGGCGAAGGCTTCCGTGGCGCCAAGCGTAACCGTGATGTTCGCCTCGGCGTCGACGTTTTTCTGGTTCGTGACGCCGTTGAGGAAGCCTTTGTTCCCCCCGTACCACCTCGCGTAGTACTCCTCGATGCACTTTCGAATCTGCGGCCGCCCCACCGGCATGGAGTACTGGGAGTGCGCGTCTTTGGCGTTCTTCTCTGTGATGATTTGCCGTATGAAGTCCTCGAAAGAAACACTGCTGGAGCAATTTTTATCAGCTTCACTCCTCCTCTCCACCATCTGCTGTAGCAGATCCTGCGCTGGCATCTTCGCGATTTCCTGTGCCTTGTCCGCGCTGCCGCCCAGCAGCGCGCAGACGATGGAAACCACACCCTCGGGGGGCGGGGCTTCGTTGGGAAAGCCCTGACTCAGGTTCACGGCGTTGTACTCGAGCGCGAGCTATCAAACGCAAACATGTCTGGCTCTGGAAGAGCGTGATGCTGTTTGTGCATGACACGGAAGGTCGCGCATGCAAGTCCTAGCATCACAGGTTTTGAGCAGGTTTCGCAATGCCTGACCTGCATGACAAGTCCCCTCTTTGGGCGACAAGAAAGAAGCAGCTTTTGCGGTCCATGCATGACAGATATTTGTCTGCTTTAAAAATGCGCATCAGAAGTGTACATGTTTCCAGACCCAGACATATTTGCAATGTATACGAGCCGACTCATCAACCGGATCCCGGACTCCTTCACGCCCGACTGCTGCTCCGGCGCCGGGGGCGTCACCATCTTTCTTGTGGAGAATGTTTATTTTCAGCTGTTTGCGAAAACAGTGGCACATTCAAAAAAAAACATACCGCTCGCCCTATCAATGCAGAACCAACTACGAGCAGCGAACCAAAAACCAATTACTGCACGCTGCAAAGACTCTCCACTTTTATTCTGTGCTTCGGTGACTAAAACTAAATGAAAAAAACGAGTCTGTCACGAGAGCAGCGCCACCGGCCCGGATCATCTCTAACATTACTGTCCGAATGATATATACCGTTTCCTGATCGTTCCGCAAGGGAAATTTCGATCAATCGCCATGCCCCTCAAAAAGAAGGAGCCACTGTCGTTGATCTTGTATTAGCCGAGATAAAGCAACTCTTTTAGTATCAGTTTCAAAACCGATTACACGTTCTCCGTACTCTGTCTCGCTTGTTGTGCTTGACCGAATGACACATTCGCATTGCCGCAAGTGATCGGAAAAAAAAACTGAGCGTGGCACAAAACAGGTCGCACACCGTCTGCTCCTTGCGGATTCTGTCACTCAATTTATTTCACGAACTGCAAAAGAAAAAACGAACATTTTCGCCACGTGCAGCTCTGGACCACGAGGGAAGAAACCATCCAACTTGATGCCCAGGAAGTAGCGGAGCAAGCTTTCGTATCACCTTTGCGCAGTTCGCATTGTATCACTACCGCGTCGTCACAAAGACTAGTTCCAACAGCATCGGAGTTCCAACAACATCGGGTCTCCTGAGATGAGTCAAGTTGCTCGCACTAGTCTTTCCGATATAAATGAAAGTCGCTTGTTCCGAGGCAGCGATATGCTGCAACAGAAAATTCTTTGACAGCGTGCTGAAAGTTTCACAGACAGATGTTCAATTTCAGGGTCGCTTGCGCTTCTGTGCTTTGTCGCATTGATATACTACTTCTAGATTGTCGGAATCGCGATGTGGATAATTTGCAAAACATGACAAGAAGGATGTCGTCGTGGCTGATCTTCTTACTGTCGTTTGTGTTTGAGCTTGACTAAGACTACGAGTAAGACTAGCAGCATTACATGAAGAAATAAGAATAAAGGGCAGCTCGCTCTAGGGTGTAATAAAGGCGACAGCAACAGTTGCGCGCTGTTGCTGCCGCTGCTGCTATTTATAGTTGTTACTCTTCTCATGTGGTCGCGGCGGAGCGAGAAAACATGGTCGGAATGGATGTGCTCCTGCTGGTATATACCTGCAGTTGCGGTGGAGGAAAATCGCAGGTGTAGTAGAGTTTCTAGTACAACTGTATGCGCAAAAACCACCGCGCGTATGACAACTCTATTTTTGTACAGTGTGGAAAATTTGTCTTCGACATAGAATGCGAAGAAAGTCAGGCTGTACAACCGTTTGGTGCTGCTAGTCAGTCGTGACGAGGTACTGGTACTATTTCATTTTCCAGCTCCAAACTCGTCGGTCTTTTACAGTGTCGCTATTTGTATTTTTCGGTGCATCGGGTCACATCGTTCTTGCGACAACAGTGTTAGATAGCTAGGAACAAGCGTGGTTCATTTCAAGAAAATATCCCTCACGACTTTAATTCTGTCCATGAGTCAGGCTACTTACTATTGCTTGAGAAATGATCTTCTGCGTACTGTGTGTATGATGATAAAATGTCATTATTTGAAAGGCTACTCACGACCTACAGGCCGCAACATTAAATGTTCCTCGTCATTGCTGTGCGCAGCCAGGGTCGTCCGACGTCCCATTGCGCGAGGAGTTGTTATTGCTGTTATTTCGCGTACCGTAGTTGTTCGGTTGGTTCACTGTGGGCTGGTGATTCGACCTTCCCAACCGGGAAAACAGGCTCGAAGTAGTATAGTTTGTATTTCCACCGGTCGTCGACGTCGTATTTGGAATGATAGGAATAGGGGGATTGACATTGAGACTATTCGCAAGTAGACCCGGCAGCGCTGCCGGTCGCTTGTTGCTTGCAATAGTACCTCCTGATGATGTGAAGGGGTCGCCACTGTCGGCGCGAAGATCATTTGTTCCACCTCCACCGAGATTTCTACTTCTGAAGGGATCCAACTCGACGCCGGAACTGCGGTTTAAATCGTAGTTGCCCAGCAGGCTGCTGCTGCTGGTGGTGTCCTGCCTGTTGACACTGCTGTCCACGTTGTTGCTAGAAGTACTCATACCAAATGATCCCGCACCTGCAGCGTTCTTGTTCGAAAACAGGTAGCTGCTGCTGCTACTGCTACCGTAATCTCTTCCAAAGACCGCGCTGCTACTGCCCGAAGATGTCGCACCTCCTCCGCCTAGGAGGAGGTTATCATTGTTCTTGTTACCTGCTCCGAAGGAGAGATTAAGCAGCGCCCTACTGGTTGTGCCGTTGTGATAGCTGCTGCTAGAAGAGGAACTGCCCGCGGACGACGACGAGCCAGCGGGTGCTGGATTGTTGTTCACTCGCGAAACTACCATGCTGTTCCAGGACGAGTGGTCCGCCGCTTTGCCGCTTGAGAAGACGTCGCTGCTTTTGGGGTGCGACGTGACCACGTCCTCGCTGCTGCTGGAGGCACTCAGCACGCCCGCGCGCTCGCCCACTTTGCGCTTCTCCTGTTCGCGTTTCGCAAGCGCTAGTTTGTGTTGCACCACGACTTCCGCCTCCACGGTGTCCCTTGTCACAAACCGCCACACGTGCACTTTCTTCTTCTGGCCGTACCGCCGCGCACGCCCGATGGCCTGGGTCTCGTACACCAACGCTTTGGAGAACGTGTTGGCTACCTGTAGAGCAACAGCGAGATGACAGTGAGAAAACTTTCAACTACTTTTATGCAGTAAGTTCGCAGATTTCTCCAGCTTTTTACGAAGCTGCAAGTAAGAACAATCAAGCACACAGATGCACAACACTACCCCGGAAAGCCAACATGAAGACAATGAATCGAAAGAAACACAGCAGTCATCTGTCAAATACGTACCATGGGGTGCACGAACAGGATGTGATTCGCCGACGTGAGGTTCGCGCCGCTCGCGTTGCTCTCGAAGCTCATCAAGAGAATCCTGGGCGTGCCGTGTGGGATCCGCGTCCCCTCCGCGTAGACCTGGTTGAATTCCTTCAGAATTCGGCTTTTTTTGTGCCCCGAGCCTGAGAGCGAGGTGTAGGGGAACCCGGAGCTCTCGAACGCGTCCGCCAGTTTGTCCTGGATCAGCTTCCACTGCGCGAACACGATCACCTTGGCGCTGGGGTCGTCTTCCAGGATTTTCAACAGTACCAGCATGACGGACTCCAGCTTGCTGCCGAACTTCCGGTACCTCCGCCGGTCGGTGTCTTTTTTGCACTTCTGCTCCCACCTTTCCACGTGCCCAAACTCCTTGTTGTAGAGCTCTAACTTTCCCCAGCTCGTCGTTAGGTGCTCCTTTCGGACGACGCCCGCGGGTAACGACCTATAACGGGGGTAGAATGAAAGGGTAAAAAAGGTGTACGTGTAGAAAGTACTTTTACAAACTTCTGTGTGAAGCCCGGGACGTGGCAAAGAACCAAATGGGTCTCATACGGTCTGAAGCACATGCTGCACAGTTCGGATGAATCGAAGTTCATGATCAACACCTTGTGCTGCGCCAGTGCCAGACATCAATACAAACATACGGTTTATTTGTGGCCTTGGTGGAAGTTGATGAAACGTCCATGATCATCAAAGTAAAACGAGTAAAGAAGAAGTACACTGGTTTCTTGGAAGCAGCAGCAGGCTTCACATCCTTCTTCGCACCGCTGCCAGTCGCGCCATTTTTGTGCTCGCCCTCCAGTTTCTCTATGTCCTCCTCCATTTTCCGGATCCCCTCCGCCTCATCAGCAATGTCGCAAATGTCCGTGGCTTTCAAACCTGGGTGGTTGCACGTGGGGCACTTGCCAGTGCCGCTGATGGAGCTCGCCAGGCAGGACTTACAGAACGCGTGGCCGCAGGGGGTCAGGCGAATGTCCCCGACCGTAAATTCGCCCTTCGCGTAGTCGCACGGGGCGTTCAGCGGTAGGGCGTCGTTGTAGCAGATCGGACACTCAAATTCCAGTTGCTCCTCTTCTTCCTGATTGTTCTCGCTCTTGTTCTGGTGCCCGCGACAGAAGGTCTGCAAGCTGCGGCAGAAGAAGCTGAAGGGCTGGAACGCGGGCTTCAGCGCGTCCAGCTTGGTCTGGAAGTTTTTCATGCCGTAGTCGTAGACGCGCCGCACCAGCTGGGCCAGGTGGTCGGTACCCTCGCCGACGTTTGGCCGTCCGGGCGTGGTCTTGTTCGGGGTCATCTCTTTCGGACCGAAGGCGGCTTGCTCGGGGAAGAAGGGGTCCAGCTGCAACCGGAACTGCTGCTCGTCGGGTGGGTGCGTGTTCTGCTCCAGGTTCTTCGACCCGAACGCCGCGCCCAGCAAGCCCGGCAGGCCCTGGTCCCAGATCGGGTCCAGCTCCCGCTCGGGATCCTCTCCGAGAAGGTCGCGGAACTTCCCATTGGACGTCAGCAGCCGCTCGAGGTGTTGCAGCCGCCAAAGGAAGTACTGGTCCGCGTTCAGCATGTCCCGCTTCTTGTTCGGCTGCGGTCTTCCGTCGCTGTCTTTCGGCAGCCGGGCGGTAACCAAGTCGTCGTACTCTTTCACATACGCCCGCAGCTTGGGCAGAATCCCGTTCGTGTCGTAGTCGCGACGCGGGTAGGCCCGGTACAGTCGCTTCGCGCATTCCACCTGCCGCACAGCGAGGGCGACCTGAGGGATGTAGAACAGAAGTAGCTTATCGCAATTTCATAAACGTGGTCCAACTAAGAAGTAAGTAGTGCCGTTTCATTGGAAGTAAGTAGTGCCGTTTCATTGCATCTATCAGCACAATAGCGGGTTCATTTCATTCCCATACACGAACCAGCGAAACAGAAAAATCTCGGCGAGCAGCAGGATCAATGATTTTCGGTTCTACAAATAAAATTTACGCATACCTTTCGGACCGCGGCATCCAGCCGGCGCTTGTGCACCTCGTATACGCGGTTGATTTCCTGCGTTGCGTTGTTGACGTCCCGCCGCGCCACGGTGGAGTAGGTGCAGCACAGCTTGATGAGCGCCTCCCGACTGCGCGTGTCCGTTTTCGCGACCACGAGACTGGCAAAGTCCAGGTTTTTGTCCAGCTTTCGCTTCTTGCTGGCCGGCCCAACAGCTCCCGCGTCATCCTGGTGTAGTTCCTCCCCCTGCTCTGCCTTGTCGCGATCCCCCTCCTCCTCTACGTCGGGATTCTCTTGATTTTCCTCCTCGTCTTCGCCGTCCACTAGTCCTATCTGTAGGTAGTTCACGTTGTTGACTTCGTTCAAGTACAGTGCCTTCTCCTCGGGGTACTGCCGGACCGCAATCACGTGTTCCACCGTTTCAATCCCCTCCAGCAGCGACTCCGCACTGTTCTGCCGGATAAAGGCCTCGACAAACTTCCTCGCCTGCTCCCAGTGCACGGTGCTGAAGTCCCAGCCGTGCGACTCGGTCAACAGCTCGTGTCGGCGGTTCAAGATGTAGCTCGCGTCCCGGAACACAAAGGAGTGTACCGGCTGATTCGGGTCGTGGCCGATCCGGCCCTCGCTGTGGCAGAACCGACAGGCAAACTCCTTCCCCGCGGCCGTCTCCTTCACGGACGCGCACCCCATCGTGTAGCACACCGGGCAGACCAAACGGCTCCACTGTGCTTCGTCCACCAGCCGACTCATGTCGCGGCTCACGCACTCCTTTGGAAACCGGGCCTTCGCGAGCTGAGAGTCCTCCTCCCGGTTGGCCAGGTCCTTCTTCGCCCAGGTGCCGTCCGTCAACACCCCCTGCACGCGGTCGGCCAGGTCCTGCGACTCCTCCTGTAGCCCCACCAGGTCGATGCGGAACAGCGAGGCCATGCCCACGACACTCCGCACGGATTCGATCCGCGGGGTTCCGGTTAGACCCCAGATGTACCGCGCGTTGAACTGCACCAAAAGGTCGATCTTGTCCATGTCCATGCTTTCCACCTCGTGAAATTCGTCGTACACCACGCGCTTCCAGAAGAAGTCCTCGAGCAGACGGCACTGCTGGTTGTCCAAGATCTCCACGTCGTCCCCGTTGCGCTTGCGCTGGTTCTTCACGTAGGTTTCGGAATACAGCAGCCGGTAGGTGACGATCACAATGTCGTAGTCGTACACGTACTGGTCCAGTTCCTTCTTCATGCCCCGCACGTCCCGCACTACTAAAACCCGTCTGAGGAGATCCCGACCCACGAACTTCTCGATCTCGTCCTTCCACTGCCCCAGCAGCTGCACCGGTACCAGAATCACGGTGGCTTCGGTTTTCACCAACTTCCGGCCGTCCTCGGAGATCACGTACTCGATCTTGCGCTTCCGCGCATTCTTTCGGCTGTTCCGGTTCCGGGCCTTTTCCCCAACGCTGGAGTTCTCGTTGGCGTTCGACGACTGCGAGGCGGCGTTATTTGTTCCTTTATTTGAATTTGCTTTTGCAGCCTTGTTGTTCAACATAGCGGTTTTCTTCTTGTTCTTCGCGTTGATATTATCACCCCCTGCAGCGGCGTTCATTTTCACTTCCTGCATGTCTTTGTCGTCCACCTCGAGATTGCGTCGCGCGTCGTCCCCGAGCGTGCTGACGATCAGGCCGATGCAGGTGGCGGTCTTTCCGTAGCCGACCTTGTCGGCCAAAATGCCGCCCCGCACGGGGGTGGTCACCTTCATGGTAACCTTCAGGCACCAGTCCACCACGTCGGTGAACCGGAAGACCCGCACCAGGTCCACGGTGTGCTTGCCGTTGGCGCGCTCCCGGTCCTGCATCCACCGAAGGCTGCGCCGCTGCTCCGGCCGCAGCTGAAACGCCTTGCTCCACCCCTGCGGATTCTCCGCCGCCCGGTCGTGGTCGTTGTTGGGAATCTCGAACTCCGCGCCGAGGCCCTGCGTGCCCAACCGCGTGAGGCCGTCCAGCTCCTCCGCCTTCATCACGGCCACGTCGTACGCGACCGACCGGTTCGGGTACAGAAACCGCACCTCCTTCGTGCACTCCTCGAAGACCCGTGCCAGGTGCAGCTTCATCACGTCCCCGGTGGGGGCCCCGATCTTCGGGTGGTGGAAGAAGTCGTAGAAGTAGTTGTGGCGCGGGATGGTGGTGCTCTTCGGCAGCTGGAGCCGGTTCAAGTGCTGGTGCGCCCAGTCCTGGTCCGAGTGCGTCTCGAAGCAGAGAAAGCTTTTGTACTCCCTCTCCCTTGTCGGGTCGGCGCCATAGTACCGCATGCGCGTCCCCTGGTAGGTCTTGTACGTGATGCGCAGCCCCGCTAAATGCGGGCAAAACAGGTGCTGGAGCGTGTTGGCATCGCACGCGAAGTGTCGCCCTTCGAACGCCGACAGCCGCAACCCCGGGTTGTACGGGTTCCACTGAAAGCCAGAGGCCTTGATCCCGAACTCCTCCGGCTTCGGCGGCCCGCCGACGAACTTGGTGACAATGCTGTTGTCCGAGAAGCCGCGGGAGATGTCTTTGCCCTCGAACGGCCCCCCAATGCGCTCCCACTGGAACGTCAGCCCGCCGCCGCCGCGCGCGAACAGACACACATCCGGGTTCGAAACTTGCAGCAGCAGCTCGCCCGCCGCGACCTTGTCGCTTTCCTTGGTCCCGCCGAAGCTGCCGCCGGCCTTCAGCAGCACGGGGCACGATGACAGGTCCATCGTGGACAAATCAAATGGCGCGGTCTTCGTGGTCGACAAACTGCGCACGGAGAGCGCCTTCTGCAGCAGGGGCGGCGAGGAAGAGCTGGACGCGCCGGCAAACGACTTAACCACGCACGCTCCCTCCGTCACGAAGCGTTTTTGCTCCGGCGTGAGGTTGACGGCCCGCACGGGCCCCTTTGTGTTTTGCAGCGAGGCCGCCTGCTCCTGCGCTGGAATTTTGTTCTGCGGCTCTCGGGTGTACTTTTTCACGTAGTCCTCCACATACCTCCACGGTTCCCCTGGGCGCAAGTCCCCGCACCACCTGCGCATCTCCGTGGGAACTGCGAGCCCCAGCCACGACTGCTGCGGCTTCCACTTCCGCAAATCCGCCCACTTGAAACCATCTTCGCTGTCGCTCACAACGTCAATCGTGGCGACAACCTCGTCGTCGTTTTCCTTACTGTTTTTCTTCTTTCCCTTCGCCTTCGCTTTCGGTTCCGGTGCGGCCGGCTTTTGCAGCGCGGCCCTCAGCGTGTCGACGAAAGCTTGTAAGCAGAACCGGCACGGACACGTGGACAACCGCTTGCCTCGCTCGGTGAAAAACTGCCCCGGGTCCGGAAACTTGGGTTGCCGTTTCGCCGGCAGCGCGGCGTCGAGCTCCGCAGCCACTTGGGCCGCGTCCTGTTTGTCCGTAAAGGACAACTTCAAACCGGCCCTGGGGTCGTTCCGAATGCGTCTGAGCTCGATCCGCAATTGCTCATACTCGAAGATTCGTGCTGCTGAAAGACCTTGTGCAGCTGCTGCGTCAAGAACTTGTGCCGCGGCCGGCGGGCGGGGTGCCGGAGCTGCTGGTGGCGGTATGTAGAGATTGGGACCTACCGCAGGTCGTGCCGGAGCTGCTGGACCATCTTCTTCATCCTGGAGCCCTGGCACTATCGCCTGTAGGCCTTGCGGTGGCGCTGGCGGCGCGACCGCTGGGAGCGGCAATGCGGGTGGCTGCTGATAAGTATCCTCCTCTTCGTCTTCGCTGTCGTACACCGGCTGGAGATTGCCCACCGGCACACGACGTCGAGGTGAAGCAGGCCGGGCTTGCACCTTTGGCCGTTGTACCGGCTGATTTGCCTGTATTCCTTGCCCGCCGCCCCGGGCCTGACGCAGCGCGACTACCAGCTCATTGTCCGTCCGCGTCAGGCTTGGATCATCCATCCACGCGTTCACCACGGCCTCGGCGTTCCGCCCATAGTACTCGAAAAGCAGGTCCGCCACCTCGCGGCTGCAGTTCGTCAGCATCTGCACCATATCAGCCATTTTCGCTTGGAGGTCTCGCGTGTGTAAGTAGTATCGATGAAGAAAAGTACTACTTAGTACTCAGCGGGTGATGTTGAACCTGCTCTGCCCAAATCGACCGCCTCCAGAGTGAGTGGCTTACTGCGCAAAAATTCTGCACATTTTGTTCCTTCTACCGATCTTCCTTCTAAGGCATAAGTACCGGGATGGATACTGTGCTCCGCTTTTAGAAAAAAGAAACTTACAGCTGCTCTAGTTGTGGCTTTTTTTCTGTTGAAGATTTTGAATCACGCGATAACAAATCGAAATACGAAATCGAAGTCGAGGCGATAAAAATGTTTTTCCTTTTCCGATTCCCTCCGATCTTTATCTGCTTCTTGGCGCTTCTATGCAGAAAACATGCTTAGATTGAACTCATCCGGGATCTGTGCCGCTTTGCCTGCTATCCAAGAATCACTGGAAGTACTAAAGCCGCGAAAAACTACACAAACGCCACAGAGAGTTCGAAATCATGAAACCTGATCTTCTAAATCTAGTATAGACCAACAGAAAATGATGTTCTCTTCACGCTAGACCCACATAAGTAACCCGACCTGAAGATGCAGAAGATAGAAGATGTGCTGTCATCAAACGAGATAGTCAACAAGGATCAGCAACCACGGTTCTACTCACAATTGATTCTTCGACTTTTCAATTTGAATCTTCATCACGCTTTGCAACTTCAATCAACAACGAAATGCGTTTCTTTGTTTTGGGCCAAAAGGATCTGCAGACATTTACTTAAAGGTTTCCATCAGACACAGAACATCACTTTTGAGGATTTCGCTCCATCCAGCATCGGTTGGTACAAGGAATTTCAGTTCTTCACGGAGAAGAGAGCGCCGAGACCACGAAAGCAATTTGAATTTAGGTTCGACGTTCCACAGATCCACGCGATTATTTCTCTCATTTGCCCTAGCAGGACTTCGACTTTGCGGGAGGTTCTTTGTTCTTGTTCATTATCATGATCATGCTCATCGCCATGCGCAGAGAAACTACTACTAGGAGACTACCATCATGTTCTTTTTCTTGTTGAAGATAAAATCTTCGCACAAAAACAGCCCGTCGTGCTAGTTCTTGTACGCTCTTGTTCCAACTGCAGCTCTAAAAGTAGATTCATCCGCACCACGAGGTTTAGTAAAGTAATTGCCACGACTCCAGCGCACGACCAGAACGCTTCTTTCTATGTATCACAAAGCCAGGAGTTTTTCCACCAAATGCGACTCGAACCTGAGATCACGCTCGCGCCAGTCGGTTTTCTCCCTCACCCGCCAGTCCCGGATTGCCGCGCGGTTGTCTTTCGGAAAAAGATCCCGATAGTCCACGCCTGGGAGCTTCCTTGCCAAGTACTGGGCGTAGTGCACATCACACACACTGCGGTACTTCTCCGCGCCGCCCACCCGGTCTTCGAAGGAAAATTTCCGGGTCGGAATGGCGATCGTGGTTGGCAGGGCGGGGGGTGAAGATGTTGTTGATCGTCTAGAACAAGGGGTGCTTTGATGCTCGTGGTGTCTTCCTCCACCATCCATAGTATGGCTCTGGTCCTTGTCCTCTCTCTGCTCAGTGTAGCAGTTCGTGCTTCTATTTGTCGTTCCTGAAGATACTCCTCCTCCTGCTTGAGGAAATGAACCATCTGACGCCGGTAGTAAACCCGAACTCCCACTGTTTGAAGACCTCGCTGGTACTACAACTTCTGCTCTTTCGAAGGCGATGCAGTGCGGGCAGACGCCCTGCAGATGGAGAAACTGCACGTCCTGATGCTCCGCCTCCATGAGCAGTTTTGCGCACGGCATGGCGCCCGTGAACCCGATCTCCAAACCAAACACCACGATCGCAAGGGCGTGCTGTTCGGCGGCGCGTAGCAGGTGCGCAATACCGGCTTCGCTGTGGCTATCCTCAAAAAGATGCAGCTCGTCGATCAAGAGGACAGGCTTTGATGTTCTGATGTCCGTAGACATTTCGTGGTCGGGCTCGGGCCCATGCCCATCGATAAAAGTAGAACTGACGCCATTTGGTAATATTCCAGAAACGTTAATAAAGCCGCTTGCCAAATCCTCTCGTGAACATCCACCTGAGAGGACAACAGGTGTCGCGGTTCGGTTCACCACAGGTGCTGGTGACAGTTGTTGACTTTCCGCTCGACCGTCGCGATAAAAATCTTCGCCGGCGCCAAGGTCTGTCTCATCTACTTTCCGCCTCTTCGATGCAGGAGGAAACAAAACTTTCGGCCCTGACCTTGTCGGCCTTGTACGAATATTAGAACCGCCGTTTTTACTTGCTTTCTGAATCAGCTGCGCCAAGCCTTCCAGCTTGGACAGCCGCAAACAGGGCAGCGACTGCCGGTGCTGGTCCGCCAACCGAAGCGCTTCTTCCCCCAGACTGGGTAGTCCCGTCAAATCTGCTCTCGTGGTTCCTGTCCGCCTGGGCGGAGGTGTTGTTATGTTCTGCAATGCCTTGGCAAGAAAATCGGGCTCACTACCTTCACTGACACGACCTTTATCGACCACGAGCTTCCCGTTCACAAACCGTCTGTCGTTGTATGCCTTTTCTCGGTAGATCTGCGCCTGGGCCTTCAAAAAGGACGGGTCTTTAATTTTCGGGTGTGCGCGCAACCGGTCGTCCCCGTACCGGGTGTCTTCGCTGGGGCGGATAACCAACACCGGCCGCTGCTGCTCCTCCAGCGCCAGCGCGCACTGTATCAAGAGCGACGACTTCCCTGCGAACATGGGGCCGTACACGAAAAACACGTTATTTTTTCGCTCGGGTTCTTCGCCGGGTCGGCGCGTAGGAACAAAGTTCTTGTCCCCCGGCGTTAAGATCGGTTCTTCATCTTCCCGCGGACTACTGGTCCCGCAGGGGCTCGGGGGTGTCGCAGTTTCGCTTGTCATCGTGTTTTTTTCTCAGCGGGTTCCGTAAACCCGCTCTGGTCGGTTACGGCTTCGTTCGGTCATTAGAGGGGGCTCGTCGGGACTGCAGTCGCTTCCCCGTTGAGATTCCGAGGGCTTCTACCTTCAGATTCAGTCACTGTAGCTGTTGCTGTAAACGGAAAAAAATATAAATGGATCGTGTTCATCGCTCGTATCAAGCGAGGTTGCGAAGAAATCACAATAGTAACGAATTTCGATTTGAATTTTCTGTAGTGAATGTAGTGCACGTTCTTTTTAAAAGAAGGATGTAATATACGCCATGCAGAGCGGCTTGTTTTCAATCGTTGAAATGCGCATCCTTATCCAAGTACAATCTAACTGCGCGAAAAGGGGATACTTAACACGGCCGATGGTCCTGAAAGAAGAGTGCGGCATGGAAAATATCACTTTAGCATGGAGAAAATCAAAATGCTACGAAATTAATATTGCCTTTTTCATGCACGACCGCGCCCGACTTGTGCTGTTAACAGCTAGCTAGCACAGCAGAATGCGTTCGCGAATTTTTTTCGAACAGAGACAAAGGATCCACTATGCAAAACTACAACCGACGTCTTTCTCTTCACCCTGCTATGCGACAAGGGGAGGGGAAAAGCATAGTTTTTGTTCCACCCTACCTCCTGGGTAGTACCTGTCGTGCTCGTGATAGTGCGTATTACATTAGAACAAGCTCTCGCAGGAAGGTCATAGAACAAGCTCTCGACGCAGATACATAGTTTTCCTTCCGTAGTACCTCCGAATAAACTACAGAGCGACAGAAGAACAAACCAGGATGAGAACACGTTGTTGATCTTCGGTCTTCTTGACCAGCAATCTTGACGCCTACTCGGCGAATCGAGTCTGTTCTGACCCATGATCATGGTCAGAAGCTTTATGACTCTATCGAGCAAGGTGGATTTTGACAACTACAAGGGGAAAAATCAGTGCGGTTTTTCACGAATCGCTAGCAGTGTCGTATTATCTTCGTGCCGTAGCCAAGCTTAGTTTCTTAGAGCAGCTACGGGCTTATTTTTTCAGTAGTGCGTAGTTGTAGTAGTTTAGTTGCGCCAAGCAGAAAACTCATCAGAAGTGCTACACATCTTATAAACAGTGCTACACATTATCTGCGCGTGGTGTAACTTCGAGAAAATTTTTCTTTATCAAAATGCAAACTATCTTCACTCGTGCTAGTAGCGCTACCACCACCACCACACACGGTACTTAGTTTGTATATGTTGTTGTAGCTGATGCTGAAAGAGTTGTCTATGACATCTAATATGCAAGACAAAAACACACTGTAGTAGAGCTGTACCTGTTGTAGCTGTTCTCAAAAAACGCGAACTTGTTATCCTTCGGTCCGATTAAGTTCACATTGGTATGCATTGCAAATATCGATCTGGGTCAGGAAAAATGCGAGATTTGTCATGATAGTCTGGCATGACGCTGAGCTCTGTACTATTGCGTGACCAGCAATAGCTCTATTTGTCTGTCATGCAGCAACGCTGTTTCTCATGCGAAAAACGCAACTGCACAAGGCCACGGAAAAATCTGTCATGCTTGGTGGTGCAAAACAACCGACGTCTTTCTCTTCACCCTGCTGCTGTTCCTCGGAACCCGAGTCGAAGAAGAGCGATTTGGATTTTCTCATGCTACTTTAGCAGCTCGACCTGTAACCCCAAACAGGCTCACAATCGGCCTCACTTGCCTGCTCTGCAACACACGTGCCTCGGGTCATGCATTTTATGCATTACAAATTATTTCAACTTTGACGATTTCAAACCTGATCCTTCCATGACAGGCCCCCCTTAGTGGAAGACTTCGAACCGAACGATCGCGAGACGGTGCGGAAGGCGTACCAAGAAGCCGTCCTGCCTGCGACGTTCATCCGGGAGGAATGTTCGAAGGGGTACTACTACGGCGTGTACAAGATCATCGTTTTGCGTGCATGACAAAAAACCACGAAGGAATGCTTCAATTTGCTCCTCACAGTCCGAGTCCGGTCCAGGTCCACCCGGGAAAAAGTACTTCCTCTACTACCCGCGGCCCACCAAAACTTGCCGAGGAAGCGGGGTCCGGGTCCAGGGGGTCCTGGGAGGAAAAGGTAAGGGTGGTAAATTCGAACAAGGAAAAAAAGGTGGTGAAGATAATGAAGAAAACCACCGAGGAAGCGACGGGGAGATGAACAAGTCGTACAAGGGAAAAAAAGCGATGTTCTCCGGCGCCGGCGGGGGCAAAAAAGGCGACGGCGACTCCGACGATGAAAAAGGCCGGTACTACGGGAAGCAGGGAAAAGTAGTAGATGAAGCTGATGAAGAAAAAATGCAGAACAACCGACGTCTTTCTCTTCACCCTGCTGCTGTTCCTTTTCGACACAAAACTAAAACAAAAAAAAATAACGCCGCGATATTATGCCGATCTGCGTTACCGGCGCCGCTTATGCAGAAAGGATCTTATGCAGCTCGAACTGCTGCTTTTCCACTACTCGCGAAAATATCTCAGTCTCACACGTGAGTGCTTGCTTTTCTCCGCATAAGCTGCTGATATTGTACAGAATGTAGTTAGTCGGCAAGACACATCTAATTTGATGCAAGTGAATTCTTCAAGGAAATTTCCACTTCCGGAAAGAGTTTTTTTCCTTCGTTGCTTTGGAAAGTAGTAGACCGACAGAAAGCTTTTGTACAGAAATTTTGGCAAAGGTAAGAAAATGTGAAGTTGTACAGGGCTAGTAATTCTCAATATTTGGTGACAACTGGGTCGGTGTTTATTCAAGTTGTGAAAATATTTATTGCAATGTAGATACAGTGATGGTGACTTCAAAGCAGGACGCTCCGTGCAACCACAATCGATTGAGTACAGTACTTTTTTATTTTCAATACAAGTGCGGAGTCGCATAATCAATTTTCACTTTCTTTCGGTTTCTGCAAATCAATGCTTGGTACACGAACGATAGACGTCAACCTAGAAGAAGTGCAAATTTCTACAAAATGGAGAGTTAAACACGATAAGAGCCAATGGTGGGCAGACTCCATGTATACAGTCTCATAGCGGCGGCGAAAGAGCGCAAACCGCACGGAAAATTTGTGTACAGAAAGGTCATTGAAATCAGTGTAAGGAAAGAACAAAACACGAGGTTACAGGTCGTGGAATCAATTTTATCAAATCAGCTACATTTTTTGGCTGCATAGCAATTTCAAACAAAAAAGACAAAGATTGGAAAATCTTCCTTTTCAAACAACCAACAAGCGCTGCTGTATGTAGTTTGTAAGTAACCGACACGTTTGATCTATCACGCGTCTCTGCGCGCCGTGGTGCTTAAGCCAATATCGAAGGCACGCCGCAGCGGTGCCAGTGTTAGCCGAGTAATGGACGACGAGATATCCAACAAAAAAACTGTGCTAGTGTAATTCTCTTTGGCCGACAGCATCACAGATTTGCTCTACATGACAGAGAAAACCTGTGATGCGTGGCTTGTAAGGGAAAACACACATGAAGAGAGGACTTCATGTTTGTCTGGCATGACAGGTGTAACAAAACACTGTTGCATGTTTATTTGCATGACAGATTTACACTTACACAGTTTTTTTCTTGCATACGGGAAGTCCGGAGTGTACTCCACTTCGTCATTGGGACGCCAGGCTGTGTACTCCGCGTCATCCTGGAAAGATTCGGGCAACACGCCGCTCATAATATTTCGGATCAGCGGCAATCGCAGCTCTTTCAGCTGGTGGTGTTGGATTCGCAATTTCTGGTTTATTTCTTTCAATATCAAATGCAGACATGTCTCGGTCCTCTGGAAGGGTGCGCGACTTGTCACGGAGTTTTTCCATGACCCATGAGGTCTGGAATGCAGGACCTATCATGATAGACTCTGTGCGATCTCTATCATGCCTATCCTGCATGAGAAACTCCCTCCCAACTTGGTGAAGAAAAGTGGACGCCTTTAGGTTTAGGTAATCACGCAACACAGAGTTTTGCATGATTCAGATTTAGCATGACAAGTTGCATCCGTTCAGACCCAGACATACTTGCAAAGCATATTCAGCGTCAGCTCGTCTGCGGTTTTCCGCTCCAGCACGTCGTCGGGCATCATAGCCGACATTAGGTTATCCCGCCACCTCTCCCCGAAGATGTTCGTCCCCGCGTCCACACCCGGGAAGTGCGTCTTCGCCCCCGGGTACCCCGGCGGCGTCCGGCGCGGCCCCGACTCGTCCTGCAGAAAAGGCACGTGGTGGGTCTCGCAGGTGATCTGCAGCTCTTGCATTCGCATCATCAGCAGCATCTCGTGCTCCTTGTCCCGCTTCCGCTCCTCGGCGGTACGCTTGTCCGCCATCTGGTCTTGAATAATCATGCCCGCCGCCCGCATGCTCAGTTTCGGCTTGTGCTTCTTCCCGCCCTCCGGCTGCGGGCCGCCGGACAGGGCCTCTTTCGCGCGGGACAGGATCAAATTGCTGAATTCCGTGTTGTCCTGCGGTTTTTCCTTTTTCTTCGCGAACACCACGTTCCGCGCCTTGTCGATGAAGTACTGCCTCAGGTTCTTTCGCATTCGGTCGAACACCTTGGGGTATTTCTGCCGGTATTCGAACGCCTTTTGCCAGTACTGCACGTTCCGCTTCAGAATCTCCCGTTCGTACTCTGCGATGTCTGCGATCGGGTTCACCACCTCGTCCCGCTTGTCAGCGTGCTTCTTCTCCTCCATGTACGCCTTGTGCGCGGACCGCTGCGCCTTCTTCTCCGACAATAGCGCTCGGTTTTTGGCCTCCTGCCGCGCCGCCCGCTGTTTCTCCTCCTTCTTGGCCTGTCGCCGGTCGCTCGCGCGCTGCTGCGTCAGGGCTGCGTCGTTCGTCACAATGTGTACGTTCGCCCGATGGTGTGCTGCGGGGGCTCCGTCCTCGCGGTTGGCGGCGGAGGTCTGATTCTCTCCGCCCTGATCGTTGGCGACCGCGTTCAAACCTTCCTTGATGTGCTGGTCATGGCCTGGTTTTGCGGATGTTGCTGTATCCGGCCCGGTCACGGCGTCGTCCCCGGACGGAACAACTCCACGGAGCTTGTTCCCACGACCGTCGCTTGCCTTCATTCCGTACCACACCTTGTCGTGCATCAGTGCGTTTAAATCCTTTGCGTCCTTCTTCAACAACTTTGCGATGTTCATTTTCTCCAGGTGTCGCTTCCAGGCCTGTTCCACAAAGTCGATCCGCACGCCCCGTCGCTTTTCGTCGGCGATCTGCTCCTGTTCGATCGCGCGGTCCGCCCGCCGGCCCTTTTCCGACCCAGTGGTCCGCTCGGACCCGGTGGTGCTACCCATATCCGTATCAAATGTAAAAATGTCTGGGTCTGGAAGAATCCAACTTGTCATGCTGATTTTGGATTCTAAAGAAATCTGTATTGCATGAGCAGCAAAGAGAGCCCAAGCTTTGCTACACGGAAAGAGCATTTGCCATGCGGTATAGGCATCAGGAAGCCCTCGCAAAATCTGTGATGCTAGGGCATGCATCACAGACATCAGGAGTCATGCAAAATATGCATGACAAACGTGGCAATCTTCCAGACCCAGACATTTTTGCAATCCATAATCCGACCGTCCGTCGGTCGTAATCGACCGGCGCAGCCACTCGTCCAGGCTGGCGTCCAGGGTGCGCTGGAACGCGTAAGTTTCCTGTTCCGAAATCATGCGCGGTTGCGGCATCTGGTTCTCGAGCAATTTCGACAAAGCCCCGTGGTAGGCCAGCCGCTCGGCGCCGTCCGAGAACATCCGACCGGGGCCCCACCGACTGTCATCGTCGGACACGAAGGCGACCCATTGCCCGTCCCAGTTGCTGAACATCTTCAGAATTCTTGCAGGAGCTCCTGTGCAGGTCGTCGTGGATATTCTTGGCGGAGGAATTTAGTGCCTGATGTCACGCAACGGTCACAACAATTCGCGAAATGCTGTTTTCAGCGACGATCTTTAGCAGAGTATGGAGCACGTGACGTGGGAGCGCGTGAACTTTCATTTTCGTCGTTCTCCAAAAGAGGAGTGGGCTTTGCAGAGTCAGCAGATAGATCTGGTGTTCACAAGAAAAAAACGTGTGGTCACAACAGCAGCTAATAGAACAAAGGCAGGACATCAGAATAGGGACGAGCAAAAGATGCGAGAATCTTTTTCTTTATTCAGTTCACAACGACAGAGCAAGTATTCACTATTGTCCCGATCGCCACGACATTGCCCGGAGTCAGCGAAGGCTTACAAGAACGACCAGTGGCGAAATAACCACTTCCTGCAGCATGAAAGTCGAAAAATGATTTTCAGCCCGATTTCGAAAAGACACGTTAAAACTTGAATTACGATTAGGCATTCTCCAATTCCACAGGTTGATTTACCGACGACCTTCGAGTTAGACTGAGTGTCAACAATTGCTGCACCTGCACAGCTACAGTAGATCGGCGGCAAAAGATGAAAATTGTAAAGCCATCTTTCGAAGGCATCCACCTGACAAGTTCCGAACCGGGTCGATGCAGTGGAAGCGTTTTATACCATTGCCTCAGATTAAAGAAACGACCATTACAAGAACTCGAATCATGTTTACTTCTCCGACCTCGAACACTCCAGCATCTCAGTTTTGCTCTTATCAGAACGACCGCCGTTCCAAGCCCTAACGGAGGCAGTTTCTTTTTTTAGTTCGAGATCATCAGACTTGCCCAATTCACCTCAAAGTTCCAGAAGGTCGTCGGTAAAGTGCAGCGCGCTTGCAACTGAAGAAGCTACTAAACTCACTCACACGATACGCCCTTGTTCTAAAAGTGCAACGGTGAATGTACAACACTCGTCCTTGTTCGCAGATTATAGATTTACATCACACACAGATCGTCCAATTGAGGAATAGTTCCTCCTCCTTTGTTTCGCAATATCCACGAAGATCAAACCCGCTTACTTGGCACCAGCGCGGTTCTTGGTGCGGTCCTTGGGGGTCGTGCCCTCACGGAACTGGTTCTTCGCCTTACGCGGGATGGTCTTCAAATAGCGGCAGCGGCCCGTTCCGGTGGTCTTACGACGGATAGCCTTCTTAGACCAGTTGTACCTGATTTTGGATGAGAATTTAGATATGTGGGTTAACGAACGTTTTGTTCAGGACTATGATCTAAATCTTGACGTTTAGGACAGAGAAGTGCCTATATTTTCTGTACACTCCATGGTTTGACCCGGTGGTTTGGCCAAAAAGCTGACCCTGTACTTTTCAAGAAAAGCTCACCCACCGCGACAAGGAATATGGAGCGCTTCGTGCGTGGGAGCTGTAAAAAGCTCAACCAAAAGACACACGAATTGATTTAGGACTTTGCCAAGCTCGCACCACTAGGGAATGTCTTGCATTCAGTAGGCGAAAAAATGACATCGCGACTCAAGAGGAATATTGAAGTGAGTCGCATCAAGTCCGACAGACGGGAAAAAATTATTCCAGCACTGCTCTCACTCATCTTTAATTGTTCTTCACAATATTATCTCGTGGACAACATTAAGGTCCCTTCGCTCCCACAAGGGAAGGTGCAGATAGAAGCATATCTAAATTTAGAAAAACATGAAATCAAAAAAACTCCATACGTTCGGATCTTCTTGCTCGGGTAGCCGCACCTACCGCAGCGCTTCTTCTGCAGGTGGAAGGCGCGAGCGCCGCAACGGATGCACAAGCCATGCGAGTGGCTGTTGTGCTTACCCATAGAACTCGTACCCTTCGTCATCTTGGCAGAGCGTGGTTTTGTGAGTAACTAAATCTGTGTGTGTCTGCAAACTCGATCTGTGACGATCCGGTCTGATCTGACCCTACAAAACTAGGCAGAAAACCCAGTTTTGGTCCCTGTTTGGTAGTGATTGAAAAAGGGAGGAAAAGGTGATTCGGAAGGTAGAGACAGACAGCGACTGACAAAGCTAATGTCTGCGTCAAGATCTTACAAGCAGAGATCCACCAAAATTTAGAATTTAGATCCGCCGCGTTTTCGTGGGCTGAAACGACAGATCTGCACTGATCTTTCTCTTCCATTTTCTGGGGATGTAGTAGACTGGATCTGTTGCAGCTGTATTGATTTTGCTGACCGTTTGTAAAGTTTCTGCCTTCATCTGAATTTCGCTGTAGGGGTGGGACAAGCAAAACTACTTCCAACTACATCAGACCGACGTCATTTAGATCCGATTTAGATCTGGCACGCTGGCTACTTCATAACGGGTGCAGGCTGGACGCGATCTTTGCTGCGTGATAAAATCGATCTTTTTTGTCTATGCGTGAAGTACGAGTTTCGATCTTTTTCGACGTCCATTTCGGATCTAAATCACGGCAATTTCTCGTCTGGTACAACGAGTTTTAGTACCTACTTCTGGAAAGTTTCCTGTGTCATTCGCGCCTCTGGAACTTTCATTTCAGGTAGTAAGAATCCCACGAGAACCGCAACACAAAAATACAGCCCGGCTTGTGAGCACTCAGCGCAATCGAGCCATTAGCTTCACTTTGCTTTTCGTACTAACGCTACTGTACATTCCAAAAACCAGTAGTACTGGTTCTGCGATTCGTTTAGATCAAATCTCTGCGCTCTGTCGAGTAAGGTCGTGTCTAATGTAGGGTTGCTTCAGTACTGTAGTAATGTTCGTTGATTTCGTGTCACTAGATGTACGTTTTGTTCTCGTAGTTTCGCCCTCTCCAGTCAACAAGGTTGCAACTGCTCTGTCAAGATTTTCCAAAGTAAGTAAATCTTTATGCTGTTGCACCACTCCTTGCCCTAACTTCAAAATCACTCGTCCCTGCCGGAGCCCCATCCCGGCAGTTTACGCACCGCACTTTCGCCGCTTCGGGCTGGAGGTGCGTCCCTTGCAGGTGTCCGCGCTTGTGAAGGGGGTTTTCACGTCCGCCTGGCACCCCGACTTCCTGCCCGGTTGCTCTTCCGAGTGCGACGGCGCGTTAAATCGTTCCTTGTCGTACGCCTGTTCGTGCACGCCCGCGACCGCGCGGCCGCTGGCGTCCGCCCGGTTCTGGAAGCTGGCGTCCCACTTCAACGCAGTTTCCGAGGAGCACGCGATCGAATCCTGCCACGCAACGCACTCCATCGCGGAAACGTTGTGCTCGCCAAACAGCTCTGAAAAGATGTCGCGATACAGGTAGGCCTCCTTCGTTTTCGGCGTCTTTTGCGGAAATCTGGGAATGTGTATGATGTGGTGTTAACATTTAGAAGTTGCTCAGCTCCTCGCTTCTTCTCAAAGGATTCTTTTCAAGATGTTCAAATGGCTGCGAGTCGACAGTAAGAGTTGTTCATCTTGCTGCAACTATTGCTCGGCAGTATTAACTGAGGCAGAATGCTCTTGGCAGGAATCGCATGCCCGCACCCCTGCCTTCGCATCGTTGCAGATCTCTACTAGCGGCCGGGACACAGCGATGATTTAGAAAATTTAGAACTCACGGCTATGTTGCTCTTCGGTCTAGTACCCTTTCTGCTACTACGTATAGAAAATATCCTACGTTACAGAAGCAATGACAAAACCATATCCGTACCCCTACCTGAATCTGGCCGCTTCCATTTGCTTGTCCGAGATGATTTTTTCGGCGTGCTCCTGAATGGCGTCGATCCAGGAGTACCCCACCCCGTCCGAAAACTGTTCCTTTTGCCGCCACAGCACGTCCTGGGGCAGGTAGGGGTCTTTTTCCACGTCAAACGCCTTGCGCAACAGGTACTTCTCGCACCGGGGCTTTCCCGTCTCTTCGTCGCGGCACATCTTCTGCGCTGGGTCCATGGAAAACGCAAAGTCCAGAAACCTGCGGTCCAAGAAGGGCACCCGCGCCTCCAGACTCCAGGCCATCGTGGCCTTGTTCGCGCGGAGACAATCGTACTTGGACAGCTGCGCCACCTTGCGCAGCGTTTCCTCGTGAAATTCCTCACGGTTGGGCGCCTTGTGGAAGTAGAGGTACCCGCCAAAAATCTCGTCCGCGCCCTCACCGGAGAGCACCATTTTGATGCCCGTGGCCCGGATTTTTCGGCTCATCAAGAACATCGGGGTGGAGGCCCGGATCGTGGTCACGTCAAAGGTTTCGATGTGGTAAATCACCTGTTGTGTGGTGGGGAATGTGACCACGGGGATAATTCTTCTGTTTTTGCAAAATGTAAAGAGCGCACTACAAGAATAGGTGCTGCATTGACATTCACCTGCACGGTTGGTTCTTCTGTGGAAGCGAATTTACGCAACTCGTCGTACCGAGTTTGCATATCTACGCAGTTTTACTCTACCCGCAACAAGCGGCACCTGTTCCGGACTTCCAAGCTCCTGCATTTTCACAAGACCTAGCACCACCTAGAGTAGCAAAGTACCTCTCGCAGCGCGTCGATTCCCTGCTGCAAGGTAAAAGTGTAGGCGTGATGCACCGTTCCGAGAAAATCCGCTACTTGCTTTGCCGCCTTGTGGTCGGGACTGTTTTCGAGGCCGATGCAGAAGGAGTGCAATCGCGAAAGTCGCAGCGGTGCCTCCGACCCGCTCTGTGCGCACTGATCGGCGCCCTGCGCGCGGATGGCCTTGGCCGTGATGGAAGCAACCAGGGAACTGTCCAATTTATGCATGGGAAATACGGGGCTCCGCTAGTCTGAAAAGAAGTAGATTTTTTGTACGTTCAGTTTAATTTCCACGCGAGGAAGGGAGCACATTGCGGTACTATTAGCGCGAAACAACGCTGCCTCACTGTTGGTACGCTCAGAGCGACTCCGCGACGTTGCGGACTACGCATAACCAGAGTAATTCCTAAAACCTGTGGTGCCTACGTGCGCATTCTAGAACACTGCATTGTGCGTATTCATCCGAGAGTTTCTGCATGACAAGCTAAATCCACCGTCTCCTTCTTCCAGACCCGCGGAACATGAACATCGTATTTCCCGTGCATACAAGCCTCCCGACAGCAAAACTCCGTACGGCACGTCCGCCATTAGATGGGATTTCACGGAGTCCTCAAAGGCGTGCCGCAGCTCCGCTGGCGTGATGCGCTTCTGTGGCGGCGGCGGGTAGGCGCTGAGGACCTTGTGGTCCTGCAGAAACCAGGCGGTTTTGCTGTCGCCGACTAAATACGGCTCAAACTTCTGCGTTCGCGAGTCGTACACCATACCGGGCGGAAATTCGTGGAACTGCACGCACTCCTTGACCAGCACCTTCATCTCCGACGCCACCCAGAAACTGCCGTCCTTCCCCTGGCCGTAGTAGAGGGGGATAATCCCGATCGCGTCCCGGGCCACCACGAAAGCCCCCGTTCGCTCGTCCAGGATCACGCACCCGAACATGCCGCACACCTGGTTCTTTTTCAAAAACTCCGCGCCGTCCCGCGCGTAGAGGTGGAGAAGGTGTTGTGGAATGGAAAATTTGTTTTGTTTCCTCCGACAACAAGAGTGAATCGATACAGAGCTGCCTACACAAGCATACTAGCGCTTGCGCGTTTTATACAAACTCTACTTGTTGCCTTGTCGTGGAAGTACATATACAAGTGGAACATCCTCGTCCTCCGATGAAATTACTCACCAAACACAAAAGGAATGGACCCTGCTGATGTTGTGGCACACTTACAAAAAAGCCTCCCAAACTGTGGTAGCTACTTCTAACCGTTCTTTCTTTTCCTCCAAGACCAAAAGTGATTCTCCCCTGTTGTGTGGAAAAAACGAATAATAATCCCAGTTGATAAAATTTCGCAGTCCGAGCCGGTCCTGGGGCAGGCTTCCAGTTCCGTGTCGCTGGTCCCTTCCTCCTTCACGCTCCCGCTGCTTCGGCTGCCGCCGGCCGCGCCCGTGGCGCGCAGGCTCCGGCGCAGGCGGATCTCGTCTGCCGAGGCGTCGAAAAACTTCTCCTCCAGCTCCACGTGGTTGTAGATTTCGCCGTTGACGCCGAGGACCAAAGAATCGTCCTTCCGCGTGTAGAGCGGCTGGTCGCCAGATTCCGGATCGACAATGGCTAGACGTTCGTGACAGATGATGTTTTTCGCGGACACGTGGATGCCGCTCCAGTCCGGGCCACGGTGCCGGATCATCTTTTGCAACTCGATCGCCCGCTTTCGGTACGCCGGGGCGTCCGGCAGACCCAGAATCGCCAAAATGCCGCACATTATAATTGCTGCCCTTGAACAACTGAATCCTTTGTGCAAGTACTTCTTTGCGGGTTGAAAACAAATTTCAAATTCAATTGTGGTTATCCGTCCCGTCTTCAGCTAGAACGAAACCAATGGCAATCAACCACAGGTGCGTACTTGTGATGTGGGAGCCAAAGGAAAGACTCTTGCAGCGTGCTAAACTCTGCGGGTGGAATAAACCTAGTACGGGGGACAACGGGACAAATCCTTCAGAGGGCAAAGATAGGTACAGATAGGTAAAAGAGGCGGCCAAAATCGGCTTGAAAAAACACCGGGGCGAAGAAGAAATGTTTGTCTCACAGAATCTGAAACGGAAAGACGGCTTACTATCCAGTGCACCAGCGTCGCTTGTTGATGAGCCATCGCTTCAAGAAAGTGCTGCTACTTTGCCATAGAGATAGGCGCTACGCTGCGATGAATACGTATATTCGCTGATCTTCTTGAAACCGATCATCTTCTTGCACAACTACAGCGATAGAAAGATCTTCCGTGTCGTCCATGAAGTCGGTTTTTTTCTGTTTTGGCATTTTCGGATTTTGTATGATCTGATTTGGATCTTGGTTCGCACGCGAGTGTGTACCGACGCAGACAGGGGTGGAATCGAAGTCCTGACCATTACTCTATCGTTCTGTAGAAACTCACTACTATAATCAAACCAACCTACTGGGAAAAAGAACAAACGAATAGGTGTGCTCGTAATTTGAGGCAACTTCGTTGGCCTCAAGATAGCGCACAATAAAATGAAATCTTGCCGCGCATACCGCTACATAGAATTTTAGAAACGTATGAATCCAGAATTTGCCGCGCGCGGAACCGGAATACTCGGACTCATAACACGATTATCTTGAAAGGCATCGGATCGGTACTTACTTGCAGCGAGATGGCCCAGACAGGCAGACACGCTTAACTCAGCCACGACAGTTGTACTTTGCTTTCCTTTTTATCATTTTCCTTTTTTTCTAAATCAGTCAGGTTTGCGTACTCACTTCCCAACTGGCGGGGAAGGATGTAAACTTCAAAGCCAGCCTGTTCCAATAATGGCTTCAGCGTCGGAGTGACATCGAACAGCCACTCCCAGAGGTTGCCGTCGTCGGGGGTCCTCCTCTGCACGTTAATAACCGCATCCCCGTAGACGACGTCGACGTGCGTATTCCCGAGACCGGCTTCCTCTTCGCATATTTTCGCGAAGGCGGCGCAAATTTGCCTGGCCTGCTTGGCATTCGAATCGGCGGACAGCTGACGCATTCTCGCCGCGCTGAGCTTCGGCGTCACTTGGGTGTCCACAGCTGCGTCGCCGACAAATTCCAGGATCTTTCGCTTCACCGGGTCAGTTATGGAACGGAAATCCTCAACAGGCCACATCAATACTCTCACGCGCGCTGCAGTTTCACATCACACTGCAAAGGACAAAAGCCCTGAAATGCTGGCTACTGATGCAAGAAACAGATAGTAAATGCCTCCTTTTTGTAGTGTTTCTTGGTACATTGACATCATTCAAACTTCGACTTCTATGAACCCGCCGAAGATTTCTCAGCGATATCATCGATGCCGCCATGGGCCGCCCACCCGGTATTCTTTGCGGCACACAGGTTCCACATCTGTTGCATGAGAATGTTGGCAATTTTTGAATCAAGTAGTTACACTGTCACTCCGGCGACAGCACCGAACTAATTACGTGCGCAAACAACACAAAAGAGAATCGCTTACATTCAGGCACAGATTCACGATTTTTCGACGGCACACACGGGGCACCCGGTTAAATTCGATGTCCCGGATTTTTGTCTCCAGCTCTGCGAGAGTGCGGCCTGGCTTCAACAGCGGGAAGGGTGGAGGGGCGGCCGGTTCCACTGCTGCAGGCGCTTGCGCTGCTGCCGCACCTACCGCTGCCGCCGCGCCGTCATCTGCTGCTACGTCTGCTCCTCCTTCGTCGTTGGCGTTTGGATTAGCCACCGCTGCCTGTCCGCCACGGTTACGACGGGGAGGCATTCTGTTTTTGATCCAACTACGTAAGCCGAGATCCGACACAGGTTTCTGTCTCTTACTCTTTTTCTGTCCGAAATAATATTCTTTCGGTTTCGAGTACGTAGGCACTGATTTACCGGCCAGGAGGCATACAAGAATCTATATATATGCAGACTCGAAGTGAGTGTGAGAAGGAACACAATCTGAAAGTGAAGGAACTACTTTCGGTGGTTGCCACAAGTCAGAGACCGCTCAAATTCAACACACAGGTACAGCCTTGGACACGATGTATCCGCTAAACTTGACTGGCGATGGAAAGAAAGGGGATGAAGCATTAAACAAATCTGGATACGTGGCTGTAGTGCGGGTACATAGATCAAGTTCTTCGAGAACAAAATTGCTTGCGCAACCCGAGCGACAAAAAATCTGCTCGAAAACGCTAGACAGGAGACCGGCACGGACACAGTACGTGTGAGCGGTCAAGTGCTCATTTTGAAAGACGGAATTTGGAGCTCGCCAGTCAGGGCCAAGCACTGATGTTCGCAAACTGAAGATCAAGCGCGGCAGCCACGTGAATCACGCGAACGCTTGGTAAAGTCCAACAGAGGTTTCGTCTAAGCATTTCTAGCAGGAGCAGACAGTGGATTGACAGTGCGTAAATGGAACAGGAGAGAGTGTACGAAAACAATGGCTTACTGTTTACTCGACCAGGATACTCCCAGTAGTCCTCTGCCTTTCCAGTTTTTGTCTTCTTCTTTCTCCGCGTCTGCTTTCACCGGCATCGGCTCCACGGTGAAGCCGGCCTTTTCAATCATGGACTTGAGATGCGGGTTGTAAGCGAGCAACCACACCCACCAGTTAGTTTCGTCTTTGGGGAAAGGGACCAATCCCTCTACGACATCATCATAAGCTACCTCGGCATGAGGATTTCCGCAGCCCGCCCACTCCTCGACTTTTGGAAGCAGCTTTGCGATGATATCAGCAGCCTTGTTACGATGGTATTTGTCCTGGATTTCCCTTATTCGCGCGGCGGAAAATCCCGGCGCGATTTGCCCCTCCATTGGCGCGTCTCCCACGAAGTCCAGAATCCTCGTCTTCACTTCCTCGGGGATCCCGCCTCGAGCCGCATACCCTGTGTTCTTTGCCGCGATCAAATCCCAAACCTAGTTTTTTATGTAGTTTCTATTTGCGAAGATCTCCAAGGAAATACGGGCGCAACACTCACCTGGAAAAAGAGGCTGCTTGTTTTACGAAGTTTGAAGCTCTCAAGCATCCGGCCTCACGGTGCCACTTGTCGCTGAAAAAGAGCAACAGCAGCAAGTACGTTCAAGCCCAAGTTTGCCGCCTTCCGCCGACACAATTTTGGCACCCGTTCGTACTGGAGACTCGTCAACTTTGCGTGCAATGCCTCCAAGGTCCGACCAGCTTCGAACAGCGGAAACGGGGGTGGGGGCCGCATGGGCTGCTGCTGCTGCTCCGCTGGATTTTGCGCAGCCACGTCCGGGTTCTCCGCCACTGCAACTTGGTCGCCATTTGGCGGCGGTGCCTCTGGCTGTGCTGCCGCGGCTCGGTTACGGTTGCGTCGCGGGGGCATAGTTTATTGGTTTCGCCTTTTCACAAAATGCGCGAAGACATAAGTAAGTAACTTCCAGTTCACAAAAATGTCATTGGATTTTGAGGTGCTAAAAAAAATTTCGTCTCTAGATGATCAAACAAATCACCAGCAAAAGGCTTCTGCACGGTACCTCCACACGAGTTCTCAAAAAAAAATCATGAACGAAAAGCCACGACACTTTGCTGTTTGCTCAGTCGAAGATCCTCCTTGTTTTATCTTCTCTCCGCGTTTTGCGTTGGGCGGAAAGTGCACTAATCAAAAACGAAAATCTGGAATCGACGCTCGACTCAAAACCCCAGTAGAAGCTCCAAATTATTTTTTCACCACCACGGAAGACCGACAGCGGTGAGATTCATGTATCTTCGCGGATCTACGTCGACAGAGCCGCGAACTGAACTCTCGTTCGTCGCTAAGAAACCCCATCCGCCACACTATAGAGAAGAACAATGAGAATAGAATGAGAGCCAGCCTTTTAGGAGGGGAAAAAGCAGCTACAACGGCCCTTTTCTGCTTTTCTTGCTATTCGGTCGGTGCTTTGTTCTTTGATACACGATTCGCACAGCAATACTGACAGGTTTTTGGAGTCGTGAACAGAATTATCTGAAACCAAGCAAACAAGTCTGTTGTACCCGTTCAAACTGATTCTACTCGACTCTTCAGCACCAAATCTCACTTACTTTTTCATCTTTCTTCTGCAACGATATAAGTAATCGAAGCAGCGCTGTTCGATAAACTTTTGAAGTTTAATTGGCCCACCACCGGCAGCACCAGAAACCACTTACAACTCCGCGCTCTCTTTCTCCTCTTTTTCCTTCTTCGTTTCCGTCTTCGGGCCCTTCGGCTTCTTCTCCTAGGGTATGCAGCGAAAATAATACGACACAGTCAGCACCAGATCGTGAGGAGGAGGAGGTCAAAGAAATACAGACGTGAAAATACCTCTACTGCACTTCTCCATGCGCATTTTTGTACTAAGTACCTGCAGCTGGTCTCGCTTGCGCGTAGTTGCACAACACAATCTTCAACTACGTATGGATCACGCGAATCAATATCATACAACTGCTTGTCGCGAACTGACAAATTATCATGCGGAATTCATGCATGGAAAATACGCACGACCTAACACGTTGGCAGCAAAACACTGACAGGTCTCCGCACTCAGACGACTTTTTTCCTCTCTCTCCTGCGTGCCGAGGCTCTACAGTGACCGCATCATTTCTGGATAGTCTTCGGCTTCTTCGCTTTCTGCACCAGCTTGATCATCTTCAGGTCCGCCACGATTCCCTCCCGCATGCCCTTCTTCATGGTTTCCTGTGATTTGGCGGTCAACCGGGCCACCTCCGCGTCCACGGCCGCCAGGTCCTTGCTGCCCCACTTCTCCCACGCCGACAGCTCGTCCTCGTCGCACCCTATCCACTGCAAACATGTCCTCGGTGTCTGGAATGTAGTTGTCATGCCAACATGTTGCGCACGGTCATGACCAGGCCAGCACGGCAAGACTAGGGAGCTACGCATGACAAGGTTATTTCTAACGGCTCCCTGATGCAGCCTTGTCCGCATGTCAAAAGAGTTCACATTTTCGCATCACAAACGGGGAGCGCTGATCGTGGTGCACAACATGCATCATACATTTTGGTTATTCTATGGTACCCCAATTGCATGTACGAAACTTCCAGACTTGTTCCAGACCCAGACATCATATCTTCCACGCATACAGCCCTCCTTGGCCGCGAAGTCGCACTTGACTACCCGTTTCTTTTTACCGTTGATCTTCAGAATCTCCATGCGGAAAACCAGCACGTCGCCGCCCTTGATCTTGGCCCCGCTTTATCCGTAGGAAAAACGTATCTACCCCGTTGTAGTCGAGATGTGAATAATGCTAGACAGATCCAGAAGCTTTGATGGGAGTAAGGCACGACAACTTTGGCTCCGTAGTGTTGTCGTTGGTGCAGCCGGAATCACAGATCGACTAATATCCCATCATGATTAGTACAGCATGACGAACTATTCCATCCCGCCAAACACCACTAGACACTGACACAACTACAACTCCTCATGAGCAGGCTCCTGTACTGCATGAGACACATTCTGTGGATGCAGATCTGCATGACAAATACGGGTAGACAAGTACGTTTTTACAGTTGCTACGCTGCCGCCGTCGCCGTAGCCCAATTCCGACGGGATGTACATTTCCCACTTGTCTCCTTCCACTATCCCACAGAAAAAAGCAGGCAGGTTATATTTGAATTTGTAATGCAAAAATAAACACACAAAAAAATCTGTATTGCATATCCTAAGAAGCATGCTATGGGGCCGCCCATAACAGATTTTTCCGTGTAGTTATTTTTGCATTACAAATTATATGACCTGCCTGCTTTTTTCTGTGGGATATCCACCATGAGCTGCATAGCCTCGGTCCAGCCCTTAATCACCTGGTTCGGCGCGAAGGTGGTGGGCTCGCCGCGCTTGTTATGCATTGCAAAAGTACTATCGCACTCGTAGTGATCATCGCAATGATGCATGGCAAGTCTTTTGTCTTGAGGTGAAGCAGCATGACAAATTCCATTGGTCATCATGCTGAGGCAATTTGTAATGCAGTCACTACTAGTACGATAATTTTACCTTGCATACTTGTAGGAGGAGTCGAATTCCGCCCAGTCCGCCTCGTATCCTGAGTAAAAACGTACCCACGCCAGAGTTGTAATGCAGATTTGCAAAGACAGGAAGACTTGTAATGCGCATCCCCATGAGAGCCATTTCCAATCGTGTTTTGAAATTTGTGATGCTGTGAACAGGATGAGCAGATTAATCTGTGACGCGGCTGCACTTGCTAACCTGCACTACACTGCATAGTGCAACTTGTCATGCGTGACTCACAAAACTCCTAGGTTTGTGTTGCAAAATCCTCATCCTGACTCTGGTGTGGGTACGTTTTTACTCAGGATACCTCGTCCTTGTCAATCATATCCGGGGTCAGCGCGGGCGTGGTGCCCGCGTAGTGGCACTCGCAGGGAGAGTATGCACTGCAAATTTACGTCTGGGTGTGGATTTGTACTAAAAATGCGCGTGGATCGATACGACACGGATCTGCATTGCATGAAGAGGAGTTGTGAGCTTTTTCCTGCTCGTGCTGCAAGCCAATTATTTGTCATGTGATTTACGAATGAATCTGCGCTGGGTCCCCAGTACAAATAATTCATCGAATCTTTCCCGACCCAGACGATGACGAAATTGCAGTTGATATGGAGTCCTTAGTGGGCGCGTACTTCCCCTTGCCCTTTTTCAGCACCTTGTACTGCAGCCCGGACGGCAGCGTGACCACGCCTTCGCGCGCCTTGTTTTCCTCCAGGAACTTCAACCCTTCCTCGTTGGTTCCCGCCAAAACCGTAGTGGCCGCCGTGAGGGCGGACAGGTAGACGGAACGAGAGAACATGATTTTGTTTTTTCGTTGGTTGGAGAAATGAGAAGCCAGGAGATAGTATAGTAGCAATGATAACCGAGGCGCGAAAAATCGATCTGACTGGCCGTGAAGGTACTCTTATACTAACTACTCTTACTCGTAAGAGAGGACCGCAAAGTCCGAGCGTTCGTGGGTGAAGCGAGAAAAACAGTTTTCTTCTGCTCTGGTCGACCTGCAGGAGCTCGTGTGCGAGATAGTAAAAACTTGAACTTGATGATCATGATTCCTCGGGCAGAGCGGAAAAAAGAGCTCGAACCAAAAAAAGGCAGCACCATCGGTTGATCGGTGGCATCGGCCAATGAGTTCCTTGTTTGATCATTGCAAGTAGTTGGAGTTCGTGCGCGCTGGACATTTTGTATGAATTGCATTATCAGGCAGAGAGATTATGTTGTTGGTCGGCATGAGGACAAGAGCATCGCGATCATCATAGTTTTTTCCTTTGGACGAGAGAGAGATGGAATCTTTATCTTTTTTCGAAACATAACAGAATGAGTTCTAAACAACACCTCTGTCTTCGGGTAGACTTCAGTCCCTTCTGCTACTTTTTATTTGTCCTTCGGGTTTCCTTGTCATCGACCAAAACAGAAGCGCTTTCGACATATCAATGTGGATTCGCGAACAAGACGGCGAAAAGAGAAACTGGATCGGATCGCTTCAGACTATTTTCGGAAGTGGAGTTCGCGGATGATAGGCACGGTTTAGCCCCACTCGACCCTCAGCACTCCCTTCTCCTTCCATTGCTTGTCTTCCTCCTTCTCGGCGTCTGGCTTTGCGGGCACCGCGGTTGCAGTAAAGCCAGCCCGTTCAATGGCTTCTTTCACGGCTGGCACAATTTTCAACAGAGATTCCCAGTAGTTTGCGTCGGGCTTCTGCGACGGGATGCCGCAACTATTTTTCACCGCGTCTTCAAACTTAATGTTTACGCCAACATTCCCCAGCTTCGTCGCCTTCTCGCAAAGCGGCAAGATGTTGTCGATGATTTTTGCTGCCATCTGGCGGTGCGTCGCAGCGGTCATCTCTTTCATGCGCCGCGCGGCGAAACCCGGGTTCGTCTGGCCCTCGAGTGGTGCGTCGCCGACGAAACTGAGAATGATTCGCTTGAGCGGGTCGTCTAAGCCGCCGTGCTCGGCGTAGCCCATATTCTTCGCGGCGCAAAGGTTCCACATCTTTCATATTTATTTCGTTGGGTCCAATTTTTCTCTGTCAAAACAAAGCAGCAGCAATGTACTTGGTCCGTGCGACACCGTAGAGGTTTGTTTGTGGACACGACACGACAAAATCATAGATGAAAATCGACAACAATATCAAATACGTTGAGCCCGAGGTTCGCAAACTTTCGTCGCGCAACACGCGGCGCCCTCTCGTACTCGAGATCCAGCAGCTTGGCTTGCAAATCGTTCGCTGTCCGTCCGGGGACCTGCAGCGGAAACGGTGGAGGCGCAATTGCTGGCGGTGCTTGTTGGTTTACCGCTGGGACTTGCTCTCCTGGCGCCGGCTCGACCGGTGCCGCTGCAGCCGCCTGCGCTTGTGCCCCTGCCGCGGCCGCGGCGCCCTGTGCTCGGTTGCGATTGCGACGTGGTGGCATGATGATGATGACCAGCAGTACTTGTACTTTAATGGATCATTCGACAACTACTTTTACTGCCTGTCTGAGCCTGAAGCCGAACAAAAAAAGCGCATTACTCCGAGAAAAGAAGTACTACATGTACATCTCCCGACTGCAGCAACAATTTTTTTTTACCGACAATACAAAAATGCCATGCTTTCTAGACTTGCTAGGATACTGTAATGAAACCTGTAACGATAAAGTCCTTGTATCGGATCCTGTCTGAACACCGCGAGGCGGAAGTTATGCTTGTCGCTCCCTTGCTGGGCCTTTAATACGCTGCAATACGAAAATCGCCACTCCAGTAATAGCCGTATACATTTGTCGTCAAACTCATCGCGGAAAACACGTCAGAAAATGCAACGAGAGACTGCAGTAGTACATCAGCTATCGGAATGAGCGACCAAATTGCGGCATCTTTTCAAGGGGTTAACTAATGCTGGTTTTAGGTCTAGGTTGTAGCAGTCGCAGCTTCACAAACCTCAGCTCCACACCAACCACAGCACGCTATGCTCCTTCCACTGTTTCTTTGCTTCCGTGTCCTCGTCTGGCTTCACTGGCTGAATCTGCAGTGTAAACCCCGCTTCTTCGAGAGACTCCTTCAGAGACGGCAGGAAGGCAAACAGCCACTCCCACCAGTTCGATTCTGGACTGTCGAATGGATGGCAGTCCTCGTCTAGGTCGTCAAGAATCGCCTCACTATACTCTATCGAAACGCGCGGATTTCCTTCTTCCGCAGCCTCGTTGCACATCGGCAGGATAATGTCTGCAATTTGTGCCGCCATCTTTTCCTTTTTCCGCTTTGCTATTTGCTTCATGCGCTTCGCGTTCAGCAGCGGGTTGATACTTCCGGAAGAGGCCGCGTCGCCAATGAACTCAAGAATGTTCCGCTTAATCGGATCATCGAGCCCTCCATGTTTCGCATATCCGGTGTTTTTGGCACAGCACAAATTCCAAACCTGAAAACGACGTTCCATGTAGATCTGATGCAGATCTCGTCTCCGTTTAAGATATAAACAGCACCTATTTACATTCCCCACACATTCAGGAGGACAACAGTCTGAAAATTGTACTTAATTACACGGAAGTGAATACATTGACTCCCAAATTTGCGAATTTGCGGCGCACCAATCGGGGCAGCCGATCGTATTCAATCTCCGCCAACTTTGTCTGCAGCCCGTTGGCAGTCCGTCCAGGCTGTAGGAGTGGAAACGGGGGCTCAACGACAGGCGCAGCGGCTGCAGGGGCTTGTGGTTCTGGTTGCTCCCCGTCCGCTAGACCGCCTGCCGGTTCGGCCACTACTTCGCCCACTGGCGGAGGGTCTTCGCGTTGGGCGGCGCCCCCAGCGCCAGCAACAGGTTGCGCCAAACCATCATTTCGTCGCGGCGGCATGATTTTCTATGGTATTCTGTTTCTTCTGAAGACTCTAAAGACGGAATGGGGACACGATCAATGCGCCATCTCGAGCGTCACATCGAAACACAGAACGGCCCTCCAGAAGATTAAAGAAGAAGCGCTACCTCCTAGCTACGCATCCGGCTTGAGTAAAGAATATGTTCAAGCTTTCCAATACCCACTTCTTGCGTTCAAAGTTTCGTGGGTCTTCTTGCTTTAGCTTTTATTTCACACTGATAATTAAAGTTCAACATTTTTTTAAAGGTCTCGCCTTTTGATAAATTCTCGGTATAATTGCCCCCTCTGAACTTCTTTTCGTGCGGCGCCGTGATCTTTCGACATTCTCCATTGCTCGACAGCTGCAATTTCGAATGCTTCTTGAACCACAGGTCTTTTCGAGAAAAGCTGCGCCTGTGTCAGAAACTCGTGCTGCAATTGCTGTTTCTTGTGTCTAGTCACATAGATCGGGTTAACGCGACTGCTGGCACACAAAAAGACTACAGCCGCAGATCATACTCTTTACGAAACACTTGGTTGGAGCATCAAGATCAACAGTCCTTTCTTATCATAACGAAATCAAGATGCCGCCAAGCAAAGTAAAGATCGTGCTCATCTCCTCCAGCACAAAGGTCGTGAGCGTCTCAAACGGAATTCGGGATCATGACTGGCAGAGTTTAGTTGAGCAGTAATGATAAGTGGCACAAAACCAAGATCACAGGTTGCGAACAGCATCGACGTTGGTATCCTGCCGCGGGTGTCTCACATTGCGAATTTGTTTTTTCGTCAAAAAAATACAGGCTGAAACTTCGCGAACTGTGGCCGCTAGAGCGCCAGAGCTCCGATCATCGTTCTTCGTCAGACTTCCACTGATTTACCAACATCGGGAGCTACTCGAATTCCCAATTAACTCGCAGGAGACTTTCTAATTTCTGCTTCTTGCTTTTATCGTCCTCGCCAGCTTCGTCGATCGGCACGCACCGCAATTCAAATCCGGCACGCTCGAGAGCAGGCTTTAGCAGAGGGTTCACACGAAATATCTTTCCCCACCAATTGGACTCCAGATTGTCGGTAGGGATCAAACCGTCAACAACGTCCCCAAACCGTATGGAGCCTCCTTTATTTCCCATTGCGGCCTGCCGTTCACAGATCGGCAAGATTTTGTCTGTTATCTCCTTTGCCTTCTTCTCGTTAAATTGAGAGCGTATTCCCCTCATTCGGTGCGCCGTGAGCTGCGGATTAATCTCGACCGTTGGAGCCGCGTCACCGACGAATTCAAGAATGCAAGTTTTCACCGGGTCCGGGATTCCGCCGCGCTCCGCATAGCCAGTACGCTTTGCCGCCAAGAGATCCCAGACCTGTTTGGTATTGAAAGAATGGCAGGACTATAGATTGATGCAAAACAGACGAATCCAGTACGGGAGCACAAGTTTTCACGATACTACAAGTTTTCGACTCCGTGCACCTCTAGCTCTACTGCACTTTGGTTCATTTAAAGACCCAAAATACTTACATTGAGACAGAGATTGGCGACTTTTCTGCGAGACCGTCGCGGAGCCCGGTCATATTCGATATCGGCCACCTTCTTGTGCAGCTCGACCAGCGTGCGTCCGGGTGCGAATAAGGGAAACGGTGGCGGTGCAGGGGCGGGAAGCTGCTCCTGCGCAGGCTGGGCTGCTGCTGCTGCTTCTGCTTCTGCTGCAGCCGGTTGGGCCGGTGCGGCTGCAGCCGGTTGAGCCGGCGCTGCTGCTGCCGGTTGGGCTTGAGCCTGATTGCGATTCCGACGCGGCGGCATGGTTATATATCGAGGGTGCAGTCCTGCAAGGAAGATTTGCGCTACCAAACGAAATTATCACACGAAAGGAGGCGCGAAACTGATTCACGCTTTCACTTATTGTTTTTCACTTTTTCTAGAAAAAATCGCTACCAAGAAGCCATTTGCGAAGTGAAGCATCAAGCCTATCTCACTAGAACACGAAAAGTACTCCGAAAATCTCCATGTTTTGTGTGTGTCACAATCACTTTCGCGAATCTATTAACACTGGAGATAACACTGGAGAGCTGTATGCATCCGAACTTTGTATGTGCGAACTTCTCACGATGTATCCCTCGTCCTCGCGTCACAAGCGCGGAAGCACTAGTACTCGCTTTGACAGTATGAACAAGCCGGTACGCAGCAGAAAAAAATCACATCGGCGCAATCGACTGCTGTACAACTTACAGCGTAGATAAATCCGCCCAGAAATTTGTCAATGTCGTCGTCCTTTTGATTTTCACTTATACTTCAGCGCTTCAATGATTGCCAAGGTCCACGGGACCAGATCTTTTGGCGTTCTCGATGTGATCACGTTTCGATCTACCACGACCGGCGCGTCTACGAATTCTGCACCGGCGTTTTCCAAGTCGTCCTTTATTGCGTGAAACGCCGTTACTTTCAAACCCTTGCACAGCGGTTGTCTGCTTTCCGGACAGCCCCCGTTGAGACTCTTCCTCGCGCTGCACAGCATCCACGGTCCGTGGCAGATGGCGGCAACTGGTTTACTCTTCAGGAAGCAGTTGGTCACAAAGTCCTTCATCGCCGCGTCTCGGCGGTAGTAATCCGGTGCAAAGCCCCCGGGACAGATGACCGCGTCGAAATCCGCGGGATTCGCATCGGATATGTGCTGATCGACGAGTGTTGGGTATCCGTATTTCCCGGTCACCTGGAGTGCAGAGAGAACAGATCGAGGATTTTTAGTGCAGAAAAGGAAATTCAAATTCGTCGATCATCATGTGAAAAACCATTTTAAAAAACCACTTGATCTCACTTTCGTTCCTGGCTTGTGCAGGGAGATGTGCTTTACTTCCGCCCCCTCCTCCTGCAGTCGAATTTGCGGATAGCATACTTCCAGGTCCTCGTACGTGAAGTCTAGGATGATCGCAACTCTCTTCCCCTTCAGCGCCATGGTCTCCAGCTATCTGCTACGGTCGTAGTGTAAATGCTGAAAAAATTATGAAACTGGAAGGCTGGTACTCCTTTGTTGTAGTGTCTAAAAAAATGTTCTGCAGTGCGACTCGGGAAAATCAATACTTTTTTGGCCCTGCAGAATCGCCTGTATCATGTGGAAGACAAGGCTGAAGACAAGAACCTGTGCCACGAAGGCCGTTGATCACGATCTTACGCTCCTCCGAGCGGACAAAATAGAGGTCGCGGCGATGGTCATGGGGCAGGGGTACTAAAGTCCGATCTCCATCTGGCCGACGAGCGAGAGTAGGTACAGTGCCGCAACCGTAACTACTGCAGATCCTTTCTACTAGGAGATCACACACTTCACAAACAGATCCTCTCTTCTGGTGATCGCATCCTCGGGATCTTGTTTCATGACAGCGTACCAGCGCGCTGCCGGGGCTGGTCTCCAATAAATTTGCTTGCTCGACCCCGTTTATTGGCACACTTTTCACTGAGAAACCGCATCCCGAGCAGCCTTTGAAGAATGTTCTTGAGAGTTCTCTGATTGGACAACACGTCTATGTCACATCATCTCTCGCCACCAGCACCCGTGACGGGTTCAGGGAATCTGTGCTGTCCGCAGCAAGAACTCCCGTCTAACCTCCATAGTGCATCAAGTTGGATTTTTTACAAATGGTTCGTTCTTGTCACAAAAATCTATACAAAGCCTCCAATCGCGGTGAAGACTGCCTCGACATCTATGACTCCAATGGTGCTACAACTATTTGGTGCAAAATTGATGTGCAACAGAGAACTGCGAAGAAGATTTTTCTCGCCTTATGCACAGAAGGACATACACGGTGGTCCGGAGACATGGTGTTGCGCAACACGGGTCAGGTAGCAGGGGCGCACTGCTACTGACGCTAATTACAACATTATGCGCTAGTTGTAACTCTATATACAAAACCTGAACTGCCAAAGAACATGAAAAGTCACGTTTTGTCAAAAGAATGTTATTCAATTTTAGTGTCACCACAGCAGATTAAGTGTAGAAAATTAGGATGGTTGATTTCTGCTTCTTCGGGCCCTGCGTGCAGGCAATTTTTCTTTCTGGTCGACAAGTCGGACCTCCGGTGTGGGTCTTCTATCGCACCCCGGTGTAGAGCGGCTTGCGCTCTCCGGGCTTTTTCGCAGCGGCTGCCTTCTGCTTTGCGGCCGCCGGAGCGGTGACGCGGCCGGCATGGATGGAGTAGCTGTCAAACCGCTCGTTTCCGGTTGTCGGCGGCGTGCCCGTCCCGGTTGTCACTGAATTTATGTTTGAACATTCTTGTGGCATAAATAGTAAATCTTGTTTTTTCCTCCATGCATCTCACCACAAAAAAAAACGGTGCAGACAACACAAAAAAAAACACCATACCGGGCGGCGCGTGGCGCACGGCGGGGCGGTAGTTCGGTACCCGCACCTCGGCAGTGGTGGAGTATGTGCAGGCCTTTTTGTTCACCATACTCGCATCGGGTGCACCTGTTGATAGAAATTTAGCAAAAAGATGAAGTTGCTTTTCAAGAGGCCGCATTGGGGGGCCAGTGGACGTCGCTGTACTTCTAAAGATAACCCACCCTCAGAGTCATAGCAAATTTTTCAACACGCCCGGCTCGCAAAAAAACTTCATTCAGCAATCCGCGCCGTACTTACATGTGCTGACTTCCAAAAAAAACTCACAACACCTGTACCTTTCGCTTGCGAATTACTCACCGGCTGCGCGATAACCACCGGAACCCTTGGGTGCACAGCAGTGACGGTCGGCACGGCGGCTCCGGCCGCGAACGCCACCCCGCCGGTACCGTTCAAACAGCTCGGCGCGGCGCTGCCCTGCGCGGCGGCTTCCGTCCGCAACTTCAAGGACAGAGCCGCCTGCGTTTGCTTGGTTTCGTGCGTCAAGTGCCGCGTTTGCTCCAGCAGGTGCTCCCGCTCGAGCTGCAGATTCGCGTTCCTCCGGACCAGACTTTCATTTTCCTGCACGGCTTGCACCAACTTCGTGCGCAGCGTGATTTCCCTCGCGGCAAGATGGCGGGCGGTGGGTTTTCGTTGGTCTATGCAATACAAATTTGCTGTACATGTACAAAATGCATCACAAATTTCACCAACTTGGAGCATGCCACTTGTGATGCTGAATAGAATTAAAAGAAAGCCTTGTCATGCAGAAACCGCATTTGTACATGTACAGGAAATTTACTGTGGATATGGTCGGCGTCATTATTGTTCCTTCTCCTGGGCGGTTCATCACCTACTTCTGTGATGATTTCTGTGTTGTTGTGCACCACTACCGAGGAGCTGGAACTGCCGGACAAGCTGCACGCAGTCGTCCCGTCGTTCCTCGCAGCAGCCTCTACTTGGGCGGTCGTGTGTTCTTGCAGGAGTAGTTGTATCTCCTCCACCTCCGCAGGCGTCGTTTCCGCATTATAGGCCCGATTCAGGTGCGCCTTCAGTTCGGAAATTTGCAGCACGTAGTCGCGGACAAATTTCTCGGCCTCCTGGTGCTTGTTCTGCTTGAGAAACTCGGTGCCGATCTTCGCACGTCGTTCGTACACCCGCTTTTCGTCTTCGAGCTCCTGAATTCGCCGCGCTAAACTGCTCAGCTGGTGCTCCTGGTAAAACAAAACTTCCGCCCAGAGCGCGTCCGCATGCTCGCTGGCCTCCACGGCTTCTAGGGAGGTTGTAGCGCTCGAATCTGAAAGTTCGTTGATGTGTGAGGATGATAATGCTTAACAATGTACTGTTTTGGGAAGTAAAGAGATGTGCAACACCAACAAACAGGTGTATGTCTCTCTTTCCTTTAGAACTGGCTTTTATAAAGTATCTAGCATTTGCCCAGGAGCTGCACTAATCTCCACCTGCCACTCCCTTGCGCTCCTCGGCGAGGCGGATGCTGCGGTTGTTCAGTTGCGTATAGAGGTCGCCCGTATTTGCGTTCAGCGTACTGCGCAAAATCTCTAGCACGTCGTAGTGCGTCTGCAGGTACTGTCGCTCCTGTAACAGCGCCCAGCACGCCTGCCCATACGCGCCGCCCTGCCGTCCCTCGGCGAGCTCCGGATACTTGGTCAAAAGCCTGAGGGAATTTCAATTTTGTATGAAGAAGCATGATCTTTTGTTTCCTCGGTTTTCTTCTTTCCTTTTTACGGTATATCTCGATGAGTTGAGCATGAGAAACACAAAGACGCATGCGAACCTACGCATCACAAAGAAATCTTAAGAGAACCTGTTCGGGTCTGAAACCAGGAACTCGTTGAAATCGTAACCGAAGTTTTCCTCCCGCTCGTCGTCAAATTCCCGCTTTTATCCAAATGAAAAACCAGCCCTAGCACATCTCCTCAACGTCAACCGAGAGAAATGTCTTATTTCTTTACGTGCGCACAAAAGGCTAAGGCATGTGCCTTGCACGTCGAAGAGGCAGAAACAAACGCCTGTTCGTCGCCTCGGCCCCCTATTCCACAACAACATGCCTACATCCTCATCCGCAAGTCGTGGGAAGAAAAAAAATTTGCAAGACACTCTCCCGGTCGTGAAGAGAAGTACTAGATTGGCATTTTTCCCCTTCATAGCTCCTTCTGCGTGCCGACGTTTTCCGTGGGGCGGCGGAACTGCGCGACCTCGGATTTCAACGCGGTGATTTCTTCGTGCTTGGTATCAAAGAGAAAAAAGCCGCAACCCCATACAAAACAGAGAATTTCTGTTGCTGGATTTCTGTACACAAAGCAGCGTCGTGTTGCAGGAAGCGCTTGGAGGCTTTTTCTAAGCCTGGTTTGGTATGCAAAAGGCTAGCAGTTACGCATGGCAGACAGCTTTGCAGTAGGCAAAAGCGCATGACAGATTGGCTGTGGAATGCTCCCGATAGCTCCCAATTACACCACATGCAAGACAGACCTGCTTTGTGGTCACAAATCAGCATCACAAATTTCCAATCCGAGTATGGGAAGGGGAACTTTTTCCGTACGATACTTGGCTTCGGACTCCTCCTCCAACTGGGCTACCTTCATCTGCGCCTTGTTCTGCTCTGTGGTGGCGGTTTGGAGTTCCTGTTTAGTCGCCTCCAGGGCCTGCGTGAGTTCTTTCACGCGCGGGTGCATCTTGTCCAGCTCGCGCTTGAAGGCTTCGCCCTGCCGGGCGCCTTGCCGCACGTTCGCGAGCTCCGCGGTCAGCTCCGCCATGGCCTGTTTCATGTTCCCCAACTCGATCTCCAGACCCTGTGTGGAGGTGGGTACAGATTTGTATTTGTTCGATCGCAGCTTCAAAAGTAAGCAGAATTTCTTGAAAAGCAGGAGCCAGAACATGCATATCAACGCCTACTTCCGTAAAGGTGCAAAGACTCCGCAGGAGAGAAGTAAACTGTAACATGAAACAGTCCCCTTACGTCCGCCTGCTGGGCCTTTTTCCGCGTTCCCACCAGGTCTTGCTCCACGCTGTGCAGCTTCGCGCGGTAGTCCTGTTCCGCCGCTGCCACTTGTTCCTGGAACGCCTTTTGCATGCGCGCTTCGGACACGCTTCGCTCGTGCCGCAGCTGTTCATTTTCCCGGCGCAGCTCGGCAATCTGCTCCAGGTGGAAACGCACAGAAGGGTCCTGCTCTCCGGTTGTATGTTGCTTTATTGCATCAGCGCTTTTAATATCCACCCGGTCGGTGGAGGCCGCTGGTTGCGCTGCGGAGGTGGTGCTGGTGGGCTGCGACAGATCCGGTTGGAGGACGTGATCGCGGCCGGAGCGGCTGCCACCTGGTGTTGTTGTTCAGTTACATATTTTATGCAATCTCTCACGAAGATCCTTGTCGGGTCGTTATTCTTTTGATAAGTGAAATTGTTGTCACTGCGTCGTGAAAGAAAGTACTAAATCACGTTGAAAACAACGACAACCGTTGATTATAAACCAACAGAATCACTGTACGTCTCGACAACGCTGCTTGCTGTTCCTCCTCCGCACTGGTACTCGTCAGTGCCTCGTCCGCAAGTAAAGGGACTACTGCTTTCCCGGCGACCTCCGCCTTGCCCGTGACGCTACTCGCCAGCACGTTGCGCGCACTCCGCGGCACCAAAACCGCCGGCCGCAGGTCGTCCGCCGGTGTTGCGATGTCGAACGGGGAACCGACGCCCGCGAAACTGTTGTCGTTGGGAGTGTCGCCGCTGATTACAGGTGGCGCCGGCCGGCTGATGCTGTTCTCCCGCGACGCATCAACCTCCCGCGTACGTTGTTCTCCCGATGCGTAGTGGGGGAACGGTTCTTGATGTGCACTTGAAGTAGATGATGAAGAATTCTTGGGGTACTGATCCACAACTTCACCACCAAGAAGGAGCTGGTGCTCTTTTGGCTGATGTAGTTCCTCTGTGCGTTTGTTCTGCGTGGAGCTCTGCACCATCGGCGAATTTTCCTCGTCACTGTAATCCAAACTGTGGTTGCCCGGACTGCGGTTACTGCTCCCGCGCCAGCCGGCCACGTCTTCCAAGGTGGGCCCCCGGATGTCGCGCGCCGAGTGCAAAGAATCCTCTCCCGGGGTCGCAACAAACGCTCGCGGGTTATTCGGTATTTGCGCTGTTGATGTTCCTCCTGGTACTCCTGAAAATTCGTCCACCTGGTGGCAATCGTCCGCTGGTGGAAACGTACTGTTTTGATGCCTGGACGTCAAGCGTGAAGAACTCGCGGACGCGCTGGTTCCAATGATACGCTCCAGCTGCGCCTGGTCCGGTGTCCGAAGGCTTCTGTTGCCATGTTGTTGTTCGAGAAGTTGTTGTTCGTTACTGGATGTTGACGTCACCCCTACAACCTCACTCGCCGTCGACGTCGGATACTGTCGCGCCACGTAGTCCGCCAAGTGCTGCGGCGGTGCGGAGCTGGTGCTGCTCGACGCCTGCGGCTTGTTCAACACTACTGAGTGCGAAGACACTGCGGACCCGTAGCTGGACGTGTGCTGGGGCGCCGTCTGGGGCGTGCCACTATCGAACATGTCATCGGAGCTGTTGGTGGACCGCTCCCTTCCGAGGGGGACCACGAACGCGTTAGAGGCATTAGTGGCGTCAAATTGTTCTGTAGTTGTCGTATTTCCAGCTGTTGTCCTCGCCCCGGCCTGCTCCGCTGGGGCGTCCACCACGTCCTCCGTGTCTAAAACATCCTCCATATTCGGCCGCTCCGTCAGATTCGTGCTGGCCGCTGCGGTCGCAGGTGAGAGCTGCTCGTGCACGGGCGGGTGCATGTTGCGCAGGTCCAGCATCGGCACCCCGTCGGCCGAGAACCGCCGGCTCTTCGCTGACGCGGTGTCGGGCGTGGGCCGGGAAAGCAGGATGGTCTCCGGGCTGGCGTTGAGGCCTCCCGTCAGGGAACTTTGTCCGCGGTTCTTGCTTTCCCCGCCGGCAGACAACGGCAACTCGGGCGTGCCGTGCTCCGCCGGGGTGTGGTAGGACATGTCGCTGTGCCGCATCTTCGTGGGCGGCGACGCGGCCACGCTGACCACCGGTGGGGTGTGCGGGTGGTCAGACGAAGTGGCGGATGGTTTATTCTCATTTTCGCCTGTTCTTTTTCCCGAAATCTGCTCGCCCTGTGGATTGCTGGACTGAGCGTTGGTTATTTTCACCTCCGCCGGCACGTCCTCGGGGGCCGTGTTGAAACCTGGATGAAATAACCAAGTATATGGAAAAAGCGCTGAATCTTTCAAACCCAATTTTGACGTCCGTTCTTCCTTCTCGACCACTCTCTCGAAGTTCGGGCGCCAAGTAAGTTAAGCTTGCGCAAAATCATGCAATGTGGCAACAGGCGGCATGTTATGCAATAACACTGGATAATTTTACCTTCATCATCGTCCTCCCCATCGAATCCGCCTTCTGCGTAGTACTGATCTAGCCCGGAGCCCCACTCGTCCAGATTCGCGGGCGTCGCGCTACTGCTAGCGCTGCTCATGGTGCGAGAGGAAACGTGTGGTCCTCACAGCTGCATTTGTCAATGTGAAGCTCTTTTTCGTGTGGTGCTTTGTAAGTATACATTAATACATTTTTACCATGCTAAAACGAGTAGTGGAAATAATATCTTTGGCGGAGGCCATGATTTTTACGTCAATCTCCAGTTCCATGTAGTGGTGCCTTGCGGTGAAAATGATATCCAGCAAAAACGAAAAAAGAACCTACGGAAGTGTACAGAATGTACGGAAACAAGTTAAGTGTGAGATGAACCAGAAAGCAATTATAACCATGACAAAAATGCATATCCACTGCTGTTCAACTAGAAACTCCTTGCGCACCAAAAGCCTCCTCTCTCCTCGAACCGGATGTGTTGTGTTGTACGTAGAAGTTCCTGTTGCCATAAAACGACGATACAAGGCAGCAGTTTCGACAAGTTGACGATCGAAGCCAAAATTCTTTCGCGACGATTATGGAAGAAACCACGACGACCTGAGAGGGCCGCAGCCGAACGCCCCGTCCGCAGCGCCGAGACGACGAAAATGGTGCGAACAGCATAAGTAAGTAAAAGCAAATTTCATCGAGAAGAACACGCACGCTTCATCAAATGCATGGGTTCTAGAAAAAAACCGCGTGTGGTTGATATGGTCAGCCAGTTTGAGGTGGCTGTTGTTGTAGTTGTTCCCAAACAATCTTACAATTATCTTTTTCTCCGCGCGAAACATAGTTTTGGCCCCTACTAGCTGCAAAGATTCATTTATCTTACAAATAGATCACGACTGCATACAATCACCGCTATGAAACTTCAAAATACTCCCTATTTTCCAAACGCCGACCTTCTGCGACGAATTCCGCCACCTCGTCCCAGTTCCCAGGAACGTACTGCAAACAGACTGCGTTGACGCAGTGTCGCTGCGACCCCGGTCGGGTTTCGTTGAAAAACGCGTGCCCTAAATGCCCCTCGCACCGCCGACAAAGGATTTCGCACCGCTTTTTCGGAAAATCCAGCCGCAGCGCGACGTGGTACCCGTATTTTCCCCTGGAAAAGAGACACCGGTTGAAGGCCGGCCAGCCGTGGTGGTTACTGCGGAACCGGGAATCGGACCGGTAGAGCGGCAGGCCGCAGGCGGTACAGCGGAAGTAGCCTAAGACTACCATCGGGGGTGCGACGTGGGAGGTTGCGTCTGCTCCTGAGAATTGCGTAGGAGGAGGAGGAGCCTCACTGTATTTGTTCTTCCCCTGCGAAGAAGTAACGACGCCGGGATTTGTATCGCCTGGTGTTACTGATTTAGCAATGCCAAAATACTGGTCCCAGTCTTTTTCCAAATCTGCCTTTTCCGTTCCTTCCTCCCGCATCACGTAAAACGCTTCCGCGGAAAGCATTCTTTTCCACTCGTCGTTCGTCTTCTGCACAACAGAAAAAAGGCTATTCCTACTTTGTTTATGCATTTCCCCCGCACTCGTCCTCGGTACCATTTTGTCGCCCGCGAGCAACACGCTTGGGCTTTCCATCACTCTTTTCTGCAGCGTTTCCCACGTCACGAAGTTCTCGACCCAGTCGATTTGCTTCTTCTTCACGAATATCGAATGCGGATGTGTCTGGGTCTGAAAATAGAATGCAAGTCTGTCATGCTTGTCGCCCATGACTTTCAGCTCTGTGATGCATGAGCAGGAAAAGCGCCACCTCTTGTCTGTCATGCAAAAACGCAGCTTGTCATGCAGAACACGCAACACACAGGAGCTCAAGACCTTGTCATGCTTGGCTGCGTATTGCAGTGCGCCTACCATTTGCAAATTAGCAGCACAAGTTTCCAGACCAAGACATATTCGCACTGGATAGCGAAGTTCTGAAAGTCCCCATCCGGGTCGTTGTTTAACGCCTGTTCGCTGCGCTCGATTTGCTCCTGCAGCTGCGTCATGTAATCCACACGCTTCCGCACCTTTTCCACCTCCGGCTTCGCCGTTTCCAGCGCGTCCCGCAGATTGTCGGCAATTCCCTGGGAGGACCTCCGCACGGCGCTGGCGCGCTTCAAAAGCTCGTCTACATTCAGGGCGGACGTACGGGGGGCAGTGGAGGGGCTTGAGGTGGACGTCGGTGAAGACGGCGAGAGTGGGGTGCTCAGTTGTACGGATGTTGACGCGAGGGGCATTTTTGCTTTGAGCGCAAGGACGGGGCTTGGGGTTTGTTGAATCACATTTACTTCTGTGCGAAACGGGTTGAACTTGAACGACACTTGGATCGGGTGTGTGTGTTTTAGATAAGAAGAGCAGTTGACATTAATGCAGAAGGGTTGGGTTCAGGGTTCTGTACATGAAAGAGCATTATTCTATCGAAGAGGACCTCCAATCCGTCAGCGGTGGCCGAAGAGCGGGCAATTACCGTCTTTGGCTTTCTTTGCTGGACATCTTGGAAAATAAGAGTATCAACCGAGGATGTAGTACCAACCGATGTGTAGAAAACACCTCCAGAAGAACACTTACAGAACTATCCGCCCTAGCGGAGATATGCCACTTGTTGTGCGCTCTCTCTTCTGCTCGCGCTGTTGTATAGCCTTTCATTGTCATGTGTATGCGAAATCTAATGCGAAGTTCAAGTTCAGTTGTGTATTCCCAAGTAAATAAAACAAAGCGATAGCACAGGCGCCGCGAGCAGTTCTGATTCATGAGGACTGAAGAACCCGAGGAACACCGTCCCGCTCCTCTTCATATCACCTTCGAGCGCGCGGCCGCGTTTCCGGCCGCGGTGGCCGCTGGACCGCCCCCGACGTGGTACATAGGCAGGGTCTGCTCCTTCGTCCCGCCGGTAAAAGCGCTTCGTGGCGGCGAATCAGCCAACGGATTGGGCATGCTGTAGTTGGCCAGCTCTAACCCCTTCGAGCCCATCTTTTCCTCCAGCCACGCCACCGCGCCGGGATCCGTCAGCTTCCGCACCCACTTTTGCGCTGCTCCCAACACCAAGGGGCTGGTTAAGAGCGAAAACGTGGCGGCGCCCAGGAGCAACAGGTGCACCTTGTTGCTGAACACCCCCCAGTATGAAATGCAAAAATATCGCGCTAGTAGTAATTGCAATACAGCTTAGCTTAGCATTGAAAAATGGAATTTGTCATGCTGGTTTACCTTGGGAAGCAGATTTGTCATGCGTACTTATCCGCAGTTAGTACGAGTGCGTTACATTTGCAATTCATACCCAGGACTTGCCCTTCGCAAGAATTAAAAACGCGAACTCCCCCACGTGGGACAAGCAGAGGGAGATGTAGAGTGCGATGGTCAATCTCTGTCCGCCGCAGGCGACTAAGTGCAGCATGGTGGTGAAGAACTTCAAAAACGTCAGGCCCGCCCACACGACGACGATAATCAGAAAGTTATCGTACAGGAACAGCGGTCGCATCATCAGCCCAATGTAGCCGAAAAAGATCAGCATGAAGAACTCCTTCAACGGGCGGATCACGTCGGACGCCACGTCTTTGCAGGGTGGGGGCAGGGCGCAGCCGGCAAGAAACGCGCCGACCTCCTTAGAGAACGTCCCCAGCTGCTCCTATGCACTGCAAATATGTCTGGGTTTGGAAGACTGCAACTTGTGATGCTGCTTTTGCTTCCCACAAAAATCTGCATTGCGTGAGCAGCAAGAGAAGTTGAGTTTTTGCTTCGCGGAAGTGGCATTTCTCATGCGATATAGGCATCAGGAACCCCTCACGATGAAATGTGTGATGCTAGGGCAACATACACGACAGACACTATGGGTCATGCAAAATGTGCATCACAAACAGTCGCACTCTTTTCGGCCCAGACAAATTTCCATTTGATAGCTCCCCTACTAACACGACCAGTAAACACCAGAGGACGAGCAGCAGCTGCTGTACTTCGTAGGATTTCCGGAAGTAGTGGTCAAAGATCTTTTTGTTGCGGGACACAAAGTATGAAGTGCAAATTATATGTCTGGGTCTTCTGGAGGAACTTGTGATGCTGAACGCGGGATAATTGACCCGTTTCCAAGTGCTACCAAGCATGACAAGCCTGTATCGGGTTTTCTCGTAGGTAGTACGCATCACAAACTGCGTCTCAAAAGGACAAAAAACCGCTGCTCTTGCTGGTCATGCAACACAGAAATTGCACGAATGCTAGACAAGCATCAGAAGCTCTCGGTCCTTTCCAGCGCCAGTCACATATTTGCAGTGCATACAAAGCACGCGAGCAAACCCCCCGTACCGAAGAACAGAAACATCTGCACGATGGACATTTCAAACTGGACGAGCGAGAGGTTGAAGTGCTTGTTTTTCGGTACCTGCGCGTTGAAGAGAATGGGAAACACGGCGAGCGCGACGGCGAGAATCAGGTCCTGCGTCACGAGGATGGAAATCAACGCGTTGGACTGGATCGAGACCCCGTGGTCGGTGAGCGCGGACCGCTTCAATATCACCGGTCCCTTGCTGTCCGCGGGGCGGATTTTGGAGGACGCGCTCCCGCGCCGGCTGTAGCTGCGGCGGTTGGTCACGCCCCGGGGGCTGGGCGCGCCCTGGGCCGAGTCCACCTCGGACAGGACCCGGCTGGACTTGTTCCGGTCGCTCGCGGACCCGTCGTTCTTCTCGGACACGTGGCCATTTGCGGCGCCGGAGGAGGAGGACGACGCGCCGTGGCCGCTGCCCGTGCTAGAGGCGACTTATCCTGAGTAAAAACGTACCCACCCCAGAGTTGTCATGCAGATTTGCCATGACAGGAACATTTGTGACGCGCAACCCCATGACAGGCATTTTCAATCGTGTTTGGGAACTTGTAATGCTGTAAACAGGATCCGAAGGTCGATTTGTGATGCGGCTTTCCTTGCTAACTTGCACTACCTTACGGACTGAAACTTGTCATGCGTGACTCACAAAACTCCTAGGCTTGTGTTGCAAAATCCCCATCCTGACTCTGCTGTGGGTACGTTTTTACTCAGGATACGACTAACGCGGTACTGGACACACTGACAAACACGCCTACTAAAATTGCCTCCTGCAAATCCGTGCCAAGCACCGTCGCAAGGAAGGAAAAAACGGCGACCAGAGAAAACGTCACGAAGAGACCTGGGAATAAAGGTGTCGGGAGAAATTTCTACTACCTGCTTCCGATCATACCCATGGTACGACATAGCTGCGTTTTATTAGGTTTAGTCTAGTCTGTTGCGAGCGAGTTTCGAAAAAAAAAATACCTCCCGTCACCGCGGCTCGCCAGGCCTTGAGTATGCGGCGCAGGGAGAAGCTGAAGCCCAGTTCGAACATGAGGAACACTAGCCCCAACTCCGCCACGCTCTCCACTTGCACGTGCTCTTGGATCATGTTCCAACCGCCCGGACCGCACACGGACCCGCCCAGCACGCAGCCGAGCGCCATGTCCAGCCGGACGAAGCGGATTAGTAGGGCGAACACGCTGCAGAAGAACAGCAGCACGCACAGATCCCGCAGAAACCGCGAGTTATAACAGTGCACAACTCCCCCTCCCCCTCCTTTGTCATGCAAAATGCCTAATTTACGCCTTGGCTCTTGGCCCTGTTTGCATGACAAGTTCTAGCAGCCCAAATAGCACTATATTCCAGTGCAAATTTGTCATGCAAAACCAGCACCCTTGCTGATGCTTGTATTGCTGTTCATGCCATACAAATGAGGGGGAGGGGGAGTTGTGCACTTTTATACGAGTCCGCCGGGATGCTGAAGTCGGCCTTGCGCGACAGCACGTAGTGATCGCCGTCCGCGTCGATGAACTCGTCCACTTTCTTCGCGCCCGCGAATACGTCGTCCTCATCAGACGAGGTGCTGCTTATTGTGTTCATGTCGCTATTAAAAGGGTCGTTGCCATTGTTCTCTGTTGCGTCGCCAGCAGCATCTCTCCCCATCCCACTACCATTCCCGCTCCCCGCGCCGGAAGTAGAACTACGGCTACTGCTTCGAAGCCGCGCGGCGGCCGCGACGCGGGCGAGCGTCGCCGCGGAGGAGGTAGAGCTGCTGCTACTACTACTCCCACCAAGCGCTTGCGACGCACTACTGCTGCCCATGATCGCGAAGTGCGTGACCGGCTCGCCGGACACCAGCGGCAGGATGTGCCGCTCATCCAGCCGCCGGGTGGCGGCGGCGAAGAGGGATTCTTCGGGGAGGATTTTCAAGTTCCCCGCGCTGCTGTGCGGACGGAAGTTGTCGACCCACTGCTTCGGGATCTCGCACCAGAAGACCTCCACGGTGACGCGCTCCTCGGGGTCCCACGCGGGCGCGGTCACGCGGATGGCGTCGCCGTTGCGGGTCAGCTGGCCGTCGACCATTTTGGATTTGGCGTTTTGGGTCGAGAAAAAACGGATCCCGATCTTCTCCCGGTGCGCCGGGAGGAACCGCGGCAGCGGGAACTCCGGCCGGATCTCGATGGACGTGCTGCGCCCGCCGATGATGGTCGGCGGGCTAATGGTCAGGTCGCCGAAGTCCTTGTACACCCGGAACAGCGCGCCGTCGTACGGATCCAGGTCGTGCGGAATCTCGAAGGGCTTGGTGGGCTCGAAATGGCTTGTTGATGTCGGAGGTGCTGGTGCTGCGCGGGGCCCGTCGTCCTCGCTCGGGGTCGCGGTAGAAGTCCTCTTCGGGGTAGAAGTGGTAGAAGATGTTCCATCGTCGCGCCCACCCGCCTTTCTTTCGTCCCCGGAAGAAGCCGAGGCTTCTTGCTGTTTCTGTTTGCAGTCGAGCACGCTCCAAGCCCAAACGTCGGTGACGTCCCGCGGAAGCTCGAGCACGAACTCGGTATAGCCGTCGCCGCGGCCCACTTCCGTCCCGGAGACCAACCGCGGGACGTCCGGCGGCGGCCGCAGAGGAGCGGGGTGGTCCTCGGCATCTTTATTCTCGGGGCTAGTGGCCGAGGACGTCGGTTTTGTTGGATGCCGGAGCGGCAGCAGGATAAAGCAAGAACTGCCATCCCGCCGGCGAACCTTGAGCTGCGTCGAGTCGACCGGCCCGCACTCGGGCTCGAGCCGGATCCACGCGCGCGCATGATGCGGGATCAGACACACGAGCGAGGCTGCCGCGAGACACGTCCTCCGCCGGTCGCGCATAGTGCAGAAGTGAGAAATGGAACCGTCGCGCGGTGCTTTGTCATCGATCCTCGCGATACAAGAAAGAACAAACGTAAGCGAGCGAGAGGATGCAGCAAAGTGAATCAAGAGTAAACTTGTGTTTATTCCTCGAGGTATGGCGTCGCTGTAGAAGGTTTTAACTAGATCACTTGTTTATCGTGTGGATGCAGCTCGTTACAACTTCTCTGATCGCCTATCGCGCTGCGGTGTTTTGAAAAGCGACAGGACATTTTCTCGGTTTATGGTACGCGACAATCCAAAGAGTAAGCTTGGTTGTGCAGGTTGAGTGAAACGCGGTGCGAACAAGTGCGGCTCTCCGGCACAGTTTCCCTCTGTCGTATGTGACGCTGCTGCCCGCGCGCCGGGCGACCCCCGCAGACGTTTCCTCATTGGGAGCGATCCTAAAGAATCCGCCGGCAAATTCAGTGCCCGGCGGACCGTGGCGCGCGGGCCGAATCGCACACCGCGCGGTCCTGCGGAACCTCGAATTGAAAGCGCGGTGGATGCATCGTGCCCCGCCCGGCGGGCAATGACGCGACAAATCCCCGTCGAAAAACACGCGGGGGCGACCAGTTTGGCGCGGCCCGTCCCCGTTTTGTGCCTGATTCGCGGCGGCCCTTGCGCCCGGCCCGGGTGGACATAGGAAAGCCGGACCCTGTCCCCTCCTACACCGGCCTGAGTCGGCCCAAGCCCCACCCGCGGAACCCGGGTTGCTTTGCATACACCCCGGGGGCCGGATACTGTACCCGGGGCCTTTCGTAGGGATGAAACGGGACCGCGGGGCACCCGGGTAGCCGCGTTGTGCCCCTGCTCCCGCCGCGCATGTTAAGGGGCGGAATCGGACACCGGGGGGGGGGGGGGGGGGGAGTGCGATCGATTCTCCAGACGTCTAGTCCGGCTGTCTTCCATATAAGGCGGACGTCGAGAATCCATCACAGACCACAGCGTTCAGGGCCGTTTCCATCGGCTGGCCTCCATATTGAATATTGTGGCCACCTTGGTGATCTTTCCCGGATCTTCAAAATTTTCCAAAATTGCAAAAGTCGCTTGCCTCGTTGTGTAGCATCCAAGTTACGTGCGATACCCCTGCAATATGCATATTGCTTTCATTTTTACGTCATATGTACATTTTTACATTAAAGTTACATCATGAACAAAGGGCCCTGCTGTATCTCTCAACTTTTTCAAAAAATTGCAAAATTCCAAAACTGGAAAGCGCACAGAAAATTTTCTGCAAAAGGAGTAACTATTGCACCAATTTGCTACAAATGTCCAATATTATTTTATTGGCAAGACACAAACACTCTCACACGCCCGAAATTTTCAGTGATTTTCAAAATAAGAAAAACTAAAAACGTCACGACTTTCAATTTTTCGTATAAAGTAAAGCGGTGACAGTTGTTAAAGTGCTTTGCTCTTAATATTTATTGTTTGCAGACTCTGTGTCTTTATTTTTTCTTTAAATAGTACCACAATAATTTTTTTTAAAAAAATCAAAAAAGCAAAAATTTTGAAAATGATAAGAGTGCCTAATAAATCTTTCAGAATTTGGATACATTAAGAGCTTAGGTATTTTTTCTCTTGCTTTGTGATGTATGGGTGCTCCTGTGGTTGAATTATCATGATATTTCTGATTTTTTAAAATTTTCAAAATTTTCAAAAATTCACGATGTAAAAAAATCCAACATAATCATGAAAAATAAAGCAAATTGGGCGTGTGTATCGTCATGTATGTGCATCACATAGGTCCAGTAGAGTCCACGTGTGTAATTTTCTGCTATTTTTCCAATATTTGGGAAATCTGAAAAAAATGGTAAAATTGCGGCGTGCCTAATTATTTAGCCAATCAGGCTGACCCCTTACATTCCATCAGTGATGGCGTACCACCTTGGCTTCCGCACATACCAGCCAAATCAGGCCTAGCGTTTTCTGCACAATTTTAAGAAATTTAAAAAATTCAGGCCACCGCCCTCCTGCCCCCGACCTTCCTCCCTGGTGGCCCACCCCGGGAATCCAGCGCAAAGCTTCGTCGTGGGGCGTTGCGAATCGGGTGCCGCGCCTGCCTTGTATCCCCCAAAGCCGATCCGCCCCCACCGCAGGGCCCGCCTGCCAAGCCTTTGGTGTCCTTGCTGCTTGACGGGGCTTGGGGGGGTACGGGGCCCCTGCCCTTTTGCCACCGCCGGAAGCCCGCGGCAAAAGCCCCGGACCGATGCCGCACCCGCCCGCCTCGCCACGCTGGCCCAGGCGGAGCCTCTTACCCAAGCGGGCTTGCTGCAAAACCGGCCCGGGCGGCGCCAAGCTCGTTGTGCGCGGCGCCCTGTTTATCGCCCGTATCCGGTTAAGACGGCTGCCGCGGCGCCCGGCTGAAAATTCTAAGAACCGCGGCGCTCCGGCGGTTTTCGCCGACCGCGCGGAGCCCGGGAACATAAACAGCTGAAGCGACGTTCCACCTGTTTCCAGTCCGTCGTCTTTTAACCGGTCGCAAGCGGTCCAATCGCACACGCAGCGGCCGCCCAGCGCTCCCAAAGCCGACAAAGCGCCCGCACGCCTCTCGATGCGCTGTCTGCACTCGAGAGCCCCCCGCGCCGCCCGGCGAAAGTACAGGCCCAGGACTCCTGCCGAGCCCGCTCTGTGTACGTCCTGGTAGCGTGCGGCGGGTCTCTTCGCGACTGCGTCGGAGGGCGGTGGCCGAGCTCGTCCAGGAGGCGTAGTCTTCGCACTGGCCATGCGACGCGCCATGATACCACTGCCATCCATAGGCGAAATAAATGAAAACAACATTTAGTGTGATGCAAAGCTGCTCGGAAGCATCGCGATGCTCGCTCTCTCGCCAGACCGCGATTCTGCGCGGGTTTCGAGCAGTTCTCTTCCCGAAAGAAATTTCGCACAACTTTTCGTCTTGACGCAAACGCGATTTGCAGTCCGTGATGATGCTTACATACGACTGTGCACGCGCCACCGGCACTTGCGCAAAACGCGATACAATTTGTGCGACGCGACGAGTCGCTCTTAGCAATGTATGCACACATGTTTCATGAAGCATGACACAGTTAAATGCAAACAGAAATCCAGAGTGTAGAAGAGCTAAAAGAAGTTACTTACTTAGCTGCCTCCTCCTCTGGTGCTATCACTCGGAAAAAAAAGTCGCGCCCCAGTAGTCGACTGCACATCGCGATCTCAGGTAGTGGCTGTGCGCTAGTGTTTCTATGAAGCAGTGAGCAGTGTCTGGTGCCAGCGCTGCTTTGTTCCCGCGTAAAAGAAAATTAGTTCATCGATCAGCTCGATTTATGCAAGAACGTCACGACATGCTGTTGATTGTTCCTTGGTACCAAATCGAATTTTATCGGATCCGAATCGACACACAGTGCCCTGCGTCTTGTCGCCTTTCCACAAGTAGGCTTCGAGCGCGGTCAGCTAGTGCGGTCCTTATCATGTCATGCTGTCAAGATTCTCGTTGGTCTTTAGTTAAGTACGCGATCCCTCTTTTCAGATTCGGATCCACCCGGAGCTGCAAGTAGTACGCTCCAGTAGTTCCGCTAAAGTTCCAAAGCAAACAAGACAAAGCGAATATGATCTGGAAAACAACATAAATACAGCATGCGGCCGGCGGTTAGTCATTGCCCTGCTGCGTTTCGATGTTTCATCAAAATTTCTACCTCTGCACTATCTGAAAAAATAGCTTTCGCAACTACGAAACAAATCTTGAACCTATTCCTACAAAATATCTACAACAGCGGTGTACTCTCAGCCTTTGCCCTAACTGTTAGTTGAACAGTACTAGGCCTAGAAGAAGAAGCAGCTGATAGGTACAAAAATTTGAGCAATTAAAAGGATCTTCTGGTAGTGCACATCACAGTTTATTTTAGAAGTAAAATTTTTTGAACGGCAAGATAGAACGTTATCATTGAAGGGAACAAAGTACAACTTTATTCATCGTATCCCATTGCATATACTTGTCGAATAAAACATCAAGACAAAATGAGTCGGCCCGCGCCTCGGAGTACCTTCCAGAAGCCGGAGAATGCGCTTCGTCGGGCGAAGGAACTCGATTCGGTGGGAAACCACGAAGATGCCCTGGCTTTGCTCGGTAGGATTATACTTTTTGAATCTATTCCAAGCAAGTCTTGCATTATTTTTTTCTTACTGTAAGTCCGCATTACAAATTTTATTTCTCATGCGGAGGAAATTTGTAATGCATTTGTACAGGTGACGTGATGGGCAATCGGAAGTTCAAGAACAGCAATACGTTGCACGTAATGGAGCAGATTGCCATCTTCGCCCTCGCGGGCCTGTCCGTGCCCCTGAAGGACCTGAAATCCGCCCGGGACATTCTGATCAACTACCGTTCCATGACGCAAACCACGGCGACGTCGTCCCTGGAAAAGGTGGTCCGCGAGTTTCGGTCCGCGGCGGAAAAACTCGTGACCGACAGCAAGGAGAAGGCGTCTTCCCTCGCCAAGGGTTTAGATGATGCCCCGGAGGACCTGGAAACGCTGGACACCCCGGACAACGCGCTGCGCAAAGCGCTGAAGCCCAAGAACGTCCGGGAGCAGGAGAAGAAGGAGCGGGAGGTATCCTAAGTAAAAATGCCCCCACCCCAGAGTTGTCATGCAAATCTGCATGCCAAAAAAGTTTCTCATGCGGAGCCCCATGAGAACCATTGTCTAATCCTTTTTTGGAATTTGTGATGCTAGGATCAGCATGATATGTAGTGAGGTCACCGAACGGTTCTAACCAGGGAGTTTTTTTGACATATACCCTACAAAACGACCGGCACTTTTCAAGCGACCGGAAGCGTTTTTTAACATAAAAAATTCCAATTATCAAGCGGCCTTGGCTGACCTGGCACCGAATCGCCAGCGGATTCTATCGGTCGCCGCTTGAAAAAACGACGCAGAGGAGCCAGCAAAAGGAGCGCCATTCTGAGGCGCCCACCGCCTTAGTTTCTGGCGGTTTGGGGCGCCCAAAAGGGCGCCTGGAAAAAACGCGCCCAAAATCAGAACAGCGAAACAGCATGGCACGGCCGCGATTTCGGAGCATTTTTGGCGGCCGCGAAAGCGGCCGCGTTTTCGCCGGTTTCAGAGCCTCGGAAGCTTTGCAAAAAGCGCCGGCGCGAAAAATAAAAACGCAAAAAAGAAAAAGCGCGCCAGACGCGCAAAGCCAATCCGCATGTTATGGGCCCGATTTTTCTTCGCTTTTTGGGCGCCCCCCGTGGCACCCGGATCGGCCCCATAGCATGGGGGCTGGCTTTCTGAAAGGAAAATCGGGAATTTGCCAAAATTTGCGACGTTTATCAAGCGGCCGCCATAGCGTGCGGCCTAACGTTACTCACGGCGGTATGGCGAGCCCAGAAAAAGCAAAGCCGCGGCCAAGGCAACGGCCGGCAAGAAAACGCCCACGACCTCACTACCTCCGCCCCGGCGGCTATATTTGGTATGCTACATCTGTGATGCTTCGGAGCTAGCTAAACAGGATTCCACTACGAGGATAAACTTGTCATGCGAAACAACCAGAGGTGGCTGATTTGTCTAGCGGATTTCCCATCTTGACTCTGGTGTGGGGAGATTTTTACTCAGGATAGTCGGTGCTGGAAAACATCCGGTTCATGTGGGAAACCTACAAGCAGATTCTGGACGTTTTCAAAACCAACGGGAAGACGGAAGACTTGTATTTCTATTTATACTTGAATTCATTGTTTTCATACTTATTACTTACACAGCAGGGGCTACAGTTTGTTTCTGGATTTGTGGTCTGTCTTCAGGTATGGTTTGTTTTTGTCATGCGAGTTGTATTGGATGAACCACGAAATCCACTAAACTCCTTCCAGGTACAACGAAACCGCCCAGCGCGCCCTGACCTTCTGCATGGAGAACCGCCGAACGAACGAATTTAAAAAGTTGTGCGATCTCCTGCGAAACAATTACCAGAACCTGTTCAAGCGCGCATCCGCTACCGGAGTCTACCCACCGCATGCGGTAATATCTAAGGGGTTTTTTCCTCGAATAAAAGTTTGATGTGCTCATGCAGAATCCACTCATCAGTTTCTTTTTGTCATGCGAGACGTGTGGTCACGTTGAAAGAAAATCTTCATTTTCACAGGTTAACCCGACGGACAAGGACACAATCGGGCGAACCATCGACACACGGTGCTTTCAGCTGAAGGTTTCCGGCGAATTAGCGCTCTGGAAGGAATGCTTCAACACCGCGGAGGATCTTTATTCCCTGATGACAAAGAGTACTATACCGATGTTGCTTGCAGTTTTGGCGCGAAGATGATGAAGTTTTTGTCATGTACAGCCCGCGAAACTAGACAATACTTAGAGCATATGAACAAGATCTACTTGTTAGCGCCGCAGTTAAGTGATTCGCTTTTCACCTATCCCGTACTAGCTGATTCATTTTCTGTTATGAAAAAACCTAAAACCCAGCAGCATACATTACTCCTGTATACAAAACAAAACAACAGAAAAACCGCGTGCCGCCACGCTGGCGCAGTACTACGACTTTTTGTCGCAGATCTGTTTCAAGTCTGGGTCCTTTTTATTCCACGCCTACGCCCTGGTCCGCAACTACACCCTGCACAAGATCAACCAGAAGAGTTTCCAAGGCGAGGAAAAGACCCGCATGGCGAGTATCGCGGTCCTCGCAACCATGTGCGTTTCTGGGCATTTGCACGAGACTGGGGAATCCTTCGGGCCCGACCAGGCGGAGGTGGAGAAGCTGCGCCGCATGGCCCAGCTGTTCAACGTGGCCACCGTGCCCACGAAGAACACGTTGAAGACGGACTTGCAAATCCGGGAAATCCTCATCGACGCGCTTCCCGCGGTGCGCAAATTGTACCAGCTGATCGAGCTCGCGCCGCAGGTCGGCAAGGGTTTCTTGTATTCGAAGGACATCTGCGCCAAGTGCAAGCCGATGTTGGACGAGCTGCGAGCAAACCCGGACACGGCCGTGTATGTTGATTGAATTATTGATGTTATAGGATTTAGGATTTTTGCATGAATTGATATGTTGCGGGGGCCACATGGTAGTTTGATGCGACGTGAACAAGTCCGGGCAGCTTCTAAACAGACAATCTAAATGATGCTAAATCATAAATAATCTTGATCTTTTGCAGGCAGCGAACATGAAATGGTAGGTCCCTACCTCACACATCAACCGCAAATAACATGGAAAAAAATCCTACAAATACAGGTACTGTGACCAGCTCCAGAAGGTGATCTTTTTCCGTCTGCTCGGGCAGCTGGCACGGGTGTATTCCACCATGACCGTGGAGCAGCTGAAGAAATTGTGCCAGCCCATCGTTGACTTCCCGACCGCCGAGAAGTGGATGATCAGCAGCGCGCGCGACAGCGGCGTGCACGTGCAGTTGGACTACGTTCGGGCAGTGGTGGTTTTCGGTATTGATAGATGATAATACGAAAGAACTTTTTACATGGGTGGAATTTTGTGATAGGGTGGATAGATCTAGCACCGCGTGCCCTTTGTAATGTTTTACTACTTACACATACGCCATTTCTTCTTGCCACAGATCACATTTCGTGGTCGAGTTGTTTGGTGTCATTCAGTTTTACTTACTTACTCCCGCGCATTACAAACTGGAAATACAAGAACCCTTCACGACCCTGAAAATACAAACCATTCAACAGCCAACAAGACGTCCAACGATTTGTCCACCCTCCGGCAGCCGTTGATCAACATGAGTGACACCACGTTAGGGCAACTGGCCAAGGTCTTCCCCGGGTTGGAGCAGTCCAGGAAAGCGGACCAGCGGTCCGAACTCTTCGGCGTGCTAAAGGACAAAAAGGAGAAGGAGCAGGTGGAAATCGAGAACCGCGTGAACGAGATCGAGCGGCGCAACAAGGAAAAGGCGGAGAACGAGAAGGTGGAACAGGAAAGGAAGGAGCGCCAGGTGCTGCAGCAGAAGGCCCGCGACCAGAAGGACACGCAGGCGCGGCTCGAGGCCGAGAAGAAACGCCGGGCGGACGAGGCGGCCAAGAGCAGGCGAAACGACCTGGACAAGCGGCGCATGATGGAAGTAATTGAGGAACTGCGGAAAATTTACTACGAGCAAAACATCAAGATCGGGGAGTACAATCTGAACGACATTTCAGAGCAGGACTTGGAAAAGCTCGAACTCACCTTCATCGAACAAGAGCGCACACGGATCATCCAGAAGGACCGCACGGACAAGGTGCGCCAGAGGAAACAGGAAGCCAAGCGAGTAGACCACCTGGCCCGCGCGTTCCGCCTGATCGCGGCCGACAAGATCCCGGAGAAAGCGGAACTTTTGCGGGAGGAGCAGGAAGAAATCCTGGCAAAACTCGAAGAGGAAAAGATCGCCGCCGCAAAACTCGAATTCGAGAGAAATTCGGAGAAGAAGAAACTCGCGGTATTTTTTCATAGAATTGATTCTACTATGTTGTCGGCTGTAGTTTGATACTTGTCGATTTGTACTATTTACTCGCAGTGGTACTGCCCCAGCGTTTGCATAATATCATCATGTAGACCACCAGGTAAGTGGACTAATGCAGTGCATAGAATTATTGACAAGTGATCTTCTCTGCTACAATGAGACAAATGTTCAACATCACAAAACCTTCTTAGATCGCCGCCTTGGCCGGCATCAAAGCGTGGCAGGACGTGCACATCGGCAAGAGGGAGGTCGAGTACCAGGAGAAGCTGCGATTGAAACAGAAACAGGAGTGGGAGAAGAAGTGCATGCGGGCGGTGCGGGCGTATATGATGGACATGGAACAGAAGGAGCGGGAACGGGAAGAGGCAGAGGAAGAGGAGCGACTCATGCGGGAGGCCGAGGAAAAGGAAGCGAAGGAGCAGGCAGACAGGGAAGCCAGGTTGGAAGCCAGAAAAGCACAGGAGGTATAGAACTTCTATGATATAAATACAGGCGACGTTTGTCAGTATTGAAAAATGGTTCACAGCGGTTATGTGCTGTCGCTCATCTAACATTTGTCAATAGCTTCAACATCATGCGCGGAGCAAGTCTTTTTGTACACTAGCGTGTGTATTTATTCCTGTTGGTGTTGTCTGCATTATTTCTTTGCTCCGCTTGTTCACCGTAAGTATGCGAAAACGGAGTAGCATTTCTGGAAAAACCCAGAATATAAACCATTCTCTCCATCGATCTCTATCAAAGGCCGAGCGTGAGCAGAACAACCGCGACATGGACAAGGGGAAGCGTGAGGACAAGGGTGGCAAGTCCTCCGCACCCCACGCCAACGGGAACAGCAGCAACTGGCGGGACGAGGAACCGCGAGGTGGAGACAAGGGGAAATCCTCGATGAAAGCGAACGGGGACAGCGGGAAGTTCAGCTCAAGTCGAGGAGACAAGGACGGGAAAGACGGCAAGGGATCATCGTTCGGGAAGTCCGACAGGTTCGGGGGGAAGGACAACAAGGACAGCCGAAAGGACGACGACCGCGATTTCGGAAATTTGCGGGACCGAGGGAGCAACGAAAGGTCCTTCGACGACCGTCCCTTCGGGGCCAAGCGGGGCGACAAGGGCAAGGGCAAAAACGACCGCCGAATGGACGACGGGGACGACTGGCGAGGGGCCCGCGGCGGCGCCGCACCCGAGCGAGGGGAAAAGGAACCGCCAGCAGAAAAGAGTGAAGAGGGCGGAGCGGGAGCAAGGTACTGTCACTTTTACAATTTTTCACCACCGTGAAGTTGATTTTCCAATGCTGGTGTTGTTGAAGTTGATTTATCGCAAATAAAGGGAAGATCATACACAAGAACTGTGCATGCTCTTGATTGTAATTCGCGACATCATTATTTTCAAAAAGAGCATTAATTCATTCCCATTTTCAAAAAACAACAGACCCATCCCCGCCTGGAAAAAATACGCCATGGAAAAGAAGAAAGGTGCTCCACCGGCTGAGGGCGCATAGACGAGGAGCAGTGCCAACATGTTGCTGGGTATAGCTTGGTACGGTGATATGAGAAAAAAACAAACATCTTCAACACTATTCTATGCACAAAACGTCGAAATGAAAAGAACAACCTCAAGGTCGAAAAATGAAAAGTAACAGTTACAATTTTTTCTGTAGCACTGGGGTATCATGGCACGAAGATGCGAGGGGACAGCGCGAGGTTTAAATAAATCCGTTCCCCTTGTCGTCTCGATTGACCGGTGCTATGTGCAGATATTGCAGCGCACTGTATCCGGTGTAGTGCGATTGCAAAAAATGAAAGTGCAGTAAAAGAAAATTCTCAAGAAGTATCTTCTACTATCAGCTTGTGTTTATCCGATTCATTGTTACTTACACCGAAGATGTTGGAAAGTAGGCGTTTTATCACTCTGTTTCACACGACTGAAATGGCGATTCAGAACGACACATGTACGACAGACCAGATAATTTTGCGTTGGTGAAGAAACTGGCAAATCTAAACAAAAGAAATGGCGCAGTTTCAAAATGATCACCAGTATTAAACTAGCTGATGGGACGAAGATAAAGTTGACAACGACAACCTATAAGACTTATTGGTATCACAAAAAAGCAACCCTCACTGCATCTACTTCTCCGGACGACTAAATACTTTTCACAACATCTTTCACAACCACGGCGAAATAAAACTGTAGCGCGGGGGACATTGTCCAAGCAAAAACTTTTATCATGTGTAACAACTTTTACTCGTGTCTATCTCTAATGGTACAGTATCACTAGAATGTAACATAAATGGGAAGACTTTTCATCAGCGGATTGCAGAAGCCCAAATGTACGAGCAGAAGATAAAGTTCCAAAACAACTTCTGGATTCAGCATTGGTTTCATCCACTTTTCTGATTTCTAGACTTTACATGATGTAGATGGTGCTATTAAAGCCGCGACTTTATTTTGCGGATCATCGAGACCTTCGCAGCAATTTTCGCCTTTTAGGAAAAAAAAATGATAGTACTAGGTCGTACAAAGAGCGCCATAGCTGCGTCATCGCGGCTATTCGTGGTGGTGGTGCCGTGCAACTTCTCCTGTTCTTTCCGGATTTCAACCGCTTTCTGTTTTGCTTTGGTCCCCGTGGTGCCCGTTTGGGAGGACGTCAGTGCGGGTGGAGGGAAGTCGTGGCTCATTGAGATTTTTGAAAAGTGTTTCCTCCGGCCTATCAGTTGAGCGTGTGCGTGTCAGGGTTATTTTCTCTTTTGTTGTTCATTTTCTTCTGAGCGACATGAGAAATAAACGAAAACTTGCGGCACGACGAGGTTTCAGAGGGTGTCGCAAATGCAGAGTTTTTTTCCGCATCCTGTAGAGTGTGAGGGAACGTTAAGAAACAAGTCCACGTGTTCTGATAAAGCCAAACCCCAGCGTCAGCCTGAGGCTTAGTTCTAGACGCGGAAGTAGTTACGGATAAATAATTCTTTTCTATACGAGCGATCCACAGCACCTCTGTATCTGTATTTGTACATATCCAGTCGTCTTGAAAACGTGTTTTCTGCTACTGCGAACGATTTATCTATCAATTCGAATATCTCGAACAAAATGCCGGACCCGCCGCCTCGGAATGCGTTTTTTAATCCGGATAGGCAGCCCTCAGCGACCGGGGGCGCAACAAGCGGCGCAGCCGTAGCGCAGCAACGGATGAAGCAAACGACGTGGGTACTTTTCGCGTCTATCAAGAAAGAGGATAAGGACCAAAATCTGATTGCGCAATAGGGTGAAACTATTTCAGTAGATTCGGGCAGTAGAGCCACGCTCTGCACCGCATTTTTCACACGTGATGGCTACTACAGGCATGGGACGAGATGCTGTGATAGTAGGGACTAGAAGAACTACTCGATTAAGAAAGCGCATTTATTAGACCGAGTCCTGGTGGAGGACAAGGAATTGTAGGATCCTGTCACATGATCTTCAAACCCTCCACATACTGTAACTAGGCGAGCCGGCTCCAGCAGACCGGGACCACTTCCAAGGGGCCGTGCAAGCCATCCCACGAGCACTCCGCCATGATTGGAACAACCGCTGCGGGGGGCAGTGGCTCCGCGACAGGAGGGAACCTGATCAACAGCAGCACTTCGGCTTCTTCCCTCGTCCTCCCCACACTTTTAACCAGCAGCGTGGTGAATCCCGCCACGGCTGCGAGCAGTAAGCCGGTCACCGAACGGAGTGCTGGGAGCGGCTGCAACACGAAGACAGAGGAGGAGGAGACCACCAGCCGCACCACTTCGGAGTACGGCGACGACACACCCCCGGTGATCCGCCGGCGGGGGAGGTACTTCTATTGCGCATTTCTGTCTATCATGCATAAAAATGCATCACATAAAATATTGTTGCAATTTCATAGGCAGCTTACCTACTCATGTTGGCGCAATACAAGAAAATTTCTCATGCAAAACCTGCATGTTAGTGACTTTTTCGCACTGCTTTCTCTCCACATACTACATCCAGGCGGTCCTCCACATCCTCTATGAAGCGGCGGGCGATGTTGCAGCGGCAAGTGGCGCCGCCGGTGCACATCAACCCGTCGACGGACTCGGATTGCCAGTCGCCTTGGGATATCAAGCGCAAATATGTCCTCGGCGGCGTCTGGGAAGTTGTAATGCCAAAATGGAATGATAGGCGCAATTTTGGGACGCCATGTGTTGTTGTGTATTCCGCATGGCACATTGCGTTTTTGCATGCCAGGTAAGGGGCCCTCATTTATTTCGACGTCTTGCCCATGCGTCACATAGGTCTTGTGCTTGTCAGACATACATGACAGTCTTCCAGACCACCAGATCGATAGAGTTGCAATGCATACTGGAGTGCCCTCCGCCCCTGGTTCTCTCGGACGACGAACGGTACAGCTGCAGCTCGGGGTCCCACCGCCGGCTGCACCGGAAATGCTCGGACGTGGGATCGGAAATCACCCTCGGTGACGCGGACGGCTTGTCGCAACTGTTCGACGGCGACAGCCCGCGCACCGTGAAGTCGCAGGAAAACAAAAGCTCCTTTCTGCACGTCGGTGGAACTACTTCTACTACGGGGAGTGCGCTGCTGAAAAACCCCGCGCCCGTCACGCCGGCAAGTAACAAATAAGCGTTTTGCTGTACTATGTTGAGAAAATGCAACATGGAAATCAAATTACTAGACTAAAGCCAGTGCACCGCTCTTCGGCCGCTGTTCTACCGCACCGCCACAGCATGAAGATGACAGCACACACGCATTCTTCCATAATTTGCATAAAGAAACAAATTTCATCCCCAGGTATCGGCAGCAACCACCTGAATGACTTATCCAAACCGCCGACGCCGCAAATTACATCGCCGAAACCCGGCAACCCGAATGCCAAGCCCTACCACCCGGTGATCCGCGACAAGGAACGGTTCGTGCAGCGGGTCAGTCAGCAGCAGAAAAAGACGATGAACAACAACGAGGAGCAGCTGCGGGACATGACCATTTTTTCCGGGAAAGAAATGTCCGATATTATGGACTACTTTCTCACCAACGTCGGCGACCGCAAGAACAAAAAATCCTCCTCCTCCAGCAGCAGCTCCCAGTGCGGACTGACGAAAGCGAAGCACCAAGAGTTCCACAGTGAGCTTGCGAAAAAACGGTTCGCACAGTACGACGACCACAGCAGCAGTACGAAAATGGGAGAAAGTGGTACTTTGCTGCTGAAGTGTACTGATCTTCCGAAATTTCAAACTCTTGATTTCTAGTAGAGGGGAGATACTTGTTGCGAGGTCAAGACCTTTGGGACAGAATTTAATTATTTCAAAAGTCACTTTTATTTCACACGACGTACAACACGATTTACTTCAGCCTCGCACCTGTTTGGCCGGCGGAACAGCAACGCGGATTGCTTGCGCGGCAGATCCGACTCCACGGATTCAAAGGCCACCACCCGGTCGGCGCCAAATGCCTGTCGGTTGGTCAAAGTGGCTGCTGGGGAATTCAGTTCGGTATAGTATTAGTGACTGCAGCTGAAGAGAGTACATATCGCAGGGGCAATTTTGTAAGGATCACGTAGAGAACTACTTGGGTCGGCGACGGCGTGTGCTGGGAACACGTTTTTTGATGAGGAAAATTATCATGGCAACAAGTGTAGTTTCCATTTCGAAATAATCAATTTTGCACAAAAATCTATCAAATCGCAGGAAGCAGCTGCCGATAGTCGGGGTGCCACGCCCTGCAGCCAGCGTTCGGCGCCGGCGCAGAAGCTCCGCAGTGTCAACCGGGCGCTGCTGGCGACGCACACCGCAAGTTTTGTTGGGGCGGACAAGGAGCAGGAGGCGGTGGAACCAATTGCATCTTCATCAACCGCTCCTGTTTTCGTATCGGGAACATCGATCGAGCTGCAGCAGAACACAAGTTGTTCGTCGCCTTCGCTAGCAGATTCCTGCGCTGTAGCTGCAGTCAAAGCAGGAACTAGTGCCGATCTTGACGGAGCAGGGACCATGGGGAGTGGCTTCGTTTTGGCAGCTTCTACCGAGGAAGATGTTGCACCGCCTTCGGGAGAAGAACGGGCGGCATTCGGCACCGAGCCTGTGGATCTCGCAGCCGGTTTGGGGGAATCTACTGGAGGTGAACAACAAAAAAAATCGTCCGCTTGTTCCTCGATCAGTACCACAACAGCTTTGGTTTCATCCTCTGCCGCTGGTGAAAACGCAGCAGCGGCTGCAGTGTCGCAAACTGTACCAACTACTGGAGAAGATGAGCAATCCGTGCAGATGAAGAAGAGATCTGGGAACAACCATGGTGCCACGATGGGTGGTAGTGCGAAAGCTACGAATGCCTGCGAACAGCAAGGAAGAAACTCAACAGTCAAAGAGACAGCAGAAGAACTCGTAACGGAAAACAATATTGGGTCTACTCCGATAGAAAAACAAGAACTGAGCGCTTCCAAAAATTTGCCGGACGAGCATGGGCAAAGTACAGCAGCGAAGCCCGACAGCATCGGTACGACCGAATCAAAAAAATCTTCTACCACGTCTCCGGAATTGACGAGAAAAGCAACAAACTTGGCCTCCGCGGTGTCGTCGACGAAGTTGGAGGATGCTTGTGCGGCAAATCTTGCGGCTGCAAACTGCTCCCCAACCACTTCCTCGACCACCTGCTCGCCGCAAACCACTTCCACCGGTCATAATTTCTCCACGTCCCCGACGCGCTCGGTGAAGCCCTCTTTTCTCGCGACACTGACGGGAAAGAACAAAATTAGCACCTCTGTTCAAGTGGAAATGAGAAGGGAGAAAGAGCCTGGTGGCTTCAGTACTACTGCAAGCGGGTACGGAGTCGTGGGAACTTCCCTGCTGAGCAGTAGCGGTAACAAGCAATCCATGGTGACCTCCAGTTGCACACAATTACCCTTCACGACCAGTTCCGGGAACATGGCCCGAGGTTGTACTACTGCTGGGTCCTCTACTTCCGCTGCAGGTCAACAGCAGGGTGCCGCTTCCATGTCCATGCAGGGCAACACCTTCACCTCCTGGATCGGGGACAGCAAGGGCAAGCAGAACAGCTGCAGCCCAACGTTGCCGCCCCCGTTGAGCAGCACGAAGCACTTTCCGGAGTTGTCCGCGTCTCAGTCATATGGATTGCAAATATGTCTGGGTCTGGAAACTTGTAGTGCTCAAAGTGAATGATAGACGCGCCACAATGCGCAGCTATGCATGATAAATTTTGTGGCTGCCTTGTCTTACGTATTCCGCATGGCAAACTGCCTTTTTGCATGACAGTTAAGAGGGCTCTTTCGTGCCTATGCAACACAGATTCTCGAGTCATGCCAGACAAGCATGACAGACTTGCATTCTTCCAGACCCAGACATTTTTGCAGTTGATAAATCAAGCTTAACCCTGTCGCCCCCGAACGGCAGAGACGGGCAGCTTTCCAGCCGCAGCTCGGGATCCGCAGAGGGGGAACTGCACCACGGGAAGACGAATCAGGGCGGGAAGCAAGCCAAGTCCTCGCGGGTGGGAGCGGCTACTTCAACATCTTCTGCGCAACAGAGCGAGAACAAGTTGTCTCCCGCCCCGGCGCAGCCCGGATCTTCATCTTCAAGTGGTTCTAGCACGACGGGCAGTCCGAACCAGAGCAGCAAAAGTGTTCAACAGGCGAATATTAAGCAAGGTGGTCCTTCTAGTACTGGTACTACCTCCAACAGCATGATGAACACAGCCTCGAGCACTTGTTCCACCACCGTCTGCTCAAAAACAGCTACGGTAAATAAAGCCACATCTTCAGCTAGCACATCGATTTCTTCTACAGAGAACACGACGAAGGTGGATCAACAACACCTTCCCACCTCCTCTCCCGCCGCACCAGAACAACTGGTGCGCACCTCCTGGAGCGCGAAAATGCAGCAGAATAAGTCAACCTCGTCCGCCGGCGCACCCGCAACTGCATCGGCAAATGGGAATAACAGCACTTCCTTCCAGCCGGCGCCGCGCACTGCTGCAACCAGCAAGCAGCAGGGAGGTAGTAGTTCTACTTCTACTACAACTTCTTCGAGGGGACCAGTTACCTCTGCGAGCTGCAATCTGGTGCAGCAGCAGCAACAGCGGCAGAAGGATCATACTACCGCTAGTACAACCGTGAACAGTGCAAAAAGTAGCTGCAAAAATAACACCACTACGACATCATCAAAGAACTACTCGCTCTCTACTTCATCGGGAGGTTCTACCACGGTGGAGCGGAAAGAAACCACCCTGGACGAGCCGGTGTGTCTACTCGGCCCGGAAGTGATGCCGCTGGAATCGGTTTCGGTGAGCACCTCGGGGGCCACGGGCTCCGGTCCGGCCCACGCGAAAAATGGAGTTCCGGGCGACGAATCTTTCGGCGCGTCGCCGCGCCGGCGTACGCGACCCGTTGACCGTTCCAGATTGCTACAGCTATGCATAATTGCAAAAGTTGATGTGTCATACTACATATAGATTGATGTCCATCGTAACTTTTTTGAAGAAGAGAAATAACCGAAGAACTTCTCATGCAGAGTTTTTTCAAGGTACGAAAATAAAACAGGCTTGTCATGCGACATTTTACAGTTAGTACATACAACTTCGATTTTGCACAGGATAGCAGCAGAGCCGCGACAACATGCGAAACCAGCGGGCGAACCGGCAGCAAGGGTCAGCAGCTTCGACGGGGGTATAATTTGTATTGTTCGTGAAATATTTTTCATCATACATTCGAATTTCAATTTCTTCATGTTCATATGCCTTTGCAGATTTGAAAATTCCTACGCGCGTTTTATTCTTGCAGAATAGACAGAGTTCTTGAGGCCAGAAATAAACCATTGTGTATTCCGAGGTACCCGGCGGCACGACGGGGACGATTGGCAGCCTGAACGCGCAGAGCGCCAACCGCCAGCACCTGCGCGGCTGAGGATACTGAACAGTTTCGGGTTGGTTCTTTGTGTGAGAAAATTACAACATCTTCATGGAACGAACTTTTTTTCTTCTTTTCGTACTTAATCGTGTCCTCTCTACTCGCGTAGTTTGTGTTCAAAATGTGGATGCTCTCGCGGGACTCGACAGGAATAAACAGGACTACGCGGGAGCGGCAGGAGTCGCAAACTTCATATGCCTCTTGGATCATTCGCTAGGGTAGTTGTCTGCCTGGGGAAAAGTCGCAATTTCTTCACATCTATTTTACGAACAACATCGATGCTGGTCAACATCATCCCCAGATGAACTGAAGTAGCTGCTACCTGTCTTGATATTTTATGAAAAAAAGAATAAAGTCGGGTTATTTCCTCCTCGACTTTGAAAATTCTTATCTTACATTGATTCGTTGGTCTCGTTGTTCCAAAGTTTGACCGATGAAAAGTAAAAATCCCACTCTTGGTCCAAAGTTTTTGAAAAATCTTGAGTTTTTTAGCATGACTATCACCTCTCTATAGCTTTCTTTGCATATTAAGAACTACTGCCTCGAGCACCTGAAGCCGCTAGCACTTGCTATGCAAACCTGAGGCCCGGAAAAGTTGTGGACGCGCTTCTGGGGTCTGCTGCGATCTAAAACGCGATCGCGGGGGCCCGGATGAAGATCTTGTCCATAGTCTGTACTTTTTCTTCTCGTCTATCTATACAGCGCGTAGATAGGGCGTACATAAAGAATGTCAATTTATTGTGCCGCACAATAGTTGCGGTTCTTCCACCGGGAGAAAAGTCGAAGGAGTAAAAAGCTTCGGTCAACTTTTTTTCTCTAAATTTCGCAATTTCTTGGCAGCATCATCCGACTACATGCTCACTACTTACTCTGCAATAGGCCCATTTTCAACGTCCTGCGTCGATTCCACTGTCGACGCGAAAATAACGAATGCTTCGCATGCAAACAATCAACTTGGCTGCAATATTATTGATTCCTATATCGTATTTCAAATACCCAAATACCAGCGCGATCAGTGGTTTGCGGTAGCTGGTGCCCCCGCATAGAGTTACAACTCTTGTTGATGTATAGGCACCGCATTGATTGTCGGGTACTATTTTGTGACGGGCAGAAGTTATTTTTACATCGTAACTATTTTTACTTAGCAAAAAATCTACACCCCTGTAGGTACTGCAGCGCGACAAGAACAGTCGTCGCACGAATTGGTCTTGTTTGTTTTGTATTCAGATTGGTAACATCTAACATCAAATTTCGTATTCGTTTCTAATTATATCCGTGCAATGTACTCCTCCTTCACATCTTTCAACCATCGCTTCAAGATTGATGCGACCACTCATCATTCGCACGCTATTAACAAAAACCGGGCCTCGACATGGTTCCTTTACTTGAGGGCCGATGGTCGAGCAGGATCATCCGCAGTATCTATTTTAAAAACATGCGGTTCTCGTTGAAGCTATCATTTTTCTCTCTGATTACTTTTTTCCACTTACGACGCACTTGTAAATTCGGCGGAAAAAATCGTTCCTCCGATTTATACCAGTAATGAATCCTTCAGCTTTACTTAGGTCTTTTTAGCCCAGCTGTCGAAAAAGTTGACGCTCGGGTCCTGCAGCACAGCGAGAGCAGGGAAAATATCTTTTGAAATCTGATGACAAACTTCGTCCTTCTACGCTTTAATACAACCGACTGGAGCAGTTGTTGTGAAAAATACTTTATTCCGGTCAAACTTTGACTGGTGGTTTCTTCGCCTTCTTGCGCGAAAACAATAAACGGCATTGCACTCGACGCACTCGGGAAGATGAGCAGAACACTTTAGATCTCTTGCAGATTATTTTTACGCCGTAGTACAACAAACTTCGTTTTGCCACTTATCTTCGCAGTAAAATCTTGATTTCTACTGCATTTTAGCATTTTAGAAAAGTCTAGTATTCGGTACTAATAAAAGACGTCTTCTTTCGAGTACAAAATGAACTTACAACCACTGCGGCCAACCGTTCTTTATTTTTCGCCGAAAAATTCTTGGTCGCAATACCAATATCGTCTCTGTGGTTTTTACTAGCAGAAACGTGGAGAGCACAGTCAAAGTGGACCGATATGTTCTTGAAACTGTGTTCCAAAACCAAAAGCGAAGGTCGAAACAACACGTGACTGCGATCAAAAATTTTTAGCTGTGAAAATCGAAGCCTCATGTGAGTCAAATTTGCCGATCCTGAAAAAGAGCTAGAAAGTTTCGTGAAGATGACCAAAATTATTTGCGAATGATGTCCAACAAATTTGCCGATCTTTTTCTTTGCAACCTTTTTCAAACGTTCTCCAGATCCGCCGCAATTATATCTTTTCGACACGTGACAGGCGAGTCTAAGCAGTACCCAAGTTCTGAATACAGTACACCCGAAAGAAGCTGTATCAAGACTCAAGAGTCAGAAGCTACTACCGCAAGAAGTGTAGTACTACCCCACCCCCGTTTGGTAGTTTGTTGTTCCTTAGCTGATTTATTGCGGTCGTCCAGAGTTTTGTCTAGTAGCACGTAGAAGACAACCGCAAGAATAGTAGTAGCTATTTTCCTCCTCCTCCTACATTCCTCGCTTCTTTTTTTTCGAGTCATCCGCGCAAAGTAGCGACCTGGAAAGCGATAGTACATCAAGTTAGATTGAATAAGCACCGCTCCCCGAGAAGACATCATGTCGATCCCTGTGTACGGAAGGAGAAGAGGGTGGGTGCCTCGCAACCCGGGGGACTTTGGGGATGGCGGCGCGTTCCCGGAAATTCTGGTGCCGCAATACCCATTGTTGATGGGAAAGCCGGGTGTAAAGCCTACGGGAGGAGGTAAAGAGCAATTTGTTTATAACTGTTTCTTGACGTAAAACTTGGAGTTTTCATCGCTCTACTCCCCGCAGAGGAGGTTGTTGTTCGAGCAAGTTTTCATCTACTTCCCTGCTGCCCCTGAATATAATGGATGCAAAGAGCAGCCACCGCAGAATTTTGAATTGCGCAATAAGATCGATGTTCAAAAATCCTCCAACATCAACTACTACTACCTACAGATAACAAGACCATCGCCCTCCAAACGGGGGCGGACGGAAAAATCGCGTACGATGCGATCGCCCGCCAGGGTCGGTCCGCGGACAAGCTCGCGGTGTACACCAACGCCGCGTCCATGAAGGAAAAATGGTCCCGCTCGGAGGCACTAGTGAGGCCCGAAGCGGAGGTGGACGCCGTGAACACGAGTCGGACGCAGCTCGCGCTGCAAGAAATATTGAAGAAAAAAGTGTCCGTGGCAGCTTCCCAACTAAATCCGGGCGGAAACGAGAAAAAGTCCAACTTTGTGAAGTACACGCCCGACGAGGACGCGCCGGGGTATAACCCCGAGGCCGCGAACCGGGTCATCAAAATCACGGAGCGAGCGGTGGACCCGCTGATGCCACCAAGGTTCAAGCACAAGAAAGTGCCAAGAGGACCAGGTATAGAAATCGAAATGACAATAGATATTACCGGTAGTGTTTCAGTTTGACACCTCAACATCTAGGATTACATGAACAAAGTACGTATTTCTACTGTACTACTCCACTTCCACCAGCAATATCGCACGATATAAAAATTACCTACAACTCTAGGCACCCCTCCCCCGCCGCGGCACCATTCCCCCCCGAGAAAACTGACCGCCGCGGACCAGAAGGCGTGGATAATACCGCCGTGCGTGTCCAACTGGAAAAACAACCGCGGGTACACCATCCCATTGGACAAACGTATCGCCGCGGACGGAAGGAATCTGCAGGACAGTATCGTGTCCGACGGCCACGCCGAGATGGCGGAATCGCTTTACCAGGCCGAGATGAAGGCGCGCGAAGAGGTCCAGATCCGCGCCAACCTCGCCCGGCAACGGAAGATCGAGGACGCGCAGACCGCGGAGGAGGAGATGAAAAAGGCGGCGCGGGAGGCCCGGGAAGCGGCGCTGCAGCTGCAGGGCACGGCCAGACAGCGACAAGATTTGGAATCGAAGGACGAGCAAGACCGGCGATACAGGGAGGAAATCGCAAAAGAGAACAGGAGAGAAGTGGAGAGGCAATTTAGGATGGACAAAGCGGGGAACAAGAAACGTATTGATATATTGGGGTTTTTTGTCAACATTTAGAAGCGTTTTTTTGTGCCGCATACTGTGAGTTCCGGATAGGAACAGCATGCATTTTTGACCTGGACATTACATACCTTGGTGCATGAACAAAAATAAAAATTCTCTACTGATCCGATTTTTCTAGTTGAGAATCTGCATCGTCGTTCAGTATGTTGTAAAGACCAAAAGATATTTCTAAGCAACTCCGCAAACTACACGACGTGATACTCTACAGGCGGCCGCGACCGCGACGAGGAGCGCGACGTGTCGGAGCGCGTGGCGCTCGGGCAGAAGGTCCAGCCGACGCGACAGGAGACGCTGTACGACACGCGTCTGATGAACCAGTCCGCGGGAATGGACGCTGGGTTCGGCTCCGACGAGCGGTACCAAGTGTTTGATAAGCCGCTGTTCACGGAGAAGGACAGCAACAATTTCTACAAGCACGACAAGGACCGCCTGGAAGACGGCACCAAGGGGCTCGGGTTCGGGCAAAACGACGAGCTCGGGCAGAGCGAGCGCGACGCCGGGAAGTTCGGCGTGTCGGTGCAGTTTGAGCGGGACGAGGAGGCGGACAAGGACAAAGACGACTTCGGGGTCGATCGCATGTACAAAAAAGCCAAGCGGGACGAAATTTGGTGAAGAGCGTCGACCTGGTCCACTTCGATGTCTGCGTTCGTTTTCAGCATGACTACTTCCCGGCCTTTGAGTGTGTAGGCTGTAGGCGGAACAGCGCCATGATTTATGTGCTGTTATGGCCACTGGGACGGCGGCGCAGGGGACCTGGTGTTTGTGCCGGGATGAAGAAAATTGTGCATACTGACACAAACGCGATCTTCTTCGCAGCACTTGGCGACATTTTGGCATAAGGGAAAAGAAAACACATGCGACACATCATATAATACAAACATCGCTTGAGCCTGAGGCAGGGCCGTCGTCACTGGCTTTGCAAAACGCCGGCAGTCGTGTTCCTCGGGTCGGAAATTTCTATGTGCGATTCGATGTTTCCGGTTCGAATTGAAGTGAAAGTTCAAGGTTTCATGTGCAGGAAGCGGAAGCTGTGTGAAGCGAGATCTGGGACTTGGATCATACGGAAAATTTTCAAGGACCACGCAAATTTGCGATCAAGAATTGGAGGAGCCTGCGCGAAAAGCGCGAAACTAGTATGCCCATATTCTGCCAGAATATAGTACGTGTTGTCGAGTTTTAGTTTTGGAAAAAACCTTCGTTTCGTCGCAATTTCGTTTGGGTATTCGAGTGTGTGTAGCGTTAAACATGTACTTCCGCGTGTCTTTCTCCTACGGCGGGTCACTTGCAAGGTAAGTGCTCGAATTGGAAGTCGCTGAGATACAGATAGGCTGGGGCTTCGTGGCAAAAATCGTGCGAAGCTTCATACGGTCGTTTTCGCGGGAAAAAAATGCCAGTCGCTTGTGTGATCGAATGATAACCAGATGGATAGAACCCTCGTTCCTTGTCTTGTCGCTCAGAGTGAGCATCAACTAGCTTTCGCAGCTCGGACAAGGATGCACTTTCTCGTGATAACAAGGAAGGACATTCGGATCGTGCACAGCCTAACGAGGCGTGCGCATCAATTTGTCATATCAGTGAAGTAGAGCGCTGCAGCAGCAGTAGAACTACGACAGCCCCCCTCCTCCTTTCGTGGATTGATTTGAAATTAACACTGTACGAGGACGAACGGCACTGCTACAAACATGGCTACAGCTGCGAGTCGAACCGGTCCTCTGCTGGAGGTCCCACAACGCGGCTCTCTCGGTAGCGTGCCTTCGGTCATCCTGCCTGCGCAAAGGGATCGCCCTTTTATTTGCGCCCCGGTCCAGGAGATTACCGGGCGCCAGCAGGTGAAACTGGAGGGAAGCCGCAACGTGTCCTCCGATAATCTATTGCCCGACACCGTCTCGCCAAACAAGGGGCAGCCGGTGTTGTGTCTGCCCATGATCAAGCCGTCCTCTTGTGCGGCTGGTGTGGTATTGGGTAGTTTCGGAGTACTACTACCTGCCTTTCCGCCGACGAAAAAAAGGGGTAAAGGAGCAACAGGAGAATCGTCAGTAAACGGCAGACGCCAGCCGGGGAGTGGGGGAAGTAGCCCAAGCAGAGGTGCGCTTCATCAGCTTGCTACAACTCGTGTCTATTTTCGGAACAAGTGCGACCTCAGTAAACCACAGAACCGTGGTACCACACCAGACGTTTTGAATACGTTTTATTTCTGACGACGTGCAGAAGTTTAAAATGCAACGATGTTATAGACGATGGCTGTTGCAGCAGAGAACAAGAGCAACAGCGGAGAAGACCAGGTGCGTTCCTACGCGGCGAAGTGCAAGAAAAACGGCGACAGCAGCCGTCTTGCCAGACTGTTCGGCGAAGACCTTGCCAACTTGTAATTAACATTTGTCTAGGCCGGAAATCGAAATAACTTAGTCGGGACGCAAAATCTCCGGTCACGGCCTTTTGCTCTAGCAGTATGGAAACATTTGGATTTGAGATCAAGAGCAGGATCATGCTGACCAGCAATACTGAAGAAGTCCTCGGTTGGAAGATCTGTGGGCGTGGTGAAAAATGCAGATCTATTTGTTTCATCGTCTCGCTGGCCCGTTTCTGAACATCTGATGAAATAATAACAGACAGTGAAGGATACGAAAAGCAAAAAGTACCTACGCAGATACAACATCACTTTTATTTGACGCTACGACTCTCTATTATCGCGGCCAAGCGACGTTTTATTTCGTTGTACTACATCCACCTTCGTTTACCTCGTCTATCTTTCTTACCCCTCACCTACACCTAGAAGCAAAACGAGCAGCCCAGCATGGTGTTTATGATTCTGCAAGTGAAGGCGGACCTGGAGAACCTGGACAAGCTTGTGTTTCCCCCGGACCATTTCTGGACCATGGATATCAAGAACTCGCAGGCGGAAGAGTACCGGGAAAGAATAACGGTGAACAAGGACGATAAAGTCGAGATTCCCAACACAAAGAACGCCACGGCAAACTTTTTGGTGAAATGGGAGGACGCGAAGCAGCACAGCAGTATTTTTTTTTTTTTTGCGAAAGTGACGTTGTATCTATCCCATGGCTATTTCCGCCGGAAGAAGATGTCGGGAGCAAGTGATATGGGATTGGGCAAGAGCCGCTGCTGCGGCTACTTACTTCCCCCTGTTCTTGCGCGACTCGTGTGCAGAAGCCCAGGTCTGTACAAAGAAATTCCTGTGTCTGCTGCTGCAAAGTCTCACGTGGCAACCGACCAAATTCTGCATAAACAGGTATCAGCATCGCGGAGCCTTCGCGAACAGGGCCTTTGAAGGGAAAAAAACTCGACGGGGAATACACCAACAGCGGGCAGTGGCAAGACATTGTAGCCTTCGAGTGCAGAGGAGCGGAGCCCTGCAAATACTACCCAACCCGGGGCTACGTGGTCGTGAATGCCAAGGGGAACTACATTCCAGACGTATAAACTTAGTGACTTTTGTCCTCAAGCAACTGTAATGCAATGTATGAAAGTTCGAAGTCGAGTTTCGTTTTCGATTCTACTACTACTTCTACTACTACTCTGCTACTACTCTACTACTACTACTTCTGCAGTACGTCGAAGCTCGCATTTTAAATGGATTGCGATAGTTGAAAACAAACCTCATGAACAGGTCGACCTGGAGGATCCCGAGGGTTGGTGCGGCTACGACGAGCAACAACAGGATTCGATCGGCGTTTACAACTTCGAAGCGAGGTTTGTCCATGTGAAAAAGTAAACCTAAACACCCGGTGAGCATTGACATAAGCATAAAGCAGCGCAGCGACAAAAAAGGAAAAAGGAATATAACTACTTGGCCCTTAGGTGGGTAGAAAAAAAAATAAATCACCAGATGAGAAAACAACTCGCAATCAAATGAGTCCACACCACTACTGAAAGGGTGTGTCGTCCGCCATACAACATGGTGAGCCTCTCGCTTGTTCGTACATAGTGTAATTTTTCATAGTGCAATGTATGAAGTAGACGGAGAACGACTGCGTCGTTAGTATCACACCCCCGAACACAAGCTGCAATCGCGGCGAAGTTTCATTTTCGTGATGAGCAGCACTTCGTTGGCGCTTCGTATCGACTCGTTTTCGTTAATATCGAGCCATATGGATGAGTTCTTCGTGTATAGGCTGACATGTTGTAATATCGGGAGTGAAAGAGCATTCGAATTCGTTGTCGCTTCTTCTTGGCTGCTTCGTCGCGATCTTTCGGAAGTGCTATCGAATCGTGCTGGTCCGTCGGGCAAGAATCTTATCGTTTATTTTGCTCAGTTTTTTTGGCTAAGCAGGATTTTTTTACCCCGTCGACTTTCTGACTCTGTTTTGTTGAAGCAGGCAGTCCTTCTCTGCTTCATTTCTTTACGAAAAGTATTTACAGCATCAACCACCGACAAATCCAGTTATTTTTTCTTCCACCACAGGGGGGTAATTGTGGTGCGTGTTAGTTTCATTTTGTACTGGAAAAGTAAACGGCTCTTAGTAGAAGAAGCCGGTTACTAACCGTAGTCCGAAATCTTCAAGATGGGTAACTGCTTCTGCCCGAAATCAGAAGCTGCCGGGGTGGAGCTGCGGGAGGAACAGCCGGTCGATGGAAGGGAAAAAAGGCCTGCGCACACTTTCACCAACGGAGCGGTGTATACCGGAGAGTGGGTAAACGACTCGCGGGACGGCTACGGCACCCAGAATTGGCCAGACGGAGCGGTGTATGAAGGTATCTATAAGTGGTAGCAGTGCGATTTCGTATCATGTATAGGTGTAGGCATGAACTTCCCTGAAGACTGCTGGACTCTCAGCATTGTATGTGAGGCGCAATACAAAAAACTCAATTGCAAAGGTCAATGGAAGGACGATAAGGCACATGGCTTCGGAAAGTTTATCCACACGGATGGAGACATATACGAAGGGCAGTGGCACGCGGATAAGGCACAAGGGGACGGAACTTACTACCACGAAGACGGCTCAAAATACACCGGGCAGTGGTAACTACAACTTGCTGTTTCAGGTCTTTGTTATTGCGGTTGGTCATGCGAAAATACACATCACAACCACAAGAGAGTACCGGTGACGGTGTGTTTTGCAGGACCACATGACATCAGATGAAAATGCAACATCATTCAAAACTCATAATACCAGGCACGAAGATAAGCAGCACGGGTACGGCGTAGAGCAGTGGCCAGACGGTGCGAAGTATGAAGGGCAGTATGTCGCGGGAAAGAAGGAAGGCGAAGGACGATTCAGCTGGGACGATGGTATAGTAGAAGTGTACAGCACGACTTCTTTGCGATTGGTACGCCAAAAACGCATGACAGAGAAACTTGAAATTTCCAGTAGCAGCGCGAGCAGCGGTTCTTGCACAAGGCGGGTTACTACTAGTGTCATACGAAAACAAAGTACATGAAAACTCACAGGTTCATCCTACAAGGGCGAATTCAAGCTGAACGAAATTCATATGAGAACGAGAAAGTGGAGATAATTACCGTGACGTCCTCCGGTTTACGCTGACATGCATAGAATACCGCGTTCAATAAAAGGCGTAAAAAGCCCTGTGTGCCGTTTGCGAAGCATGAAGGTAGTCTGTCGCTGTTGCAGCGATCTTGTTTATTATATTCGTTTTACCACAGTACAACGTCGCAATCGCGATCATTATCTCACTTCTCCCCTTGCACACCCCACGGCCTCGGCGTGTACGTGTGGGCGGACGGGCGACGCTTCGAGGGCCAGTGGCAGAAGTCGCGGATGCACGGTAGCGGCACGTTTTCCTGGAGCGACGGGCGAGTTTACAAGGGCGAGTACAACAACGACCAGAAGCACGGCTTCGGCGAGTTCACCTGGCCAGACGGACGAAAATACGCGGGCCAGTGGTTCAACGCCAAGCAACACGGTTCGGGCACCTACACTATGCATTGCAAAAATATCTGGGTCTGGGAAGTTGAAACTTGTAATGCTAGCTTTACATTACTGAGAAATCAGTTTTGCATAAGCAACAAACGACGCAGCCGCTTTTGTCATGCAAAAACGCAGTTTCTCATGCGGACTTCCTATAAAAAAGCAGTCTGTCTGGAATGTTGTCCTGCTGGGCTGCATTCGGAAGTGTTTCCATCATCCCCATTTTAGCATCACAAGTTTCCAGACCCAGACATATTTGCATTTGATATACACCAACGTCAAGGGCGAATCGCGGGAGGGCGTCTGGGAAGAGGGACGGAGGATCAAGTGGAACAATTAAGGTCGAAGTTGTAAATAAAAATCCCTAAAACGACCCTGGTGTGCTATGGAGTGACTCATGATCAAACCAACAATTATTCAATTTAGCAACAGATTGAGACCTGTAGAACAATGCTGCAATCTAGAAAGTTTCAAGTTCAACGTATGGCTGTGTTTCTGCGCAATGGAAAATATGGTGTATGCAGTGTCGTGATAATGATCAGATAAAATGTTTCAGATGTCGTCGTGGAAAGCAACACAGACGTAATAGGGTTTTATTCTTGTAAAAAACTGTAAATCAGTTGTGTAAGACAGGGGGAACGGAGGTATCGTAAATTTCTCCCAAACAGTCGGAATAACTGATCCCGTGGGCGCATCCTCTGATGGCGGTGCACTGAGAAACCAAAACAGGCACAGTGATTGCACCTTCACACGCGCACGACAGACGGTACTGAAGTTGCAGATATGCTAATGTACCAAAATTGCAAGATAGAAGGACGAGGAAAAAATTCTCGCTTTGATGGGGTTTTTCCATTGGTGTCTGCTAAATGAGACGGTTGAAGCGCATACGTATGTTTTCTTTCCCACGTCGATGGAGCCCGTGTTGTTTGGGTTTCTTTTTTCTGCTTCAACGTGGTCTGCTTTTTCGCATCGGACTTTTGTCGTTCTGCTTCTTCCTTTCGGAGTTTTTTCGGTCCTAGTGTTGATCATGGAAAATCCGCGTCGGTCTTACGATCAGAATAGGATCCACGTAACATCGGACAGACGGCATTAAATCTCTAAAAGCACAGCACAAATAAGAGTCCCGATTAAGTACTTCCACTTTTTTTAGTTGAAGCGATCTTTATTACTCTCGTTTTGAAAAACTACCGAAATCGCGCTATCGAAACAAAAACAAAAAATGCGGAACACTTTCGTTGCTCTCGCGGTCGGTACCGCCACCACTACCGTGGTTTTGGCCGATGTGGCGCAAAAGTTTGAAGATTTTAAGATGAAATTCAAAAAGAACTACAAGTCCGCGGCGGAGGAGCTGCAGCGCTTCAAAATTTTCGCGGCCAACATGGAAACCGCGGAGAAAATGTCCCTGCTGGGTATGACCTGCTCAAACGTTACAATCTCAAGCGTTACAATAGAGTCTGGGTTTTGTATTGCATGATGAGCATGACAGACTCGGGCAGCGTTCCAGTTTCTGCAATACAAATTTCGCGAGATTGTAGTGCGGATTGGGAGTCCAGAACTTGTCATGCGCTATCCTATGAGGGTTGGCTAGATAATGCTCTTCTTGCAAGACAAATTCCAGACTCTATTGTAACGCTTGAAATTGTAACACCTGAGCAGGTTATACTGGACCCGAATGCGAAGTACGGGCATTTGTCCCCCATGGCGGATTTGTCCGAGTGGGAGTTCGGAAAATACAACACGTTGAAGGTACTGTGTCTTCCTAGCTCGAGCTTTTGCAGCAGAAAACAAAGGGCTGCTTGTATCAAATCTGGCATTGTTCAAAATGTTGTTTATCAAGCGTAGTGCGTGTTTATTGCTAGAGCAACTACATGATTCGCATGAAAAAAACTTTTTCTCCAGTCTAAATGTTTTCTCCAAAAACTACCTCCAGGTCACCAAGTCCGATCTCCTCGCGCACGAGCAGAAGGTGATTTCGGTTCCCGTCACCTCCGCAGCTTTGCCGACCGAGTTTGATTGGCGCAAGAAGGGCGCGGTTGGACCGGTCAAGAACCAGGCCCAGTGCGGGTCCTGCTGGGCGTTCGCGACCATTGCAAACGTGGAGGGGTCCAACAAGTTGGTAAACGGGGAATTGCTGAGTCTGTCGGAACAAGAGCTGGTGGACTGCGACGACAACGACAATGGTAAGGAAGTAAGTAAGTAAGAAGCACCTCTGTTTACTTTCGCTGAACAAGCGTGCTTTTTTCATGTAAGACCACGCTGCACAAGAGTGAGAAAGCACGGAAATAATGCGGAATTGCTGTGGGAGCAGCAACTTATATCGCGGACCCTGCAACCAAGAAAGATTTAATCGTCCCATCGTGACTCTATCAGGTTGCAACGGCGGTCTCCCGTCCAACGCCTACAAGGATATGATTGACAACGATCTCGGCCTGGAGCTCGAGTCCGCCTACGGGTACGAGGCCCACGACTCGAAGTGCCGCGCGAAAAAGGGCCTGGAGAAGGTTTACCTGAAGTCCTGGGTGGCCATTGGGAGCAACGAGGACCAGATGGCCGCCGCCCTGATGAAGTACGGACCGCTGGCGATTGGGATCAACGCCGGGCCCATGCAGCTCTACATGGGCGGGATCAGCGACCCCTGGATGTGCAACCCGGCGGCGGTATGAGAGAGAAAAAAGCATAGCATAAGCAGTTGTATTTGTAAAATGCAAAAAATGAATCTGGGAACTACACGAACAAACCTGTAATAGGCGGGTCTTTCAGAAGCCGAGTGTTTCGGGTACTTATTATGCAAGTCAGATTTGTCTGTCTACTCAGCTGTTTCTGCATTTTTGCAAATGTGACAAGCTAGCCGCTTTTTCTCCGGTATAGGCTTTGGACCACGGAGTGGCCCTGGTTGCCTTCGGCGAGGAAGATGGAAAGCTGTTTTGGACCATCCGGAACTCCTGGGGTATTTTTTTGATGCATGGTTAGGTAGGAGGATCTGCAATAAACGAAAGATATCTTCGAGCAGAACAAGCATGGACTCAGCATCTAGGTGTTTATCTATCAAGCGGAAGAAAGCTGTTAATGCAACTTGCTTCTGATGTGCCTTGCGCAGGATCACCGCAGTGTACTAACATGCAAAGAAATAAAACAAACTGCACATCACCAAACAGGCGCCGACTGGGGTGAGGAGGGTTACTACCGCATCGTGCGCGGGAAGGGCAAATGCGGGTTGAACCGCATGGTCACCTCCGCGATCGTGAAGAAAGCCAGTAACACCGCCACCGAACTGCTGGAGTAAGTAGAACCTCCAGACGGAAGTAGTGCGGCTTCTTTTTGCAAATTCGTGAGCGATATGGCCTACGAAGATTTTGTGGTGCGCATCTATAATCCCGCACGATGATCATCAGTGTCACCCCAGCGATAGATGATAGAACCGCTCCTGCTGTATTTACATAAGATAGAAACACGAGAAGCTCTACATGAAAACGAAACTACACAACGAACTTCAGCGATCGATTACAAGATGTTGATGCTCTATATCACTGTTTTGCTTTATATCAACAATGAACCGAGCAGCTATCATGTTGTCGCGAGAGCACATGTCTGTAGCTAGTATCAATATGTACATTACTCATCCTAGCGATCGACTACATGCTTTCACGGTGTCGTTTTCTTGCACGAGAGGCAGGAAAGCGTGCCGGTATCGCTGTACATATAACACTGCACTGGACGGTAATTGAACAAGTCAGGTTTTGCAAAGGACAATATTGTGTCGTCAAAAATATTGAAAATGCTTGTCAAAGTGGTCCTGTGTTGCAGGACAACAAGGTTTAGAGGGCACGAGAAAGTGTCATCTATGTCGAAGCTGCTCGGGCGCTGTTGCAATCACTACAGAGCAGACACTCCACTACCAGTGTGAATTCGGTGCCGGCTTCTGTGAGTCGCCGTTGCAACAATCTTCGGGAAATACAATCGAAAAGTCGGTTATTCAAGGTCGGACTGTACTCGGTTTGAAGGTGACAAAATAATGTCCGGAGCACTGGAGCGTGTCTGCGCAAGTCAATGTTTTCGGCCCCCGTCGATTGGCCTAGACAGAAAGAGGTGTCGGTCTCCCTTGTTTGAAGTAGTCGCAGCATCACCTTCGTCCAATCGGTCCGCGTTTGTTCTTGTAGCGGATTTGTATTAGTGTTTTTTTGTAGAGCACGGACCGAAAAGCAATGACAAAGAAACGAGGCTTCGCAACGCACGAGTTCTTACCCAGGAGCCCTTTGCTGGTACTTCACTCATCCCAGTAATAAAACTGGCACGACCACATCACGTATGACCAATCAATTAACCAGAACGCGCGCCCCACGTGGTGGTGTGTGGGCGTGTGTCTCTCGCATGGCACTCGTATATTTTTTCAGCAGAACCGTTGTCCTCCGCTGCAACGGTCTGCAGTTTCGTCAAATTGCATCGGATCGGAAATTCTTCGGGAAAGATCAGATGAGGGACAGCAGCTCCACGCCCGCATTCCCAGTTTTGTCGGAGTCACACACGATCCTAGAATCGCCCAGCGCGCTGCTGGAAAGCTTTGAAGGACCTCGTAACTGGAGAACGGAAGAGGCAGACTTTGAGGCCGAGAGGGGGCTGGCAGATGGCAGAATTCAAAGCGTCCCTGTTTCGATGGGCAGTCAAAGCTTCCCTGGTTCGACGCGCAGTCAAAGCTTCCCTGGTTCGACGCGCAGTCAAAGCTTCCCTGGTTCATCGACGCGCAGTCAAAGCCGGCAGGCAGGTGGCGAAGATGGGTCATTGACTGCAGCCGGTGGTGGCGGGTCGGAAGTTGTGGACCCGGACACGGAGGTACGGAGTTCTTCATGCTCAATTTTACTAGCAGCCGAGCCATATATATTCCAATCTTCGCAGTTGATTCCGGCTACAGTCATGTACCTAAGCTTCTATTTTGATCGTACATTGCAACATATGTATTCCAAAAGGCATAACGAGCACCAGCAAGCAAAAGAGGCAGGGCGCGGAAGCGGGAGAAAAAAAAGCCCGCTGTTCATCATCGCTGCCGAGCGNTCAAATTGCATCGGATCGGAAATTCTTCGGGAAAGATCAGATGAGGGACAGCAGCTCCACGCCCGCATTCCCAGTTTTGTCGGAGTCACACACGATCCTAGAATCGCCCAGCGCGCTGCTGGAAAGCTTTGAAGGACCTCGTAACTGGAGAACGGAAGAGGCAGACTTTGAGGCCGAGAGGGGGCTGGCAGATGGCAGAATTCAAAGCGTCCCTGTTTCGATGGGCAGTCAAAGCTTCCCTGGTTCGACGCGCAGTCAAAGCTTCCCTGGTTCGACGCGCAGTCAAAGCTTCCCTGGTTCATCGACGCGCAGTCAAAGCCGGCAGGCAGGTGGCGAAGATGGGTCATTGACTGCAGCCGGTGGTGGCGGGTCGGAAGTTGTGGACCCGGACACGGAGGTACGGAGTTCTTCATGCTCAATTTTACTAGCAGCCGAGCCATATATATTCCAATCTTCGCAGTTGATTCCGGCTACAGTCATGTACCTAAGCTTCTATTTTGATCGTACATTGCAACATATGTATTCCAAAAGGCATAACGAGCACCAGCAAGCAAAAGAGGCAGGGCGCGGAAGCGGGAGAAAAAAAAGCCCGCTGTTCATCATCGCTGCCGAGCGGCCTTGCGCGAGCTCTCTGTTGCTGCGGATGCCCCGTCGCATGGATGCAAGCGAACCGGGTGGCCCGGATCCAGGGCCCCGACATTGTTCGCGTGGCTTGATGACCAGAGGGCGTCCAGGCGACTCGGGACACAGTTTGGGGCTACGCGCCTCGGCTTTCAGGAGTATGCGCCGTCCGCACCGGGTGGCCCGAATCGTGGTTCGCGGTGGCTGCCATCCGGCCTGAGCCCATTGCTTCTGCTTGCCCTCCGGCCTCCTCCGATTCAGTCCTGCAATCATTTCCTGCGATCTCCCCCGCCGACCTCCTCCTCCGGATCTCCGACCTCCTCCTTTGGCCCTCGCCCCGAATTCGTCAGGTCGGGCACGGGGGGGGGGAATTACGGGCGCGAGGAGGAGGGGGAGGTCGGATGCGGGCCGGAGAAGGCCAGCAGCGGGATGGAGGAGGAGGTCGAGCTTGGGAAGGTGGAGGTCATGGGGGGCGGCAAAGGTAGCGGCCTTCTGAGGCGCTCGCGCACCTATTTCCGCCGATCTTGGGCACCCAAAAAGGGGCGCCGGAAAATTGGTGGAGGGGAAGAAAGAGCG